ATGCAGAGGTTAGACACATACCGACAGAAGAATGAACAAAGAGATCCGGTCTCAACTGCAAGGTAGCAAGATTAAGACTCGGAATCGGAATCTTTCCTGACTTCAAAGTTAATCAAGAGCAAAGCGAAAGAATCCACACACACCAAAGCTAGTGGAACCCACACCAACTCGGAGGTCGCTTCTAGGGTATCGGGAAGTTGGGGGGGCATTTCAAACGCCCCAGTCTTTAGCGAAAGTATAAAAGGGATATTGCTAGCGCGCACAATGGAGAATCAAGGAAGAGGGAAATCCAAAAATTTCATGAAATCCATGAAATTCAAGTTCGAGGTGGGACCTGCATCTAAAGATCCTGGGCAGCCATGTGCTTTTGAAGCGGTGAGACCAGACTCGTAGGATCTAATCTAGGGTACTAAGAGTAAGGTTGCTATAACTAAGTGGGAATAGTTACAAAATGCAGAGTGACGCGACTTCTCACCGACATATACGGCACGAGACCGCAATATCCTTGGGTAGACGGGCTAGAGCGAGAAAAAGAGAAATTCCAGACCCAGACCCAGACCGTCCTGGCGTGGGGCGCTGGATCCCCCCCTCTCTGTCCCCTCAGTAGTAGTTGTCGGGACGATGGGATCCATAGTGCCTCAGGCGCGGGCTGCCGGATGGCATTAGTTCAGGGGCCGGCGCCGGGGAAGAGCTTCCTGAGAATTCCTGCAACGGGACTGGTGGGGGCTTGTCGGCAGAGATACGAAAGTGAAAGTGCATAGGTCCTTGTGAGCTAGGCGAAGTTCAGGATGGAGGTGGTCTCAGTTTTGGCAATGACTGGGTCGGAATTGATCCCTTCGAATTATTTGAATGTAAGTTTTTTTTTTTTCTTTCTTTCTTTTTTTTCGCTCTATGTAATCCCATGTTTTTAATTGCTTTTGTCTAATTTCTTAAGATAAGCACCATTACTAGGACTCAATAGATTAATCTATTGTAAAGATAGTAACCAACACTATCCATTACCTGCGTACTCGGTACAAAGTATAACAACCATCTAAATAGTCTTGGAGAATGGAATGTCGATACATTTTTCAAATCATAAATTAGATTAGACAAGGGATCGAGAATGGTGGATCAACTGGTTGATTTTAGTAACAAAAGTACATCAGATTCATTGGGCGGTCAAGTCACCGCTCCCATGCATCGCGTCGTCATGTTCCTTTCCTTGTTCCTGCTTGGGTCGAGAACGTTGAAACTGGGTCGGACCGCTGCATCGGGAAGTGGATCGGACCATTATTGAAATCCTGTATACTTCTGATCAAATCAAGGGCGAAGAGCTTCCAAGGTTGCTCATATCCCCTCCAGGGCTTCTGTTTAATCTCCAAATTGGGGGTTTACTACTAATCTTGTTAGAAACCGCCTGTTCCCCCACTATTCCGATTAGGCGAATTATAGCCTAAGGCTCCAGGAGAAGGTTCGCTGAGTCTTCGATGATCATCCGGAAACTCCGAACAGGTTCACTTTCCAGTTCGGCATTTCTTTTTCTTTGATTAGTGGAAATAAGTTTTGGAGGGGCTCATCAAAAGATTGAAATCAAGGGGTCATAAATGCAGGTTCGATAGAGAAAAAATGTACGTTTGGTCGGATAGTTTAAAACATTTCTTTTTTATATTATTCATGGCAAACATATTGAGATACATTCAATTTGATAGGTCCATCATTCGAGGGGTTAAGGGAGGGGTGAATATGTACTTTTTTTTTTCTCCTTCTCTCTCCCTCTCACTTTTTTCCCGTCTTACCTCATAATCATTGCTGATCTTCCATTTCTATACCATCCTGGGCTGCATCGCGTTTCTCCACCCGGAGGGGCCTCGCCAGACGCGTTTCCCAAGTAACCGCGTCGGTCCTCCGCGTCGCAGCGGATCTTCTCGCGACGATGCAGTGCCCCACGGAGGGGACCCGGGAATTTACGACACGGGTTTTGTGCGGTGTACACTGGCCAGCACACTCCGAGCTAACCATTCATTCCTACGGAAGTACTACCGTGTGTTCCATGGTGGACCCCGAGAAAGCCGGGCTAGCTGGACTAGAATAGAAACAAACGGTCTAACGAGGTGTATCACTTTTTTTAATCCTTGTAGAAATATACTGAACTTGAACAGGGTTTGATGTATAGAAAGAGGGGCAGAACGCATAAGTCTTACCCTAAAGAGAAAAAGAAAGGTCAAAATCAGATGATGGTATCCTAATCCAAAGCGCCGATTCGTTCAGTTTTTGTATGCAGATCGCCCTGCCGTTCTAGCAGGTGATGTCTCGAGGGGCGCTGGTTAAACACCACGTCGCACAGACATGATCTGGTGGTGTCGTACATTTTGTAGGGAAAAAAAGTGTGGTGTATAAGACTCGTGACCTGTATAAATAAGAAGAAATCGAGCTAGTATGAAGTACGTATAACTTCTGTAAAATAAAACAAAGCCCCTCAAAGGCGTGGCACAGCTCAACCGCCACAGAGCGGGGCAAGTCTAAGGGAGATTCTGGACCAGTCAAGTCCAATACAAAAGTACGGCGAACCCGTTGGGTGATCTGTCATTTAGGTGCATTTCATGGTAAGTGGATGTGGCGTATCAGACTAGGATCCTTGATTTTCAAAGGGAAAAGAAATATCAGTCAAATCTTTGCGAACCAGACCGATCCGTGAGTGGATTGATCGACTAAGGCGGGCTGCAACTACTGACGACGGCGCCCCGCGGATAGAAATGATCCGATCGAGGCTATTCTAGCGTTGTCCCGGAGTTGTAGCTGACTGTCCCCGTTCAATAGGGTCTAATTTGTCTAATTTGTACTCGTCTTTTTTTGGATGTCAGATCAGCACCACGGGGTAGATATGTGGGAAATTAGATATTGTATCCCTGTCTCATTCTCAACCCACCCGATTGTCCTCTCGGAACTGTGTAACGATTGATACCCAGATACCCGATCAGCCGAATCTAATGATAGTGCCGATCGGAGGGGTTTGGATGAGAGAGAGAGAGGGGGGTAGGGGTTATGAACCATGGTTATGATATCAAAGTTCTAGATTAGTTTATGTAGTATGACAACTTGATGAAATGCCGGAATTTACTTCTTAATAGGTATGTAAGTTGCAGGGCTACTTCTTCTATAACATGATTGCATCGCTGTGGGTGTGCCACGATCGAGACACTAAATCGCCTCACATGCCAGCCACACATATTCCCTTCACACTTTTGAACGAATAAGAAAAATAAGACAAAATTCATGTCCGACTGCATAATTCTATACTATGGGTCTTTTTTGTTCGATTTTATTTGGGCTGAGCGAGGGGCCACACTGCATCGGCCCACTCATGACAAGCCCTCGCAGCAGACAGCGGTGATAATCCCACTTTCTTTTTTTTTCATTTTGCATTTTTTTGGATCGCTTGGATATTGCTTTTTTTACATCATAGGGTTTGAATTTTTTATTTTTTATTTTTTTTTCGAACACATCAGAGTAGTTCGTGTTTTATCTTCTTCATAGATGAGATAGATGTTTAAATTTGCAAAGTTTGAATGAGTATTAATGGTTCCGATCCTCTAGATATCGAGATGTCCCCCCTTCATAGAGTGAAATGTAAACGTTCGGCGGAACCGAAATGATGGGTTTCAAAGGAAACCGCAATTTGAGAGCCACTTTTTTAATTCATTTTATTTTATTTTATATTTATTTTATTCGATTTTGGCGATCGAGTAAGCGTAAAAGGGGGTCTTAGGATGTGGTGATATAAGAGTGCGTGGCCGAGAAGAGGCTGGGAATTATACAGTACCTTGTTTACGTGCACGGCTGTCAGGTGTTCGAGTCGCATTAAATTGATGCCTGGATCGGGGAGAGAAAGTTGACCGCTCAAAACACAGATTACGCATGTATTGTAATATTTACTAATCTAGTCTCCCAAATATCAGACATTGCAATATACACTAGATCCTGATAATAAAGGTTGATAAAAGAAATGAGATATATTGAGATTATATGGAGCTTGCCATAAGTTGCGCAGTCTCTTCAATCTTCATACTTGCTATTCATATGGCAATCAATGAACTTAGTCTATTCAATTTTGCCCTGTGACGTAGTATACAGTCGAGTCCCGGTAGTTACAAGAACGATCAGATGAAAGATGAGATGCTTTTTCCGCCACGCCAGAGAAATCAGTTCAAGTTGCCATTTGCAAGAAAAAGTACTGGGAGGTTTGAAGCAAACATATAGTACTAGACTGAGGAAGGTGGGGGTAGAGACCTCTAAAGTGACTTCTTTGAATCAAGAGGAAGAGTGCATTTCATGCAGACCTAACTCATTCAAAGATATCAAGCCAGGTTTGGTAAATGTTCCCCTCCATAGCTATATCTATTTACAATTGAAATCTTTAACGCAATGCAGCCCCAGAGATTTACCCAAAGAGCAATTCAATATAGATATTGAATAGATAGTCCTAATGAGCCCACCTGCCCAGTGTATACTTCCGTCTCATAATACTGTATTTTTCATTTCTGCCAGTTCAAAATTCAGGCATCTCCGGCTCGCCGATCCCTTCCCCATCTAATCCGCGCGTCCATCACGACCAAAATTACGGTAACAAAACCTGGGGGCACAAAGTAAATTACCTATATTCAGTGTCGTGACAATAAATCCAAGACTTCCCTTCCCCCCCTCTTTTCAATATCCCCTCCTTCTTTCTCTCCTCCCACTTCTCCTCCTCCCACCTCTTCAACATACCCCTCACCGCGGTGCTTAACGCTCATCCGCCTTTCTTTTCGAGCGTTCTCTTTTTTTGTTTTCTTCCGTGGCTGGACACCCACTTTCGCCTTTGTTACAAAATCCGCGACCCCCCACATACAAGGAATGATCAGATATCCCAACGACTTCCTGTCGTCATCACGTTTACAAAACCGGTGTGAGCTCACCCAAGGAACCATACCACAGTCGTCGACTTCCTTATTTGCCTGAGACGACCCGTCTAAAATACACACATGGCTCCCTCAGCTCCCGGGACGGCCAGCAACTCGCCGGCCAAGAAGACTTCAGCGCCCGAGAAGAAATACAAGTGCCAATTCTGCAATCGTGCGTTCAGTCGCAGTGAACATCGCAGCAGACATGAGCGGTCTCGTAAGTTGGATTTCGAGTTTTTCAAGTCTCACCAACTCCTGCCCTTCGGCCCCCTCCACTCTCATTCTGTTCTCATTCCGCCCCTCCTCAAAACTAACAATTTTTCCCCTCTTCAACAGATACTAAAGAACGCCCCTTCAAATGCTTAAAATGCCGAAGCACTTTCGTTCGTCGTGATCTTTTGTTGCGCCATGATCGAACTGTACATGCTAAGGATGGCGGAATTCCCCTGGTCGCAGAGGGCCGCAGACGTGGTGGAGGGGTTCAGAAATCTACAACTTCTGCCCCCTCCAAACCTTCGATCACCATTGATCCGGCGACGCTGGAACAGATCGAAGCAAGCAGTGATGGTATGGTCGACCTTGAAACTGCAGCCATGTTGATGACAGATTTCCAACATAAGGCTGCAGCAGCAGCGACTGGTCAGGTTTCCGAGCGCTCCGAATCACTATCCCCTGCCCACGGCTCCTTCGAGCCTTACCTTTCCGGCAACGCAACCTTGCCTCAGATGCCCTGGGATACTCTCGCCTCGCCCGCCGAACCTGGCTCGATGCCCACCCTCGTCGACCGTCACGGCCTCGTCGGAGATGTGCTCTTGTCGAACTCGCTTCCCATGTCTGGAAACTCGACCCCGAACGCGTTATCCCCCTACCCTTCCATGACTGGACCCGTTAGCCCCGTAAATTACCGTCGCTCGCCAGGTCCCAGCCAAGCGTTGACCCTTCCCAAGGCTCCCCAACTCGCGAATGAGATGGAGCGCAATCAGGTTGTTGAACGCGTCCAGGGAGCAGACACTTTGGGTGCTTTGCCTGATAACTTCCAGATGCCTGGCACAGCGGCATTGAACCGGTACCTGTCCACATACTTTAACTTGTACCACCCTCATTTGCCATTCTTGCACCAGCAATCGTTTAACCCTGCTACCGTATCTGCTCCTCTATTGCTAGCAGTTCTCTCCATTGGCGCTCTGTACACTTTCGAGCGCGAGCACGCTTTCTTGCTCCATGTCGGCTCCAAGGTTTTGGTCAACCAGTTCCTGCAACATAAGGATAACTTCGATTCCCGCAAGTGCCCTCTTTGGTTGATGCAGAGCACTCTGCTGAACATGGTCTTTGAAAGCTGGAGTGGTGATCCTAAGGGTCTCGAGTGGACCTGCTCCATCAAGAGTCTACTCGCCAACATGGTCGCTGGCAACCGATACCAGCTCAAGCTCCGAACCGACGCTCGTCAGGGCATTTACCCTTCGCGTGCAGAGTGGATCGAGGACGAGTCGTGTCGCCGCACTTACTTCGCTGTGTACATCTTCTTCGGCATGTTGACCCTCACCTTCAACCACACTCCTGCGATGAGCTTCGACGAGTTCGACAACCTTGAGCTTCCTTCTTCCGAGTCTCTTTGGAACTTGGATGCATCAGATGAGGAGAGCTGGCGTCGCACTTCCAATTCCAGCACCCTGACTGTCCGCGAGGCTCACGACTTCCTCTTCCAGGGCGAGCAGACCCGGTACAGTGCCTTCGCTACTCGCGTTCTCATCAACGCCCTGTTCTTGCAAGTGTGGAACCACAAGCGTAGCTTTGAGGCTCTACAAGATGTCGTTACTGAGTACAAACTTCGTCTCGCTCTCGAGACCTGGGAGAGCTCCCTGGATGTGTGTGAGCCTGAGACCATCGTTGTCCCACTCAGCACTCCCCAGAAGGGCCACCCCTTGATCTTCAACTCGATGGCCGTCTACCGCAACACCCGCGCCCGCCTGGAAGTTGACCTGAAGTCCATCCAGGAGGCCATGCGGTACCACTCTTCTTATGAGGTGGCTGCTGCCATGACTGTCGCTCGTGAGAAGGTCAAGCGCTCTCAGGAGATGAACAAGGTTGTTCAGCAATGCTTCGAGTGCATTGAGATTGCCGCTATTCAGGGCATCAACTGGGTTGCGAAGACCTCCGCCACTAACTGGAGTGTTGAGCATCCTCTCTGCGGTCTGGATCTGATGGTCATCCTGAGTCTCTGGCTCTACCGCCTGGAACATGACGACGAGCCAGCGACTGAGGCTGAACTAGCCATCTACAATAAGGTGCGAAACTTGTTTGATGATGATGCCATCGACGCATTTGGAAAGCTCAGCTCTACCGTGGCCCGTGTATGGGGTAACATCCTAGACGGTGTGGTTGTCTGGGGGTAAGTCTTTCAATCCTACTCCACATATTCCTGCTACTTGATAACTAACAATTTCCTCACAGAATCACCAAGTTGATGGGCGAATCATTCAAGCTTCACTCCCAGGCCCTGGTCGGCTATGAAGATTCTTTACGTGTCGGAAAGGATCAGCCGATCCACGCTGTTCCACCCAAGTCTCTGGCTAGTGTGGGCACTGCGTACTGATCTCTATTTTTTACACCATTCTCCACTCTCCTTCACTACTTTTTACTGATCTTTGCATCTCTGAACTTTTTACGTCTTTCGGGCTTTCTTACTCTCATTTGTTGGACGTTTTCATTGGGACACATGGGAAAAATCCGGAATAGGTACACTAATGGGCAGGCGGGGTGTTTTATGGCTATGGGAATACTTCGCCGTCAATCTGCCTCATGGTGTGATTCCTGACTTTTTTTCTTGCTATTATTTGGGTTGCATCTTTCCCCTGATCTGTCTTTGCACCAGGGAGTCCGGTGTGGTGTTTATCTGCTTTGGTTCCCTCTTGACACCTGGCTGGTCCTGTGTGTTCTCTCGCACTCGATGGAGTTTTATTTGTTTTTCTCCTTAGCCCCTAATCGTGCCCCTTCGTCCACCTGCTTTTTGATCTCTTGATACCTTTTGAAATTTTCTGCGTTTTATCTCTGCGTGCGGCTGCCTTTATTTTCTGTTGCTTTTCATTGCTTCTTTTCCACCATGCTCATGCTCATCATTCTTCATATGCTTCTTGTGGTTGGAGTTTACTCGACCGCTGTATTGATGTTAATTGCATCTCTTTTGCTCCCCGCCTTATCTGCTGTTCTTTTTTTTATATATTCTCAGAAAGTTGTTTCCGTTCAGCATTGCCTGCATTTTGGTTTCATCTGCACATCTTTTATTTTTGTTCTCTTTTTGACGCCTTACTTTCATGTACCATACGTAATCGATGAATACAATATACCTGGCGGGGAATCAAGCTTGACCCAGTAAAATTTAGTATGTCGTAGCTTAAGATGAGATAAGACGAGGCCCTAGTGGTGCGCACTGAGTGGTCAGTTGGCGTATGTAGTAGCCGGTTGTACTTAGGTGATATGATCGATGCTTTTGCTCCAGAACCGCTATTTTCAATGCTGGCCCTATGCCATCAATGATGTCTATCTATCATTACCTAGGTAAAGTACTCCGTACACCATTATCACCAATCATACACCCAACTGCCATTCAATCATAAGAAGTTTGGAATGCCAAAGTAGTCCAAATCAATGATGCATCCAGTCCTCCTTATCATCAAAAAAACGCCTCATGGTAATGATAACCACGAAGCCCCTCCTCCGTATCAAGAAAGCGCGCATGATCTAAATAGAACCGACTCAATCTTTCGTTGAGAACTAAATTTGTCATCAATAGGTTAAACAATATCCATGGGTTTTTGTGTGGACATAATGTAAACATTCATAGTACTTGATCAAGTCTCAGGCTAATTCAATGTCGCCAGTGCCATATAGGGTCTCCATTTAACAGAAGTTTATAGCCAAGTACATAGGCACTTTTCCTAATCTCCTTGCCGTAGTATCGCGCAAAGTATAGATAGATCTTTTCTTCCTTATATACCATTCTCTTTTTCCTGCAATTTTACTAGTTAGAAGTAGAAAAGTCATGTCAAATAGCGAAGCACCTTAACAACAGCCACAGTGACGAATCGATTCACTCCCTCTCTTCTCTTTATCGGATACACATACGCGAATACACACACAAACACACTCCCGTCTCACACAATCTCTTTCAGGCAACAAAGCACAACAGACGATCGCGCTGACAATAATGACAAGCCATACCATCCCAGGGGATTGGGAAGGGCCTCCCAAAGGCTATGACTGGTACCGTGATACCAAAGTGGCCAGAACTCAGGCTGACAACCTTCCACGAGACCGAATCCGGGCCAGTCCCCTGACGAAGAAATTGACAGCCCCCAGACGATTATGAAGATTGGCAGACACAAGTTAAGGCAATCCTCGCAGGCTATGGATTGACCGACCTCATCGACGTTAAGCTCGATCGTCCGAAGACGACGGACAACCGGGGAGAAAGATGGAAAAGAATTTCCCTATCAGTGGTTGTGTGGTTGAAGCAAAGCATATCCCCGGATTTACTCAAGGAACTTGAGCAAAAGCATCGTCGATTCATTTTCGCGGATGAAGTTTTTCACGCGATTAAAACCCATATGGACTGCGCCAGTCCGCATGCAGACGCCGAGACGCTGACACAGTGGGAGAAATTGAGTGTCATTGACTTTCCAACGACTTCGAGGTTTATTGACGAGGTGCTGCTTGCAATGAAAAGACTCAACGACCGTCACATGCCCATGAATCCATATGCAGTGATCATGAAGATAATCTACGGCATCGGCATCAATGACAATGATATGAAGACACGTCTGTGCAACGATTGGGTTAGCCAGAAGAAAGACCCTAAGACATTCACGGCTCTGGACCTGGAAAACATGGTCAAACAAATCAAGCAGGAGCTTTCAGCTGAGGAACAGAATGATGTCACAATCAAACCAGAGACTGAAACTTGAACACCCAGTCAACAACTTGAAAGGCAGTCGTGTAGCCTGATACTATTGCTTCAAACGACTCCCTTCTCCTCCCTACATCCGGCTTTCGATGGAAGCTACCTAGGAGCTATGGCACTAGACCGGCAGTGGTGATACAACTGTGATCATAAATGGACCCGCGGACCGAATGAAAGACTTGAGCGTTGGAAAACATCACTTTATATGTTATTTCAAATCAATCTGCGTTCATGTGAACTTGGTGTGATTCCTATCACAATGATAAGTGCGTATGGAACTTTGGAATTGTATTCTAAAATCTCTCCTTCCATTCTAGCAATAGTCTAGTTTGCTAAGTATACCTACTTAGCTATTTTAACAGCCTTAGTCCTAGGATCCGTAAAGTCCTATCTATGACCTTAAAGGTGATCTTGTTAAAAGAAATTTAGTCTTAATCTAGGGCTTGCGAACCATTATCCATGGTCGTGAATGTCTTAGGATCTTTCTTCTGGCTAACCTTCTCTTCCAGGTAGGTAACCCCTGAAGTACCTAGATACAAAGAGGGATAGGTTACAAGCTACCTGTAGATACTACTGACTAAGTACTTAAGTATGTGAACATGGCTGTCTGAGAAGATGTGAACGCACCTAGGCAGTTATATGTGCTTATAAGTTAATCTGCTTAGGATGATATAGTGTGTGACATGTTCATTGAACCGAGCTTCCTGGCCAACAGCTTGAGTGCTGAGGACATACCTTTCCCAATTTAGCTGCTATAGTGCCAGGCGAAGCACGGTGTGAGGACTTGTCATGACCAACTTGAGATACCAGGGTAAATCAATCAATCACAGACCAAATGACTCCTACTTCCCAATAGCAACAAAAAGTCTGTCCCCAATGTCTCCAACACCAGGAACAATCATTCCTTTGTCATTAACATTCTCATCCACAGCCCCAACCCAAACCTCAACACCCTCCTCCCAAACACCCGCTGCCCTCTTCACACCCTCCTCCGACGCAAGAACACTTAACATAATCACTTTCTCAACGCCCCATTCTCGTAGAAGCTGGATTGCTGCTTCAGCGGTTGCACCTGTGGCGATAATAGGGTCCAGGAGAACAGCGAGGGTTGCAGCAGCGGAGTTTGTCGTTTCTGCCGTCGGTGAGAGGAGTGCCGGGCTAGCAGGCGAGAGATCTGTTCTATGGAAGGGAAGGTTGTTATAGTATTCTACTGGTTGGAGAGTAATTTTCTCTCGGAAGAGACCCAGATGGTAGATTGGGACAGCAGTTGGGAGGAGGGCGTTAAGGGCTGGATGTTGTTAGATATGTATGATATCGCGAACAAGAGAACCTTAGTAGAGGTTGATGAAACTGAAACTCAAGACCAACCTTCGACCATGCCCAGACCAGATCGTAGAATTGGTACCAGAGCTAGATCCGCGGGGTTGATTCCCTTTGTCTCATACTCCGCGCCAAGCGGGGTGCGGTCCTACTGAGATCAGTATTATTCTCCTTGGGTCATATTGTACATAAAGTGGTATGATACTGTGCCTGTTGTTGAGACTTTAAGACCTGTTGCAAATGCCTCGACACCGATGATTGATGCGATCTCATGGACAAGCGCTCTTGTTTCGCGGGGACTAGTGCTTGCCGAGCGGAGCTGCGAGAGCTTGGCTTGGAGGCATGGGTGGGTGGAGATGTGGATATTTGTGGGGAGGGAAGACATGATGTGCGGGGAATGAGTATGAAGGGAAGAGAGAAAATTATGAGAAGAATTTCGGGTAGAGGATGTTATTTTCTGTGGAATATTAACAGGGATGTTCCTAGAAAGCAGCTTCTACGTAGTTCATGTAGGCGAGAGGTGAGGGGTACAAGGTTATCTGTGCAACCTACTCTTATCAGAGTTGGGGAAGCCCCTCGCCATTACCATACTCTGATACTCCGAGACCATCCATGGATGTTTAATGCGACAATCATGTATGAGATTGATGATTGATTTCCACCAGAAATGCCCTAAAAATATTGCGGACTTTTTCTATCCTCTTCAGACTGACCTAAGCCAAAAGGACGCGGATACTGTACCGAGGATACCGGGCTTCATGGACCCTCATGTTCAATGGAGAGAACAGTTCAGGGTCTGGAAAGACCCATTTACTTATCATATAATCTTCAGCTATGAAATAATTGAAAACGAAATACCCAGGCGATTCACGTAAATTGCAGATAATATGCCTTTACGTAGGGGCAACAAACGTCATGATCTGGATGACACTATTCGGAATAGTTGACGTCTCTGCCGGCCGAAAATATAAAATTTACTAATTAATATCGGACCTCTGGAATATTTTTCCCCTGGCGGTCATTTTCAGAACTGTCCACTCGCAGTGGAGGATGATCTATGTTGATGATCCTTCCTTGCTGGAGACATAACGCCCGATGACCGATAGTCCTCGTCGTCGATTTAGTGATATAAGACCGAACCCCCACAACATGTGGGGATAATTTTTAATTTAATCTGGTCTCAAGCTCATCGTAACAATTATCTGATTTAAAGAAACCCCGCAAGTCAATACTCAATGCTTGATGGGTTCTGAACTTGCTTGCCATAGTCTTCAAGTTCACATAACAAGGAAAGGAAAAAGAAAAATCGTGTTATCCCAATTCTATTATACCATCAAGGTAGACAAAGCAAAATATGAACCTTGGAAATCATTAAGATAATTACGCAGACAATTGCAAGGTCTCATATAAAAGTATTATTGTAGAACCGAGAGTATTTCTGCCCCGCATTACCTTAATTGTTCTAGTCTCCGCCAGAGCCTTAACAAGGGCGATGTAGATCAATCAAGGAACAGGCAACACTAGCAGTTGTTTAATCGGATGGAACCCATATTCAGGAACTAAGACCGTCACATTTTAAAATTTTCTGCAACAGGGTCAAACGATCAGCACTTGAACTCGTCATCAATACACGACCGTGGAGAATCAAACGACGGACTGCATGCTTGCATAGCTGCTGATGCAGTCCTGCACGACGATCAGGATTACAGACTGCTTCACCTAGATCAAAAATCTCTGAATTCGGGTTTTAGTCCGAGATATTCCCCACTCTGACTCTTTTCACGCGTAACTAGAATGCGGAGCTCCTTGAGTATATTCGGACGGAGTAATGCCGTCGTGGCATGTCCCTTCGTCTTATAAGTCACAATAAAATCTGTCTGTGAAGTTTTCTTTTTCCTCTTCAGCTCGGATTTCAGTTCTCAAATCAGTCATGAAGTCAATTTTACCTCTCCTGGCTGTTCCAGCAGTTGCTGCTGCGACGAACTGCAGTATTGAAACGTTCCAAGCATACCTCGATGCAAATGGAACCAACGCTCAAGTCGTCTATGCCAGACATTATGCTGAGAATGCGACCTTTGTCAACCCCAATGTGACAGCTGTGGAAAATCCAACGGAGTTACCTGCAACCTGTGCGATCCAGGTGAATGCTACCACCGATGCTGGCACGCACTATAGCTTTGGTGTCTTCCTCCCTGACAACTGGAACGAGCGATTCTTGTAAGTATAAGTGAAATCTGACTTTAATCGTTGACTGACCAATCTTTAGCCATGCAGCTCAAGAGGGCGCAGACATCAACTGGGTGGACATGGTACGCGATGACATCTGGATGTCTTCTGCGACAAGATCGAAAACACTGACTTCTACTAGGCCGTGGGACTGCGCTACGGATTTGCGTCTGTAGCTACAGACACAGGACATTTTGGCTCTGATATGGGTGGAACCTGGTGGGAGAATCCCCAGTCAATCAATGACTGGGCCTGGAGAGCCAACCATCTCACCAGCGTAGTTGGCAAATTTCTCGTCGAGAGTTTCTATGGCCAGAAGCCCAAATATAACTACTTTGCTGGCTGTTCCACTGGTGGTCGTCAAGCCATGAAGGAATCCCAGGCATTTCCTATGGACTACGATGGGATTATTTCTGCCTGTCCAGCGTGGTGGACCACCCATCAGCAGTTGTGGAATCTCTGGCAAACTACACTCCAGGCTCCAGAGGGCTCTGAACATAGTATCCCCATGTCTATGTTTAGCGTTATTGGCGAGGAGGTGATCCGCCAATGTGATCCTCAAGACGGTCTCGTGGATGGAGTCATCTCTGATCCTCTTGGCTGCAATGTGGACTATCTCCCTCTGCTCTGCAATGGTACCCAGAACAGCAGTTGTCTTACAGGGCCCCAGCTGGATACCCTACACAAGATCTACAGCGACTGGGTTGAAGCAGACCAGACATTCGTGTACAGTCATGTAGAATACGGCAGTGAATTTATGTGGAATGAGAGTGGCAATATCGGCAATGGTAGTGTTGGCAACGAGGCCGAGCAATACTGGTACCTTCAAGAGATTCTGGGTATTTCAAACTTCACCGCATCAGACTTGAACTTGAAGCTCGTGGAATATGCCGACAAGACTGACCCGGGTAACTCCTCCGCGAATGACTTCAATCTCGCTCCCTTCTACAAGAGTGGTGCCAAACTTATTCATTACCATGGCCACTCGGATGCCACTGTGCCTCCAGGTATTGGAATTTACTTCCGTGATCAAATGGCTGCGACCGTTGCCCCGCAAGGAATTGACATTGATGAGTTTTATCGCTTTTTCATCATTCCCGGAATGGAGTAAGTAGACCCCCTGGATCCCACTATACCCTATCTAGGCTCATTTCTAATTTACTTCACAGACACTGCTCCGGGACACCTTCCACCATGAATGCACCATGGTACATTGCCGGTCCAACCCAAGCCAGCGCACTCAGCTCATCACTGTACGGTGTGCCAGGCTACAGAGACGCCAAGCATGATGTTCTCCTTGCGCTAGTGAACTGGGTTGAGAATGACACGGCGCCTGAGTATATCATTGGTTCTTTCTTCGACGACGATGAGACTTTCAGCATCACTAAGCAGCGACCTATCTGTGCTTATCCAAAACAGGCTAAGTACAAGGGCTCGGGCGATATCAATGACACTGATAACTTTGAGTGCAAGCTGCTCTTTTAAGAGTAGCATGAGCCTAGGCATGAAGTTAAAGATTCAGAGATACGATTCAAGATCTCGTTTTAACGGAGGTTTAGCTTGAAGTATCAGTCAATATTATTGAAGAGTTTCAAATCATTGAGACCCTTGGTTCATATGCCTCCAAGATTTTTCCATATGTATTATAAGTTGAGGATGAGAACTTGAAGTTGATAGTCAGTAGCACATAATCGTTTGCCTATTCATTCCCAATCCATGCAAGCATAATAATTTGAATAAGCTTTATCTTAAAGTTCATGGGGGCAATAAGAACTTGAAGCCTTCAATAGACGCGGAGTTGTACTTGCACATGTGGGTGAATTACCGAAGATTCGGTCATCATTACGATATCTGACCCTAGGTAATGTGAGCTAATTCAACCTTCAAGTTCAATTTTTGGAAGTTGTGGATTCTAGATTCTAAAAGCGGAACCCTACCCAGGCCACCTAGCTATAGCTCAGTGTAACTTCAAGCACTTGAGTATTAAATCCACTGGCTATAATGTCCGCTTCTTCGCTGTTGGTCTGCACTCAAATAGGGGAGCTGGACGATCCATGGCCTGATGATGGAACTCAATTTTCATACCTGAATGTTGAAAGATTTTTTGAACAATTAAGATCAATAGCCACCAGCTTTATTGATGAGTCACGAGCTAATGGGCCATGGATTCTGTTCACCTGTGTGGATGAACAAGCCTTGGAGTGTATCTAGAACTCCAATCATAAACTACTAAATTCATGCACTGCAATCTTCAACCCTACCAGTGACACTCTCGCCGTCAAAATTGAAAATGCTTTCACTGGATGGAGCATTGGCAATGGCTATTACAAGATGACTAGACGGAAAACTTACAGAGATGGGGCTAATTCACGAAGTCAATTTCACGGCGGCTGTCACTCACTCTCTATTTCTCTTCGACCAAGCTGGTAAGAAATTACTGAATGACATTGGAGTTGCGAGGATAGTCCGCAAGCGAGCAGACCAAACAATTCACCCATTTACGGTCCAAGCGCCAAGTTCCATGAAATGGCCTTCCGTGGTCCTCCAAGTTTCAAATTCAAGTCATAGGACTGAGATTGAAGAAGATCTACGACTTTGGATTCATAACTCAGAGAATGAGGTGCAATTTTCCATGGCGTCTTTTATAGACCCCAGATCCGGAAGCATCTCTATTGAAGAATGGAGAGTGGAGAACCAGGCGCAGACTTGGGAACGTCGGCATCCTCAATATTTTGCCCAATGTGTTCAATCAATGACGATTGAAAAGCCGCGATCCTTTAAAGGCCCTGTCATTAGGGGATCCTTCTCAATACCCTTTGACAAAGTCCTTCTTCGTGATCATACTCTAGGGTCACATGAAACCGCGTTTGAGATGAGCGAAAGTGATATCCTGCAGATTGCGGAGGAGGTTTGGCGAGTGGAATTGATCGAAGAAGCTCGCAAAGATCGCAAACAGTAGTGGCAATTCTCTATCATTTTTATGTTGATGTAGGTTTTGACGTCCTAGCCGTTCTGGAAAGCTATGGACTTCACTAGGAAGTGTCAGCTCGCGTTGGTCCTAAGAATGTAGTTTGAAGCTGGCAAGTTTGACGCAAAGATTCAGACCACTTGCACTGTTTGTTTTAGCTCTCTTTGACCCATTGAAACTTCTCCTCAGCCGAAACTCGTATGTTTGCTTATGTTTAACTCTTAGTTACTTGCATAGAATTTGGTTCCAAGGTTAACATCGGATTATCTAAGATTGATCGGATCCACATCTGGAACCCGCAGATCTCCAAATTCTCGCAACTCAAAACTGCAAACCGCCCTCCTAATGAGTTCATAATATGTCACTCCCCGAATCAAATCCAGGGGTTGAACTGCCACGAGATCCCGAAAAAGCGATTGAGCTACCATTAACCGAAACTGCGGCACCCGAGCCGGTTCAGCGAGTCCCAACTCAAAGACAAGCATGGAGCCTAGCACAAGCCGTGCCAGGCGAATCAGCCACAGCAGCACTGCAGAGTAACACCACAGCGCCCTCACCTACCGCTGCGGCCCTCTCAAAACACGCCACACACCTGTACACAATCTCTTACCTGATCTTCTTCGCTATCTTCGGTACCCTTGCGCGCCTCGGCCTCCAGGCCTTAACCTTCTACACTGGCGCGCCGGTCGTAAGCGGTGTGCTATGGGCCAATGTGGCAGGGAGCTTGGTTATGGGATTCTTAACAGAGGATAAGAACCTATTGCGCGAAGAATGGGGTGACGCGCCTATGTCCTTGACGGACAAGAACGAAAACGAGCGCAAAGAAGATGCTCTCGCCAAGCTCCAAAAACACAAGGCCGTTAAAAAGACCATCCCGCTCTACATCGGCCTTACAACTGGGTTCTGCGGCTGCTGTACCTCGTTCTCCTCTTTTATACGCGACGTCTTCCTCGCCCTGGCTAATGCCCTCCCAGACCCCTCCACAACATCCATCCCTTCCCGAAATGGTGGCTACAGCTTCATGGCGCTCATCGCCGTGATCCTCCTTACCGTTTCGCTAAGCCTTTCAGCACTGATATTCGGCGCTCATCTAGCCCTTGCACTGGGTCGGCTTACACCCACTGTACCATTCAAACTAATGCGCCGCATCGTCGACCCTGCAATGATTATATTAGGATGGGGATGTTGGCTCGGCGCCGTATTCATGTCTATCTGGCCTCCAGATAGAAACTCTGGATCTGAAACTTGGCGTGGACGCGCTATCTTCGCAATTGTCTTTGCGCCCCTCGGGTGCTTATTGCGGTTTTATGTATCATTACTACTCAACGCGCGGGTCCCTGCATTCCCGATGGGTACGTTCGCAGTTAATATGATTGGAACTGTTGTGGAAGGGATGTGCTATGATTTGCAACATGTTCGTGGACTTGGAACTGGGGTCTTGACGGGGTGTCAAGTGTTGCAGGGTGTTATGGATGGGTTCTGTGGATCAACGACGACAATCAGTACTTGGGTTGCGGAGTTGAATGGGTTGGCTAAGAGGAGACATGCCTACCTATATGGAGCTACTACTGTTGGAGCTGGACTCGGATTTATGGTGGTTATTATGGGCTCCTTGCTATGGACTCGCGGGTTTGATGAGCCTGTCTGTGGATAACACATGACTTCATCGGGATGTTATGAACTTATGATTGTATACTATGAGCCTTCACCGTGATAGTGATGCCTGGTAACTAAATAATGATTAATCTGTGATTTTCGCATGAATTCAAGCTCATTTCAGCCTTGTCCAGTGCCGGTTCCAGTGTTTAATTACCGCAATGGCCCATATATCGAAGTCGCTAGAACTTGAAGACTCCACAACTGCAGGGCTTCATTGGAATCAGCTGAGCAGACCCTCTTCTGCGCAAATAGGAGGCTAGTTTACCCGAGTACTCTTCCCTCTCAAGCGCTTGTACTGCTACTTGTGACGATCACGTAGCCCTTGTTCAATACCCATCAATGGAAGCTGATGGCTGTCCATTAATGGACAGCCTAACTACCCAGGATCATGATGATCTGACTCAGCTCCTACAGCCCTCTCTTATACTGAGTCAACTACATCTAGTCATGCTATTCGTGTCGTTGAGTGAGATTCAAAGTTCCACAATCTACTTTTAGTTTGCATACATACGCAAACTAAGGAACCATGACGCGTCACCAGCTGCCCACAGGGCTGCGGCCCACAAATCAGCTCTGTGAGAGGAAACTAGCTTCTGCATTCGTGTTCAAGCGTCCAACTACAGTGTCCCTAGGAGCAGGTATTTCCAATCGGTTTTCTAGTTGCCTAATGACATCTGGAACATCTCAGGGTCTTCCGAGGTAGATCTGTACCCCTCACTCGGTATACATCTGACTCCCATCCAGATGTCTCCTTTCCATTAGACCCAAATATCTTCATGAGAAAGTAGACATTGATCGGACTAAATAATAGTCCAATCTGAATTAAATCGGATAAGGCTGAGTTGAGTAATTTACTGTCAAAGCTTGGACTCAGATATTGGTGTTAGCTCTGGGAGAATGTAGGTAGTGGGGCCGAGTGTGGAGAGCGGATCAATAGGCAACAGTTTATACTCGGCACTGGCATTTGCAAATGTTACTAGTAATTATAGCAAAAATAGTTGGATATCACGGAAATCATTCCGAGGGAAATATTGAGGCATTTTCAGTAAATTGTCAGTAGAATATAGCCCCAGAAAGAAGAGATGGGATGGGAACCCGAGCGGCAGGGGGGAGAACATAGAACATAGAACTACAAGCTACAAGCTACCAGGTATCAATATTGAGTAAATGAAGTAGATGGTGTGAATTCTTATATATACACCGCAGAAAATCAGTCCAGGTATAGACATATACACAGGCTCAGAGGTATCATGTACAACTCTATACTCCCAAAGGGAATGCAATCGGTGCTCAAATGAAAATGAAACGGAGTCGAATAAATCGACTCCCCATGTCCGTAGACAATGGATGCAGAAGAAACAAAATCAGCAAAAAGTCGCTTGAATCGCCAAAGGTTTTGAAAAAGGTCGACGTGTCGACGAATTAAATAGAAACGGAGGATGTAAAGTCGGAGGGCGCGTATTCACGTATCGTGTCGGAGAAAGATGAAAAAAAAGGTGTGAAGAAGTTGAAGAGAAGAGAAGAAAAAAAGGTAGAAGTAGCCTTTCCTGGGTAGTCCGTTTACCCTAGCATTACAGCTGCTAGAGCTGTACAGGTTAACCCGATGGCCATCCCGATCCATGGGGTCTGTCCTAAGGAGCCTTCACTGCGCGCTTGGAGAACATTTCTAGTACTGAGCTGACCAATTGTAGAGTCTTCTGATTCTGTGATAGGAAGAAGGTGGTCTCGGGGTGCGTCTTGTATTGATGCGGCATGAGCGCGAAGTGTAAGATCGGGAGAGATGTTGGCGCGTGAATGCGATTCGGCGAGAATAGCCGGCGCGAGAGCGATAAGAAGAATCGCCGGCCTCATTGTGAGAATATGTGTAAATGAACCCTTCTTTCTCTATGAATACTCGTGGAAAGGAAATCGTGGAGGGGTTGAACGCGCGAAACAAGCAACGCCAAGCAGTGCGGGTCGTGGGTTCTCAGGGTTTGAGTTGGCGAGGCAACAGTTTTTTTTTTTTTGTGACGTGTAGGAGCGACCAGGTACAGTGAGTTTCTGGTGTATAAGATTTATTCGCGATGTATTTGGTGGTAGGTGGTTCGCAACAGGTTTAAATCGCACGGAGTTGCGATTTGGTGAAATTGGACCTTTGGAGGCAGTGGGAATTCCTCGGGGGGGCGTTATGAGGAAGAATAGGGGGGCCAAGGGTTGTAGCTTGGCAGATAGGCGTACCGTCAAGAGCCCGAATCAACAGAGCCGCATTCAATTATATATTGAGAAAGCAGCAATTACTTCAGCTTGAGGTAGGTGAATCGCACAAGAGAAGAATGAATTATTTTATTTTTCAATCTCAGGGAAAAAGGGACCCTCAAAGAAATGAAGCCGATCAGAGCGGGTCTCCTTCATTGGACGAGCCACGGGACCAAGTCAGGGACTAACTGATTAGTCATTAAAAGGCGGGTGATAGTGGAGTCTTTAATTTGGAAACAATAAGATATGATTGGTTAATTTAGGTTCCTTTTTACTATCTTTATCGCGCAGGGTTAAAAATTGGTTAAATTTTGTTAAGTCAATTCGCTTCTAATCCATGGTGTGACCCTCCCCCAGCCGCAATATGGCCAGACCTAGACAATAAACTTGAAAAAGCTATGTCTTTACGGTGCTCCCTACTCCGATGACAGAATTTACTAAATAACTTATCTCACCGTCGGCCCAAAATCCTGACCCCCCCCCCCCTGCCCCCTTTCACACTCTTTAACTCCTCTCTACGGAGTAAACCCAGTTCAGTTTCAAGTCCCTGACCCACCTCTTTTTCCGATCGTCATAAAAGAAATGTTATTGTGGGTCACTAAAACGGCCAGTCAAGTCAATCAAGGAACCGTGCTGTGATGCAAGGAAAACCCAAAACAGGTCCTGTCTCCAATCATTGGCCTTGTGTCCCCGCTGCGCCCTGCTCTCCTGCAGGGAACCTTTTTTATTTTGTGTGATGATGCACTTCTAAAAATATGGAACAGAGTAGAGGGCCAGTTGTCTCAAATGTTGTTGTTCCTACCCCTCACAGTCGTCACCCAAATAAACAGCTACCAGCCACCGTGTATGAACTATACCCTTGTACGGAGTACAGGGGCAATAACTGGGATGGGTTTGGATGATCAACAACCTCGTAGTGGCAAACCCACGCTAAAAAAAACACACTAGTCACTAGAAGCGGTTTTGCCCGCTCACTTCAAATCTTGCCATGTGCAATGTGTATATCATGATTTTGAATGGAATATCCTGCTTGTGTATATACATTGCATCATGCAATCTTGGAAATAATTCCTGTGGCTTATTTTTTAAGCTTCATTTTTCTAGCCGTCAACTGGTCAATGTTCTTTGTTTATATGGATTCCAGCTTGGAGGGTCTCCAGGGCTGATAAGCTCACTTTACTGGCCCGTGTGATAGTCAATGTCCGAGTAAAATACATCAATACTAGTAGCACCGAAGATCAACCACTTGACTTTGCCGATGAACGCCCAAGTACTTTATACTATTTCAACTAAGGGAAACCGAGCCCTTGGGCATTTACCTCCTCACATGTATATGCCTTCAGCTGCTCTATCAAGCCTTCTGGTCCGCTGAGTAGTAACAGCCACCAAGGGTCATATGCATATACCGCCAGCATTTCAAATGTTTATTCCTGACTTCAAAATCAATCATCATCGCAGTGATCCCAAGAGTTTCCAGATATATGGGCATGTTTGATGTTCATATATCGTCACAGAAGAGTATGAATGGTTCATCTTCAAATATTCCTCGGTGTAGTACTTTTCCAAGGTTTGGACCTTGAACATGGAATTAGTCTCCCAGGGTCGTCAAAGCAGGCTTTGAGGGTATCTTTTGCGGGTTCATCTGAGGAAGCAGATTGGTGAGTACTGTAAGATGTACAAACTATGTATGCCGTACCAATAACGGCCTAGTTGAGCTTGAGTTTGAACTCAATGCTCCAATATCCTCAATACTTAATGCAAACCCTTGAAAGAAATGTTGTGCACTCTCGTATCGTCTCACTTTTCAGATTGCTTCTTACCTATATTTGGGCTGGTACCCCGCGATCAGATACCTGGGCGTTTACCATCATGCAGTAGGCCCTGGCGGGAAGCGAGCCACGTACGACAGCATAAACAAACATCTTGGCAGGTGACCTAGTCGTGCGGCTGCAGGGTCCATGTATACATGAATCAGTTGACCTGCTTAGATTTACATTTGAGATTTCATATCTCGTTTTTTTTGGATGCTGAACTAAACGCGCCAATCTACGTGGTCAACTACACCACCAACGATACGTGCACATGCGTACAGGCGACAACTTTTCTGAAACGGTGTGTTTCACAGGAAGTTGTCAGATGTTTAACTGCAGGGAATTTCTAATCGGGCTATTTACGTGTACCCATGAACCTATAAAGTCCAGTCCATGTGTAGATCCTTTGTATTTACAGGGTACATATTCCTCCGATATTTTTGCGATGAATTCGGGTGGGGTTGCGATAAAGACTTGGCCATGACATAGGGGGGCGTTTCTTAGTAGACAGCTGCGGAGTTGAGAGAGTCTTATATGGAGCAGAAATGTAGATCTTTGTAAAAGCACAATGATTCTGCGTCATGGGAACTTCGAGTTGAAATCTTCGAGAGTATTTCAGGTTTTTTCTTTGTTTACTTGGCTATCGGGATGCCGTCTGCCGTCGGATTTACCCGGGCCGTTTACCAGTGCCGACTATCTTAATTTAAGCGAACTCCATTATCAATCCATGGATAGAATCAGGATGAGATATTGTACATGAAGATACTGGAGGTTCAAACTTTTAGTTAAATGGGTATAATTTTACTGGGAGATTCATCCCATTCCTAGAAGAATAAACTTCAAGTTTGTCATCCCAGGCTCAGACTAAAGTACAAATGTGCAGCAAACTTGAAGGTGTGAATAATTGGGTTTAGAAGAGATGTACATATATATATTTACTATTACGGACTAGTGGAATACTCCGGGCGCATTATGACCAACGTTGAAACCCTGGAAAAAGAACTCGAAGAGTGTCCCTGAAACTTTAAGATTAAAATGAGCCCTGGAGACTTAGCAGTTGGCTCCGAGTCTTTATGGTCCAGAAAATCACTTCAAAAATATAACGCAGAGACAATGATAGGTACTACCTAGGTATTGCAAAAATCAAGTTGGCTTCAAGTTTGACAAAAAAATCAAAAAGAATGCCCTCATCCAGACTCGAACTGGAGGCCTGCGGATATCGATCCTGTTACCAGGAACTTCATATGTAAGATATGAGACCGCCGTCATAACCACCTAGACCATAAGGGCAGAAGATGAAGCGGTCGGCCTTTCAATGAGATATAGCCAGAGGACACATAAGATGAATTGGGATATACCGGACTTGAACTTGATTTCAGGGCCATAACTAGAATTATTTCCAATTCTGTGAGGGGTCTATCATTGTAGTCTGTTGTGGGGTTGCATATCATCTGCTCTATTGCTTTTAAGGCTAGTCTTCAAATGTTAGCCGTAGTAACCGCATTCAAATGTTATATTTTTCTATGCATGATAATTTGACATTGAAGAGAGTACTGTAGCTACTATAGAAACCTATCTCTCAAATGCCTTGTAGGACTTGATCTACCGGTGGTTAATGAATGTAATGAAAATTCTTTTCTAGAAGAGTTGAAGATGTATCACATAAGTAAACAACTTTCTTCGAAAATGTGAAGTACTCCAAAATGGGATGAAAATTTGAAGTTTTTGTCTGGAATGCCCACTCCATCACTATGCTCTAACCAACAGCACATGAATCATAAAGCCAAAAATTTGAGAGTCTTTCACTAATCATCCGAATTGGTGTAGTGGCTAACATCGTCGTCTCTCACACGACAGCCGGGGGTTCGATTCCCCCATTCGGAGTTTCTTTTTGCGTTTTGATTTTTGGCTCTTGATATTTTTTTGGTGTTGTGGACCCGAACCGAAGTTGAGGTTTTTCTGTGCCGATTGCCGATGCTAACCCGCCGACGTATGCCGAGCCGATGGCCAGCTCGGTAATGGCATCGGGTTCCAAGCAAGTGCTGTGATATTAGTATTTGAGGAATTGATTGATTTCTTCACCTATATGATATATCACATGGGTATTGGATCTGTGATCAGTAGTCGGACTACATAGACTTGGCGCCTAGAATAGCATCCAAGTTCCTGCATGTCACGATCGAAGTAATGCATAGTATATTCAAGTTCCAAGCACTTGAGGTTAAAGTTGATATTGGTATATTAGGGACTCAAATCTTCAAGGTCATTTGACATCATGAGATACACCATGGAATCCCTGGGTCCACTTGAAGGTTTACACCTGGGCAAAATTGAATCAAAGAGAAGCAACCCTCTTTACCTCATTCGCAACAACTTCCTTCAAAGTCGCAACAGGTGGCTCCCCAATAATGCCATTAGCTCGCTCAGCATAGAGAGTACCACCCTCCGTCCAGATTCTCCGCAGTGTAACAGCAGTCGCAGGTCCAAGGCCATCATCCCACGCCTTCTTCTCCACCTCGCGCAAGCGCTCCAGCGGTGTGTACGAGACATCTGTCCAAGGTGCCCCGGTAGTCTGGCGCTCGAATTCAGCTTGAATTTCTGCGGGAGTGGTACTGAAGGAGTTGACGCAGAGAGGACGGTTTAGTGTTTCCGGAGAAGCAGTGAGTAGTGTTGACAGGACGAGTGTTCCGACACTAAGAGAGTTGGTACGTTAGCTCTGACTCATGATATTTGCACATATCAAACTCAACCTTGATCTAGAGATGAAATCAAAACTTACTCTTTCATAGTCGTCAAGCTAACTTTATCCTCGCCCTTTGCGCCCAGCAAAACGGACTTCCGAGCCTTAACATTCCAACCACCAGCTTCTTCAAGTCCAGGCGCGAAATGAAGGTACATCTCCGCAAATGGACCCGTAACGACGTAGGCGTAGTCCAGATCTTCGCGCGAGATCTCATTCTCAAGCACAGCGCGCACCTTGAGTTTCAGTTGATGGGGCTTTTCGCTTGCAGAAGCTGGACCGTAGGCAATGTCTGTGCCGTATTCAGAGGGGAGGAAGAGCTTGACGTCTTTGCTGGCAGCTGCAAGGCGGATGAGGGGTATTTGTTGGGCGAGGGTTGTGCGGCCGAGGGCTGAAATTACAGTGTCGATTCCTTAAATCGGTCCAATGTTAGTTTTAATTCTCCATCCCATTCGCTTAGGATGATATGTAGAAGCAAATTTGATCGAGTTGGGGAATCGTATTGACGACCAGGAATAGTACATACCTGTATACGCAGCCTTAACAGCTTCCTCATCTTCAACATTGCCCACAATGATCTCAACATTCTGTTTCTTCAGCTCATCCAATAGTGATGTCTTAGTTTCAACTGTACGGGCTGAGGTAAAGATAGCAATACGATCGAACTGTGAGCGTTTGGAGAGGATGGCATCGAGGATGTATGAGCCAATGGTGCCAGTAGCACCGAAGAGGAGCAAGTTCTTAGGAGCCTGAGCCATAATTGATTTCTCAGCAGGTTAATCAATTGTAAATTCCAGTTCAAACCAGGACAAAATATATGCTAAATGTAAAATTAGAAAGGTGGCTATTGATCTCATAAAGCTCCTCGGATATGAATAGTGTGGGGTCGCGGGGCTTGCTTATCAATCGTGAAATTGGGGTTGAATTTATCCGGAGCAAGTTTACTAGGACTGAAACCGAATCCTATTTGATGAAATGAAAGGAATTGGCTAGAATTTAGGATCGTGATATATGAGCATGTAATGAATGATGAATTATTATTGGATTAGAGATGAGAATGGTGTCAACCATGTGGAATGTCTTCCGGTGGAAGATATGGGACGAGTGGGATCCGTCGGATGTACATTACTCCCGAGGTCAGTATAAGCATAAAATGAAAACTTGAACCTATGAGATCTATGTATACTACTAGTACACTGAATTATTTTATATTATATTCTAAGGTTCAACTTGAACGTTGAAAATCAGGGACCGAGTTCTCTTTTAACTCTGGATTGGCATCAATTTTAAGCCCGACCCGGGCCTTTCAGCCCATGCTTAGTGATAAACTTGCATCAAAATTTACAGTACTTCCAAGGTCCTGATATCTAACCCAGAAGCTTGGAATGTTTTTCGTGGAATGTTTGCAAGTCACAGCCATCCATAGACTGGCAATATCAAGCCTTGGTCGCCGTTCACGTCATATCCAGCTCTGGAGATAATGTAAGTTTGAAATCTCCAGTTTTGGCAATAATTGTTCTATTGCATCTAGTATCGGTTGGGCTTTACTTGTAAGATAAATGAAGGAAGCTTTTAGCACAATAGATCTGTTTTTGTTTGTAATTTTCAATATTCATTTCATCTTAAATAGGCCTTTACCTCTAATTGACAACCTTGGAAGATCGGAGCTTTACTTACCAGTACCGGATACTCAGATAAAATCTTCAAGTTGATTACACCAAAATCTTTATCGTTTCTCAAGACCAAGGTGATGAATTTCTAGAGTGCGCTGACCTCCACGGCAGTTGTACCAACCACACACCCCGCATGGTCCCAGCGTCGTGCGACATTATCTGAACTGAGCGAGCTGGGATTGGATTCCTCATTCCCATGCGACTCAACATGGGGCCGTGCGCTGGCTGGCTCCGCCAACTAGCGGCTGCAGCTGTCTGGACATCGAACGGGGTACACCATAATCGACAGGACCAGTTAATTATTGGTCCCTTTCCCCGTACAAGGGTCTGCAGCAATGCAATTCCTGTCACTGGGAGCCCCGCCATCCGCCGTCATGCTGACTTGTAAGACATTATCTCCACTTGTGATTCAAGACTTTCGATAACCGTGCTCCCCAGGAATATCATGCCTTGTAGCCTTAAGGATGAATGTACCATCCCCCAACCCGTCCTCATCAGAGTCAAATGTGATGGACACTCCCAGGAGCTCCAGTCCTAATGGCGAATATGTTGCGCTTCGATGGAAGACAGCCCACGCAGAGTGCAAGCGATACCTCAACGAATCCGATCACAAGAGACTTCTAGAATACAACACCTGTGAGGCGCTTCTTCAAAACCTTCAACAACTGCAAAATAATTACGGGACGCAGACCTTATTGTTAAATGGAAAACGTATTGCGACGTCTTTGGATCATTATCGGAATTTCACGCTTGTGTTAGCTGTTGCTTCCCAGCGCAATGCCATAAATGCGGCCTTGTTGTGGGGTGCTGTCAATCTAGCCGTGGAGGTATATGCTTCTCGTGGCATTTTGTTTTCGAATATCGTGGATATGATTGCAGACATGGGTCATGATTTGGAGATGGTAAATTCATATGATTGGGTAGCCGAAGGGGAGCCACAAATGGAGAGAGTGCTTGTCGACATCGTTGTCGATGTTATTTTCTTTTGAGTTCAAACCACGAGATTCCTGCGTCACCATCCAATAGGTAAGTTAACGCCCAGACCTGTCTCAAGTGCATGGTGAATTCGCTCAATAATTCCACTTTGATGAAAGTCAACCTTGCAAATACAGCGTGGCCGGCTGTTTGTACTGATTTTGACGCCACGTTATCTCGCATACGAAAACGTCTAGCTCAGTTGAAAGACAGAGTCGAGGCTTTGAGTATTCAAAAGGCCGCCATGATTGCCAAGCAAGCTTCTGGAACAACTGTCAGTGGTCCGGCGCGTTACGCGTGTAGATATTGGACCACTGCGGCCATATACTCTAGCTCTCACTTGCACGTGGAGATCCTTCCCTCCTCACGCTTCCTTCAATACGTGTTTCTGGCCTTCTTCACTCGTAGACATCCAAATCCAAATCCTCCAACAACAACGACTGCAACGGTTGTTTCAGATGGGTCGCTACCGTGTATTATCATTCCATTCCCTAGGAATACCGCCTTTTGTGGCCGTGAGTTGGAGCTCAAGAGTATCAGAAATGCACTAGACCAGAACCCCAAAGCCCTCGAATACAAGATTCTAGCTCTCATAGGCATGGGAGGAGTTGGAAAGACTCAAATTGCTTTGAACTATGCATTTAGTCGAGCGGATAGTGGAATGAAGGCGTTATTCTGGGTCAGTAGCGAGACTTCCCTGACGGTGGCTGAAAGCTACACAGAGATTGCCATGAGACTGCAATTAGAAGGAGCTAGCACTGATGGTGCACACCTGAAAAGTCGATATCTTGTGAGCAAATGGTTTCAACAAACCAGTGAGTTTTCGAGCCTCACTCCGACTTGAGGATACTTGGCTAAATTTTTTTGAATCCAGAGGTTGAATGGCTAGTAATTTTCGATAATGTTGAAGACTTAGCTGTCTTGGATGGTTACTGGCCAACCTCTTCGAGAGGTTCAGTACTTATTACATCCCGCCATGAGAACGTAGCTTTGGAGGTCAATGCTGAAGCCTTGAAGATATCCCCATTCTCAGCAGAGCAGGGCTCAACACTTATACTCAAGACTCTTCACAGGAACCCTTACTCCGAAGATGAAAAGAAAGGTTCTGAAGCGCTCTCAACAGTGCTACGTGGTCTTGCATTGGCAATCACTGTTGCTACCATGCAGATTCGATTGAAGAGGATGCCGATCCAAAAATTTGTTCAGTCGTAAATTGAAAAGCGACCGTCATTACAAAGCTCTTCGAAGATCAAGAATATCTTTTACAAACATTCACTTGATACGGTGTGGAAGACGGCCTTTAGTAGCATGGATTCAAACGCCGCGTTCATTTTTGACACAGTTTGCTTTTGCGCACCGGACAATGTGCCAATGAGCATTTTTGAGCATCCTGTTCCTGGTCTTCAACATGAAGATGATGCCAGAAACAGTTATGAGTAGTAAGTTTTCAAGATTTTGTGTGCTTTCAAAGAACATCACTTTCTACCTAATGTTTCGCCTATCATCGTGTTCCGGATTAAAAAAACAACTGACATAAGACAGCCCCGAAGATGGACTTGATTCATTGCTCCTGGCCTCTTTGGTTACTCAGGATGAGCTAGGAGACATACCAATCCACCGAGTTCTTCAAGAAGAATATCGAAAATGGTTGGGTCCAGAGCGCCAGTTGGTTAGTTTCAAAAAGGCAGCCAAATTACTTTTGGGTGTATTTCCGCACCAAAAAGATGGCCGATCAATGCATCTCGTATGGTCTATTAGTCGAAAATACATCATTCATGTCGTTTCCCTAGCAGATCTCTTCAAAAGAAATTCCTACCAAAGCCTCCCTGCGGAGCAGTTCTGTGACTTTGTTGAGCTTTGCTCATATGCAGCATAATAAGATCCTTAGAGCAAGACCCAAGGGCTCAAATAATGTTTCTCAGGTACCTCTTCGAAATTTCCTCCTATAAACAATGTACCGAGTTTGCCGTCACTGCCATCGAAGCATGTGGATCCAATGAGACTTTTTTACTGGCACATCTATCCCAGACTGCGGGATATGCCGAGCGCGAACGAGGACATCCCAAAGAAGCCGAAGTCTATCTCGAGAGAGCAAAGACCATACGCGAGGGACTTCTACCTCCAAACCACCCGGAGATTGCAAACATCTACTCCTCTCTTGCCGGAGTCTATATCTCGAGTGGTAAATACGATAAAGGGCTAGAGCTTTTCCAGGAAGCTGTTAAAATTGACCTAACAACCCCATACGAGGAACAAAAATCGATAATCTTCCGAAGATATCTGAACATGTCTACTGCAGAGCGTCTGAAAGGGAACCTCGAAGCTGCGTTGGAATATGTTGAGCTTGCCACGCCATACATTCTTGACTCTTTTGGAGCCGAAACTCATTTTGACGTCACGTATGTACAGCCCTTCGGTTTTCTCCAGACAAACTGACGAAAATACAGGCAAATATGTTACAGAGGCAACATCGCATACGACATGAATGATCTTCCTCAAGCTCAGAACTACTATGAGCACGCATGTCGCGGCCATGTCAAGGAACAGGAGTTCCACCCCGCGCATATCTGTGCAAATTACAAATTGTCATGCACTGAAATCAAGCTTGGGAGACTCCGTCGTGCAATGTGAGTTTCCCCTTATTTCTTAACTTGTTATATTTTTTTAGCCAAATTATTTATAATTCCGAAATAGCGACCGGCTGCGATACAAACACTATGCGAAGTGTGCGAAGCCTCAAAAGACGATAAAGGAGATACTGCTCGGAACAAAAGAAAATTAGCAGAGGCGCTGATGATCCTCGATGAGAAAGATGCTGAAGCTGCAGTGTTAAAGGAGGAAGCTGAGAGTATTAGAGCAGAGCTTCAAGGGGGCCGAGTTTTCGAATTTGCCGGATAACGACCACAGCTACAGTCTACTCGTTGCTCACTATTTTCGATAAGTATTTTGAAGACACAGCCCTGCAGGGAAGATAGTGTTAAATCACTTAATGATGACACAGAGGGTACATCCATGAGAGGAAGAGAGAAGACAGCACAGCCTTGGAGGCAAAAAGATTGGCGGCTCGAAATAGAATGGAAGCTTAGGGACAGAATGAAATTTTTCTATAATCTGAAATTTTACTTAACTATAAGAAACCCTGGGACACTCTTTCATATGCTCTCAGTAGCTGGCTAATAGCCACGTGGGAATGAGAAATTCAACATTGACGTTGTTACTTGCTCTTAGTAGAGTGAGACCACTGTTCTGAGTGTATGGAGAGTCAGAACTACTTCGCCCTCACTTAAGAGGCTCGTGCGCCTCTCTCATCTTTCAACCCACACAAAAAGAAATACCCGGGTTATTTCAGTTCGTGCCTGGGCGCGAAGCTATTGGCTCTCGCTAAGAGTCCAGCTTTGCCAGGGCGTTACCCTACATAGTACGCGCCAATCATAAATAACAAGGAAGGCAACTAGTGAGGGCTGAGCTTGGCATGATGAGCACTTGAGAGAGTTGTCTGAGGTCTAGCAAAACATTTTGGAGGCACTTGGGGCTGCTCTTTGCGCTGAATTAGGGTGGGGGCTGAGGCAGCGGCGTTATATTTGAAGGTAGGTAATAATGACCAATCCTTAATCACAGCCTCACCAGTTGAATTTTCTCATCAATCTATTCAAGATCTCCTGAGGTCTCTATCTTACTTGAGACTTCAAGTTCTTTATATCTCGGAGCCGTTACCCCAACTTGAAGCGTCCATGAATACCGATACTATACAGAATAAGCTTGCGGTATCGTCTTTAAACAGGAGCATTTTCCGACAACGTCACTTTGGTTCTGTTGATAAAGAAGTTCTGGTAGGAAGTGAGTATGAAAAGATCCCAAGATTTGGGCCATAGTGCTTAAATTTCTGTATAGCAGAACCTGCGACCGAATCTGACAGCCATCCAAACATACCTCGAGTGCCTCACTGGTCGACCCCATTTAAGCGGCTCTTCGGAGTTTTCCAACGCCATCGCATATGTTGCATACATTAAAGAGACCATTAAATGGATCTCCGCATCACTTTTTGCACCCATTAAGGGCTGCTCTCTTCCACCAAACTCATTCGCAACCGATAAACAAATTTTCAAGGCTCTAACAGAGCTAGCAGCAGGGATGAAAGAGAACTCGCAATGGAGTGTTAACTATGGGATTAATTCTTTAGCCGCAGCAGATGTATTCCGCATAGATCTAAGCGCAGAAGATATAGTATGCGCGGCACATATTGTCTTTGTTATGAGTGGGTGGATTACAATGCTCTTCACCCCTCGAATCCCCACCTCAGGCGCTCAGGATGGTTTACAGGTTGATTTTACTGGCACACGAAAATTTCTCACATCATCTCAGCCCATGGAAAAAGCCGAGAGACCTTTGGTCGAAGTACTCAAGGGGGTTGGGGAGATTTTGCCAGTGTGTGGACAAGAGACTTCCACGTTCGATGCAGGTGTGGTTGATGGTGATACGCTGGAGGTGGCAAATCTCAACCTGGCAACATTGATAAATATTGGACAAATAAACATCATATGGGTAAAGTCAGTCAGCTCGCACTTGGAGTTCGGCAGCCTTCATCGACGGCTGTCTTTATTCTGCATGCCTTCATTCTGCCTGTTGAATCTGGACAACAACACACCATGCGAAAGGTCAGAAATACCCCAACCCGCTTTCTCTCGAACAAAACGAGCTGACGGAACTTTAATGAGTATAGTATTCTAAATGACTTCTACGATGACACAGTACTCACCTCGAGAGTCCTTAGCTCGGGACATCCTTTGTTCAAAGAAATACTTCTCTCTTACAGACTTATCTTTGCGGACGACTCCCAAGCTCGCTCTATCTTCCACAAAAAAAGAAAAAGAGCATGCGAGAATTGCACGTGGAACAGCTACAGAACCCTATCTAGACAAGCTCTGCGGAGAGAAACCTCCATACAAATCTTACCTTCCTACATTCGGGTCGCCTCTTACTGTCTCCTATTCCAAGAGCCGAGATTTCCCATACCTCGCAAGCAGACTCTCAGATCTGCAGTCATACATCCGGGCTCAGCAACCTAACAGATGAACGGCTTTATGGTATGACAGACAGATTTTGCTGAGCTGGTATACATTTTGGACTGTAGTGGTCTTTGGAGTGGTCGGCATTTCTTGCTCGATTATACAGGCTGCCTTGGGAGTGATACAAACGGTGATTGCATGGAAGACATATCAGGCGCAACTTGTCTCGATACAAAGGTCCTGATATCTCTTCTACCGTTGAAACTAAAGTGCAACGCATATTACAACAGTGACGGGACGTTGGATTCCAAGGTTACTACTACTCGCCATGCTCTTGATTCTGTCATTTGATATAATATTAACTCTGGACTGGTTTAGCCGATAAAGCCAGACATTTTGTATAAATATTTGGCACTGTTTCTTACTACTTGAACTCATAACTCGAAATCCAGCGACCATGTCCTACTAGTGTCTACCATGGAATTTCCGAGCACGAAACTGACTCGGATCCTTTTTCTTTATAAATTTCAAATGTTATAAAAATTTGAGATCTTAAGTAAGATTCAATTAGTTTCATTCACCATGGAATTATTATTTTAAATTATCAATTAATAAAAAGGTATGTGACGCAATTTTCAAAAGTAATTATAAAGGAATAAAAGAATTGGATTATTGGAAAAAAAATAAAGATTCAAGTTATAGTCATTTATGATATAATTCCATAGATAAAAGAATATATTATATTAAAACAATGAACTATAGGGTTGCCAAGCATGAAGATTAAAGTAACCTCCCTGCCATTTGACGTGTCCATAGTTTTCGATCAAATCGCTGTTCCAACAAAGCCTGGGCATCACCAGCATATTTAAATGTCTTCCCTGAAACTTCCACCGGCTCTTCCTCGTCATCGAAGAAAATCAAGCAATCTGCTTCTTCGTATGCATTGGTCTCATAGTATGCCAATTTCTCAGCCTCTTCTTCGGAATTCACAATATACGCATACCCGGGAACTTCCTGGCCAGATTCACCATCAATCAAAGCAGGATAATCGCCCCATTTTGCGAGCGCATATCCAATTAATTTCGCTTTCCGCATTTTAGGTTCATCCGATATGTCGATGATTCTTTTGAGGGTTTTGGGTGCAGTCAAAGTTCCGTAGAAAAAGTAGTACACTGGGTACTTTGGTGGGGGCACATATTGCTCCCCTTGAATATTCGTCAGGTAGTCAGCTGGCGCAGAGCGAAGCATCACTTGGAATGGGGGTCAAACCCTCATCTTGCACCCAAGAATCTGGAGTTCCATGTGCTGGGTTTTGTTACGACATCTTGAGGTACAGAGCTGGAGAAGATGATATCTGACAAGAGGTGGGGAATTTTGAGGGGCGGGAAAGGGGGGCACGTAGAGGTAAGTCAGAACCTACCAGTCTTGGTCTCGAATTCTGGAAAAAAAAGCAGCGCTAAGTCTTTAAGTGTGCCTTTCCTCCAAGGCTGCTCCGATTTTAGAGCTCCCGATGACTGGCGCAAATCAAATAATACATTCTCCACTAGTCACCTAAGAGTCAAGAGTCAAGACACATCCAAGACATCCATGCATCTAGCCGCTTTTCACCTAAACCCCCCTTTTAGCGCCCAGTCAAAATCCCCCAGGCTGGAATTCCTGTCTCTCTGGCTCTCATAAATACCAGTCCCGTCCCTTTCTCCGTGCTGAACTCATATAAATGCCCCAACGAAGATAATCATTACGAGAATTTACGACTAGCCATCGGTGTCCACATCTCTTCATCATACTGAGTAGTCAGTGTACCTTCAGCATTCATAATGAGATTCCGTGATCTCAAGCTATTCCACCCAAGTAAAAATAAAAAGGATAAAAAAGACAAGCAACAAGATGAGCCAGGTAGCGACTCTGTCCGCCGATCACATTACGCGGAAGACAGATCCACGAAATATCCGCCGATCGAAGTTGTTAAATTTGACTCAGACCTTCATTCAAACACGACCTCTGCCTTTGCTGACCCGTCCGTACTGGCAAAGATCAGAGCCGACCAGAGCAAAGAAACCTCCGAACAAATCATTCTGGCCCCAAGCCCTACAAGTTGTCCAAATGACCTGTGGGAAGAGGCATTTCAAAGCCTTTCACCAGAGGAGCAACAATATCTCAACGCCATAATCGAACACGCGGGTGAAAGGGCCGATCCAAAAATAAAACACATGAAGTTTCCACATAAGGGGGCTGAGGCTCTCATTGCAATTGCCGAGGAAAAGCAAGATGAATTGAAAAGCCGACGCTGGAAATTCAACGTCGACGGCCATGAAATCGAGCCAAGGACCTACACAGAACGCATAATTTCTTGTTTGAGTACTGCTGGTGATATCGGTGTCCAGCTTTTACCTCAACCTGCAAGCATTGTCTGGCCGGTAGTCAAGGGTCTTATGCAGGTGTGTTTCACTTAATTCCGATAAAAGCTATATTTACTGACATCAAGTTCATCTAGGTTCCTGTTCATGCAAATCAGGAAATTGGCGCCGCACTCATGACTGCAGAGATGGTCGTTCGATACATTAGCTGTGGCCATTTATACGAAGAGATTTATCTCGAAAAGATCGAAGGCGAACTGAGGGAGAACCTGAAGTCAGCTCTAGTGAAGCTTTATGCGGCATCGTTGAGACTCTTGAGTTGTGCGCTGAAGCAACTGAAAACTCCTACTGCCAAGATATTGATCCTCGCCTTTTTGGACCCTGAAAAAACCCAAGATCAGGTCTCAAGTTTGGAGAATTCCTACTCTGATCTCATCAAGATTACTCAGATTTGCCAAGCCCAACTCAACATCGACATCGACAACCGAATCATCAATTTCCTAGACAAGTTTAACGATATTGACAGTTTTCTCCAGAAAAACTTCAGCAACCTTTTTGAGCAATTAGACGAAGAGACGTTGTCGAAAATCCTCGATTGGATCTCACCCATCAAGGAATCCGATCAGCATCATAAGTTCAGAAAGGGCCGGACGCGTGATACTTGTGAGTGGATCTTGAAAAAGCAGGAATTCCAAGATTGGGAACAGAGCATGTCACCAGCACTGATATGGCTTCAAGGAACCAGTAAGTTTTCTTTTAGAATTTTCCTGTAAGCCTGCGCAAGTACTGAGATTTTTTAATTAAAGTGGGCACTGGAAAGACCGTCTTGACCTCCAGGGTCATTGATCATCTCATTGATAAGTCACAACGTCCCCAAGACAGAGTAGTATATTACTACTGTCGGCGTGTCAATGAATATGAAGACCCGGAAAATGTTATCCGCAGTCTCTTTCGTCAACTGGCAAAGCCTACTCCGACCTCGAACCGGATCCGCAGGGACCTCCAAGCTATGTTCAAGCAGATGCGAGACCACACATCCCAGTTACCCATTGAAGACTGCAGAGAGCAGCTTCTCAAGTCATTAGACCAATATGGCCAAATCACCTTTGTCATTGATGGCCTTGACGAATGCAAAAAAGAGACGATAAATGCATTGTTAGATTGCATCGATGATCTTTTGGTCAACAAAGAACATCCTACAAGAATATTTCTTTCAAGTCGTCCAGATTGGGATACCAAGAGCCGTTTCAACTGCTGGCCCTCTATAAAAACCGACACTTCCGATAGCGGTGTCCACAAAGACATCGAAAAGTTCATTGACGAGGAACTACTCAAATTCGCTTGCAGCACAAGGAGTGAATATGAAAAATATGAGCGACGCATAAAGGATAGGCTTTTGGAAAAGAGCAACGGCATGTAAGTTTATCTGCATGATACTCATGAGCCCATGAAGAAGAATTTAACCAAATCGTGGTAGGTTTCAATGGGTGTTCCTACAAACAGCGCGTCTCAAGCAGCGTCTACTCCCAGAGGATGTCCTCCAGGGCATTGAAGAAATGCCAATCGAACTTCCCAAGGCATATGAAAATATCTATCATGTGATTTCTGAAGGAGAGTCCCAAAAGGCGCTGGTTGATCGCGCGTTCATCTGGATCATGTGTTCAAGTGCACCTTTGACGAGTGGAATACTTCTAGCAGGTGTATGCCTTAGTGGCGACCGTGATACGGCACACAGCAGAATCTCCGAGGATGATATGCTCAATTTTGGGCAAAATTTGATTGTCTTGGATGAATCTCAAGGTCTCTGGAGATTCTCACATGCCTCTGTTGCAGAATTTGTTGAAGAGAAGAAAGATCTTTGGAGCTCACAGGAGGCCCACTCGTATGCCGGGAAAGTTTGCCTACGTTATCTCATGGTTGCGTATGGAGAGCCTTTTGGTGATAAAGACATACATTCCTGCAGGACATCCAAATTTATCACACCCAAAATAATTTCGATTTCGGGTGAAAATGAGGATGTCTTTCCTGCTGATGATGAATTCCTGCATTATTGTCGCCACCATTGGGTATTTCATGTCCAACGAAAATGGATACCGCAGAGATTAGAGGTGCCGGACCCTTTACTGGAACTCTTAAATGCCTTTTTTAGTTCCAAAGCACGGAGTGAATCGACCTATCAAAGGTGGCTTAAGCACATCAAAATGGATTTGAAAGGGAAATTGTCTTACTGGCACGATTCGACTTCCATGTTTTACTATTCAAGTTCCAACTTGAATAAGATGGACATCAGAGATCTATATCCGTCGAATTTTCCTGTTCTTGCCATTTGTCGCTTTGGTCTCGATGCTATATTTGCAGAATGGTGGGACAAAGGCCAAATATTACCCTCGCACACAAATGAAAAGGGAGAAAGCCTACTAGAGCTCGCTTGCAAGGTCAGATCTTCTTTGATTTGCAAGAGGCTTGTAGAGAATTGCACTCCTGATTACTACCATGGCCGCGCTGGAGACGCTCTCAAGATTGTAGCGGCAGATGGCTCTTGCGACATAGTTGATATTCTTTTGAAGGATACAACCTCTCTTGAACTAGCTCAATCAGATCATGGAAATGCACTTAAAGCTGCAGCATCAAAAGGCAAGATTGAAGTGGTCAAGGCTCTTTTGGGAGACAAAGCCCCTTTTGGTCTGTCCGAATATTATGAAAATGCCCTCGCAGCTGCAGCATCAAATGGCAAGCTTGAGGTTGTTCAATTTCTGGTTGACAAGGGAGCTTTAGTTGATCTACAACTTGAGACTGATTATGAAAGTGTCCTCGCAGCTGCGGCATCATGGGGTGAGCTTGAGGTTGCCCAATTTCTGATTGATAAGGGAGCATCTGTTGATCTGCCCCTCCAAGGACATTATGGAAGTGCTCTTGCAGCTGCGGCATCAAGAGGTAAGCTTGAGCTTGTCCAATTTCTGGTTGACAAGGGAGCTTCCGTTAATCTACCCCTCCAAGGACTTTATGGAAGTGCTCTCGCAGCTGCAGCATCAAGTGGTGAGCTTGCGGTTACCCAATTTCTAGTTGAAAAGGGAGCTTCTATTGATCTGCCCCTTCAGAATACACATTATGGAAGTGCTCTCGCAGCTGCAGCATCAAGTGGTGAGCTTGCGGTTACCCAATTTCTAGTTGAAAAGGGAGCTTCTATCGATCTACCCCTCCAAGGACTTTATGGAAGTGCTCTCGCAGCTGCAACATCAAGTGGTGAGCTTGCGGTTACCCAATTTCTAGTTGATAAGGGAGCTTCTATTGATCTGCCCCTTCAGACTGGATATTATGGAAGTGCTCTCGCAGCTGCGGCATCAAGTGGTAAGCTTGAGCTTGTCCAATTTCTGGTTGGCAAGGGAGCTTCTGTTAATCTGCCCCTTCAGACTGGACATTATGGAAGTGCTCTTGCAGCTGCAGCATCAAGTAGTGAGCTTGCGGTTACCCAATTTCTAGTTGAAAAGGGAGCTTCCATTGATATACCCCTCCAAGGACGTTATGGAAGTGCTCTCGCAGCTGCGGCATCAAGTGGTAAGCTTGAGCTCATCCAATTTCTGGTTGATAAGGGAGCTTTTGTTAATCTACCCCTCCAAGGGGAGTACATAAATGCTCTCGCCGCTGCGGCATGCAACGGTAGATTTGAGGCTTTCCAATTCCTTGTTGATAAGGCAGCTTCTGCCAATCTGCCCCTTAAGACTGGAAATGACGGAAGTGCTCTCACTACAGCTTCAGATGAAGGAAAGACAAAAGGTGTCGAAGCTTTGTTTGCTGCCAAGGATATTCCACATTCATCTCTGGAACATAACGGGCTTGGCCTTGGGCTAGAGTCTTCGGAGGATGAGATATTCGAAGGATTGGAAGCTCCTATGTCAATCAGTCATGAATACTCAGGAATGTTAGGTAGCATCTACCTACTGTAGAAGGGAGTAGGTACCTAGTAGGTCCCCAGCCCATGGGTACATACCTACATAGGTAGCGAGCGGTGTGATATGTGACCAAGTAGGATGTTACATATATACTGGTATGGATAGTCCAGATGTCGTTCCGTGCATGCTAGCAGAACATCAGACCTCTTTCACTCAAGTGCTTCTCCATCTAGGTACCCTGGATCTCCGAGTCTTTCCTTATCCTATTTAGATTCCCTACTACTAGTACCCCAGTAGTGGATCTCTTCTCTCTACCCTCTCATAGTTCGTAAATATCAATTGATGGGATGGGTTGGTTCCCCACTACACTACCCCAGGCATGTAGCTTTCAGATGACGGGATAAAATGAATGCCTAGGTATGGGTCGTGCTACAGCCACCTCCAGGGCTGGGCAGGTGCCGGGTGCCCAGCCCAGGTACCCAGTGGTGTAAAACAAGTTTAAAACACCCTGAGTGACTACCTCACACTGGCAGTTTAATCTACCACAGTTTCTGCCAGTGTTATAATGATTCCCGAGGTCACTGGCAATATTCAACCTTGGAATATTCCTCAAAGTCATAGTCATACCACTCAAAATGACTTAGAGATTACTGAAAATTTCCACATGATTAGGGAAAGAGGTACAAAAGCCAACCATATAAATAAATATTCCATATATAAATTCAATTATCTTGTCTTCATCTCAATACTATTAGGGTGGCTTGTAGCTCACATGCCTATTTAGGACTAGCGTTGGACGGCAGAATGGCAGATTACCAGAATTACTATTACAATGTTCTGCCACCGCCTTCTAAATTTGGAGGCGCAGTTTACCTGAACTTGGATGTGATTTTAACATGGGTAGAAATGGTGACCGCCACTGGCAGTGCAACCACCTGTCCTGGGCAGGATTATACCTACAGCCTAAGTAAGGCTTCTTGGGCATATAACCTTACCCCGGTAGTACAGTCCTTCATATTAAGTTTAAGATTTTAAACTATCAGCTTAGCTTGGATTTTGAGCAGTCTAAAATAGGGTCAAGGTGATTCAGTTTAGAGTGGGCACATCGAAGCTTGGGATTTCTTAACGCTGTATATACAATCTTGGAAGGTACCTAGATCGCGACTTACGATAGCGAGGTGTGTGAGGTAAAGTACCTTCCAAGGTTGGATGTTAGCCCCTTGGAGGGGAGGTTACCTAGTCCTCCAAGGTTGTCAAAACCGTGTAAGGGCGGTGGCCTAGGCGGTCTGTAATTTATTCCCAAATAGGCATGTGAGCTGTGGCCGTTGTAGGCCACCCTACACGAACCCGGCAGTACTATTCACCGCGTTTCTGTTGGCTCAGGTACCCGTTGTGGTACTGGTGGCTCAGGCTGTAGCACGACCCGATGAAGATCCTTATTGATTCCGGGAAACTTCATGATCCCACTTTGGCATTCTTGCGAATCCCTTGCGTACCGATTCCCTCCCCAGATATTTGCGCTCCAACACCGAGTGCTTCCTATGTACTACATCAAATCCGTTACCCGACCTTTCCAAAGCTCTAAGGCCTTTCCTTTTTCAAAAGACTTTCAATCTTGAACCTCGGCGGACTGCGGAATTGAGGAAAATGCCATCTAGTGAACAATCCAGAAAGTCTCATTCAATTTGAATAGATTTGATAACAAAAATTCCTACTAGGAGGGCTTTGAGGGGGCTATAGCACTCTCTATCGTTTTCAGCAAATTTGAGTTTAGTCGGAGAGTTTGCGATCTACTCCAGATGTCTGGTTGCCTTTTTCGAAACCAACTTCAGGGAATTGGAAATGTCTATAGAGATAAGGCAACTTTACCATCCATAAACCTAACATATCCTACTAGCACTACTAGTAATAGTCACAACTTGAACTTCAATGTTCAGACTTGAATGCTGAAACCCCCTCCTCTATTGGAATTTCCCAAGGGACAGCTACAGGTAGGCCAAATTATTTTTATACACTTTTTAGGGGTCATATACTTTCCTTTAGGATATCTATTACAGCCCGGCCATATAATTCACGTGGAGACTGGATTTATCACGTCTCTGTTACATACCGAGAAAGATTGCCAGTGGACACTAGGTAATTTACTAGTACCATCTGGTGATCTTGAGAGCGATGAGGAAGACGAACTTGCAGCAGATGACGCAACGTGAACGTTGGGAATTATTGGAAACCCTAAAGAAAGAGCTACTCCCATCAATGTCTCTTCCCACAAAATGGAGATACCAGAGAGCTCTCGATCATGGTTCATGATGATCTCTCAAGGCAAAATATTCTCCTGCATAATAGTGGATTCACATGGACTCCATAGGGTAAAGACTATCAAATACCCAAACCTCCGGATCCCCAAAGAAAGCCTCCATATCCCGTTCGAAAAGCGACTAAAGGAAGTGTAAGCGAAAGCCCTAGACTATTGGAATTGAATACCTACATTCAAAGTACTAGAATCCGCAAATGGTGTTTCGATGTCAATAGCATCCAGAACATTCAAGTTATTCGGGAACTTCGATTGTCCAGGGAGTGGATTTTCCTAGTAGCATGAAATATGAGCAACGTCTTCCATACTCAGTATGCCACTGATATTTCAACTCACCCTTTGATCAGGAAGAGAAATAATCTTCTCTTTCGCAAGTTTCATGTCCACTTGCGAAGCCATCACTCGATAATACTGTCTCGACACCCTCTCCACAGCCTGTACACTTTCCATAACTACTTGCTCCGGCGAAAGGGTTAATCGCAACAAGGCACGTCCGGCTGAGATGTACCAGTGATGCGTGTACCCTGTGCCAAGATGCAAGATTCGATCTTCCAGCAGATTTAAACCTTTCTCGATGTATTCTAGGAATGTAGGCGTATTGGAACTAAGAAGTAGGTCATCTGTGATTGTCAACAAGGCAGCCATCAACAACCAGGGAAGAATTCAGTACTTTTGAGACTTATCGAGATATATGAATTTTGACATATGACCAATGCGGCGCGGAAGTAATCGTGGCGAAGGAGTAGGAGCATTGAGTTTTGGCATTCATTAAGTCGTACATATTGATCGAGTATGCTAGCTGCGGCGTCAAAGCAGATCATTCTAGATAGTGCATGTCGAGAACTGCTTTCCGATTGTCGAGCGAAGGGACCATGAAGCATGATTAAGTATTGGCGGAGTTGAATATCCAGTAGTGTTCTCGCTACTAGCGAGAATCCAGGTTTATCCGGAGATGATTGCACGGATCTCCAGGGCGGAAGTTGTTGGAGTTCCTTTGTGATTAGTTCCTCGTGGTGCATGACCTCTTCATATCGTAACGGGGAACTCATATCGTTGACCATTGAGTTCAACTTCACCCGTAGTGAGAAGCTTGTGTTTGAAAAGTAGAGAAATGAGCTTGAGGTGTACTCGACAGAGCCTTGATTCTCTAGTTCCTCCGGCTGAGGTTCGTCAGTTAGATCTTTATCCTCAATATTCTGCACTCCCTTAGTATCAGTGAAGATTCCCGCTGATGTAGAGATCATTCCACGATCAGTCGAAGATTGAAGCTCCAATTCAGTCATAGTAACCCATAACCGACGTCTCATTTCACGATCAAATGCCGAGATCTTCCCTCCTAGAAGGACTGGATCACGGTGGAATCCAGCAGCCATCGCCTCTCTAACCAGTGTACCCGCTTCAGTCCAATGTCGCTTCTTTTTAACTGTGTTCACTTGCTTGGAAAGAACTAGTAAACAACGGATCTGCCAAACAGCCAAGTAAATGTTCTTCTGACTGTGTGACCGAAGCCAGGACTCTGATGCCTCAATCCACATAATTGCGCGCTCTCTTTCTAGTGAACTATCGCCAACATATTGAGTTTGCTTGTTGCGTTGGATGCAACTTGTGCAGGACATTAATAGTAAGACGATGACAACAAAGGCTGATGAGGTTGATTGGTGATCTCGCGAGAACTTGGCATATTCTTCCCAGAAGCTTGGGACATGGATGATGCGATACACAGACTCGAAGGTATCAAAGTAGAGATGCACGAGTTCATCGATAGTTCTGCGCTCAGGAAGAAGGTATGTGAAATCAAGTTGAGGTGTAGACAAAGTGTTAACTTTTTCTACTTTCCACTTTTTATGCCGATTCTTCAAATCATGTTGAACGCCATATAGCGACTTTTGATTTCTGATAGCATCTTTCATGAAAAGACGAAGTTCAGGAAACTAAACCAAATCAATACTTCCACTTGGAGAAGCCTAACAGTTTTAAAGCTGAAATGCTGAAGGTAGAGTCTTACATGTCCGATAAGACTAGCAGGATTACTTCCACCGTAATACTGCGTCCTAAAATTCTCACCTCGAAAGATCACCGTCCGAATAGAATCGTGTGTCCTCCCAGGAAACGGAGGCTCCTCATTATCAGCCTTAACAGCTGGCCGCTGATGCTCATGTTGATATACAGAAGCCGCCCGCGCACTAAGAAGTTGCCAAGTACCTGTTCCCTGATCCGCTTCGAGATTAGATAGTACCCGACTCCCAGCTGGAACAGATCGCTGTCCGTAATTATCATGGGTTGAAATACTTCCAGTGACTTGTGACTGTGGAACGGCAATTGGGGTTCTGGGTTGCGCCGTCGGAGGCTCAGATGGAGCCGATGGACGGGATGCAGGTGGTGGATCATCATAGAAGCAAGAAGTTCCTTGACCTGTCTTTTGACATCGAGTACATGAAGGAAATACACGATCACAGCGTAATTTCCGACGCCGACATTCGTAACATGAGTATATCTTTCTCTTTCGCTTGCTGTTACTTGTTCCCGGATCTCTGAGTGGAGAAGCGGAGTTATGGCGGCGCGTGTTCGGGGATAACATTCTCAACTCGGATTTCTATGCAATGATATGCAGAGAATTGTGTGGAATTGGTTTGAAATGTAACTGCGATGAGATTGGACTTGAGTTTCACGGGTAGTTCTTCGGAGACCGAGATCTCCGAGGATAACTCCGACAAAGCCGAGAGTTTCGTCCGAGATAAAGCCGATTGTATGAGAATGGACATCTGGACGTTCACTTGATATCTTCTGGGATAAATAAGCATTTTCATGGATTGAATATAGATTAGCTTGAATTTCAATGTTAGATGTATTGAAGGTCATAGATTCAAATATTCTTTTAACCAAGCATCATCCAGAACAAAATCCTCTGGTGTACAGTTCCCATCGGGTATGAAATCACAGGTAGCATCAGATGCCATATCGTTGACCGTAACATCCCCCGGTTCCAGCTTTGACAAACACCACGATTTGACTGTAGCGAAGATAGTCGCGGCTCTATCCAGAAAGCCATCATCCCCTTGTGAACCTATCATCGATTTTGCTTCATCTATAATCTTCAATAGCCGGTCCAGTACCTGAAGCACATCGATTTCTTTTCGCACGAATTTCGTATCCCAAGCTTCATTCTCAAAGGTAGAGAGCTTGAATAGAATGAGTATTGTTCGCGCAAGCTGAGTAAAAAATGTGAAGCTCAGTCCAATGCATTCTATGATTGGAATTTCGAAAAAGTTTTCGATCGCGGATTTGGTTGTTTGGAGACACATGTAGAGGTAGCCGAGACTTTGGGGGTTTGTGCCACTTTTATCTTTGAGAGAAATGCCATATATGCTCATGTCAGCATAGTAAAGGGATGAAAGGAGGATTCCTATTCTCCATGAGTTTCAGATCTTGCGCCTCAGAGGGTATTCCGATGATTTATGGTCAAACTTACTGTCTTTGAGCACCATAGGAGATATATTGCATTTGATGATATCAATGCGGTGTCGAAAACTCGTAATATAAAACGATAACGGAAATTTTCCTGTATGTTTCATGTCATCAACTTCCCCAGCTACCCGCTGGAGCCTGATTTGATGCATGAAGATTTCATCATTGATCGACTCGGGACTCTTCGCCAAAGTTTCCAGACACTCATCCATATACGGAGTCCACTGCAGAGGATCAATTTGCTTCAGATAAGAAGATACCACTGAGCTCATCATCCAGCATCCTAGCACAGCTCGCTTTTCTTCGAGAGTATTTTCTTGGGTTTTTGACCATGTCTTTCCCGGAAGCGTATGTGACTCTTGTTGCGGTTTATTGAGACGAAGATCGAAAACCAGTCCAATGGCTAGCTGAGTGAAGCGTGGGATTTTAACGGCGGTTTTATGAAGCAGATTGTCATGGCCCCAAGCTATAAATGTTAGAAGACCTAGAAGTAGATCGATGTTGACTGTTCTTGGATCATTGTTGATGTATACGCGTTGGATCAATTCATTCTTGATTTGCTCTCCCAGTGTAAGCTTTGTACTCGTGGACTGAGATGTTGCAGACAGAATACATTTCGAAAGGAAAGGTCGATGGCATTTGAGCCAATCTGCATCATGAGGAAGATCCATGAATGGGAAGTACTTCAGCATCTTTTCACGGAATTCAACAAGAGATTCCTCGGAGGCGAAACCACAGACTGGGGTCGGTAAAGAAGGGGCAATTGTTGAAAATGACAGGTCTTCATCAGACGATAGTGGAGATAACGATTTCGCATCAGTAGGTAATACCCGACTACGTTCCAGTTGAGAGACAAGTCCATCCAGCCTTCCTTCAAGCTGTGAAATGCGAGAGATTGTGTTGTTCTTCTCTGCAGTATGCGCCCTAATAGCCTTTCCAGGGAGGCACTGCTTTTTTAAGCGCGAGCATCTTTCACAACCACCTCCTGGTCTTAAAACGCATTTGCATTTCGATTTGGAACAGCTCAAACAGGCCTAAGCGGGGCAATACCCATGAGCATTTTGAACGAATGGGGGACGGTTTGACTACCTTTCCATATAGCTGGACTGATCTTGTATTCCGATCTGGTGGCATAGCAGATATCAGGGCTGGTTCAAGACGTTGCTAAGGCAAAAACGTGACAGCATCAGGAGACGGCATCCTGAACGGCGGTTCGGGGTTCGGATGGCCGAACGCCGGTCGGTCTTATAGTGAGTACAACGATCCTTTTGAATCTTCAATATTTAAACTGACAGATGTCATGAACCTCACAGAATAACCTGGAAATAACTCTTTTTGTTTTCCAAGTGCAAGCGTTCCAAGTTTCCTGATTGCCCATTGCCGTGTACCACGTTAGCCATGAAGCTCATAGTGGTTGGAGCTACAGGTTTAGTGGGAAGTGAGATAATCAGACAAAGCTTGGAGATCGACGATATCACAGAAGTTATTGCTTTGGCTCGAAAATTTGTACAAGTCGAGAAGAACAGTCCTTCTTCTAAGTTGACGAACGTGATCGTTCGTGACTATGCCGAGTATCCAGAGGATGTCAAGGCTAAGTTATCTGGCGCAGACGCATGTATTTGGTATTTCCTCTCCAAAATCCTGCTCAATAATCTACTAATTCAACGTTCTCTTAGGACTGTGGCGATAACTCCTTTCCGCGCAAGCAACTTTCCTTTCGCGGAGGTCAAACGTGTATGCCAGGACTGCACTCTCGCTGGATTCAAGGCAATTTACGAAGCTGGACCTAAAATTCCATTTCGGTTTGTATACTTCAGTGCCGAGGGTACTCCTCGGGATCCATCACACAGGCCAATGTTCATGGGGGACTATCAAGTCATGCGTGTGAGTCTTCCTCTTGAATGGTCTATTACAATAAGCTGATTTGGTCTTACCGGGAAAGTCTCATACGGAAAACATGGTGATTGGATTTCCAGGTCAATACCCAGGGACTCAGATCTGCATTGCTCAGCCAGGAGTTGTGATAAACTCAACAACCTGGTCCAGGGCTACTCTGGCCTTCTTGCTTCGTGGAGTTAACTTGTTTACGAGAAAAATTCCAAATGTGGATCGAAGTGAGCTTTCAGCTGCGGTACTACATCAGGCTGTTCATGGGGTTGAGAGAGAGACTTTGTTGAATGCAGACTTGGTTCGTCTCGGACAGCTCGCATTGAAAGCAAGGGGGTATTTATAATTACCGTGAAGAAACCGATCCAATGATTCAGGGACATACTTGATTTAGACATACCATATCTAGAATGCTATCTCCGATATTCAACATTTGAAAGAGCTGAGTGTTCGAAAACAGTTAGGAAGCAACCTTAAAGACTGCCCGCGTGGTTGACCAGCTGGGGCGGAGGCTGTCGAGCAGGGAAAGTAGCTTCCCACGCACTCATAACTTTGATCAGTAGGTGCTCCTGGTGTTTTCCTGTAATTGCTGCCATTCCAAATGGACGACCGTTTAAGTCAAGGTAGGATAGTGGCATCGCACAGATTGGGTATCCTAAAATTATCAAAAAGTCAGCGATATTTTACAATATGACTTTCAACCCCATTTTTCTTACCAGTAGCAGACGCCATTGAAGAGAGATCACTATCAGCTGGGCCGATTATAACATCCACATTTTGAGTCTTGAGTGCTAGATCTACACCTTTCTCGCGGCCCATGTGCCTCAAAAAAGATAGATTGCGCTCGTACTCTTCGGCAGAAGTGGTGTCGTTCTGGGACTTGATAAGAGTATCTTGTCTAGGATGGTCTAAAGATGTGTCAGGCACCTTATTCTCATATGTAAGAAGTATATTGGGAAAGCATACGGGGAGGAAGCTCTAAGTCAGCATGCTTCTCGTTGAAGGCAATGATCTCCGCGAGGGATCTGACATCGCTCTCCTCAAGGTTCTCGAGGTAGGTATTGAGCTGGGGCTTCATATCGGCCTCTGGAAGCAAGATATCAGTATTTTGTGCGTAAACCCGGCTTCAGAGCCTTAAGACATACGAATAATCGTCCATTCACAACTCTCGCCATCGATTTTGAATTCATCGGGAGATATGAGATCGATATTGTTGACAAATTTCTTTGCCTTCTCCTCGATGACTTTGTAAGCCTCTCGGATTTCTCGATTCTGCTATTGTCAGATCTGCCTAAAAATCTCATGCTCCCTGCTCCCAGGGAATATCACGTACAATTTGATCTCGAGCGCCGTAATCTGGCTCGTCATCATCTATTTTCGATTTCCATACGACAGGGTCAAGAGCAGCAACCGAGATGTTGGTCCAAGACCCTGCCAGACTATTTGTAAAGGACTCAGATGCTGGTTCCGTAACAAGAACATCCAGAAGCACAGCTAGATCATAGGTCGACTTCGTCATCGGTCCCGCAGAGTCAAAGTTGCTGGAAATTGGAATGATGCCTTCTCCAGAAACAAGGCCAATCGTTGGCTTAATTGTATACAGTGCGGCACGGTTTGAAGGACTTATAAGGGACCCATCTGTCTCGGTTCCGATGGCTATGGGAGCGTACCCGGCTGAAACACCGACAGCGGAGCCTGTAGATGATCCAGACGGATTCTAAAAGGGATTTGTCAGAATTATGCCGCCAAATATACATTCGATGCGGTGGAAGCTACCCATTGGCCTTCGGGAGTGTCGTCTTGGTCTACTCGCCCGCGAACGTAGGCGGATTCTGTTTGGCCGCGAACTGCAGACCAACCATTCGGCATCTTAGATCCCCTGTCACCAAATTAGATCTTCTGGAAGGATCTGAACATGAGTATATGATCTGTTACCGAGCATTGGCAAATTCCTTGGGATTCATTAGCTCACTGTAAACCGAGGTAATCATTAAAGTTGGCACGACTTACCGGAAGGTTAGTCTTCCCCATTATTATAAGTCCGGCATCAATAATCTAGTACTTTTAGTCTTCCCTCACACAAATAATTCTTTGGGGCATCAGACCTGGTCAATTATTTGGGCATTTTTGCTCGGCTTCGAGCTCAGAAGCGCCAGACTGCCCACAGTAGTTGGGAGCCCGAGGCTTGGATGAGTAGCAACGTTATCCTAGAATCTTTTAGTGACTATTCACACTAAAAGTTTGGATCCTCGTACCTTGATAAGTATAGGAATGCCATGTAATGGTCCCCTGGTCTTTCCAGATGCGCGTTCTTCATCCAAAGATCTAGCTGTCGCCTCTAGCAGCTCAACGGGAGTGGTCTTAATCATAGCCCGAAGCTTATCATCATGTTGCGCTATTTGCGCTAAATATCTCTTGACAAGACCATAACTCGTGACTTGCCCCTGAGTCAAAAGCGCCTGTAGGGCCTTTGCATCGAGAGTAAGGACATCCGCATCTGCCTCGGCCGAAGTCTCTGAATGTTGGATTGTCATGGTAGTATCTTCTCACGTTGTAGGAATATGAGGTTATCAGTGAGTGAAATCTGCAGATTAAAGTGAAGGATAAATTGAAACAATGTTGGGATGTCCCCTGAAATTGAGGGGTTACAAGTTAATTTCACAGATTATGTACAAGGATCAACAGAGACTCTCGTACATTACTAGTAGTCGGCGTCCCAGAAAGGGATGGGTCCGTGCGTCGGGATATCAACTTGAGTCTTGAACTGCCCCAAGTGTGTTCAATGTTCACATTCTCTCAGAAATTCCCGATGTCATAGTATTTACCTACTTCTGTGCTCACTCAGAAGTATCTACAGCTGACTGGTGACCTACTCCTCTAGGTATGTAAGTACCTACAGGGGTAGCTAAGAAGGCTAGCTGATATGGTTGGTTGTAGGCAACTGGTAGCTCTAGAGATGAAAAACCGCCGGTACGCATTTATGCAAAAGACATTTGAATACTGTAATATCCCAGATTAAAATGTCTCACGTCGAAGCTATGATCAGCAAATAAGATTGGCCTCGGAGATATTAATATTTCCAAATCTCACATTCCGTCATGTGGAATCTTACCACATGGTATTCTCCTCCGCCCTATAGCACAATATTCGATTGCTGGAGGTTAGAAATAGGATTAAAAGAGGCTCAAAAAGCGTGTACCCCCATTGTGCACGTTTTTCTTTTTCTTGACTTGCATCAATAGATGATCAATTCCTCTATGTAGGCAAGCTATGACTAGCCATGACTGGCTTGAAGTTGAATTGAGTTAAATTTCCCAGTTAATAAATTCCTTTTATCTTATATCCATCTCTTCTGTAAAATTTGTTTAATCCATTTTATTTTTATATTTTATTTTTATTTTTTTTTTGGTAGAATTCACTTCCAGGGTTGGGACATTCACTGTATACAGTCAGCACGGGCCAAGTCTCCAGTGGGATTTTTTTGCGGGCGGTGAAGGTGCGCGGAGATTTCCTCATTTCCATTTTTTTCTACGACCCACGCCTTCACTTCAGTACGGATTCCCGGCAGCATGGATGATATCGAGGTATGTGGCAGTGAACTTGATGCCCACGCTTGGTTATTAACTGCTTCCAGGACCGGTTGCGCAGCCATGCGCAGGCATTCAATGGTCTTCTCTCCTTAATCCCCGCCAAGTATTACTACGGTGATGACAATAGTGTACGTGCGCACTCAACTCCAACTCTATCAATCCAGCTTTTTTTTCTCCCCTTTCCGACAATTTCTTTTCTCCTACATTGATTTCTTTTACTCCTTGGACAATAATCTGATTTCTGTTCCCGCCTACAGGACCAGTGGCAACGAAAGAAGCAGACCAAAGAGCAAGCCCGTGAAGCAAAGCGTGCCAAACTCGACCCGGACTCCACCACAACTGCCAAAACTGCCAAGGACATCATGGATGAGAACGCCCGCAAGCGCAAGCGTGAGGATGGTACCCTCGAGAGCGATTCTTCGGACGACGAGTTGGGCTCCGAGAAGCCCATGGAGGGTCTGAACCGCGGTGAGAAGGCCAAGAAGCAAAAGCAGGTCGAGAAGTCCGACACTGTCAAGTCTGAGGCCGCCGAGGCCCGTAAGAAGCAAAAGGAAGAGAAGAAGGAGAAAAAGAAGGCCGCCCAGAAGGAAAAGAAAAAGGCGAAGGAGACGGCCCGCAAAGAGAAGCAACAGCAAGACGAAAAGCCCAACGGCACAGCGACTGAGACTCCCAAGAAAGAGAAGGAGGCTGCCAAGTCTAACGACAATGGTGATGCTGACGAGGGCGAGGCATCTGATGATGAGGACGGTGATGATCTCGAAGAAGGCGTCGCCGAAGAAGGATTTTCCATCGAGTTCAACGATGAGCCCGAACAGCCTTCTTCAGGTTCCTCTACTCGCAATTCCCCCGATGCCTCAAACCTCCAATCGGGCAGCTCCTCTATATCCTCTATTGTTCCTCCTACCGCCTCTAATGATACCAAATCCTCCGGGCCCAAGCCCCTTAAGGCCACACCAGAAGACCTCAAGCAGCGTTTACAGAAACGCCTGGACGAGCTTCGTGCCAAGCGCCAAGCAGATGGTCTTAACGGCAAGCCTGCCCGTAACCGTCAGGAGCTCATCGAAGCCCGCCGTCAAAAAGCCGAGCAACGCAAAGCACACAAGAAGGAGCTGCGCGCCAAGGCCAAGGAAGAAGAGCAACGCAAGGACGACGAGGCTATGGCCCGTCGCTTTTCCCCCGGTGGCTCAGGATCTCTCCTAGCCTCTCCTCGCTCCCCCGCCGAATCCATCGGTCCTTCTAATAACTTTTCCTTCGGCCGTGTTATCTTCGCGGACGGTCAGCAAACCGACGCTTCCCTTACCAACGTTCGTGATCAACACAAGAGTGCTGGACCCAGAGATGCGGCTGCTCAGCTCCAAGCTGCTGAGGCTAAGCAGGCACGTCTTGCCGAGATGGATCCGGAAAAGCGCGCTGAACTCGAAGAGAAGGACCGCTGGCTGAATGCCAAGAAGCGTGCTCACGGCGAGCGAGTTCGCGACGACACATCCCTCCTGAAGAAGGCCTTGAAGCGCAAGGAGACTGCTAAGAAGAAGTCCGCGCGTGAGTGGAACGACCGCATTGATACTGTTTCCCGTATGAAGGAGCAGCGACAGAACAAGCGTGAGGAGAACCTTCGCAAGCGCCGAGACGAGAAGGGTAGCAAGGGTGGCAAGAAGAAGCCTGCTGGTGGAGCGAAGAAGAAGGCTAGACCTGGATTTGAAGGCAGTTTCAAGCCCAAGACTGGCGGCAAGAAGAAATAAGTTTAATTCTTCTTTCCAAATGTTGATGACTTGATTCTTATTTTCCCCTTCCCATTACTTTCTTTCCTTTCCCTTCATGACCTTCTTTCCTCCCATCAAAAAAAAAAGAAAAGTGTTTTTTCAAACATCGAACTGGGAAATATCCATCCGGGGTTGCGGTGTTTGGTGTTCGCGCTGTTTCGGCGGCATGATTTCGTCATGAATATGTCTCTGCATGGGTAGCGATTTATCTTATTTTGTGAATACAAATATCATTCGAAGTCTACTAGTATTTCAAGGCAGATTTCTGTCTATCACTGGCAGTAGTAGCTTCAGGTTAAGCCTCGTCGTTCCGAGGTTCAGCCTCATAGTCGTAGTGGTCTCACCTCTGAGTTCGTCCAGTCCAGGCAAAGAGCCAATCATCTAGACACAAAGAATTAATTGATAGACCAAGTTCAAATGTTTTGAATGATTTAGAATTGATTTAAATCGTAAAGAAACAGAAAAACCTGCTAGATTCCAAATAACAAAGGGAAAATAAAAAGACAAAGAAGCCGAGATCCACTAGGAATGAAACGAATTCGAAGAATTTCGTTTGGAATCGACTAGTACAGATAACACAAGGTTGAGGGGGTAAATATGTACAAAGATGTGGCGGAGGAGTAAGAGGGTATCATAAACCCTATTGTTCTAGTTTTTTCATGCATGCCAATCGAGATATTGGCTCGATTCAGGTGACCCAGATCCTCCTCTCTGGGTCAGCCTGTGGGTTCAATTCAAGATGATGTGTTCCGTTAATTATCACCTGGCAAGAACGGGAAGGTGATTGAATTTATCGGTAAGGAGCATCGGCGCGGGCAGCAGCAGCAATCTCGGGCTCCCACTTGTCACCGTTGGCGAGCAGCTTCTCCTTGTTGTAGAGGAGCTCCTCACGAGTCTCAGTGGCGTACTCAGCATTGGAGGCTATAAAAAAAATAAAGATAAACATTTTAGATATATTGCGCACAGACGTATTTTGCAAAGCTATATAAGCTTGGTGAAACTCACTCTCCACAATAGCATCGACAGGGCAGCTCTCCTGGCAGTAACCACAGTAGATACACTTGGTCATGTCGATATCGTAACGGGTCGTCCGGCGGCTTCCGTCCTCACGTTCCTCAGCCTCAATGGTGATAGCCTGCGCTGGGCAGATAGCCTCGCAGAGCTTGCAGGCGATACAGCGCTCCTCACCGGTAGGGTAACGGCGCAGAGCGTGCTCACCACGGAAACGGGGAGAGATAGGACCCTTCTCAAAGGGGTAGAAGATGGTGTAGCTGGAGAAAAATATTGATATCAGAACCAATTGATATATCATGAAGTCCTGGGTCCACAAAACTTACGGAGGACGGAAGTACTGCTCCAGCACAACGTACATGCCACGGAACATCTCAGCAAGGAGGAAGTACTTGGTGGCCTTGTCAATGGCGGACTCAGAGCCCTGGTCCCAGCGCTGAGGCGGGGGCAAGCGGAAACCGGGCTGAGGGGGGTCCCGCTGGGGTTGCTGCGCGGGACACTGAGGAAGAGAAGTTTGCCGTCGAGCCGATGGAAGTAAAGGGAGACGCGCGACGACCGGCGACCAGCCTCGCGACGTGTCTAGAGGAGGCCATTATGGGAGGAAGTATAGTAGAGGGGAGAGAGAAAAAGAAGAAAGTGGGGAATTGACGGAGTTGGAGGTTCACCTTAAGGGAGAAAGACACTGGGAAGGTGAGTTGGTGGTGTTGCAGAGGTTTGGGCTTAGGTCATTCCTTTCCAACCGTCGCTGATTGGTTAGTGGGGAGGATTTTGCTCTTGAGTGGACATCACTTCCGTTCTTCCTCTTCTCCCCGTCTCTCTCTATTCCCTTCATCTACCACTCTTAATCCTTCTTTCCCCTTTCTTTTCCAATTCATTTTAGATCAATAGCCTGTGCGCTTTTGTGATCTTCTACATCTTTCATCATGTTCCGTTCCGCCATTGTCCGCTCCTTGCGAGCCTCCGTCCCCCGTGTCGCTGTCAAGACCCCGGCTCCCTTCCAGATCCGCAGCTCCCCCATTGCTGTGCGCGCTTCTCAATACACTCCCTGCTTTGTCTCCCAGGGTGTCCGCTGCTACTCCGCTCCTGCTGGTCTGAACAAGAGCGAGGTTGAGGGCCGGATAGTCAACCTGCTTAAGAACTTCGACAAGGTACGTCAACATTGTGGCTTTTCGCACATTGACTCTTTCCTACATATCCCGAATATATGTCAGCTTTATCTGAATTTGACTAATTGTTCGCTCTCATCACAGGTTTCCGACGCCAGCAAGGTCAGTTTGACGCGAGATCACTCAGCTTGCATATTTCATACCAGCTCCCCATGGGGCATAAACGAACCAGCTATTAACATTTATCAATACACAGATCAACGGTGTCTCTCACTTCGCCAACGACCTTGGTCTGGACAGCTTGGATACCGTTGAGGTCGTCATGGCCATTGAGGAGGTATGATATGGTTTTCCTCGGGAAAAACAGGATAAGAGCCAGATTCTGACTATCGCAACAGGAGTTCAGCATTGAGATCCCCGACAAGGAGGCCGACCAGATCCACAGCGGTAAGTTTAGATTTGATGGAGGTTAGAATGAAAATAAGCTAACGCGTTCTGTGCGCGAATAGTTGAGAAGGCTGTCGAGTACATCCTGGCTCAGCCTGATGGTATGTTCCTACGATCACCTGTTTCCCTACTTTTAGCGCTCTTTACTGACCTTCTTGCAGCCCACTAAATACTTTAATTGAAAAAATGTCTGGGGGCTAGAGTTGGAAAGTCGGATAGACAAAGGATCGGGATATTTGCGTCCGTTGAGTTCTACTGGGATATATCTCGGTAACTCTTGACCCTGCTTTGTATGCTGGATTCCATATCAGAGGATTTCATTTGCCTTTGTCCTTCTATATCGTGTATATCATCCTTAAATGCAGTTTTGACGGTGTTTTAAAGCTCTAACCTTGTTTCACTTGAAATGTGGTGCACTATAATTCCTGCCACCTACCTAGGTAGCAGTGACGATTCAAACTCGCACATGCAGGCTCTTCAGGTATAAGTTCAGATGGATTGAGTCTGCGCAATTGGGATGAATGCATTACTCCTACCTAGGTAGGCACCAGACAAATGGACTCGATGCATATTACACCTGGAGGGCCGCAGTGTGACACAGTGGTCATATATACGGATGCCACTACTATGTATAACTGCACATGTGAGAGGCTGGCCCGGTGGTACTTCTACGGATGTCAAATTCAATCCATGTTGGTATACTCCGGTACTATCTACGAGTACTAGTAAGATGATTAGGTACATGCATGTGTAGGTATAGACATGCAGGGACCTCTGAGTAGGTTGGCAGGCAAACATATTACTAGTCAACTGGTGTGATCATCCATGGATCCTGTGTGGCGTAAAAGATGAGATGGATGTAGGTATGCAGGCCTTGTTATTATTGAAGAATTAAACCATTTCAAATCCAAATATTGAAAAATAACAATTTTGAAGTATACTATATGTCCATTAATACTACTAGATCTTATCAAGATCATGAACTGATCCACTGATATATATATCTGGTGTTGTCCGCTATCGGGCGCAGTAACGAAGCCACCTTTGCCTCCAAATTAACTTCGACCCAATCATCCGTCTCTACCATCTTCAAGTCTCTCCAGATGTCCAAGTTCCCTCCAGCTCACCGCTTCGAACTTGAATAAAGATAAAGAGAAAAATACCGTGAAGCATTGCTTCATCCCTTGTGTTTGACTCCAACCACTCGGTCCCTGGTTTCCCCTGACGCCGAGACAAGAGAGGGTCCCACTTAGAAGCGGCAACGACATTCGGTCTACCACCGCGCGAACCTCAGTCATCTTTCTTTCACCGCGGTCAATTAACGCCTATCCCTGCGACCGGTACGCAGATCGGCTTTTGATAAATCAAGTCCACCCTTGAAACCCTCTTCACCTGGGTCTGAATCGATTCCCCGATCAACTTTAACTCACCCACCCTTATCCTCATGTCCGCAGCCGGGGGCTTGACTCGCCGACGAGGCGGCGGTCGAGCTGCTGGCCCAGAAGAACAAGATGACAGCCGTGTGTCGTCGCCTGTATCGAGGAATGGCTCTGCGATGGATAACCGTGGTCCAGAGACCTCATTCACGGCTGGAGAGAATGGTCACAAAATCGCATTCGACCCCCGCGACCTCAGCGAAACCGAAGAGCGGAGCAAGCAACCCAAATTGACGTTGATGGAGGAGGTTCTATTGCTGGGTCTGAAAGATAAACAGGTGAGTTGGGATATCTCTTTATTAAGGAGTCATGAGGTTATATTATCTCCAAGTTAAGATGAACTCGATGTGGCTGACTTGCGCGTCCCCCCTCTCTCCCCACCTTATAGGGTTACCTGTCTTTCTGGAACGAGAATATTTCCTATGCTCTGCGAGGATGTATCGTCATCGAACTCGCGCTCCGTGGCCGTATAAGCATGCAGAAGGATTCATCGCGCCGACGCTTCCCCTGGCCGACCGCGTGATCGAAGTCATCGACGACACATTGACCGGGGAAGTCTTGCTGGACGAGACGCTAAAGATGATGAAGTCGAGTGAGAAGATGAGCGTGAACTCATGGATTGACTTGCTGAGTGGTATGAATATGTGGTTTCTTTGATATGATTGTGTGGGAAGTCGCCACTGTAGTCTGACACGTTGGCTAACTTTGGGATTTCTTGATTATAGGTGAAACTTGGAACTTGATGAAGATTGGGTATCAATTGAAACAAGTGCGTGAGCGATTGGCCAAGGGCCTCGTGGATAAGGGTATCCTCCGAACCGAGAAACGAAACTTCCTCCTCTTCGATATGGCAACACACCCCGTGGCTGATGGTGGCGCCAAAGATGATCTTCACCGACGGGTGCGCAACATTTGCAGCAACCGTACAGTGATTATTCCTTCCTCTCAGTGGCTTCCTGAGGATGCCGAGTTCCGCTATCTCCGTACCGTCACAATGGTCTGTGCTGCGTATGCGGCCAATGTGCTGGAGAACGCTCTGGTCACTATGAGTCACGAGTCTCGGGAAAGAGCATTTGCCCAAGTGGATGAATTGTTGGCTGAGTACTCGCAATGGCCATTTGCCCGACGACCGGGCGGTTCTCAGGCAATTGGAGCCAACCTAGCTCAAGCGATCAACGACGAAGTCAACAAACAGGACCGAGAGCTTCAGCTGGAGGTATATCTCTCTTCTTGCTCTTCAAATTATTACAGATCTCTAACTTTCTCTAGATTGTTGCCGCATGCTTGAGCGTTTTCACCAGACTTGATTCCCTACTGTAAGCGCATACGCCGTGTTTGATTCTAATACAACCTTTCTTATTTAACCTCCTCCCACCTCTTTTCTGTTTCCCCAACGAGTGCTTCCCCTTCACTCTTGATCATTTTGAACACCCGATTCCTTACATTCGTGTGTCGGGCTTTTACTTTTTTCCACCATTTCTCTTCTCTTCTCTTCTCTTCGCTCATGTAGTTTGTCATCATGTGGGTTGGAAATTGGCAGAGCGTTTGTGATCTTATGAGGCTCAAAATTCATTTCTTGTATGGGATATCCTACTGATCGATCCATATATCCCTCTGGTGTTTGTTATTCCTCTCGTTGGCGCTCTTGCTTCGTTACTTGGCCACGAGTTCCAGTGGTAGAACTATACTCAAATCATGGCCTCTTGGCTACTCATTGAATGCTCATCTTGTCATAGATTTGTTTAGCTGTAGACAAGTGATTTAGGATTTGTAGACTTTGGATCACTCAGGCTCAAGTGCTCTAGGCAGTAGTGATCCAGTCTATGCATGAATCTTCTAACAGTAGATGCATAGGATTCAAAATCTCCTCTGACTCCTATCTACCTGTCATCCAATAGTAGTTCACTACTAGTATTTTATATAACACCTGCAGTAAAGAGAAATTAATGTTGGATATTACTTCAAGTTGATACCTATGTACAAGAAGAATTTACAAAACCTGATCCTCCATGCCCAGCTGATCCACGAAATCATAAAGCTCAACCGGATCCTCAAAAACCGTCCACACCTCACTCGGCAGTTCCTTGAACGCCTCCTCAAACCTCTCATTCCTATTACACTCCTCCATATGCGCCACATCCTTAACCTTCCGAATCGCAATCGCATGAATCCACCCAGGATACTTGCGATACATCTCCGCATACGCCTCGGGATCCTTCTGCGTCGAATCCCCAATACAAAGTACTCTTCGACGAGGAAACCAGGTCCTGATCTTCTCCATCCGGTCTGTCTTGTACTCCTGTGTCCCCTCCGTGAATGATTTGATTAATCCGTTCACATCTAACCATGAGTAATCCCTCAGTACTAAGGTCCCAGGTATGTAGTACTGATGGAGGAAGTCGTGTAGGAATTTGTATAGGTTATACGGGGACGCGGAGAGATAGAACCAAGCTGGATGAAGTTCTTCCTGAACATAGCGGTAGAAATCTGGCATACCGGTAATTGGGACAGGCTCCTCGGTGAATGTTGTTCGTAGGATTCCTGTAGCTTCCATGGTCATGGTATGTTTGATTGTGTCGTCGATGTCGGAGATAACGAGCCAGCCTTCTGGTGTAGCGAAATGCGTCTTTGGAGCTGGAATGGTATTACCGAATCCAGTAAGAGTAGGTTGCACGAAACTCCTGTCTGATATATGTGTCGAGGTAGCGAGTTGGATTGTTTGGCAGATTATGCCGTTTCGGTCTGAAGGACCCATTTGGTGCGATTGGATATCACCATTGATATCTAGCTCCAGTGTGATGGTTCGACCAGGAGAGACCACATCAACAAATGGTTGGACGCGAGCACTGATGCGCTCATGAACCTCTGAGATTGAGATGCCGCTCTCACCGTCTAGTCCGATGTAATCGGCGATCGAGGCGACGAGATTACCTACATCTTTACGGCCTTGTGTCTCGAAAACGGCGGATACGAACTCTGCCTGCCAGGGCACGGGTTCCTCGATTGACTGATCTTCTGAGCCTGGTTCGGGGATTGGCTGATATGCTGTGTTGTCGAGTAGCCAGACGGTATTTGTTTTTGGGTCTGCTGGATGGGTGATTGGATTCTTGGAGCCCAGGATGGAAGCGACGAACTTCATAAAGGAAGAGCCACGCCGTTCTAGAGGCACAGGTTTTTCGTCTGGATTGTTACTGGTACCACTAGTACCTTTAGTAACTCCATCTTGTATATTCTCGGGCACCGGAGAATCACTCGGCTTGTCCGAGTCATGGGACATAGTTGCGATTTCAGGTCTGGGTATAGTGTTTGGTTCTCCGGGGTCATCCAGACGCAGAGTAATGTAATAGTACTCTTTATTTTGAAGAGGACTTGATCGATTCAAAAGGAGAAAGGATAAACCTGAGATCGACCGAGGTCTCACTGAACTGGCACTGTTCAAATCATGGTCAGGAGAACGGGAATTAATTAGGGGTGGACACGCAGATCATATAGCAACCGATCTACCCCTTAGCGTGTTTTAATTTCTTTCATAATTCTATCACACTCGCCCTGACCCAGACTGAATCCCGAATTCCCCGCGTTGAGGCTGATGATAGTGTAGATAGTAGACCACCGGGTCATATCATTTCCAAGGTTGTCGATGTCATGTGGTATAGTTGAAGGTGGGCGTTAAGTTCGTGTTTTGGTCACAAATGGATCTTTTCCGAACACAACGAAGAATAAGTGATGCCATGTGGTTTGAATGTCACACCAATATTGAATAGAAGGATAAATATTTGTTTCCAGGAATTTTTTTTTAACTTCTCTAGGCGAACTGGGGCTAGTGGTGACCCTGCATATGCACGACGGATCGCGGCACCAGGATCATCCTGGGCAAGATCACCAGTTGACTTGTTTTAGACATCGAGTCCATATTGAAACAAATATAGTGTTAAAGCCTACTATCCCGACAATTCACAACTTAATCAAGTGAAAAATAGCAGAAAGATCAAGTTACAGTGTGGTTTGCTGGATCAACTTTGAGACAAATAGTATGTACTCTGAAGGTGTAGACTCCCATACACTGGTAGGAATGTAGTAAAAATTTGGTCTAATTGTTATTCAAAGGGTTTAATGTGATATGCTTTTGGTTTCATCAAGTCATACACCGAAATTCTCGTGATTCGTTGCGATCTCAGATTCACCACCGCTTGGGCGCAGAGATCTCAGCCCGTGAGAACGAGCCAGTAACTGTATCCTCCCCTCGTTTCCGTTCAAGAGCCTTGAGCCCGGTGCGATCCGTCACCGTGGTAGCGTTGATGATCTTGTCAAAGTCCTCATCTTCGCTCCCCGCTGAGCCAGACTCAGCATCAGAATCGATATACGCAGGTTGCGGCCTCGCGATTGTCTCTGGTTGTGACTTTTCAGGAACCTCGGGGGTTTGGAAAGCTTTTGAGTTCAGAATCTTGCGCCGAATTTCAGCCATCTGTTCTTCCTCCTCGGAGTCATCAGAGATAGCGAATGGGTCTTTGTCCTCCTCCTCTTCTTCATCTGCCTCCTCTTCCTCGTCGCTATTCTCCTCCCCACTCTCATCATCCTCATCATCAGATCCCGCATTTGTGGGCATGCGATTGGTATTTCCAAGAGTCCAAATATCATCTGCGCCCTCAACACGGCTGTCCTCGTATTCTTGCTCAATCTTGGCCAACCACTCCTTCTCGGTCCTCTTGATATCTTCTTCCGTGCCACAGGCAGCATAGCGCTTGAGTAGCTCAGAGTTGATATCCAGGAATGCCTGTCCGTAACTGAAATTCTTCAAGATCTCCTCTGCCCATTCCTGGTGACCGCAGATACAGAAGCATGCCGCTAACGCTTCGACACAGTTCAATCGCCAAGGTTTACCGTAGTTGACAGTATTTGCAGCGATAAGGTAGGGCACTATAAGCACAAAGGAATTAGTATTTATTCATTCTGACACCACGCGACACACATACAAAGTCGTTCGCATTTTCCACCAATTCGCGACCATGGAACTTCATGGACTCTCACCCAAGAGCACTCTACTACCGCTGCACCGTGTTGTTCCATGAGTTCTTTATCCGCCGGAGAGATCACTTTCTTCGCATTCGGCCTGGTAAAAAAGTCAGTGAAAAGTTGAAAGAGCGAGATAGAATGTTACATACGAGACAATAACTCCAGGGAATCGCTGGCCAATATGGAGATCCCGCATGAGTCCCAGCTTCATCAGACGCTTTCCAGAGCATCGCTTTGGGTCACAATGTCCCATATCCCAACAAGCAGCCTTGAATGCAGGTCGTGATGTAGTAGCACCTTCTTCTCCATCATCGCGGGGCACCGGTCGTGAGCGGGGGTTGGAGAATTTCTTGCCTCCTCGAGAGAAATTTTCTTTCTTATGACGGACCATGGTGAAGATATAAATCCAAAGTCAAGTAAATTAGAGAAAATAGTTCTTTAGTTGATTCTTAAATCCAACACAAGTTGAAGGGAAGAAATTCCAAAAAGTTCTTGGAGGAGCATAAGCGCCACACGTGCAAGTTCTCCGCCCGGTCCGCTCTTCAGTCTACAATCCATTGCGCTTCCCGCCCTGAACCCCCGAAACCCCCTCCAGCATCTCCTTTCTTCATTTCTTTGTTCTCTATTCCCTTTAAACCGCAACCCTGGAGGCTGCTTCAGCACGTATGGCGGCCAGAGACAGCTTCGGCGTCTTTGCCGAACCGGGGCTATCACAGCTACAGCGGGCGATTCGTGAGCCAGACACCCATCATTGAACGTGGCTGATATGGGAAATGACAGAATTGCTAACCCGTTGATTTACCTAGGCAATGCATGTGATCCACGAAACATCGAGCCCAACCTAGCCCTGAACCTCGAAGTGGCTGATCTGATCAATTCCAAGAAGAGCAATACGTGAGTCGAGCACCCCCAAACCCCATAGACATCGCACATCACTGATCGAATCCTATCCTTTAGCCCTCGCGATGCATCTGTTGAGATTGTTCATTTAATCAACTCTCGCAATCAAAATGTTGCGTTATTAGCGCTAGCGGTACGTCCAGAATACCACAGAGGAGCGGAGATGACAGCCTGGCGACGCGGGGTGAAACTGACACGCGCATTCATTTCACAATATTAGCTCCTAGATATTTGCGTCAAGAACTGCGGTTATAAATTCCACCTCCAGATCAGTACCAAAGATTTCCTCAATGAATTGGTGCGAAGGTTCCCCCGAGCGTCCAGCTGTGCGTACCTCGCGGGTCCAACATCGCATACTGGAGTCGATTGAGGAGTGGCGGCAGACTATCTGTCAAACGTCGCGGTACAAGGAAGATCTGGGCTTCATTCGGGACATGCATCGTCTTCTACTTCAACAGGGTTATTCATTCCCCCAGGTTCGTCGTGAGGATGCTGCTGTCTTGAACCCGAGTGACGTAAGTACCTTGGTGACCAATCCCTATCAAAACAACTACTGACTAGGTTTAGAATCTTCGCTCGGCTGAAGAGATGGAAGAAGAGGAGAGAGAGGCTCAATCTGCAAAGCTTCAGGAGCTTATTCGGAGAAATACACCGGCTGATTTGCAGGAAGCCAATCAGTTGATGAAGATCCTGGCAGGATACGATAACCGAAGCAAGCCTGATTACCGGGCGAAGGCCGCAGAGGAGGTATCAATGGTGCAAGCAAAAGCGAGGCTTCTCGAGGATATGCTGCAGAATCAGCAGCCTGGACAGGGAATTCCTGAAGGAGAAGTTTTCCATGTGAGTCTAGACTCATGAGCTTATCTATGCGGGTTCCTTGCTGACCTTTGATATAGGAACTTGGGGAGGCCCTGATGAACGCTAAATCTAAGATTGCGAAGATGTGCGATGCGGAATCGACTGACCCCGAAGCCCGTAAGCTGGTGGAAATTTATGACAGTATAGTGCGGACCATTGAACGGTACAACTTGGTCATAGTGGGCGATCTGGATGCTGCATCAAGAATTCCAAAGGGAACTCTGGGTACAACAACTGGAGTGTCTAAGAATGCGAATAATGAATTGTCATTGATTGATTTCGACCCGGAGCCCAGCTCCAATGGCAATGCTCCCGAGGCTTCCTTGCAGGCTCATGGTGGTAATGCTTTGGAGAATGATCTCCTTGGCCTGTCACTTGGCGAGGAGGGTCCTCTCCCTGGCGGTTTTATCTCATTGGGTGGCTCTAATAGTAAGTTCTATCCTTATTGCACAGAGGAAAACGTGATCATTAACCTCTTCTCAGTGGGCTTCCCTCCTATGTCATCGGGTCCATCCCCGCCGGCCATGTCAGCAACCGCCATGCAGCAAAATCTAGCGGCATTCCAGCTGAATCATGATATCCTTTCATCGATGAATTTATCTCGGCCTGCCTCTCAGTCCTCAACTCCAGTACCCGGGAAGTCACCTATGGTTCGCTCAACAGCAACCCCACCACAGGCAGCTGATCCCTTTGCCTCGTTGGTTTCTGCTAGTCCTCGGCCTGCAAGCGCCGCAAGCAGTGCTTTCCAGCCCCCTCAAAGTCAGCCTGCACCGGCTTCATCATCATTACTTGACCTTATTGGAGGACCCAGTGTCCCCGCGCAGCCCGCAGGACGGGCTGCCGAAGATGACGACTGGAACTTTGCATCCTCTCTTCCTCAAAGCAACACCCTCCCCGCAAATAACCAAGTCCAGGTCTTGAATTCACAGCTCAGAGTCGAGTTCCAAGTTCGTCGTGTACCCAACGCGCCGCGACAGATTTACATCAGAGCTGTTTTCTCCAACACTACCAGCCAGCCTATTGGGGAGCTTCATTTCCAGGTTGCAGTGGAGAAGGTAAGCCCATCAGTATATTCCATTTCTTAACAAACTTCGTTCTAACTATAGACCCTCTCTAGTCCTACACCCTCCAGCTTCGGCCGCAGTCTGGCCGAGACATTGCACCACTCCAACAGAACGGCGTGCAACAGGATATGCTCCTCGATGGCATTGACTCGGGCAAAGGCAACTCGGTCAAACTTCGGTTTAAGGTGTCTTACAAGCTTGGCGCCGAGACCCGCGAGGAACAGGGCATGGTGCCATCTCTGGGCGTTTACTAGGCGTTTAATCCTAGTTTAAAAAATACTCATTGGTAGAGTGCCAAGTGAAGTGGTCTGATGAAGCTGAGTTGTTCCTGTTCTTCCCGATTGACCGGGACGGTTCCTTTTGGCCGGCCAGTCGGAAGCATACCAGACCCGAGACCACTTCCGATACCACTGCCGTCAGCCCTGGACCCTGACAAGGGTCTGAATGCCATTGTCGTTCTAGCGACTTTGTGGCTACCCTAGTCAACCCACATACGTATCGTCCTATCGTTTTGTTCAAGTGTTTCTCGACGATTTGAAACTTAGCGCGTCCTTCATGTTTATAAAGAACCCCATTCTCCTCGCATTGTTTCCGATACATCTCAATGAAAGTCACTGTCACTTAACAATTACCGAGATTCTTCCCGTATGATATGTAGTTCCCTTCGTCCAAGGTATTCGGAAGAGTCAGAACTACCGAAAGTCAATCTCTAGATCAATGCGCTATTTCTCAAATGCAATACTCGCATCGCATTACTTATCTGGGTACAAGAAAAAATAAGAACGGCCGATCAAATCCAAATGAATCATGAACCTATCACTATCTCAGAACTTTAGCATCACCTGCATTAGCATCATGGCACCCGCCAGGTACTTGGTACACAGGGGCCAATTCCAGTATGATGTACCGTCGATCAACGCACGTGCAGTAGCTCATGATCGATGAGCTTGAAGTAAGTTCAACGAGGAGAGAACAATCAGTTCAAGATCAGCGATAATTGAGTTAGGAAGTGGAGACCCGATCTCGTCCGAATCGTTATTCGGGGATCCCGACAAGATGAATAGTATAGAGTGTAGAGAATCGCGGAATATTCGCGGAAAGAAATGACAACTAAAGAATTAGATCATTTCACGACACCAATCTCCACTTATCTGAATCTGCAATTGGCGTACCGAGTCCAGTTTCTAATCTGACCTGGCCACTTTTGTCAGAAATTACTCGGAGCTCATATTATTTGCACTGCCGAGGTTGATGTGATTTGGCGCCGACATTTCCCCGGTTGATGTTAGTGTCGCGGTGGGCCGTCAAAATTACCATTCTGGATATTTTTGCAAACTTGAATTTGAAGATAAGGAAATGGATGACTCCGAGGGAGTGGTGCTTGGTACAGTAGTGAAATGAGGCTCATGATCAGGATGTGCGATCGTCGGTGGAGAGATCAGAGATCTACGATCTCCACAGTTTGTACGGAGTATGTCAAAATGAACTTGAAGTTCACGGTTATACAAATTATGTGTTATGTAGTAAAGTTCATGAGATTTCAATATTATTGGCTTTCTCGTTATTTCTTATGATGGCAAAATGAGGAGAATCCTGAATCTGCTTTATAGAATGCACTTGATGAACATGAATTCGCAATAATCGAGACCCTGTCCAATCCTTGGCTTAACCACAGAACCACACATCACAGACTGGAAATAGAAATCCGAGTCATGAGCACTTGAACTTGAACCTGTTCCTTGAAACTAGAGATTTCATGAACTTGAAGTTCTCAGGTGGCGAGTAAATAGCATCTCCATAATACTCCAAATCTCCCCAAGAGAACTCCCCAAAAAGGCTAGGCTCGGCCGGATGATAACGAACTCAGACCACGGATGAGATGTGGCGATTCGGGCACGGGCTCAGGCGTGCAGGAAAGAGGGAGGCTATACAGTCTAGATTGTGCGCCTGGGTGGTCTGGCACGATGCGGCTTACGGGGCTAGGCATATCAGACCAATCAGTGGGGATGGAAATACCTGTTCAAATGTGGTCTTGGCTCACTGGTTGAAGTGTGCAGCATGGGGTATGCAACATGCAGCTAGAGAGAGTTCGATTAACACGTGTAAGAAGGGGAGAAGTTAGAGTTGAGGGGGAACTTGGGGGTGAATTTGAAGATGCAGGGATGTTGGTTAACCTTTTCAAACTACTAATATTCGGGGAATTAATTGCTGGGCTTATTCAACAGATAGAGGATGAATGGCGTAACTGTGGCTTTTTTTTACTAGGAAATAAATTTCCGATGAATTTACCTCGATCATGACAGCTTACTGTTCATATGATCTGGTAACTGGCACTAGTCAAGTTCTTATCTATCAATTTTACATGTGCATCATCTCACTGCTAGTGGTGCCTGGATATGAGTACATGTACTACTACCTACTACCTAGTATGTTTACTTTGAGTAATGATGAGAACCTCGACTACTAAAGTGCTATATTCATTTCCCTCAAGTGTTGTCATCTCTAAATATCAAAACCAGAGACTCTTTGAATCAGATGAAACTAATTTAAAAAGGCTGAAGGATGAGATAGAGCAGATATCTTGGAGCTGTATTCCAAATCCCAAAAGATAACATTTGACCACAGACCTATTCCAAGGATAACTAGATTGATCGCTTAACGTAAGTTCAAGTTCATAAGATAAAGGGGATTAGTAAGATTACTCGATACCTACTAGTCCTATTAGTCTATTAGTCCTATCTGGTCATCATTCTTCATGGGTATAGATGATAAAATCACGAAATCGGTCTAGAGGCACCCTATATTCGCCACACTTATTCAGATACTACCAATATTCCAAGTCGCACTTGGTATCCTGAATAGGAACCGCTTGAGTCAGAATTCCACGAAATTTCCCCGAAGAGTGGCGGTGCTTTAACAAAATTCCCACCGGGCGACAATGTGGCTAGGCTGGGGTTAGCGGCGCGCGGACTCAGGATCGGATCTGAGCTCATTTTTGCTCCTTAATAGTCTGAGTTTTGTGTGAATGTCGATTCATGTTGGACCCGCATGTATACTACTGATCGACAGTGAAAATGGAGAGATAGGAAGAGTATAAGCTTTGGATTTTCTGATTTTTTGTATATACAAATCTCTGGGATTTACTACATAGTAGCATCTAGGTTATTTTATGAAATTATTTATTATAAACCACCTTAATAATTCACAGCCATTCAAATGAAATACTTGAAATACAACCAGAATTAAACGTGAAACTAGGAAAAAACGTGAAGGAATCCGGGTTAGGAAGCGGATCTGCAAGTGCACAGTCACATCGCGGGGGAGTACTCTACACGCTTTACTCCACTCGCCGGTCTAGGCCTAGATAAAAAAACCAAGTGAAATGCGGAAGATAATAGTAATTAAAAAAAAGGAAGCAGGATATTCTGTACTCTGTACCAGGGAAAGAATTAAAAATTGGGAACCTGAAAAAAAAAACCCAAGTATACCTAGGTACTCATGGGGGGAAAAGGGAGAGACTCCAGGGCTGGGAAAAGGTCTCCGTAACCATATTCTGCAAGGTAGGGGAACTCGTATAATTCTGTGTGGCGCTTCTTCGAACGGGCTCGCCGTGATGGGGAAATAAAATGAAGAAAAATGATTAAAATCAATAAATTCAATAACCATGGCTCATCTTCCGGACGAAATACAATTCTCGGCACCCAAACTGTGATCGACTTGGATCCATGGATGCGCCCTGCAAGCTCCCTAAAGTTCCCAAGTTCCTAAGGCTACGCTCGGAGCCCTCTTGTATTTAAAACCATCTTTTCCCCCCTCTTCTACACGAAGCTATACATAATTCTTTTTTTTTTAATCCTTGCTCTAACTAGTTTGATCTGGTGGAGTTCCTTGGATTCTTTCTATTATCTATAATTATGTCTGAGTTAGATCAGGACATTGCACCCATCCCCGTTCTCGGGAGGAGAACCAGGAGCGGTATGTACCTCTTGTCTTATGTGTGAGAATAAGCACAAAAAAAGCAAAAAAATCTAATCATAAGCAGTGCTTTTATTGCGGCCTCGCGTCGAAAGGATCGCAGTCTTGATGCTCGTCTGGAGTCTGCTAATCGTGCTTCTCAACTGCATAAGAAGCGCACTGGCAAGGCTTTCCATATCACTAAAGAAATTGTGGAAAAAGAAGCCATGTATGAAGAAGTCGATGAACGTTACCAGGAAAAGCGGATTCGTATGCTGCAAGCCCAAAATATGCAGATTGAAGAGCAATTTCACCGTCATCTCCTGGCTGCTTTCGCTGCTCGAGCCAATAGTTCAGGTCACGGTCACGGTCACGGTTCAAGTGGCTCATCTATCGCCAGTCGACGTGCAAGCTATGCTCCCCAAGCCTCTGTTGAAGGCAGTGTTTCATCGCGGAAAATGAGTTTGGATCTCAGTAATCTGCGATCCCCATTCAGACAATCTATGGACGCTGGTTCATTAGCCAGTCCAGCTATGACTACTGGTGATGGCTATGTGTTATCTCCATCAACTACGACTACTTTTGATTCGAGTGCCCAGTCATACATGACCTGTCTCGATGGATCTGAGGGAACCCATTACTCCAACATGGTGACAACCGCCAATCCTTCCGGTCAAGTGCCCGCATATGTGACCCAAACTCAGACACCGACTTGGAGTACCCAGATGGCACCCGCATGGACAATGCAACAGCACATCCCAACCCCCAACCATACACCGACCGATTCCCACGCTGTACATATGTGGCAGCAGCAAATGATGCAGCAAGCCCAGATGCCCACCGACACCGCTTCTGCAATGCACATGCGCCAATTCAGAGACAGACTCGCTTCTGCCCCCGAGTTACCCGTTACTCAAATTGCAACCCCTTCAGCGACCCCTGCTATCGCGCCAACTGCAACTGCTTCTATCTCAGGACCAAGCGGCCACTCCCGTGGTCACTCCCAGCCTAGTAACAATTTCCACAATCTCCACCTGCTTACTCAGAGCACGCACCTCGCTCAGGCTCATATGGCTCTTCAATCCAGTACCAGCTCACCGAAGATTGAGACTTTCTCGGCAGAGACCCAATCTACTCCTGACTTTTGTCCGACCCCCAATACCCCACTCTCCCCGATGGCAGTGGGTCAAGTTCAGCCTGTGAAGGAAGAGGGTGATGGGGTTATGGTCTCAGTCTCGCACGAGCAACTAGATCCGGATTTTAATGAGTTCAGTCAGTTTGCATTGGGATTGGATGGAAATTCGTCACTTCAGGATCGGGAGCCATTCGGCTTCGAGGATTTTGTCACTTTAGACGAGTTTGCTACCGTCTCGTGCTGATCCTTGTGCTCTGTTCGATTTCTTTGATTCTGCGATTCCCACGGCGGCTTATTCCCAAGTTGTTTTTCTTTTTCTCTTTTGTAGATGACGCGTTGGCTTGTACATTGCTTCTGTACAATACCTTTCCCCTCTTACTATTCTTATCTGTCTATTTCCTCATGTGTCAACCATCTACAAATATTTTCTACTTTTCTTTTGTCAAGTTGAGTTATTTTTTTTATTTACCGGAGTTTGATTTGAATTTCGGTTCCAGGGTTGCTTTGGTATAGTATTTACGAGAGACGAATCCATACTTAAAATGGAACCTACACTATACAATCCTTGGTAGAATAATATACCTAAGTTTCAAAGAAAAAAAAAATCAAACCACAAAGGTAAGAGGTATTTTCTTCACTTAAGTCTCCCCCACCACCAGTACTTTAAAACCAGTGTTGCATTATGCCGCAAACAATCATTTCCGGATGCGGCTATACATCACACCATTCACAGTTCATCCCTCATCTTTCTTCCCCACTCATCTAACATTTTCAACCCCATTTCCATGTCGCTTGTCCACGGGCCGTGCCAGACAGATATAGCTACAGCTACGGCGGAGAGTAAAAAAAAGCTCCTATCCCCACCGTGACCATACCTGAGGTCGCACACTGAGTAAGTGGTAGGACAAGGACATAATGAAAACCCTATACTCCCCTATTAAATCCCCACTGATTTTAGTGGAAAGACCTCCTCCCCGATCCCAGGCCCCTAGTCCTATCAGTGGTATGTGAAATCAGATCCCGTTACCAATCGGCGGAATACCTGGAACAGGTACTTTTGCCAGTGCTCACGAAGGGACTCGTGGAAGTGGCAAACTTGAAGTCGAAGGTGAGTGATTCTGAAATCTACAAACTGGATGAAGGTCACACAGTACAAGCGAGATGAGAAATATCATTCGTTCAAACTTGAAACACTAGGTTCTACATCACACTAGTACATGTCCTAGACTAATAGCTAGTAAACCCCTCATTTGTGCCGTGTTTCGAACTCGAGTTTGCACACCTTGTTAAGTCGCACGATACCGCACGAGGCCATGGAATCGACGCGGGGAACTGAACTCGTACTATTAGGACTTAATTGCGGACTATATCTCGTATTCTGATCTAATTTCCACAATAACATGAAGTGTTTAGGGTTTGTACAGCTATACGATGCAATTCTTGGTATGATTCAAGCTCTCGTTGGACGAGATAACCGGGTTGTGAGGATGTGATTGCTGATTGGATACTTTGTACCGGGGGCCTGAAGAGTACCACTTGATAAGTTGGCGTTATCAAGCTAGGATTTTGTGCAGGTGACTTCATATGAGGTCAGGGTTTAGGATTGCCAATCGGATTAATGGATGATCTGAGGATCCTCGGGGATTTGAATGGATCTACAGGCATCGTAGTGGGGATTTTGCGAACACGTAGTACAAGGTATACCGTATAGTATGTGGAGTTTTATTTCTTTTTTGTTCAAAGCTTATTTATAATGTTTTCTATTTAAGATCTACTGAGTATCTATTTGATTCATCCACCTAGCTCATACGACATTATTCAACATCTCTATTTTACTATTAATACTGTATAATATTTCGTCTCAAATTGAACAAATTGCGGGGTTAAGGTTGCAGCTCCCGCACAGACCACCTTACCGCATTGGGACTATGAACCACGGCTCTTACATTCGCCGAGTCCATGGATAAACCCTGCTTAGGACACCTTTTGAAGTCCTTTTGGTGGACCTCATGAACCCTGGATCCATCCTGGCTGTGCCCGTGATCGGATCCCCGTGCACGCATCCGGGGGATCAATTGGTGTGGTCCTAGTGAAATGCAGTCGGATTTGATGAGAAATCATTAAATGTAGACAGATTTAAGAAGCCATTCCCTGATATAAGGGACCTGGCTTGATAATGGCGGATAATTGGCAGATATTGCGAGTCATGTAATGATATCCAATATTGAACGCACGAGCCTGACCGTTATCACGGCAATTGTATGCATACTGCACGTATCCGCGACTTTGTTTTTGATTCCAGATGTCTGTGCTCTTAGTCCTCCAGTTGTGTCTTGGCTACTGAGTAGGGAAATTTGATCATATCTCGTGGTCTGAGAGCCGAGATGTCCATGCGTTGACTAGAAAGTCTATAGATCGTTACAATTCCCCGAAGTAATCGGATAGGTTCCTGTACGAAGTGGTGTGAGGCATATCACAGCCTCAAGCTTCTGATAGATCACTCCTTCCAAAATAGGTACTAGTATCGCCCTAGTAAAGCCTCTAGTAAAGTATGTACCTCGTAGCTCGCGGCTCCAGACATCTGGGTTCTACTCGCACGGACACGGTGATTTCAAATTGTAAACATTTGAGATTGAAAGTATCTCCATATGCCGTTATACCCGTGTTCAGAATTCAAGCCCAGAAATCCAAATCTTTGAGATCATACCATATCGAGCCCAGAACCCCTGCAGAACTGCAGATACAGATCATCCAATTAGACTCCCATGACCCTGGTCAGGGGAGTTATCTCCCGTAAGCAGCCATCTTTGGATTAGACCCACTGGTCGAGTGGATGCTGGCTTAAGAGACCGGGCTGGACTGGTTATCCACTAAAGGTAGAGCCAAGGAATCGGGGATCAATTGCAGCTTCAGGTTCCTTTCTCCTTTTTGACCTTTTTATTCTGTGGTTCGTAAGGGTCTTTTCTGTTATCCTCTGTACAGCTGACAGGGTTTTGTGTGATTGTAGGGTCCAGACAAATCTAGGTCTGATATTAATCGCCTCATATGGCGTCTAGATTGTAAGCAAATATAACTAGTAAAATTAGACGAATTAATAATCCAGATGTCCATTTTACTGATAGCCCTGGAGCTCATAGTATCAATTCGGTTACCATTAAAAAATTAGAAAGCACTACTAGTAAAAGTTTTAGTCCACATGCATTATGGAACCTACTACTCCGTACATCTCAAATCCTTTCAACCTCAAAGCTACTACCAAGTCCTAGTAGAATCTCATCCACTCACAACCCTCCTAAGCACCTCCCCGAGCGGAAAATACAACCAGACACAAAAAGCAAGCTAGACATTCAACCCAATCAGTACCCTGAATTGAAGCCAAGCGATCGGCATACTGCATCCGGCGAAACGATCCACTAAACAGGAAAAAAGGAAAGAGGCTCAGCTTATTGGTAGTTTCGAGCCTCCCTGACTCGTATTATCCAGTGATATCAAGGAGATCGGAGGACACATCCCCGACCCCGCAGGAGTTGCCAAGATTGTATGGGCAGATGACCTGGAGATCATGCGGGTGCTAGTGGTGTGATCTGCGGGAATAGATTCCGCTATCACTATGATTTATTCAGTAACTGGGATCAATTGATTATTCAGTGATTATTCTTTGTTAAAAATCCGGGGTTGTGTCACTTGAACCGGATTGTCGGGTCTCGGTTGGAACTGGTGGATGTGGTTCAAGTTTTGGGGGCCCTTCAGGGCTGGTATACTAGTAGATGCCAAGTTGATCGTCTGTACTAATTACGTGTCTCTTACTATATCTTGGAAGATCAAGTCCATTTCCTTGTTTCAGTGTATGGAGTACTTGTATGATCAGGATTAACGGGTTACAGTCCTTTTCGTATATGATGGTGATCTACCGTGATGAGACAGTCTAGAGTGCATAAACAGGAATACAAGACTATTAATCAACATATGCTCATCACAATGGCTGGCGCTTATAGCCGAGTAAATGAATTGACCAACCGGAATTCCTTCCAGCTGATCGACCAAATCGATAACCTTATGAGCCTAGTCCCTCATGGGCTCGTAACAGACAGATTAATCGAGATGTTATCTGCTGACTGATTGGTTTCGCAGTTAAGATATCTCCGAGAGGCAATGACGCCACGCTAGATATTGCAAAAGATCCTCGTGAGGAGAAGAGATACGAAGCGGGCAAAGTTTGGAGTTGATATCCATACCGTATCAGTGTGGTTGGTGGCTTGTTCGATAGGCAGGTACTAAGTATTGCGGCGATCGCTGTTTATGCGAATCTTGGAGACCGAACGCCACGTCCCACATTGAAACGATCTAGTATGATCTAGGGCTGTCAATCTCACTAAGTAGGCTGCTAATTCAAGTCTTGACACTCAATTCTACAAACTTGAAAGAATTGATCAAATGGGATGTCCAGGTTTGAGTACTTGGTTGTAAGGATATGATTCGCTTCAATGAGATATTTCCAGTATCGAACTTCATGGCCGTGGCAAGTACAGGACAATACATGAATCAGAATTCGCGCATACTTATCACACCTGGTAATGTTTCCTCCGAGTGTAAAATCAATAAAACTTGCCGCCTCTCCAAACATACAAACTCCAGGCTTAACAAAAGAGAAAAAAGAATATTTGGTGTTGTACCAGCCAGAAACGCCGTAAAAGCTCGTTGATTGAAAGATAATTTGCAGAGAGAAAAAAGAAACGACAAAGAGTAATGCATGCTATTGTATGAGACAAGGAGATGGGTTCTCTGTACCGATTAGACTCCACGACTAAAAAGCTCTCGACCAATTTCGCCGCTGCGAGGAACATTCATACTCGAGGTCGAGCTGCTGCGTCGTCGACGGCGGGATTCAGCGGGATCTGCAGGACTGAGACCACTTGCGCGAGCATGTAGATTCAGTATATCAGTAAGGCTGACAACACCAACCAATTTACCCGATAGGCGAGCTCCAGGTAATGCCGAGGCAGGAATGGATGGAGCTAGAGTGGTATTGATACCAGGGGTTGGTGAATGTGGGTATGGGGGCTGAGGAGGCGTGGGATGGTGAGGTGTGGTGTAGCTAGGAGGTGATGGAGCATAGCCTGCAGATTGAGGCAGTGGAGATGGTGGAGGGGATATAGCAGAAGTAGCTGTCGGAAGAGCTCCCAGTGGTGGTGTCGCTAGAGGGATATGAACGGCGGAATGGGAGGGGGTCGGCGGGCCTGATGAAGATGGAGATGCCGGGTCGGTAACCCAGAGACTGTTATATGTTAGATTGATTATGTTGATGCAGGGATTTTGTTTGCAAAAGATCTTACCGATGTGATCGAGTCGCAGCAATCTTTGCAACTGTGTGGGCTAAAGTCGAGCCTGGGTTTACATGGAACACCGGGAAGGAATCTTTCCCTTCTATCAGACCTCGTGTAGATAAAATAACAGAAATGAAGTGGGTGCAGGTATTGTGGAGAAGTGGCAGAGAAGAAGACCGAGTCAGGAGCTGGGATGGATCATTAGCAAATGCGTCCCCAGGGCCAAGCACCATATCTCACCTTGACGTCTGTAGTAGAAATGTTGCCAATGACATTGAAATGATTATCGACAACGACAAGGGAAGATACGCCCTCACTGTTCATGACTTGAAGAGCTTCACTGAGAGGTTTATCACCGCTAAAATGATCATCATTAGGATCCTCTAGACAACCCACGCTGGTGTGAAACTTACTTGATAGATATGACATTCTGCGATCCAATTCGCAAATCCCGTAGTGACTGAGGATAAAGCTCCTCAATAACGGGAAAACTGCGTCCATTCTCCCACAGGAATTTCACGAGTCGAAATTGACTGAAAATGCCAACTACCTCGTTATCTTGCGACTCTTTCGTGACCACCACGCGATGGACACCCCCTCCAAATGTTTCGACAGCTGTTAAAACATTCGCCGATGCTGGTAATGTAATCAATGGCTCCTTCTCCACACCTAATCCTTTCACATCTCGGAGTGGGATCTTCTCCCCTTCCTGCGCTTTCCTCGCAATCTCATCATACGATGCGCGATGTGCCTCTGGCGGGAAGGCCAGTCCGGCCGCAAGGAGAAGGTATGCATTCAGATCTGAGTAGTCAAACGTAGCTACCGCTGATTTGTCTTGAGGACTTTCACGGATCAACAATACTGCAGCGCCGGAATCGATCAACAACTAAATAGAAAGGGGTGAGTCAGTACTTCAAAATGTCATGTAAGACTGTCAAAGAGACTCAAGAAGCTCTCACATTTGTAGCTTCTTCAATTCCTGTGTCCATCTCAACGAATCGCAACTCATCGGGAGAGATTAGCTCTCCGATGGAGATCTCTCTCCAGTCGCGATCAACAAAGGCTGGATCGACATTCTTTGGCGGCGGGGGGGTTATCGATAAGGCTTTGAAGAGCAGCTTGGTTAAGTGACGGTTGGCGACGAGTCCGTGGTGAGCCCGGAGGTCCTCGAAGTGTCTCACTCAAGCTTTGACGATGCTGATGGTTTGCAGGAGGCATGTGGCCGACGCGGAGTGAATTGCGATTGGAGGAACGGGACTCAGTGCTGGATCGAGGCGATGCGATGTTGGCACCATTGTTAGAGCTGACAGATGTGGGCAAGGACGTATCCGAGCCTTCCCGAGGGATTTGCTGGTCAGCCATGACAATTCAGGTACAGCGATGTGTGTAATTGAGGAGGCAAGAGAAGCGGTGATGCGCGGGGTTAGAAGGCGTGAGCCAATCAGGAAAGTTGTTTTTCTGACATCATAGCTTATGTCATCGCTATGTGGGGGTTTAAGTATAAAAAGATAAGAATCATATAGCTCTTCTATTCCAAGTACAGATGTTATTTAATGCTGTGATACACGGAGCTTTGAGATCTGAGGTCGAGGTACAAAAAATGTGCTATAACTAGCAATTGTCTAATGGTGGTAGTCAACTCATCTCTTGGAGGCAGTTTCGGCTACATAACATCAGCACTAATGATACATGGCTCAGACGTGAGATGCAAGTCGTACACTACTGGCAACTTGAATTACCAGTAACTCAAGTGCTGCTATAAGGCTGAAATGGAGAAGAAAAGACAGGAAGTTCGCAGTAGGGCCTTCAACGAGAGTGTATTTATCTGATAAAGCGAAATTCATATCCAGGCCGACTTGAGTTTCTAAATAGAGTAAATATCCAGCCAGTAATATATTCAAAGACAAAGATTCATGATCAGCTCAGAAGAATTTGCCCGTACTAATAGCCAATTCAAGTGGTCACTCAAAGGTCAAAGAAATCATTGAGAAAGTTCAATCTCTAGGCAATCCCAGAAATCGGCCAATTCAGGCCCGAAAGTGGGAGGGCTTCTTCGGAGGCTGACCCTGCTTGCGCTTGCCGTTGTCGTTCTTCTGAGGCTTGCCCTGGTTTTGGTTCTGGTTCTGATCTTGGTGCTTGGGAGGGGGGGCTCTGGTTGCGCTTGTTGTTGTCGTGCTGGTTGTTGTTCTCCTGAGGCTTGTCTTGCTTTTGCTCCTTAGGAGGAGGGCCCTGGTCACGCTTGCCGTTGTCGTTCACACCATTGTCGTTCTGGCCCTTCTCAACCTCCGGTTGCGGAGCAACCTGGGAGTTCTGGGGAGGGGGAACATCAGAGGAAGAACCTTCCTCACGTTTGCCGTTATCATTCTCCTGTTGCTGAGGAGTGCTGACGCTAGACTCCTTAGGGAGAGGAGGGACGCCAGACTTTTGGGGAGCGGCAGCGTCTTGGTTCTGGTTCTGGTCTTGGTCCCGTTTGTTGTTGTCGTTGTCATTGTCCTGGCTCCGAGTCTGGGGTTTGTTCTGGTCTTGGTCTTGGTTCTGACCCTGGCCTTGACCCTGAGAGACTTCAGGACTTCCAGAAGCAGCAGGAAGTTGCTGGTTCGAGACATCGGTTGGACGCTCAGCAGGAGGAGCGGCCGCAACAAGGCCAGCGGCCATCAGCGTGCCAAGAACGTGAGAAAACTTCATTTTGATGGTAGTTTGAAGGAAATTGTAGAAAGATTGAGAGTAAAAGAATGGATGGACTCGGAAGTTTGGATCTGTTTTGAAGGCTTGTTGATCTGATTGATGAGAAGTTGGAGGGAATTTGTCTACCTCTTTATACATTTTCCAACCCCTTGAATCAACCGTGATCCAGACTCATTCGAATCACATCATAGGTCTCAATTTCAGTAAACATTGAATTTGTTGTACCGCAGCGATACGGTCGTCAGCTGTTTGACCCATGGGGAAATCGAGAAGAACATCAATGGAGAGAGAAGTTCGAGATGTGATCGAGACACATACATTTCCCCATCATACGTTTCAACGCATGTCGATCCAGATTATGCACACTGTAGTCGGAAAAAATCGGAATACGAATCCAAATGATGACATTCCTCTAGAACAGCAGCGTGATTAAGCTGTCGCCTGGATCCCTAAGTGGAGTCCTGGTTGATGTAGGTAGAAAGCCCTATGACGATGAATAATTACGAGGCATGCTTAGCAAAGTGGAGCTTGAATGAGGCAATCACCATGATCGGCAAACTAGGCATACATGCAGGTTTACAAATGGACCTCCGCAATTCCCATCGATGATGTGTTGAGGTTTTGGCGCGCACACGCGGCCCTGTCGATCTTGGTCCATTTGACCCACATCGATCATTCACTCCGCAATAAACAGAGATATAATTAGTTACAACATGGAAACTGAGATCAAGTGAGTACTCAGACTAGGAGCTAGGGCAATGGAGAAGGTCGTGTTAAACTAAAATGTTAATCAACCATATCACATAGTATCATGGGTATAGGTCCGAACTAGTGTCAAAATTTGGCCCGCAGGTAGTTTACGTGGAATTGATTTGTTCAGCTCAAAATTGAATAAATTGAGATCGCAAGGTACAAGAGTCGAGAAAAGGGCGATCTATCTCAACCACAATAGATGTGGGCCATTTCTGCAGCAATAATCGCTGGTAAAACCTTGGAAGGAAAGGGGGCATCGATGGCCAACAGTGGATTCTCAAGTTGCTCAAATACCGAGACTAGATTTTCTTCTGTAGCGATCATCGTATCTAGTACCATGTATGCTAATGCATATCCTTTTAGGACTTTAAAGACGTCTTCAAGCCAAGAACTGTGCAAGATTGCGAGATAGCTCAAATAAGATCGTCATCTCCAGCAGTCAATCCTATAGCCGTCTCTGCTGAGTTGAATGCTCAGGATGGCCCACATAGTGTTGATCTCGTATGAAAAGTTGGAACTGGGCAGTGCCCTTGGAAGGTAACACATGAAGACGGCAAGGTCGAACTCGGGAGCTCAAGATCTTCAAGACGCATAATAATTTTGAATACCCGTCTCTCGGGAACGTAATCTGACTGATGGGCCAGTCTAGATGGTATCGGACACATACAACATAGCCCGGGTGATGATCATCTCCGCATCGGCGTTACTCGACTGTACCGCTTTCGTCCTTTATTTGCGGAGATCGGACCGTGCTTCAGGAGTAAGGTCTTACGAGGTTTTTGCTTAGGACCGAGAAAGGATTTATTCTCCTCATCCGGCTCCCAGGTCGTTTGGGGGTACCTCTTTGCCGCGAGGCGTATGAACTCAGTCACAGCTTTAGAGACAGTTGATTCGTCAATCTTCCAATCAGCTGGGTAGACTTCCTCTCGGAGTCAGTTGATTGTTGCTGGCTTGTATGGGGCTTCCGTGCGGATGTCGCCTGCTCTTGTGAAGGTTTCTGACCAGCGACGGACGCGTTCGGATTGTGAGACAGATTTGACGAGCAGGTATACCAACTCATCTGAGAGGTCAGTATTGTCGGGAGGCAGGGAAACGAATTTATTTGCCTTGGACAGCGTCCCAGTCAAGGTTGGCGATTGGGGCGATTGTTGGCGGCGGCATGAGTTCTTCCCAGAGCAGAGATCGATGCACGTGCTGACTTCCCATCAGGTCATATCGCTCGCTTTGAGTTTCTTTGTATCCTTGTAGGCCTTTATTTCTTGGTACAGACCGCCAGGCGATGGTCAATACCAAGCTGCTCCAGGTCGTCGAAAGACGTGAAGTCAATGGCTTTGTTTGGGCCGGGCCCACACCTTCCAAGGTTGCGGAGTATCCCGATTTTCATCGAAGTTGTAGTCACCGGTGTAAAGGAAGCTCATATCTCCTTGGTATTTGAGCAGCTTGAATCCCAGGCTTGTAACGGTTTGCTCTGGTCACCACGCATGCAGTTTTTGGGGGACCTGAAGTGGGAATAGAAAAGCCTCTGTGTGTGGTGTGTTGTGTTGTGTGGTGAGGAAGAAGGTGATATATCACGAACTTCAAGTTGAAACGGAGACCTAATTTCAACAGTGGTGCTTCAATAGTAGTATCGCAATTGAATGAGACTGAAGTTGCGTATATATACTATCCCTTGACATAGTCAAGGAAGACGATGTATAAGTATGAAAAGCAGATGAATAGATCTGATCACACTGAGTCCAGCTCGCACATGTGAAGGGGCGTGTTGTAAGGTATCTTTCCCGAGCTTGAACATCTTTGCTTGTGCAATATCGGCCAAAGCAAGATTCACTTAATAGGAAAGTGAGAGCTTGAACTCTTTTTTTCTTCTCACGTTGCACACCATCTCGCCATAGATAACCTTTCACACATCACACATCATACACTTCTCACTCAAACATATCGTACACTTCTGACTTGGAACTCTCACATAACTCTCACGGGAACCTTAGCTCATTCCCTTGGTCGGCGCGGGGGACTGCTCAAAAATCAAGCAAACTCTCCTAACATGGTGCTCAAGTCCGGGCCACCACGGTCCTTCATGACGCGTGGCTTGACGGCTCTGGACTGAGGCACATCCAGGCCCCTTCTCTTGAGACCTGCCTGAGGTTTGAGGGAGATCTTCTGTAGGATGACGATCTTGTCCCACATCTCCGACGGGCAGTTCCATCTGTTTGCCTGGGCCCTTCGGGCCTGTCTATCCTCCCCAGCAGGATGGACAGTGGGTAGCTGAAACTCCATCATTGGGAGATCTCTGTCTAGCGTTGATGGAGTAGCTACTCGGTGCCCCGTGTTGTGAAAGAAGTTTGCGTCAAACGAGCTCTTATAGATCTCCAACAATGGTGACCACACCTTGCATGCGTCCCGGTTCAATGACATAGCCTTGGTGAGTGTCATGCAATACCAATCACCATGGTATACAGGTCCCCCCTTATCTTGCTGCAACGACCTTGTGATTAGATCACAGTCGTAGAGGATGATGATCTGGAGTTCTGGGAGTCGGCTGAGATGATGGAATGTCCTCCAGTTGACCAGTTTCTGACTATTCAATCGCAAGACACGAAGGTGCTGCAGTGTGTTTTGTGATTCAACTATCTCCAGCCAGCTGAGAACAACACTGTCACTGATACCATCCCGGGGAGCATTCTCAGCCCTTTGCATCTGAGATGGCCGAGATGGCCGACCAATGGGTCGGGGACTCATGTGCTGATTGATTTCTAGGGCAACCAAGTTTGTCATTCGGGCCAATGCAACCAACTCAGGATTGCCTGTTAGATCAGACGACACTGACAGCATAGCTCGCCATTGGCACTGCTTGGTATCCAGCAGGTCATAGTACTGGGCGATCGGCAAAGCAATGTTGTCAGCAGTGAAAATATATGACGGGGTTTCTTTGCGGAATTCTTCATAGTTTATTGCCATCACTCTCCACATGAAGAGTGTTTGTTTGTTGCTAAAGACTGGTTAGTATGAAAGTAAAATGCTGGTAGATTGTTGATAAATAACTTACAATTGCGCCAGATGGTTCCATATCTCCTCTGCAATATGCCATGGGATATTTTTGAACAAGTCGGGTGTCAGCAGAGACTGGTCCTTGGTTGCAATTCTGATGGCTGTATCCATGAGAGATCGAGTGCCTCTGGGTGGAGTGGGCCATCCACTGCCAGGCGGCCAGTATGGGGACTGGTGGAGCCAGAGCGGGCCTCGGTTGAAGTTGGTCTGGGGACCTTCAGAGTGGTGGTGAATAACAGGGTTAGACATCCTGACGAATGCAAGTGACACTGGATGAGATATTGAAGAATTGAAGCAGGGGGATGTTAAAGAAAGCCACTCTGGAAAAAGAGGATGGGCGATGAGAATGAAAACAACGCGTCTGGAGAGGGCGTATCTGTCGCAATCATTCATAGGCGGTGAGAATCCATCTGCCTGGTTTATTTATTGTCCTCACAGCATAAGCGCGTGTTAACATGAGACGGTTGTGAAAGATTTCCTAATCGGGAAAATATGAAGTCACGTGAAATTATATCGATGCACCGAATGTATAAAGAACCTCGCTATCAAAGTAATGTTAATAATAATCTTTCAAGGTAAAAGAGCATTCCATTGAGAATTCTTAACATGTATGACATATCCTAAATCTAGGACGCTTGCAAACTTGATTCACACTGTGGATTTTCCCTGATACAGTCTGTAGCAGGCTAGGTGCAACCCTGGGACAGGTATATCCTTTTTGTATCGCATTTTTCAATCCATGATGCAAGCTGGAGATCTGTTGAGTTGATATCATTAGCAATGTATAACCTTAATAGGTCACGAATGTTCACTGGTACTCATGCACGTACATATACAGCAGCCCGAGTAGATAGCCCCCCGAACGTCCGGAACTCCATATACGAGACTCCTCCAGGGCTTTATTTCAAAACCTCACCCCTCGCATGAACTTGATGAAGCATGCCGACTCCACCGCCTAATATAAGGCCCATATAAAAACATAACATAAGGCACAGGTAGGAAAAGCAAAGCGATAGCACCCAAAAGCGTCATGATCCACGCAACACCCAGATTATCATACATAATCTGAGCAATACAAGCCATAATACCAGCGGCCACAAGCCTGAACATCTGCAGCGAAGCCAATGCTGACGCAGAATGATTTTCAAATGCCGCAGCGACATATTGATAGCTTGAGACAAAGATGCCGAGGGCTCCGAAGCCGAAGGCAACGGCTGCGATGAGAGGACACCATAATGAGATTTTAGGGCGGGAGGTCCAGCCCATCCAGAAAAGAGAGATGGTGAAAAATGGAGCTGTGAACATGGAAAGGTAGAGGTTGAATTCTGGACCTGGTCGAGATTGGTTCCGGGCTCGGGCTCGGTAGATGTCGCGCCGAATTAGATATTGGGTGAACGGAATTAAGGGAATTGTGAGTAGAACACCGACTGCGATACTGAGGAATGTGGGACCTAGCTGTCCTCCGTTGAGTTTGTAGACTTCTTCAAAAACGGATGGGAAGCCAGCGGAGAAAGTGTAGAGTACGATGAAGATGATGCCGAGATAGCCGCTGAAGATGATGATGATGGGTTCTGTCCATAGGAGGATGCAGGGACGGTATAGTGCTCGGCGAAGTCGCTTACTGAAGCTCATGGTTTTGAATTCGAGAGGAGCCCGATATCTATCGTCTTTTGTCAAACGACGGAGATTCTTAGCTTTCCAGTGCAGGATTATGGGACTGTAGGTCTCCGGGAGGAAGAATATAGTCGGGAAGAGGATTAGCCCAGCAAAGATAATCGTTATCCAGTCTACAAATCTCCAGCTAACGGCGTGGGTCCAGGCTATAATGGAGCCCGGAACAGGGCCAAGAGTTGCCCCTAGGAAGGCTACAATGGAGAAGAAAGGAAAGGCGTAGTTCCGCTCAATTGGAGACCAGATGTCGACGAGAGCAGCCGCTGAACAGACTAAAGGTGCAGAGCCGAAGGTTCCAGCAAGCCCACGACATACCGTCCGCTGAGCAACATTTTTGGAGAGTCCTGCACCCATATCGAAAATCATGAAGGCCGGAAGACATGTGAGATAGACAGGGTTGCGTCCGACAAGCTCGGAGATAGGTGCCGTGATCAATGCACCGAGTCCGAGGCCGATAAGAAACAGAGCTAGGGAATTCTTGTATTAGTTTTCTTTTTGCATTCTACTAAACCAGTGTGGAGATCAAAAAGTTCTTCGAATCATCACGTACCAGTTGGTAAAGTCTCAATTTCGAAGGTTGTATGGAACTCCTTTTCTGTCTTCTTTATGGCGGTGCCATCAATAGTAGACGACCATATAATGATAGCTCCAAGGAAAGAGAGGAGGACAGTAGTTGCACACCGGGATAAAAATGACCAATTATGCGGGTCTGCAGGATCGCAGTCTCCTTCATAGGTAACAACTATAATCTTTTCCTTCTCATCAGTATCGCTCCCTGTGGTTGATCCACCAATATCTGTACTCATATCTCTTCTGGTTCGCTGGCCCTCCACACCAGTCACCATCATGTCGACGTCAGTTCCTAGAGCGTCTCTTGTATTGATAGTAAAGGGCTCAGCATTAAGCTCCGGGTGACAGTCCTGCCGCTCGATGTCCTCTTCTCTTCCTAGGTGTGCCCGTAACTGGTGTCGAGGCTCAAGTGCGGGTCCGGAGATCATTGTTCGCTGCCCGTGCTCTCGACGCCGGTCTGCTGCTATTCCATCATCAGGGTATTGCTCATCGGACTGGATTCCTCCTTCTTCAGGATACCAGTAACGACGCTCATGGGTCCAGGCATTGTTGGATTCTCGTTTGACGACAATCTGTTTCTCAAGCTGTCTGTAGATTCTTCGTTGTTCTAGAAACGACTGCATGGTGCGAGCACAACCGAGAAGTGATGGTAAATTGGACACACGAGAGAGAAATGAAATATGCTGTATTTAGAGTATTTGAACATTTTTTTCGTGCGGCAGAATAGTGATGGTAGGAAAAATTTCCCGATGTGTTGCTTTACAATGAGGTCAGACAGACCGAAGGGTGTCGTCAGTCAGTCTCGAAATTGGAACTTCACATAGTATTTTGAGTAATAAAGACCGATATCAAAAAGTTCTTGAAAGAGATAGGGATGAAATAAGAATAGATCACAATTCGTGTAAACCGCAATATCCAGAGCAAGCGATCCCCGGACACCAAGGGATGGAATTACGTACAGAGCGAGTCGTTAAACTAGAAAGCAATAGAAAGAGATAAAAAAAATGTCCAGGAATTGAGAAGAGCCACGACTCCTCAGGATCGTGCTTCAGTGTCGCGAATTTACATCACATAAAGAAGGTTCGTATCTGCAGAATAACCAGTCAGTCTCGAATGGTAAATTGAATTGCAGAATTGAAGACTTACCCAAAGGGTGGCTGCAGCTCAGCTGTGGCTTTTGGGTATACTTCTCGGATAATTCGTCACGGATGCTGTTCAACAACTGGACATAGCTCTGCTGGGGGTTCTTGCGGAGCGCCGCAATAAAGGCCCACGACATGGCACCAGTGGCCTGTCCAGCGATCTGAGCATCTTGACTAGTTTGGTCATCCTTGCTACCAGACCACATGACCACGTCGGCAGGACTAGTCTTAGTCTGCTTGTTGCGCTCATACACCTCATCTCCCTTGGTTGCCTTCTTGATGAAGCCCATCGCAGTAGACATCATACTACCCATATCACCACGAGCATATGCCTGCACCACTCCGAGTAGACCCTGACCAGCTTCCTTGGCAAGGTTGGGCTCCTTGAGGACACCCGAGGTAGAGTAGATGTAGGGAAGATCCAACGCCGAGCCGGAGTGGCATGAATCGAAGATAGCTGTGAGACGCACCCCAGGTTGCAAAGTTTGCACCATGATGCGGTGCATCTCGTCATCGACAATGTGACCAGCATTTCGAAAGTCAACAGGGTAGATCACCTCATCGTATCCGTCGTCCTCGTCACCGTCCAGATCTTCTGTTTGACCGCCGTGACCTGAATTGAGAATAGGTTGGTTAGATCATGGTCTTGAGTTTCGCGTAACAAAATCGCAGTAGACGAATGACTTACCAGAATAATGGAAGAAGAGCGAGTCATTTGGCTGCGCGTCCTTCACCAACCAGTGCATCGCACGGAGAATGTTCGCCTTGGTAGGCTGGCTCATTGGGTTTTGTTGATCATCCGTCAGAAGGACCATGTCCTCGCGCGCGTATCCGAAGCTCTGGTTCAAGTAGGTGGACATATTCTTCACGTCATTGATACATCCGCGCAGCTGACCCTTTTGACCGAAGTAGTTGATTCCAATCAACAAAGCCTTTCGCTTACCAGTGCATCGCGAGTACTGGAAGTTGTAACCTTGCGGGGCGCCGTTTCCGAATGAGACAGGGCAGTTGGAGGGGCCGAAGGACCACCCTGGCCGTATTGGTTGCCTATGCATCGAAATTTCGAGTCAGCTTTGTATGTTCGAGGTATTGGGTCCCGAATGCGCGCACCTTGGATGGGGCGGGCTTGACCCTGGTATCCTTGAGGAGCCTGTTGATACTGCGGAGGATGCTGAGGAGGAGCCTGAAAGTAGATAAACACATGTTATTATCTTTCACATAAAAATAACACTTTGGTAGCTTGGTGACGTACATTGTACCCTTGCTGCGGGGCAGGCGATCCGTATGGTTGTTGAACGGGCTGAGGAGAGTGACTGTAGCCGTAAGGGTTCTGAGGTGGGGGAGCCTGTTGATGGTACTGCTGGCCAGGATATCCACCATATGCCTGCTGCTGAGGGGGCATCGGTCTGGAACAAGAGTCAGCTCTTAGCGCCCAACACGCGCAACCAGGAAAGGAGAGAACATACGGGTAGCCTTGCTGCGGGGAATATTGCTGGGGTGGAGGGTATCCGGGCTGACCACCCGAGTAATGCGGATAGTAAGACATCTTCAGAAAAATATGATCTGAGATGAGTGTGAAACGCGGAGATGTGAAAGAAGAAGAGGTTGGGTTTATGTGGAGAGTGGAGACGATCCGCAACGCAAAACAGATCGGAAAGTACGGGAGCGGCCCAGCCGTCGGGGTTTTAGATAGGAGAAAAAACAGAAAAAGATTTCAAATGAAATAGATCATGAACATAAGATGCAGGAACCAAATAATGCGAAAGAGGAAAATAAATGCACGAACTGTGATCGACCGGAACTTGAAAAACTTGCGAGATCAATCCTTATAAGGGAGTATAAGGGAAAAAAAATGAAGATCCCAAGTTCTCATTACTTCATATCTATTGGTCTTGGATATCTGACATGCAGCCTGACGGCGACCCCGAGATGGAGCTGGAGCCCAAATATGTACTAAGTAGTAGTATGCACAAGTGCCTAGGTAACCCCCAATATTTTCACTTATTAAGAAGTTGATAGCCTTGAATATATGGAGTTTGCTATGTCCTAGTTAACTAACTAGTTAGCTACACACTACTAGTTGGGATAAAAAAAAAGAAAATAAATAGATCACATCTACTACAAGTTGTATTAACCGCGAGGTCCACTTACCAGCAGAAAGATCAATAACTTGTTTAGGACTCAATAGTGGCCAATGATCATGTAAACAACTGGTAGTGGAGCCAAAGATACTTCGTAGAAGATCGATCCTTTCAGGAGAAACAAAGGGGGAAAAAGAAAAGAAATATCAAAGTTTGCAATGCATCCTCATACTCGTGCGGTGTCACCAGTAAATGCCAGTGCCGACTTCGGAGTAACTTTATACTGAGAACTTCGAGCCTCATGATACAGACTCGAAGTAGGAAATAAACAGGAAAAGAATTTATATGGTTCAGGAGAGCAGGTCATGTCTACAAACGTCTTCTATTCTCCCTGTTCTGTGTCATCATCGCACAGATTCTTGGTCTCAATAGTTACACGGAATAGCCAAGTCCCACAGGAACGGGGCCTTATTAGAAAGAGTTCTCCCAATCATTTTTTTGTTTCGAATGAAAAGAAAAAGAACAAGGTCATCTTCTTATGGCGTTAGACTCATTTACCCGCGACGGGGCATTCCACGGCCACGGCCGCGAAGAGCCCGCTGGGCGGCACCGGGGGGAAGGCCACGACTTGGGGCTCCAGGCTGAGCAGACTCCTCGTTCTCTGTAAGATGGCGTGCGTTAGTCAGGGACATCAGATGAAACAGTACAGCATGAACTCTCCGTGCTGGAGAGGGGAAGTACAAGGTAATAAAGGAAAAGATTGACAGGTCACTTACTGATCGTCTCATCCACACTCAAAATCAAGCAGGCCGCTTCCACAGCAGCCTGGATAGCATTGACCTTGACCAAGCTAGGCTCCCAAACAAAAGCAACCATGTTGTCTCTAATACCCTCGTTGTCAAAGTCCACACCGGCCCACACGTTGCCCTTGCGGTGCTCCACGCGAAGACGGTTCAGGATGTCGGTGGCGTCGAAACCAGCGTTATCGCAAAGCTGGCGGGGAATCACCTCCAGGGCCTTGGCGAAGGCCTTGACAACAGCCTGCTGCTTGTGAGGAACATTACGGTCAGCAAAGCCGTGCAGGTAACCTGACAGCTCCATCTCAGTAGCACCTCCACCAGCAACGATGGTGGTGTTGCGCAGAGCGCGCTTGACAATCATAATAGCGTCGTGCAGACTGCGCTCAACCTCCGCAATAAATTGCTCAGCACCACCACGCAGCACCAAGGTGCAGGTCTTAGCAGCAGGGCACTCCGAGAACAAGTTGAAACGCTCTCCACCGATCTGGCGTTCCTCAAAGGCACCACAGGTACCGAGGTGGCGGTCCTGGATGTCGCTGCAAGTCGACTGGGTAGCGGCTCCGGTAGCCTGGCACACACGGTCCATGTCGTCGGAAGCGACACGACCAGCACAGAAGATGTCACGGTCCGCAAAGTACCTGCATTGTACATTAGTTAAAAGAAAGCCCTCCTTACATCACACTGCCTTTTCTTCTTTTCTTCTGGAATACGTACTGGGTAGCAAGATCACCAATAGGAAGCTTGCTAAGAACAACCTTGGCACCGGTCTTGTAGATGGCGTCAAGCTTGTTGTAGATAATCTGCCATTCGGCATCGACAATAGCCTGGTACTCGGAGACTTGCTCAACGCGAACCTCCGCATTATCCTTCTCACTCTTCAACTCCAGCTCGACATTGAGACACACAATCTTGGGATCCTTAAAGAACTTGGGCTGCTGCTCGAAACCGGCGTAGGAGAAGGTCTTCTTGAAAGCGACACCGTTCACGAAAAGGGACTCCTGGAGACCACCACCAGTAATCTTCTTGATACCGATCAACTTTTCGTTCAGGTCGTCCTGGTCCAGGGTAAGCACCGCATCGACAACCACTATAATTATAGCCTCTGTTAGCCATATAAAATCCACACACTCCGTCCGGGTCAATCCTCACTCTTTGTGAAAAACTCCTGATTCCGCTTGATGAGCTTGCTGTTCATGGCTGTACCGGCTAGTCGTCGGAGGGTCTCAATCTTCTTCTCCTCGCTCTCAGCAGAGTTGATCATCTCCACGGCGATCTCCTTGATCTTGTTGACCGCCATACCACTGGCTCTCCGCAGACCCTTAATGATAGTCTGCGAGCTAACGCCCTGCTCAACCAAATCCCGAACCTCCTTCAGAATCTCACCGGCGATAACGACGACCGAGGTAGTTCCGTCACCGACTTCGGCATCTTGGGATCGGGCGATATCAGTGAGGATGCGGGCGGCGGGGTGCACAATATCCAGAAGCTACATCGAAAAAACCCCCCAAAATTAGTCCAACTCCCCCTGAATGGTTTTGCGCAGACTTGAATAGTTCCCGAATACCGGGATAAGATCATCCACCCACCTTCATCACTGTCGCTCCATCGTTTGTAATTGTTGTCTTTCCATTGCTGTCCACAAGCAGGAGGTCACCTCCATAGGGGCCCAAGGTGCTCTTAACGGTCGACTGTACGGCAACACATGCATTGATGTTGGAGATAATCTGACCCTTGCCCTGAGAAGCGTCGGTGCCTGTTCAAAAATGACAATGGTTAGCATAGGTTCCGTCCCACCATCACACGGTAACCACTCGTAACTCCGACGGGGGGTAAAGGAACCACATACCCTCCTTCAGCACGACAATGGTGGGGGTTTGGCCGGCGAAGGCCATTGTGAAAAATCGAGATAGACCGAAACCTTGTCACGGGAATACAAAAGATTAAGGGAAAAGGAGAGGCCGTGAAGGTCGGAGGGGTTTCGCTGATCTTCGACCGCCAAAATTTCCCAGAGCTTCTGTTTCCCCCCCCCCCATCTGCCCAAGGCGGTGACCACTATAATTCTATACACTTCTACTCCATACATATTCTGTGTGGTTCATGCAAATCTACTAGGGAATTTTGTTTTAAATTTATTTGAATTCTCTTCTTTGGTTAGAGTTGAATCATAATGATTAGACAGCATGATGAATGCAAGAAAAAAAAGACCCCGAAAAAAAAAAGTACCTGTGCCTATAATGCCCGGTAACCATGCCTTGCCAAATTGTCTCAACGCCAAACACACAAGATTTGAGACCAGCTCAACTGAAATCGTAATTCCCATCAGAAGGACTACCGTACTCAAACTTTGAAAGGAGCTCGGCATCATGTTGCAAGTCGTGTGAGGTCGAATTCATTAACCCCAGAACTTCTTGCCGAAAGGGGTCGGACCCATCGTCAACCATCATTTGATACGCATTACTGGCCGTATGGTATCGCATAGCATCGTCAAAATTCGTGAAACCCATATTGTGACTGTGCCCATAAGCTCCAGTCATCGCATTGGTGCTTTGCTGTTGATAACGTCGCAACTGTTGCTGCAGCTGCATAATCTGCGGATCGAGAGGCATTGGGGTATAGTTTGTCATGGGAGGTACCACGCCGGGTACGTGGGTGGGGTGGTTCGGATGAATTGAAGAGTGAACGAAGGGGCTATGGCTGGGAGACTCATCAGGGGCCTCATCCATTGTTTGAGAGACATCGATATGTTCCTGGGCCTGCTCCATGGGTTCATCGGAAGCGTCTTCAGTATCTGCCGGGGGTGATATGTCTTCTTCTTTGCTTCCAGGAATTGGCGGCGCCTTGAGAGTTTCCTTGCATTGAGGACAATCTCGAATAACCCGGTTGACGGTTTCTTTGATTCGGACCCAATGGTACTTGATCGCAATGGCGGCGGTAGTTTTGTTGATACCAGCATGTTGTTTGAGGTGGACCTCCTTCGCAATCTCATATTGGTGTTGTGGATCGGAAACAACCTCTTTATCCTTCAGCATCAGCTTATCAGGCTCGCCATCAACGCCCTCTATGAGCTTGTAGTGGGTGGCTGCACTGCGTAGTCGACTTTTCTCGGCTCGGTCGGCGCCTCGGGGGTATTTTGCGTGCTTCAAATAATACCGAATCTTCTCAAACCGATCTTGTGACACTGAGTCTTCGCCATCTAAGCTCAGACCCCGGCCATAGATGATTGCATCCACAAACTCCCCCGGCTGCGATTTGAGTCTTCCGCCACCTGGAATTCTACCGATTCTCTTGAAACCCAATGAATCCCAAAGACGACAGGAAGCAACATTGCTTTCGTAGACCAAATTGAAGACGGCATATGTATAGCCCTATTCTCGGGCGTTAGTAATTGGAGGGGGCATTTGTTAGCGTGGGTGGGGATTGTGATAAAGTACTCACTAGTCGAGGTGCCCACTCCAAATAACCTTCACCCATCAACCTACCCACACCCTTGTTTCTAGCTGCATCGGTGACAATGAATGTGCCATTACAAACATGACTACTCCAGCCAGGGTAATTCGGACGGATATGGAAGCCACCCAGACAAATTTTGGTCCAATTGGCACCTGCTTTGTCCATAGAGTGTGTCTGCTGTACATTTTGAATATCTCCAAGCAGCATGACCGCGCCAAAACTGGAGAACCAATAGCGACCGAACTGCGCTAGTGGAATGGCCTCGGACATAGCATAGGTATCACCTTTTTCAATTTCTTTGTTGAATTGATCGGAGAGATACTTCAGTAGGGATTTTGGCACCTCCTCCGCCGAAGCGAATGGCACCAGCGTAGCCACCGTCACGCGGTCACGGAGTGTGACTTGCCGCGGAGTCAGAGCTAGAGGGTAATCTGGCTCCTGGCTTGTTGAGACCAGCTCTGAGTCGCCTTGGACTTCAGACATGATGGGGAACTTTGGAGATGCTATGGTATTGTTCGGTCAGTTCCGGTCACGGTACTGCTTGCCATATTAGTCCGCCACTTTCTTTTTTTTGCCTCTTTTCAAATTCCATGCATTGGAGAGTCCATGGATGAAAATGTGATGTGTAATAAAGCTACTCTTGATAATTCAAAGCGTTGAAGCCTTTCTATTCTCACCAGGATCAAAGGAAGGGACCATCACTAACATTCTGTATGCTTCTAGAAGCCTGTTTGCACTTCGAGGACCGCGTGAGTATTCTAGAGTCCGGAATGGCCGCAACGCAAGTTGGCGGAAGACGCCGTCCCTGCTGACTCAGCTGATACCTCAGGGGGTAAATCACGTGTCGTAATTTTAATGCCTCAGGCCAACATTGGTCAATAGCCTGCGTTGAATTGATTTTTGCTTTTGCAAAACACTGATAAGTGTTTCGAATGCAAATTATGCACACAGGGGTGGGTCGAAAATGTATGCGACATGTATACAGAGTAGTCGCACCTCAAGATAACTGCAGAGAACCCGATGGCGCAGCCACGAGTACGGAGTACTCCGTACCACATTCTCAACCTTGGAAGTGAGGGATAAGCTCATGGATCGCTACTCAAACCATCGCCCAAGTTAACTAGTAAACTTCGAGGCCAAAAGAAGCAAGACTTTTGGCCGCTCCAAAGACTATGTACATAATAGCAATAATAATAAATCAAGTACCTTGGTTTAAGAAAGTCATGATGTACTCCGTAGTACGCATGGGCATTCTTAAGGTTGTACTACTAAGTACAAGCTCAGAAGCCCCTGGAGGCTTGTACGTACTACGTATTGTTACCATGACGCCAAGATTCACCTAAAAATGAGTAAATCTTCAACTTGAAGCTATTCCAGACTGTCATCTGGGTAGTCTTTGCACTGGCAGATTCAACGTAAATGGTTGCGTAGGTGATTCCAACACCGAACATTTGAATACTACGTTGAGAGGACCCCTAAAGGACCAAAATCAAGATTAATTGAATGTGAAAACTATGTCTGGTAGATCCTTTGCTTTGATCTACTCCAGGAATTACAAACAAGCTAAAATTTGAGTGCGAGATACCATCTGTAAGAGAACGGACTCTTCAAATTCCCACTCCGTAGATCAGCTCGCAGTTGAGCCCCACAAGGCAAAGTGGGGGCTAAACAATGGCCTAAGGCCCTCAACCTTCCGAGGACATTCTTAACGTCCTACAAATACAGTCAGGGAGATTCTGCTCAAGCACCAGAAAAACCATCAATATGGCAGATCCGAGCTTATCAGAGGTCCCAACACATTATCGCTCTCTTTCTATCCTTTTCGGCTACCTTTCACTTATAATTGTCTTGTTTTTCACCGTTTGCAAGACAATTCATGCGCGGTATCAAGCCCGCCAGAAGAGAAATGATTGGGCTACCGGGCAGCGACGCGTCCAATTCTTCCTGTTCTCTTTCCTAGCAACTCTGAGCATTGGAACGACCTGGTTCTACATGATTGCCTTTTTCTTTCACTCGTATGACACCTGGGCAAGCAGCTCTAGTGGATTGGTTTATTCCAGCATGGAATTGTCAGTCATCACGCGTATGGGCCTATGGTTAAAGAATACGTATCTGTTTCAAGAGGCCTGGCAAGCGGTTTCTGAGGATCTGGGACGGTTCTGGTGGAGTGGACAGATCTTCGGATGGACGATTGGGTGGGGACTTTTTATTGGCATCACAGGTAAGTGAGGTTGAGACTGAAGTGCGGGTCGATTCTGTTCAAGAACTGCCAATCTTTTATCAATCCCTCAAATGGAATGGCTGATTAACTTCTTATAGGACGGAGATATCGAATCCCACGTGTCTGGGTGTACATGCTTCTAGCTCAGTGTGTCAGTGTCTCATTTGCTGCGAACCTTTTCTTCGCCACAATCGCTGTCTCTGAACGTCCAAACGAGAAAGACAGCTCTTTCACATGGTCTCCATTGCTAGTATACGAGCTACTACCGGTGGTACTGTCACTTGTTGATGCAGTGGCCGTTCCGATCTTTGCATACCAGAAAGATTTCATGTTCATCTTACTTGTGCCTCACATCCTGACGTTTGTCCCGGGCTTATTGGGCCCTAGAGATTCCTCCAGAGCGACCAAGGTACAGGGAGAGAAGACTACTCGTCGCTATGCCGTGTTTTTGACATGGATTGCGGTCACATCCGTCGCCATGCAGGCGTACTTCACTGGCTTGCTGCTGCAAGAGTTTGGACCTGATGTTTCATATGGCGAGGTGGTTCAACAGTTGTGGGATACGATATACATTCATCCCGCCTGTAGTAGTGTGAGCTGGGATGTGATTATGTGTACCGGGAGCTCTTTTTCCTGGGCTTTGGCACACGGCTTTAAAACAAGTCAGATGCTTGGTGGACAGTGAGATATTGGGGAGCATATACTACCTACGGACATTAGAAACATCGATTCGATTATTCTTGGCTGGGTAAAAAAGATTTTTTATTCTCTGTTCAATTTTGTTCAAGGGGTTATTCATACAACACCTGAAAGATGAAGACTCACCTCATCGCCCTATCATGTCTCCTCTTTTTATTATTACGCAGTCGACAAACATTTGAAGTGCTGCCTGATAACGAGCCAAAATTATGATTCCCGAGAATTATTCTCGAGAAAACTGATATTTACAATCCTTGATCATTATGCACCTTTTTTCGAACCTCAACTTCGCAACCTCCGCGGATAACAGCGACCCTCAGCTCTTCAAGTCGGATGTGTGCAGCTCGAGAGTGATTATAGACACCCCCATAGAACATCTCAGTGGCATCCTTTCCAATTCCACTAGCTAAAAGCTGTCTTCCTCCAGGATGCTCATCAATAAACTGAGTGACATCATGCACAACACCAGCAACAACAACAAGCAGTCGACCCTGACTTTTAGCCTGGGTATACTCATCCCATTCAATTGCCGGCAACTCAGCAATTGGTCGGCCCCAGTTATGTTTCTCCTTCTCCTGATCTAGATGCTTCTGCTGTTGCAGAATCTGACACTTCTGGATTTCATCACTGGGGAATCGTTTCAAGTCGGATGCAAGTCCAAGCTGACACCATGTCCAAATCAACCACTTTGTCGGATCATACTGAAACCATCGAACTGCGTTGCGGTAATCCGAGGGAAACTCGTGATGAAAGTTATGATAACCTTCCCCCAAAGCTATCAAGGCAGTGACAAGATGATCGCGAGGCGAATCGCGGTCCTCATAAGGCTGATCACCTAGCCAGTGAGCGAGCGAGTTGACGCAGAAGGTAGCCTGGTGAACAAAGAACATTCTCAAGATCCCAGCATACACAAAGCCACCCTTCCAGTCATTCCATCCGAGACCGCTGACAGCTGTAGGTAGCAGAAGGACCATACAAAGCATCAGGATCACATAATTCTGATGCTGCCACATGACTACCGCATCGTTCCTGAGATCCGTAATCTCTGTTTGACCAATTCGCTTTGGATTCTGCTTGTTCACTAACCATCCCATATGCGAATATGCGAGTCCTTTATTGACTGAATAAGGATCTTTATCGGTATCAGTATGACGATGGTGAGCACGATGGTTTTTGGCCCACCATCTGACGGATCCTTCGCCTGCACCTGCTCCGACGAGGGCCAGGTAGACCTTCAGAGGTACGGAGGCGTTATATGATCGATGAGACCAGAGTCGATGGTACCCTGTCTCAAGCGTTAACTCGGTCACATTAATTCTGCTCGGTGGATTTCTTACCTGCAGTGATTCCAGTGCCGGTGCAAAAGTAATATATGATCGACCATATTGCTGTCTCATATCGCAGAGGCGTCCTCGATGCTTCGATCATTCCATAGAGGGGAATTAGGACGGTCAGAATAATGCCCAACCAGTTCAACTTCTTGTGCCAGTTGTGGATGGTTGTCGGCACTTCTGTTATGTGAAGCTTCTGAGGCACTTGAGGGACTTGACCTGTCCCATCGGTGGTTGATGGAAATTTTTCCATATTTGAAGAGTATTCTCTGCCTTCTGGCATGCTGACAGGAAAATGGCCAGGCGATTTCGTACTCATTAAAAATCAGATCCAATCAGACCAGATGATGAGAGCAGATGGAGCTCCTTTTGTTGTCGAGGTGACTCGAGGAAAAGCAAATACTACTACCTAGGTAGTATGTAGTACATGTTACGGGATACGGAGTACATATAACAGTACCGCCAGGGCTGTTCTGATAGCAAAACTTTCAACCTTTCAGGAGTAGACCAGTGTAGTACAGATGAAAGCATCCCCTATTCCCATATGCAGGAGACTCTATCAAAGCATAAGCCAAGTGTGAAGTCATTCAAGTTTTCTTGTCCATAATTGCCTATATTGGCGGTCTCCCTTGCTTGCCGGCTAATTTTGTCTCCTGTAAGATGAATGCACGGAACCTTACGCTCATAAGTGGAGCTTTGGAAGTCGATCTTGTCAATCATGATGCAAGCCCTAGGGATATTGACTCGTATGATAGTGAGGTACCAAAAGAGATTTGTTATGTGTGCCTTGAAGTCTGTTTGACATTGATCGGCTCATGGTAACACTTAACTCCTGAGTCGGTAGAGAAGCGATCGGAATTTTCCATACGTTCCCACAGATATGACTCTAGTTGCAATATTGAGCCGTCTTGTCTTACTACATGTATTATTTGTTTCAAGTTTCAGGTATCTCAAAATCACTGGGGTATAGGAGAATAATACTTTGATGCCTTCCAAGGTTAATATTCGTTCGGTGTTCACTCGGCGCTGACTCGGATAGATTGATCAGTCACAACTACTGAAAACAATATGGATCCATCGAACCAGAGGATGCTTAACAAAAATTTGAATTTTAAAGTGCATAAGCCCCGCGCTAATGTGCTTGTTTCTTGTACATTAATTACAAATATCCGTCCATGCTCTATGAGTCATTTCCCTATCTCGCATTCCCGGGGGTATAACACAACTCATCATTCCAATACATTGTACAGATATCGAGCATCTCCGTTTCTATTTGCATCTCATATATCATTTCTCCTTATTCTACATAAAATGGCTGAGAATAAACCAGCTGTGGTCTGTGTATTGTGAGTCATCCCCCCGCTTCTCAATTTATCTTCATAGAATATCCAAATTAATTATGATGGATCTTATAGCTGCGGTTCAAACCCAGGTAAAGAACCCGATCACCTCGAAGCTGCAAGATCACTCGCACAAGAATTTCATAAACACAATGTGCAACTCGTGTATGGCGGCGGCACTATAGGATTAATGGGCGAGATCGCCAAAACCCTGGTCTCGCTCTCTGGTCCAGAATCCGTACATGGGTTTATCCCACGTGCACTTGTGAAAAGAGCCAAGAAAGCAGGAAACAGCACCGACGCGACAGACAGCGCGGGCAAAGCCGCAGAGCGCTTAGTCAAAGACGATGTACTGGACGAGGATAAGATTCCTGCATCGGAATATGGGATGACCACGATTGTGGAGGATATGCATACCCGCAAACGGCTAATGGCGGAAAAGGTTATGGAAGGTGGACCTGGATCGGGGTTTGTTTCGTTGGCTGGTGGGTTTGGAACTATTGAGGAGATTATGGAGATGACAACCTGGAATCAGTTGAGTATTCATAAGAATGGGTTGGTTTTGCTTAATATTCGAGGATACTGGGATGGACTGTTGGCCTGGGTTTGCACTGCGGTTGAAGAGGGGTTTATCAATGCCCAGAATGCGTCGATTCTAGCTGAGGTTCGTGATCCAAAGGACGTTTGGCCGCGGTTGTTGGAGTATCAGGTCAGTAGTGCGCGAATGCAGCTGAACTGGGGTTAGTGCTGTTGGGCAGCCATAGTGAAGACCATGTGGAATAAAATCACTGAATGGATGCTGAGGCTGAGCTTGCTGTGGTATGGTTCCTCCTATCTAGAATTGAGCTGTTTTTCGTCCCATTCAAGTTCAAGTTGTCATTCCCAATTTTCTATTTCAGGAACGTTTGAAACGTCCAGATGTCCCTTTAGCCCCACTCAGTGTCTGGGAATACAGCCTCGCTCAATCCACCACGCTATAAGGAATTAATACTCCGCGCTGGGGACTCCACAACATATGGAGCATAATTTTTCAAAGCAAAGGATACTATTCAAAATAATTTCGGCCAGAATCGATATGATGAGGAAGTCCGCATAGTCAGATTCCATAGGTCGGACTAACAAGCTTACCTGGCGACCTGAAACTTGAACTTTCAATGTTCCAAGGTTGGCGGGTGCTCCCGGGAATCATGCTAAAATAAGTACAAACGAGGCTATCTAAAAAAGGAATACGCCCCCCAAGTTTAATTATGGCAGACACAAAAAGTAAAGTCATGTGATGGTGAAACAGAGGATCTGCATCTCGTATCTCTGCCCCGCTAAGTCCCCGCCTACTTAAGTACTCTTTACTTCCCATTTAATCTGATATATCACTCCAACAACACGTCATAATGGGTTTTCTTCACCATAATCTCGAGCCTGTTGCCGAGCCTATCGCACTTTTTGATCAATTTGTGTCACAGGAGCCGCAAACACTTATTTTGAAAGAGAAAGTGCTTTCTGTGACTGGAGATAGCTTTGATGTCAAATTGACTAGTGGCCAGACTCTTCTCAAGGTGCATGGGGCCTGGGTATCTATCTCCGATCGCAAGAAGGTCGAGGACGCCTCCGGAACCCATCTCTTTGATATTGTTAAGGAGCATTTTCATCTCCATACAACCTACGCGATGGAAGACACCCATAAGAAGAAGTTTGCTGAGGTGAAAAATGCCCTGAAACGTGAGTACTTCATTCCCTTGGGATAAGAAAATAAGCTCTCTATTCTGTATACAGAGCTGATTCAAAATGGTTCTTTAGTGGTCGGCTCCAAAGCTACCGCCACTTTCACGGATCGCAACGACCGAGTATCGACTTTCACTATGAAAGGTGGCTGGTTTGACCACAGCGCCGATATCGTCAATCAGAAGAACGGTCAAAGTGTTGCCCGCATTGATCGAAAGCTGCTCACTGGCCGTGACCTTTTATTTGGCCAACAGACATATGCTGTCACTGTGGCGCCAGGAGTGGATGCCGCATTAATTGCCGCATTGTGTATATGTTTCGACGAGAAGAACAACGAGGACAAGGATTAAAATCCCCGCTGGTGGAAATATAGCGTGCTTTTTCAGAACGAAAAGTGTGCCTAGGGAAGGGTGAGAAGAATATGGAGTGTGACGTGATATCATGATCTACGGACGGTAGACCAAGGGTCCCAACTTGAATCTAACAATACTGTATAAGTCCGTCACCTATCAGTCGCTCGGGCTCTGAAAGTACATAGTGTAGCGACAACCTGAGATGGCAAGTCAACAAAGTCTTCAAGTTGATGATTGATCCGATGCTATGTAGATTTTCCGACCAATTTGATTAGAATCCGAGTCCCCGGGTCGGAGTCACCTCAAGTATACAAATCCTACCTATTAAATGTGTATTAGATTAATTATTGCAGTTTCATCCCGAATTTTACGCAATATGATGCTTGAGCCTGCAGCTAAGGTCGATGAGAGGTGTGGTACGGAGTACATGTACCATAGATATCGACTCCACACGGGGCAGGCGCAAATGGCGCCGCGAGTGTGGAAAGTCTGGGGTCTTGCCGTAGCCCCGGAACCAATGCGGGGGAACTACTACTAAAGCTTCACCCTAGGTTTCAATTCAGTAACTAAAAATGGACACTTCAAATCTTTAATTTGGAATGGTCTACAATGCTGATACTGCTCCACTCGGTGATCATTTAAGGCCAATATTTAGACCTTATTATTCAATATCACACGGTCGCAATTTGTCTCAACTACGGAGTATACACTTGTAGATCTACTCTAGATCGCAGCCTGTTTTGTTACTTGAAAATTCCTCCTCTTTGTAACCGACATTGATAAGACGCTTCCAGTGTTCCAGATAATGAAGCTACCTGGGTATCAGAGCCCTCTTTCAGTGTCTACGTGAGTTTTGAAGACAAGACCACTTTGTCGGTCGGACTCGGAAGCATCACTCATCTTTTGTTAATGAGTTGCAGTAAACAGGACGCGAAATCAGCGCTCATCTCTGTTCAATGTTGTCTACTAGTAAATGGATGAGTCACTGCTGCATACACTCTAGACTTTCAATCAAAAGAATGGCCTCGCTCATGCAGTATCTTGCGAATATCTACGGACCACCACCACCTCGACAAGTCTTGGCCGTTCTGGTTCTAGATTGAAAAATAGTATCAAAGCTCTGCTTGGCAATGAAAATCATCGCGATGAATTCTGTTCAGTGCATACGCGCGAGTTCATTGTGTTTACTAATCTCCAATTGTTTTCAAATCGAACTAGGCCGAATAAGAACGGTACAGCCCTGCACGTTGATGAGGTTGATTTTCAGAAGCAGACTGGTGAAATTTTGAAATTATCTGGAAACCAGCCAGAAGGATCGCCACCAGTGAGATAGTGCAGCATTGATGAATCTCTTATTCGGTGTACTTCAAAGTATTGACTAAATTTGATAGATTCTGGAGTATACCCGTGGACTGGGACTAGGTACGGAGAACTCCGTACGTATAGTCAATTTCTTTCCAGGATCATAATGCGGGTAAGCGACCAGTGTAAGCAGCTGGTACATTGGAAGTTTTGGTTCAAATGCTCTAGGAACTTATCTATCTAGGCCCAATTTCTAGGTACAAATCTCATAATCAACATTTCGAACAAAAATAATGTGATCAATCATTCCCGCCAGATTCTCGTATTCTCTTTATCTGAATTCTCGGCTAGGATCTACATCAAACTGTGTGATTCCGCCGCGTACCAGCCGCGTCATCAACTGCTAATAGTATGGATCTGCTATCTAACGAGCCAATAAAATGTCCCATTTTATTGAGTCAGTCACCAAAAATCCATGTTAAATGCACGAAGTACTAGGATAGATCAATAGTAGGGCCTCGGGAAGGGTATTACTCCTTAACATGGCTCGGATACATGACCTTCAATAAATCTGAAAGTGCATTGACACTAAACCGGGCTCGAGGACTTGATTATTAGAGTTTTCGACTATTTGTCTTGGAAATGCCAAGAATGGAGCCCTCATTGCTGACGTGGAAGACACGGAAGACGGAACATTTATGGAACACACTGAATACAGATGAAATGAAGGGGTACAATCAGAATAGATAGAAAAATATTCAAGAAATAATAGGATGATTTCAAGGAATTAAACCCTCCTGAAATTGGTTTAAGCATTTTGAACCCCCCCCATGGGTTCAAGTTCATTGAAACTGCGGGCTCACCCCAGCTTCAAGCATAGCCCCACTCAAGTGGCGAATGAGGAGATTTTACAGTAACGGCGAGATCACGTGTCGATCTGGAACACTGAGCCTCCTGAGTCCATTGATCGCATGAGGTTTTGTCAAGCACATCATGGATAGGGATGGCTCATGATATCTCCCCGCCTAGCTCACCATTAGGGGACGGGGTGGAGCAGGTTCAAACACCCGTTCATGACCCCGTTGTTCATCCAGAGGAGGCAGATCAATGCCCCAGTCCGCCGACTAGCCCGGAAGCCAGCACCTCAACAGATCCCCAGAAATACTGGCTTCCATTCTCTCTCCGGAGTCCATTTCTGATATGTTTGGCCATTGTATTCTTGTTGGTCGCTGTAGCCTGTGAGGTTATACGCCAGTACTCTTATTACCACCAAGGACTGGTCCACTTGAACGCATACCAGTCACTAAGCGTGATCTCGGGACTATTCGGTTATATCCCAACAACTGTCGCTGTACTTTTAGTGACAGTATGGAATATTTGCGCCCTCGATGTTCTGAGACTGGAGCCATATTTCCAGCTGGCCAAGCAAGAGGGCACTTCAGGATCGGTACTGTTCACCAATTACTGTTTCACCTATGGTTTCTTGGCTCCGATTCGGTCCTTCCGTGACCGACATTGGGTCGTCTTCGTTGTCTCAGCAGTGGCTTTACTCCTACGCACCTCATTGCCTTCTATCATGTCGGGCATGATCGTCCTTGATGAGAAAAATATTGTCTCTTCGAAGCCTATCAATACATGGCCCAGCCTGGTAGATCCAGCGACACAAAGCAGTCTTCTAGCCGATGACGCATCTCACTCAAGAAATTCCTCCGTATATCATGTGGATACTTTCTTTTTCTATCAGACTCACAACTACGTCATACCACCAATTGTACGATTACCGGAGGATGACTCTGAATCTTCAACATGGCAAATGAATCAAACGGCATATTGGGCTGATACGAGCTGTGCGGAGGTAACGCTAACCAATCTTGTTCCGGACAAGAAAGTCCACAACTCTACAAGTACGACCACTTTCGAATGGGATGTCCCCGATATCCAATTCGATTCTGCTCCACATGGTAGCGCCGAGAATTGTTTGGTATCTTTCGCTCTGAACAGTTACATGCCTTCTGAGAAAGGGTCATATCAAGTGCGGCATTGGGAGCCCCTCGGCCATCGGTCAAATTTACTCAACACCACTACCATGAATTCTACCGGGTGTGAGATGTTTTCCTTCTTCGGCCTTGGCATCAACATTGGACCTGCAAGTCAAAACTACACTTCGAATGCGACGGCGTTCGGATGCACCAGCTCTTACAGGAACGGGAGCGCGATGATCTCTTTTCCAGTCAACACTTCATATGTTCCCGCCGAGCTCATTTCTGGTGTGAACAAAACAATGAACTCTTCTGACATCAACATTGCAAGTTTCGAGGACATGCTGAAAACGAAATATATCAATGGCAATCTGAACCTCCCCGGAAGTTGGCGTCGAATTCCAGGTCTCACCACGTCTACTGGTGTGAATGGGAGTTTGGTCAGCGATCTTACCCCTATCACAATGAACGAGTATGAACATGAGATTGGAGAGGTGTGGAATCAGAATTTCATCAATATGATGAAGCAATTTTTCAACACCAGTGGCAGTCCAGTATCCGTCACTGCCAGACAAACCACAGACACGGTTATCTATCGGGTCACAAATCGGTCAGCCTTAATTTCCGAAGCTCTTCTCATGCTGGGTTTTGTTGTGCTTCTATGGCTAGCCCTCGTCTACCCACGTCGCCTGAATTTCCTCCACGGCGACCCAGGCTCAATCGCGGCACAGTGCGCCATCCTCGCAGACATGTTCGTTCCACAAACCTCTTTGGCTCGGTCAGAGATTGGAATCGATCAAGCGACACCCAGACAGCTTCGTCATTTTGGTAGAACACTCTCCTGTCGATGGATTAGCCATCCTGAGGGAGGACGGTTGGATATTATTCCAAGCGAAGGTAGCTTCAGACCCCTCCAAATACCCAAGGGTGGAATGCGCCGAAATCCTAGACCTCATTTCTTAACACCACCGTGGTTCTTGATTGAATGCGCTGTGATGGCAGGCGTCCTTGCTGCTTTTGGTGTGGCATTCCAATATGTTCGACTGGATGAGATTGATTCAAATGATGATGGTATCCAATTCATCTATGGCTTTCTGATCTACGGTCCCACTGTTATCGCATCTATCATCGGAACTCTGTTCATCTCAATCTATCGTCATTTGAGCAATCTTGAGCCCTGGGTACGACTCCAAAGTGGCATGGCTGCCGCGAAACAGTCGATCACTGCAAACTATGGGTCCCAAACTCCTTTCGTGTCCTGGATGACATTTCGTCAGAGCGCACCTCCAATCCTCATCTTACTCACATGCATGTGCTTCCTGGACATGTTCATGACCGTCACCAGCAGTGGCATGTTCGAGCCCATTCTCTACAATCACACAGAACCCACTTCAGCACTATCCGCACGATACAACGAATCTCGATTTTTGAAGCCTGATGTTCGAATAGAGTTCACTGGAAACAGTTTCATCTCGGACGGCTTGGTCATGGGATATTCTCTCTTGGCCTGGACCACACCCAATACTTCATTCTACCCACTCAACATCATTAGCGACGATCCAGACTACGACTGGGAAGACTACCATTCCCGTGTGCGTGGAGTTGGTGCCAACCTCACATGCAGCGAAATACCTACCAGCAACTCGTGGCGCAATGAATCTACCGACACGATGTACTGGACATACAGCCCATACCCAAGTCTCGACACAAATTGCACAGCAAAGTTCAATCAGCCTGTCGCCGAGCACCATGTTTTCAACGAGTCTGTCTATTTTCGAGGACCAATTGAGTTAGACGACATATGTCAAAAGTCCTTCATAGTAATCACCTACGACGACTTCGACAGTCTAAACACAACCACCGATGATAATTCAACAGTTTTCCAATGCGCACCTCAGATACAGATTGAAGACTTCATGATCGACTTTGAATACGAAGGCACCCTCGATGACTGGGAACCAGTCCCCGGAAGCCAAATTCAAGACGGCGAAATGTTTCAAAATGCTTCCGCATGCCTCGTCCCTTTTACTCAGGCCTTCGTTCGCCAAACTTGGCTCACCGAACGAGACGTTCATCCCAATCAATATGACTGGGCCGTCGGGCTTATTCGAGACGTCTATGACTCCCTTGATTCCCCCGACTCAATCGAACTCTCTCTCCTAAGGGGTGCCGTGCAACTAGGCTACCAATCCACCTTCAGCACCTACCTTTCCCTATGGCGAGATATCTACTTCGAGCCGGTTTTGCCTAACACTGTCTTCGTGAACGGTACAACAACCGATACATACTGGGGAATAGAACCATCCTACGTCACGATCTTTATCATCCTTGTCCTCCTCTCAATTGATCTCGCCGTCCTAATGGCTGTTTTCTGGTTCCGACACAGACATTACAACGGACCCCCAATCCCACGCTCCATCGGTGCTTTAATCCCACTGATCACGAACAGTCGTATGCTCAACGATTTCCGAGGCACGGCAAACTGGACTGAGAAAAAGCGCCGAGAACATCTGGACCAATTGGATCAGAGGTATCGGTATGGAGAGTTTTTCTTACTCGACGGGCAAAGACGACTGGCGCTGGATTATGATGAGAAACCGCGTGATGGGTTCGAGGAGGGTGAACAACAGCATGAGATGGGTGTTTTGGAAGCTCAGACTGAGTCTTCTGATCAGGATCAGGATCAAAGCCATGATCAAGATACGGATCCACCGTTGGCTGTGCCTTCGTCTACGCATTTGATACATGAACATAACGATAGAGTTTAGATAGAGCAGCTGTGCTGGAACACGCGGGATCTATATAATTTACGAATTTGGGTGGGACTGTTTATATTCATTTTGTTCATACTTGCATGGGAATACGATATCAATGAATCTAGATCTGATTTTTCCAACACTGACCTCCGAGTCGGGGTGATACAACTTATGCGCCCAAAATCAAGACCAACCACCTCTCCAATCACTAAACAAGCCCAGCAGCGCCATTTCCACCAATAAGTGGAAACCCAAGCTCACTCCTCATTGCTTGTTGAAATAAAAGGTCCTCTTCTAAGCTAGCTCCACTTCCAGTGAGCTCCATCTTGCGCAGTCTAGCTTGAATGATAGCACACGCTTCCGCCCAAGCACATACATTACCCGCTAGACCCTCGAACAACGAGTATGGGTCATCAGGCATGCGGTAGTCTTTGGTGCAGTCAGCGCATTTTGTGTTCTTGTATGGGCGAGTTTCGCGCGCATGCAGCATAAAAGCTAAAGCCTTGGACAAGAAAAAGTCAGGCGTCAGGGTTGGACTCATGTCTCCGTTTTGGAAGGCCGAGGCCAATGTGCGCTGCAGGTATGCACTCTTTGCAGCCTCAAGATCCTCCGAATGATACTCAAAGGTATTGTGAAGTGTGAGCCAGGGCCAGGAGTTTCCGCTGATACCATGGCACAGACTACCTCCCTTGGAAATAAGGCCTTCTTCCCAGATTCGCTCAGAGGCTTCGTAGGTAGCGCGGTTCCAGTCTGGACACCAAGATTCTCTAGTCAAGGCCGGGTTCTTGAGCGCGGCCGCCAATAGAATGAGAATACCGGGGCTTCCATGGCAGAGTTGAACTAGCTCTGAGGTTTGTCCAAAAGAGAATGGAGGTAGGGTCATGGGGAGATGGCCGTTATTTGAAAGGGTCAGCTTGCAAAGCGAGGTAACAGTTTCACCAATGATCGGGAGATGTTGCTCAATCTCCTCGGGCTTTGCCGAAAGGAGAATCGGTAGAATACCAGCTAAAAAGGAGAGGAAAAATTAGGAATTGATGCTGCTTGCATCACCGATAAATAAAGAAACTTACTGATTCCATGAACACTATGGAATTGTTAGTCTCTTATGTCTTGAATAACATCGAAGAAGTCACTTACGCTCCAAAGCAATAATATCCTTCCATCCAGGCATACATCAACGGGTGCGCTTCTTGCGCTCCATTCTTCTCAATAAAGGTCTCTGAGCCTTGTCGTCCTGCGTCCACGATTATGTCGACAAGCCTTGGAATGGTCTCGTAGACAGCTTCCAAGGCACTTTCAGTCTTTTCATCAAATTGATGCGCCCGGATATTCAAAAGAACCAATAGAAGACCTGCACGACCATACAGCATCTCATCCCCACCCATGTTACGATCATCATGCGGCACCAGAGGACCGTTATTCAGAGCCAAGTTCGCAGCATCATGAAGGCAACTGATATCTTCTTGCGAAATGCTTGGCTTAGCATCTCTTTCCCAGTTCTCTTTGGCCAGTGCCGAGAAGATACGCAAAGTGACAGCAGCTATGGGCGAGAATGACCCTGCGGGTGCTAATCGAGATGCTCGCAGTGGAATATCTGGGAAGCCATCCGGGATTCTTTCTAGAGCCAGTTTGCGGTAGTTCAAAGACTCGATGCCGTCCTCATCCAATACAGAGGATTGGAAATCGAGGCGCAAGAAGGCAAGGGCGACACCTATAGCGATTTGTTAGATTCGCCCATATGTTGCCTTGAAAAAATTGGATGCACAGGTAAATTAAGGCGGAACTTCTCAACAAATTTGAGTACATACCTGGAAATGCCTTAAGCATTCCACCAACAGGCCATTTATCCTGAGGCGGTTCATTTGCCTGGATAGCTTCTGCACCCTGTCGAACAGCAACACGCAGTTCCTTCAAGGACTCCGCAAGAGAGGTCACATTGATCTCCAATAACGACAATGTATTTTCATAATACTGTGGACGCTGAGCAGCCATGGTTTCAATTAAGCTTATATTTTGAATTGTATGATATCTTCCGTAATGGCGTGCTTGGGGATGACAGCTCTGAGTGAGCTTTTCTCCGGAGTATTTTACCCCAGCCCCTCATTATGCAACCCCTCCAGGGCCGGGAAACAGTTGGGTCATAGCTTTGTCTCGACTTTGAAAGCTGCATAATTAGTGGGAGAAATACAATACAACAGTGGCTTGTTTGGTTCCACTGAGGGGGGACAACACGAAATGGTGCAGACTGTGGGGCAGATCGCTTATTGGATCGACGATTGTTACAGAATGGAGTGCTACCTAAGTGACTCAGATATTCAAAGACATGAATAATCAGGATTTTAAGCTGAGATATCAACTAAAGGAGATTCTGCCACATGGTTAGAGAAACTTGAAAGACCTCTAGTACCATCTGAAGTAATAAAGGTATAGGGGCCTATAAGACTATAAGCCTATAACAGCCATATGGCCAAAAGCATTATGTAGTACTTAGATGGCTGGCAAAAAAAACAAAACCCTTAGAAAGAAAGCTACTATTATATTCCATATACTCCGCAGAGTATAATAATCTATCTTAATCCAGTTATCTTTAAGTTTTACTTTATGTACTAGTAGATATCTCTCAGTACTCTTCCTTCAGCTACTACCTATTGTAGTGGGGTACCCTGTCCCCTACTACACGTACCGTGCTAAGAATTACCGTTTGGTTACATCTCTGTTTTGTCATGTTTTCAGTCCCGTCTTTGTACGTACAAGAATGCCCGTCGTTATAGTCTAGAATACACACTCCTACACATCTCTCATCCCACCCCTACGGGGTAGTCCGGCCACAACCTACATGTTGGTTGGTGTTATCCATTCATGCTAGCTGGATCGACCCGTGTATCTAGAATACACTGCCTAACGGTTCCCCTCTTCACTATGTACTGGATTTCCCCCGGCGGATTTTGGTTGCTCTTTCCGGATTAGTGCTCACTGACTCGCGGCTTCCGGCTCACTGAGCCTGCTCCCAGTCCTGTAGTTCACCCGCCAATCGCACCACAGAGGGCCAACGGTATGAGTTAGCCACCTAAATAAAATGTACGCCGCTAGTGTAAATGAGTGGACCTACTTAGAAATCAATCCCCTATCCAGAAAGAGATGGCCTGGTGCATATGGCTATGGCTATGGCATTTCGTATTTTGTGTTTCACTATGAGGATCAGTAGTGTGAAACCAGGATTTCTGGCCTATTAGGCTCTGTGTAAATTTTTGTTCCTAAAAGCTACTTGCTCTAACTGAATTGCTTGCTGGCTAAAAGAAATTAATTGCCCTATTATAGTTGCTCCTAGGAAGCTCCATGGCTTGGAATGGCTGATTTATCTTTATCTCCTAGGAGCTATGAATAGTGGTGATTAAGATGTTAATTAAGCCTTGTGACCTATTATTCATGGGAACTAGGTGACCTTGTAGTATTATGATACCCCTTATTTTTTATTATTAAATTTGAACCTTGTAATATTTAGGGGATAAAAGTATACTTAAGGGATCTCTTTCTTAAGTCTAAAATTGAAGTATTATTCTCCCTCCACTTATATCTTCATGATCCCTCTTGGTCTTGATATACTAGGAGTCTAAAATAATGTAGCTGGTCTTTAATTCTCTTAAAAAGGGGAAGAGCTACTATATTTTATTTTCTACCTGATATAAGATAATGTAGGTAATTTAAATTCTTTTCTTTATACCCTAAGAGCTAGTATCTACTGACTTGATTTTAATCTAATAGATTACTACCCTTCTAAATGATGGTAGATTTACCCCGATGGGTTCTTCTCTTTGGATCTAAAAGAATACTATTACTGTAGTGACTAACTTGTATCTACTCTACCTACTTCTATATCTATATTATCTACTACTTCTGTAGCTACTAAATTGGTCGATTTAAGGTAGCTGATACTGATTGATAGAGATGTTGAATATCTAGCTTCTATAGATTTTAGTATTGGAGATGCTCTGAGAAGAGCGAGGGAAAATTGGTGCCCTAATGAATCTCTTAAAATCAACCTAGGTGCTTTTATTTAGGTAAGGAAAAAGGAATATTATAAGGAACAAATAAAGTTTCTGTGGAGTTTATTGATGATGTGATGAAATGTCTATAGCAAGTTACCGGTTATTTAGGCACAGTTAATATGATTTCAAATCTTCTCAAGCAGCACTTCGACTCGTAATTGAAATTATGCAGCACAGATGCGAAGGTATCATCATTGGAAGTGAAGAAACCAGCAACGCTGTTCAAGGGAGTATGCCGACTCCAGCCCCGCGGAAAGAAACATGCAAGTGCGCTGTAGATGAAGATCATTTATACGATTAAGACCTAGAGCTCTGAGAAAGGTTTGGAATTTCAAAACGTCTTTGCCAGTATGACAAGAAAGATCGGTTTGAATTTACATGCGACTCGCAATATTTGGGCTAAGCTACTCGTTACCTCATGCTGCTTTCGTCTTTTTTACCTGGAAATGAGAATGAGGAATTTGGTCTCTCCTCCCCAGCGACCTCCCAAGTCGACCCCCGTGCCTGTATATCATATAATGGTGTCAATCTTACGCTGGTATGAGGGTGAAAGCTAATGCTAAACTGAAAGCCAATGAAGCCGCAAATAATTTTTTCCTGACTGAGAAAGATGAGCATGCCGACGAGGATGCTGGTGACCGCGCTGGCGATAATGGCGATGACTATGCGAATGAGAATATGACGGATGCTCAGGCACGGGCTCCGACTCATGATACTAGACAAGCGCCACGAACGCGCCAGATGTCAGTCTCCCTTCTCTTAGCTATTTCACTTCTAACATGTTGATTAGGCACTTACCCCCAGTTCCCAATTTTGAGGGTGCGCCGGCGACTTACCTTCCTGTCTCCCTACGGACAGGTGGTGAGAATGAACCGCCTGGCCCATGGGCTGAATGGCTTTGTAATATGGCACTCAGACAGAACACTCGCAAACTTAAGGGTGTTTGGTCCAAGGAAAGCGATATCAACAGCATTTTCCAAACACTGGAGGTCTTTCGCGCTCAGAAGCGTTTGGAAGATCGATCGACCGAGACCGTGATGCCCATGACTGGTCTACAACGTGGTTCGGCAGCAGCACGAATGCAATCAGAGTTTCCCTCTGATCACGATGCCAGTGCGCAAAGCCTTGACGAGCTTCATCACTTGATGCACATGGTTCTGCGTCCAAACAAGCCGGAGGATTACTCTGATGCGGGTTAAGAGGCGTCAGATGAGGAGGCTGATGATGAAGATGATGAGACTGGAAATGTGGACCAGAATGCGAATCCCAATGATCAGCTCTCGACCTAAGTCCACGGGACGAATTTTTGCAATGGTTTTCTTTCTTTCGTTTGTTTTTTTTATTTTTTTTTTTATTTTTCACAATCTTGGAGATCATTTTGCAATTTCTTAATATCAAAATGAAATAACTCAAATCAAATTTTGCTTCCTACTATCTCTGCCTACACTCAAGGTCTAAAAAAAGTTACTCCATCGCAATGTCCGGTACTGTACTCCGTACCTTTCCCTTTCTCGCATCCTCCCTGGAGCGCCGGGCGCCCGGTTACCAACACGACGACAAAATTATTTGGCAACTTTTCCTTCTGCAAGGTATAGCTTCCGGCGCTAAAAGAGCAGTTTAAATTAGCAACAAAGTTCCACGAAGTTCGACATGTGGTTGGATAACGTACACTTAGGGTAAATGAAAGCAGAAATCCAGATGCAGAGACGGCAAGAGGATAAAGGAACACACGTCGGATTGAATCACTGACTGCGTCAACGACTGCTGACTGTTGGGCCGAGGTCAGATTTTGGTAGACAGAGCCACTAGTACCAGCGGTGAGTGAACTAATGTCGCTCTCACTGTAGCCTGGGAGAACGCTGCTTATTTTACTGATGGCGAGGTTCTGGAAAACAGCTCCATCAACACAGAGTGATGCAAGAACACCGCAAATTTGGGCTTTTCGTATCCGATATTATTAGTCAAGGCAAGTAAAAAGTTACCAGGGGGATCGGACACTTACCAATAGTCATGAGACTGACAGCATTATTCACATCAGCTGGTGCAGCAATTGCTGACGCGACAGCAACACCAGCGCTCTGGAAGCAGCCAACTCCAACACCAATAAGAAATGTGTACCCATAGACATGTGCTGCAGAGGTTTTCGAGTTGATAGTGACTGTTGAAAGGGGAAGCTCCATTTATCAGCAGGAGATTCCATAGTTTTCTTCCGGTAAAAAGCGTCGTTTTTCACTTACACATAAGAGCAGAACCAACAATTACAGCAGCATTACCGAAGACATACCACGGCATATAGTATCCAAGTTTGGGCATAAAGGTTGCATTCAAGAGAGCGAAGAAAACGAGGGCACAGATGAGCGGAAGCATGCGTACACCCCCCTCAAGCGCGCTATCGGACTTGGTAAACTGGAATAGCAGCGGGACATAGTAAATTGAGGTATACATCGCTCCCGCCACAATGGCACTTTGAATCGGCAACGTGATAAGGTCGGCGGTGCGCATAAATCCCACTGGAAGGAGCTTGTTCTCCGCCACCACACCTGGATGGAATATAGTCGCCAAAACAAACGCAATGAAGAGCACGCCAGTCATGACGAGGAGAGCGATTTCGGAACCACTGCTCCAAGCATATTCTGTGCCACCGAAACTAAGAGCCATACTGAAGCAGGTGGCTCCAGCGAGAAACACAATAGTACCAATCCAATCGAGTGAGCGAATTCTCTCCATAAAAGACTTATCCGGTTGAGGTCTGATAGCGGGGAGACAGAAAAGCTGGGCGGGCGCGAACACTGCAGCGATGGGGAGGTTAATGTAAAAGCCCCAACGCCATGTCGCACTGCTTTGGGCAAAGGCACCTCCGATGATAGGACCAAGAACACAGCCAATACCCCAGATACAATAAATTCCAGCCAAATAGAGTGGACGTTCATGGTCTGTCGTAAGCAGTGCAACAAAAGTAAGTCCACCCACGTAGACACCACATCCTCCAACACCAGCAATGACGCGACCGACAATAAGTGCGTCCATCGTGGGTGCTGCACCACAGACTGCACTTCCAACTTCAAAAATAAACAGACAAGAGATAAATAGCCATTTTATGTTAAACTTCCCGAAGGCTTTCCCACTGAGATCCTCTGAGTTAGTATTATTGATGAGTCGAGGCGATAATTTTATAGCTTACAGGGGTAGAATAGCTGTATCTCCCAACATGAAACTCACTCCAATCCATGATAGATCACTCTCAGTTTTGAAGGTCTCAACGATCGAAGGCTGAAGGGCTGCGACCTGGAATGAGAATGAGTGTTGTTAGGGTAATGCCCAAAAGGACGCGATTTGGGCTGTAGTATTCTGCTCACGATTGTTCCATCAAGGGCAAATAGAAAAACAGTAGATAGCACTGAGGCATAAGCAAGGGCCCACTATTTCATTTGAAAAAAGAGGTAATTAGCTTGGAATGTTCCATCCGAAGTACGGGCCGTGTTTTATATACCTTCAAGCCTGTAATGGATCTTTTTTGTGGCGGTGCAGAATCGTCGCTTGGTGTCTGACTTTTCGGAGTCTCCGCAATTTCCTTCCCATTTTCCTCCTCTGCTGGCAAAGTGGTCTCTGACGTTCGTCTTTCCTCGCCCTGCAACTTTTCATGCCCGACGTCGGCCGTGTTCCTTTCAACCGTCATCCTGCCGGGTATTTGATCACGATAGGTAAACTGATTTTTTGGGCTGATTCTGCTAGTAAGTTGGTTCTCAACAGTCTTGAAGCACACATCGGAATAGATTGCAAGAAGCTTAAGAAGGAGAAGTTAAATACGATCCTGATAGCTTTATTCCCCTGAAGCCATAACTAACATAGGCATAAATGGATCTTCCCGAAATGGTGTGGGGCTCGGCCCGGATTGCCCGAGCGGCTTCTATAATTGGACAGACTAGCCAAATTATAGGGTACGGGGTTGAGCCGAATCGGTCTGATCCCAAACAATAAGGCCAATTCCAAAGGCATTCGGAGACATTTGAATGTTATTAATTCTACTTTTTGAGCTCCTTTCAATATTATAAATCAGCCGTTGCATTGGTCAACGTTGACAAATTGCCAAAATGCTAGGAGCATACAGTCCGCTTAGCAATACTAACCCCACTCACCTGGGCATCTTACCGCACGCATCGAGACCGGATATCCATCACAGAATCTGCATGACAATTGCTTACGTAGGTTGAGATTTAATGATCGATTCCTTTTGCAAATCAATCAGAGTTCATATATTGTTCATTCTAGCCTTCTAACCGCAAGATTCTGTACTATGCACTTTTGATGAGTCTCCATTCGTGTCAGATTGACAACCTACGTACCCTATCTATCTCCATTTACAAGAATGCAGTGTATCAAAGGACGGCAAACCAGTATATCGAGAGCTCCAAATCGCCAAGTCAGGAAGTCCTCGATCTTTCTATACGATGTAATCAGATTTAACTACCTGTACACACCTGTACACATCTAGTAGAGTGCACTACGTTTCGATTCTCTTGGAAATCCACCGCTGTCTGTCTTGGAACTACTCCCTTGAGCCAGGGCATATTGTCCAGATATTATGCTTCAAATGTTGATTTCCACTTTACACTATGATCTGTCCCGTGCTTCCCGCGCTAAAATAGTCTCGGACTCTCAATCTTTTTTTTTATTTTGAAATAAAAATATGGTGTTATTGCAAGCACTTAAGGTTTCTGAAGAGATATCAAGTGTTGTACAATAAAGTGACTAATGGTCTGTCATAGTATAATACGGGTTTTTCCTGTACCCATGTCCCATTACAAAATTAGAGCTCAGAGTGATGATCTCTCTCATTAATCTCAATCACCTCCATTTCCTCTTGAAACAACTTAAATCCTCCAGGTACTATCGTTTGGAAAAGCCCATTTGGGTCATACTTTTTGCTCACCCCCTGCAGTCGGCATTTAATGTCATGGCCGTAGCTGCCGATTGGATCCTGCAACTTGTCGGCATAGTTCAGATATTTCCAGGGGATAAAATAGCCTCCTCGTCGCAAAATGTCTTCATGTTGGTTGAATACTTCCTTTAGGCGTTTTCGGACGATTTTGTCATCCGCTGTGTTGGAATATGACACGATTATGACTGACATCACAATATCCTCTCCACCGGGAGGCAGCCCAAGGGAGTTCCGTCCATCTGAGACTGGATGAGGTTGAAGCAACAAGACAAACTGTAGTCCTTCAATATGGGCTAAATCCCGAGTGGCGGACTCCCATGTCTCAAAGATTTCGGAATACACGGAGGCGGCAGCATTTTTAAATGAGTAGACCATGTTAATGGCACTATTGGTAAATACACTTGTTAGAACATCAATATCACGTGGAATTCCTGGAGAACTCACCGATCACTTCCCACTGGAAGTCTACTTGCCTGCTCCGTTGATAGGTCGCTGACATTTGTTGTGCGCAATGTATTGACAAGCGGAGACGGAATAGATGAGAATGGTTGGTAGACTGGTGGATTGGCAATGGGCTCTCCATAGTATAAAACGTTGCCAGCGGCATATATACCACCGGGATTAATGAAGAATAGAGCAACAAACATATCTGCCGCGTCATCGAAGTTTTCGGGAGACATAAATTCACTGAATGCCTTGGCCTGTGTGTCAAGAAGTATTGGAGAATACTCGAAGATCAAGGTACCTCCCCACATTGCCCCGAGTGGACGAGTCACGACATCCACACGAGCGACGATGCCGAAATTTATGGAACCCCCTTTGAGCGCAATCCAAAGATCAGGGTGCGAACTGGCCGTTGCATAAACGATTTCACCACTGGCAAGCACGACTTCATATCCCAAGACATTGTCGCAGGCCCAACCGTATCGTCGTGATAAATGGGATATACCACCTTCATCCTCGTCAGCCCATCCTCTCAACTTCCGAAACTCAGACAAATTGCTTTGATTTGGAAAACGCACCTCCAGTAAGGAACCCCCCCGACTCCTACACCCGCCACTCTGCCGCCCATAACAGTCACATTGTATGGAACAAGCTGAGGATATATCTCACTCCAAATAGCACCAGCACCGATTGTTGCGGTTTTGCGGTCATCACTCAGTGATACTGAGCTCAAAGCACGCATATCAACTGTGATACCACTCTCAATGTTTGCCGCTCCCGCAAACACAGCGTGTCCACCACCCCTAATCGCAAATTTTGCGACCGGATGGCTTCTGGGGCTATTCGCGGCCTGTCTGGTAACAAGCTCCACAAATCTCGACACCTCCTTTGGGCTTTCGGGTGTAAGTATACATGCTGGTCGGATTTCGCTCTCATGGGCGGAATAATATGATGACTGTGCAGTAACATAGCTCGCACTAGCCGGGTACGAGATCCGATCGGGTATAGCAGTGTCGACCAAGTCGCATATTTTACTAGCCTGAGGCCCTCTGAACAGTGTTATAACCCATAAAAAGCCGAGGTATAGCTTAGAGGCCATGTTACTTTTCTACTCCTTGCAAACTTGAAGCGTTTAAATATTAAATGAAGAAATTGAGATGAAAATGATTTCCAAGAAAATGATTCTTTATTTTTGAATCACGACCGTACATTATTTCTAGGATGATAATGATGGGCATTTCTAGGCTATACATCGGACGTTCTCGAGTAGTGTGATGGCGTTCAATACTGCCTAAGTCACCTCTGGTAGTGAGCCGCGACGGGTGCTGATTTGAACGGCCCGAAAAGCGAGATTACCAACGCACTTCCGAGTTGCCCAGGTGAGGATTTTACCAGTTCCTGCCGGAGAGTTGGCCTAACTTCGGCCCTGGGAGGCCTCGAATAAATTTGAATATTCTGCTATGACTAATTCATTAAGCCATTCACTGGCAACCCTTTCTTCGGACCTTGAAAGAACATCGGACCGGACACACCGAGCTGGTACCCGATTGGATATATGTATGCAGTGGCTTAGGCCAATCACGAGTTCGACTTGGCGAGCGCGAAAACATGCGTATTATGATGTTTTCACTCTTTGCATGCAATGTCGAAAATTATAGTATAATAAATCTTGAACTTGGACCATCATGATGTTCGATTTGGTACACGAATACAACACACTTGAAGATGGCTGAAATACAGCCCCTCGTCCTGCTCACCGGCGCAACTGGCTTCGTCGGCTTCCATACGCTCATCGATCTACTCAAATCATGTTACCGAGTTCGCGCCATTATACGCTCAGACACAAAGATTGACGAAATACGTGAGCACAAGCTAGTCAAAGCTCTCGGCCTCTCTCCCGACACACTTTCCTTTGTGGTCGTTTCAGACTTCGTTGCCCCGGGCGCATTCGATTCTGCGGTTCAGGGTGTCACATACATCATCCACATAGCCGCACCGGTTCCTTCCTTCACAGCGAAGCCTACAGTGGAAAAAGAAGATTATGAGAAGTACTTCGTGCAAGACTCCATCGATGGTACTTTAGGTTTATTCCAGAGCGCAACGGCAGCCGGAAGCCAAGTCAAACGTATCGTCTTGACTAGTTCGGCAGTGTCTGTAATACCGTTCCCATACTTCGCTGCCTCACCGGACGCCGATTACAGTATTCAATTTGGGCCAGGGACCCGCCAAACTGTGCCCTCGGGACCATTTGACAGCGAAATCGTAGCCTACTCAGCTGGGAAGACAGCGACACTGAACGCAGCCGAGCAATGGATCGCAGAAAACAAAGCAAATATCAACTTTGACCTTGTTCCTACTTTGTCCGGGTGGGCATTTGGACGCGACGAGTTAGTGACTTCGGCAAAGGATCTACAGACGAGTGGCACCAACTCGGTTTTGGTGGGCCTCATTCTAGGAAACAAGAGCGATTGGCCCTTCAACGGGAATGCAGTGTTGGTCACTGATATCGCCCGTATTCAAGTACTCGCCTTGAATACGGAGAAGATTTCTGGAAATCGAGCATTCGTAACATCGATTCCGATCGTTTGGGATGATGCTGTTGAGGTCATTCGCGACGAGTTTGCAGCCGAGGTTGAGGAAGGACACCTGAGTGTAGATGGGAAGCAGCCTACTCAGCCCATTGACTTCGATGGTTCGAATACGGAGAAGATATTTGGGATCATGGTCACCCCTTTCAAGGAGGTGGTCAAGCAGGTCGCGAACCAATATGTGGAGCTACTGGGTCCAGCTTAATCACTGTATATAGGTTGTAGGACTTTTTTCTGTTGAGTATTATCCTTAAATTGACTCGCGGCCGGGAAGTGTCTTCAGTTTTGATGGTCGTATAGTTTTCTTTTCAAGTATTTATAGTACTACCTAGTCTACATAGGTTCAAGACGCAAATTTTGGAACACTATGCCGCCCTTAATTGCGCTACCTAGCATCACGCCCATTGAATGTGTTTAGGTAATCCAAGAATAGATCAAAGTTGAAAATTTTATTATATAACAGTGTCGTTTTGATCAAACGTCCTCCACGAAAGAATGCCGGTAATAATATGTCCAGGTGATGAGCTTCGAGTTCGACTCAATCAAGATCAGAAGATTCATTCCTCTCCTTCTTCATTTTCTCCCTCTGGTGCAAGAAACGCGTAACAAGTGTCATAGCAATTAACGCCAGGGCTATAAAAATCATTGTCATGAAGCCCTTGTGATACCGAGGCGCATCAACCGTTTTCCAGATGATCAATGGAAGCCACGCTGATACAGCCTCTCCCATCGTATTCATAGTGGCAATGACAACGGCGCGCTCCTCATTGTCGCCGCCACATATCTCAGTCGCCCATGCCATAATCAGGGCTCCAAGCCCATTTGGAAGTCCACCAAGGAAAAAGCAAGTCCATTTCCAGCCTATGTTTATATCCCAGGCCGCGAGACTAGCGTTGATAATGATATTTGCAGTACTGGCAAAGAGAATCGGTGGCCACCGAGTGCCACGCCATAAAGAGTCGGAGGTCCAGCCGAATATCAGGGCAAACACAAACGCGATTGCAAGAGCAGCTGTTGGTAACGTATCGACCTTTTTGGTTGGGTACCCAATAGACTCGAGCCACAGCTGGAAGCCTGGTTGTCCGCCATAGTTTCCATTGTTATTAAACAACACATAGAGCAGGGTCAGCGCGTATATATGCCAGCTTTGGAATATGCTTTTGAATTTCGCCAAACTGTGAGCCCCCCTTGGAGCCCGATTTTCTAATCTCACTCGCTCTTTTGCTGTTGAGACGTCCTGCTTGCTCAGCCACCAGGCCCCTGTCGTGTCGGGAAGATCGGGAAGAAGAAAAAATCCAGCAACACCAATAGGTAGTGAGATAATCCCGTCGACAATGAATAACCATTGCCATCCGTGAAGCCCGTTCTTACCATCCAAATTGTAAGAGGCTGCCATAAGGTAGCCTGAGAACATCGCGCCGGCAAAGCTGCTTGCCGTGAAAAGAGCCGCGCGTTTGGCAAGTTCGTCCTTTCGATACCAGGAGCCAAGAAGGTAAAATATTCCCGGATTGAAAGCTGAATCGGCCAGGCCAATGAAGAAGCGCAAAGCATACAGGCCGTTGACGTTCTTGCATATTACCATCAGTATGGTGAGGACAGCCCAGACAACTTCGCAAGCTGGAATCCAGATAGACGGTCGAATCTGAGATAAGATTAAATTGCTTGGGATTTGGCCAACTGTATATCCCACCGTCCAACATGTGACCATATAGTTCAGCTGATCTCCATATAGGCCTAGGTCCTCTTCCATCCCGGACACGAAGGCATTGGAGACGTTGACTTGATCAAGATATTTGATAAAGCTCCCAAGACAAGCTAAAGTCAACACAATCGCGTCAAGCTTGAACAGAAAGCGTCGCTCTTCAGGCGGCTTGTCGAAGGTATCCCAGAAGAAAGACCTCCATGTTTGCTTAGCGTCCAGATCTTCGGCAACCAAAACTTGGAGAGTATCTGTGTCGTGCAAATCATTGATAGGACTGAACTTTTTCTCCGTAGTGGTTCCGTCAACTGACGATGACTTTGTCAAGATATGCTCAGCCATTATCAGAAAGAAAGTTGTGTGAAACTTTTACAGCGTCCTTGAAAAGTGCGAACGCTGGCAGGATTCTACCAGTCAAGCATTTTGCGAGAACTGCATACTCATATACTCCATCTCAGATATCTCTGGGTATCGCGCAATTTCACGTCACTGGTTGGCGTTATGAGCAATCTTTAAACTCGGTCTGCTCGGGCCGGCCTCTGGGGTCAGATATAATGATATTCTTGATAGAATGCCCACCGTGACCGCATTTTTTGAAAGAAATAATCCCTCCGGTGAATCTTGCAGGCTGAGAGCCCTGAGTTTCCAACTTCAGGGATAACAGTAATTGCAAAGGAATTGAAATAGGTCAGAATGCGAGCTAATACCATTAAGCGCAGCAATTAGGGATTCCAAGTCCCGAAACACTTACTAGGAGGAAGTGTGGCTGGAGGAGACATGAGAAAAGGGAGTAGATTCGACGCGAGAAATCGATAATCCAACGAAAGTACGACACACGACCTGCTGTTTCGGTCTGATAAGACTATGGATGCTGTAAGATAATGGAGATTCCTGATGTGTGGAGCGTGTCTGTTAGTGCGTAGGAGGTATTTGTGGAGTTACCGTTGACTCCCGAGATCTCGGCTACATGGCTCCAATTCAGATGGAGGCTACTGTATAGAGTAGTTCAATTTTCTGTAGAACACTTGTAGAAGGAATTCCATGGAACTCTTTTGAGAATAATGTAGGAAGTTCGACAATCTATCTGAATGAGAATCGATAACATTGGAATTGAAAGATATAAAGAGCGTGGCAATAACTGAAAGCACCGTGTATCCAATTTAGAGCTAAACAAGACGGGGATCATACTGTAAATACCACGCCCGTAGACTCAATTACCTGTGCCGCGAACTTGGAGATGGTCAAAGTCTCAGCTAAGAGCTGCTGGAACGGAATATCGACACGATACTCCTTGAAGATCCAGTTACGGAGCTCAGCCCCGATCATACTGTCAATACCATATGAGGATATGGAGTTGTTCAATGGATCAAATGCATCTAATGGAAGTAAGAGCATGCGCGATAATTTCTCGATAAAATGTTCGACGATGGCTGAAACAGCGAGAGCAAGGGAGTCGGCAGAACGAATTGCGGTTAGAATACTCTGACCAGCCAAGCCAGCCTCATCACCATCTCTAGCCACATTGATTGCGTGAACGACGTGATTAAAACGTGAGTCTTCAGCCCAAAAGACATCCTCTGCGTCTGCCTCTTGGATTGAATTGCCAAGCTTCGTGGGGTCAAGACCGGCGACGACGTGGTCAACTGAGCTGGGAGCCGTGATGGCGGCTTCAAAAGTCTCAAGAAGAGCCTCTTCATCAATACCGTATATACCCTTGCGCATCAAGGCTTCCTCAAGTTCCGTGTTCTCCGCGACGACACCAACGCCAAGGACCATAGGCAGGATGACAGATGTACTAGCCATGCCCATAGACACACGATGCCGCGATATGGCGTCTAGAAAGCTGTTGGCGGCAGCATAGTTACTCTGACCTGGCGTACCGAGTGTTCCGGAGACGGAGCTGGTTGTAAGGAAGAAATCAAGTTGGGTTCCTGCAAGGACTGAATGCAAATTGATCGCACCCAAGACTTTCGGATCCATCACTTGCTTCCAGTTTTCGTAGCTCTGAGAGTGAAACATGCCATCCTAGAAAGATAGTTAATAGTCTGCTTTTTTGTTCACGTGGTACGCCACCGGAGTGGGTTATTTATTTTCTTACCCGTAGAACCATAGCAGCATGTACCACGCCTCGGATGGGATTTTCCGCAGGAACTCCATCCACAGCTCGGACAACATCATCTCGAGAGGTTGCATCCCCCCTTACAACCTGCACAACTCCACCGGCAGCTGTAATATCGCTGACAAGGCTGGTAGCGGACGGGGCGTCTATTGCGGAGCGAGAGAGGAAGGTAAATCTCCGAGCGCCAGAATCCATCATCCACGCAGTCAAGCTACGGCCAAGACCTCCTAAGCAACCAACAAGGAGATATGTGTGGTCGGGGCTGAAGCGTGGTCGAGTACGTCCGGGGAGTAAGGCTTGAATGGGTATCTCCGACACTTCATACTGAACGATAGGAATTGGTGTGTCGAAAGACTCGGAAAAGTTCGACACAGACTGTTCAATATCGCCAAGCTGGATTTTATGAATATTTCCGGGCGCATTGATAGACCCTTGCTGGAAGAGTTCAAGAATCTTCTTCAACAGAGATGAAATAGTTATGGGGCGGTGTTCCATCAAATCGAGCAAATCGAACGGCAGGTAGCTGGCACTGCGAGCGATAGGAACGGTGTCTAACGCATCCCGGCTGAGTAAATTCTTGCGACCCGCGTCCAAAAACCGACCAAAGCGAGCGATGCTGCGCCAAGCTTCATGGACAACATCTGGGTCAACGCTGTTGCCTGTGCTAAATACTACATCCGCTCCGTGGTCATCGGTGAGTCGATTGAGTCGTGCCGCCACTGGACCATGCGCAGGGGAAATGATTTGCGCATCGCTGAGTCCAAGATGACTTCGGAGGAAGGCAGCTTCACTGTCTGTTTGACTCACTATGTAGGGGACTGCACCCCTTCTCTGCGCAACCTTGGCTGCGGCGATGCCACTGATTCCTGTGTTGTGAAGCACGAGAACAGTCTCTTTGGGTTGCACATTTGCCAAGACATCAAGGCCATATACCGCATTAGCATATGGTACCAATAGACTCACCGCAGACGTCAGATCGGTTTCATCCTCGAGCTTTTGTACCAGCGAGACATCAACCTCTTGATAGCTGGAGAACCTGTCAATGTGCAAAGCGGCGACCTTGTCACCCACCTTCAGATCTGTCACTTCAGCCCCGACTTTCGCCACGATGCCACTGATCGCGTGACTGAAGGTGGTTGGATAATCAGTACCCGTGATAGCTGCAACGCCTTCCGTGGTCAAAGGACTAGTCCGGACTTGTACTTCGACATGGCCTGGCCTGGGCACTGCTGGGCCTAAGCCTAGTTCCTGCTGCTGCTGCTCAAAGACAACCTTGCCTTTAGTCCATATTCTGCCACTAATACGACTTCCGGGATTGAAGGATATCGGCTCAGGCTCCAGTGTAGTAGAGAAATCCTTGTTCAGGTCAGAGTTGCGGACCAATCGACTGATATACATGGAGCCGTTGGAGAGGCAGGATTCCCGCTTCCGGTCAAGCTCAATGTTTCCTTCACCCGCTATTTGAAGGCGTACAATATTCTTCACTGCTCGAGAAATCTGAGAAGAGCTCGCGCTATCCAAGTCAATATCAAGGGTCCGGAAATCAAGTGACGCCGACTCTGATCCCACTGAGCGTGCAAGACCTTGTACAAGTGCATAATCTGGCTTCTTTCCATCGAGCAGACCACCGGTTGTGACCCAGAGGAGAGTTGAAGCAGAGTTCAGAAGGCTCTGGATTGCGTAGAACTCCGACTCGGTGATTGTTAGCAAGAGAGGGCCTTCAAAGTCGGTAGTCACCACGATATTCCCTGTGGATTCCGCGTTGCTCAGACTAACGAGGTTGATCTTGCAGCCCAGAGACTCTAAGGCGTTGGCAATATTGAGCACCTCCGGAGTAGGGTGATGGCGATAAACAAGTTGAATGATCTGATTTTCGTCTTCTTCGGAGGCTGGTTACAGTTCGTTTGTTATCACAGGCCGCCAGATCGATGCACCGGTGGTTGCTTGGAACACTCGAGAGAAACCAATAGAGTCAGCCGTCTCCCAGTCTACAGTCTGTGATGAATCAGAAGCAAATATATAGCCTGTAGATCCGAGGAGACCACGCAGGACAGAGAGAATGCGCGGCTCAGACGAGGCTGATGGTAACGAAAGGAAAGTCGAAGAAGACACCACGACAGCATCATGTACTCCTTCCTTGAACTCCTGAGATTCCAAGATCTCCACAAGATTTAGTTTAATGACCTTGAAATTTGGATGGTCTTGAACAAGTTTTCTGGCCTCATCTAGGTTTTCCTCATCGTGCGAAGGTAGAGCCACTGTATAGGAGACCTGGGCGCTTCGTGAGATATTCTGCAGTAGGAAATCTATGCCAAATCCGAGGACTTTCAAAGTTGGGTATTTGAACCAAGCCAGATCGATCAGATCTTCCATGGTCAACTTAGAAGCCGAGATCGTGTTTTCAGAGCCTATCAGACTGTCAATGTCGAGCTGCCAGGAAATTTCGCCGTACGGGCCGGTAGCACCATCCAGATGACCAGCTTCAATCTTCGGCGGGACTGCAGCCTCATAGGCTGTAGTGCGGACATTCACAATTTCCAGCACAAGCTGGCCATCGCTCGCCGACATCTGGGCACTACCCTCGAAGGATCGAATTCCACGTCGTGGTACCCAGGCGTAGGCGCTGGCCGTACCGATCTCAACCTGTGCCTTGGTAGGGGGCCAAATGGTGACTTCATCCACTTGGATGGGTACAACACCGTATTCCATGGCGTTGGTCCGCCCAGCGTAAATAGCGGCAATACTGAGCTGCAAGACCGAATCCACCGACGCTGGATGCAAAACATGGCGCGACTCGCCAAGCGATGGATCAACCACTTGCTTTATGGCAGTGCGAGAGCTGACCTCATAGCACTTTCCGTCAAAGCGGATTTCGTCCATGTCTTGGAAGGTGGGCCCATAGTCAAAGCCGACGGCACGCAGGGCTTGATTCCAGCTCTTTCCTCGAGTACGCTGGGGAAAATCAGGCACGGGACGCGTTGGTTTCGATCCTCGAGGAGTATCACACTTGATGCTGATGCTACCGGCCATGTGCTCCTTCTGAGCCTGGTCCGTGCCAATGGATGAGACACTTGAAGTCCCACCACTGATTACCTCGATGAACTGAGGGGCGAAGATTGAATACGACTTCAATGCCATCATCGTTGTCCGGTGTCACGAGTGCCTTCTTGATTGAAATGTCGCACAAGACATAGCTCTGAACGTCGATATCTATGGGCCCATAACTGAGCTCATGTAGCTGCGTTATAGCCTCGACAGCCATAGAAAAATATCTTGCAGCGGGGAAAACAGCCTCGCCACCCAATGAGTGATCCTTCAGCCATGGGAGATCTCGCAACCGCAGTAGGTTTCGCCATGTCGGCTCTTCGAGTGAGGCCCCGACAACACGTTGACCAAGTAGATCATGACGGGGATAATTTGGCTGCCGCTGCTCGTAACTCGTCCGATTCTCAGCCCAGAACGAGCGTGTATAGTTCCACTGATAAGGAGGAAGATCAACGATGGTAGAGCCTTTCGTGACACCTTTGCCAGTTTTGTTGTATGTGCTGATAACGCGTTCCCAATTTACGTCAACATCGCGCAGGAAAAGCTCGCCAGCAAACTTTAGGAGTTGGGCCGCACTATCAGATCCTCGCAAGAGTGTGGGCAAATATTCTAGCTTCTCTCCCTGAACTTCAGCCCTGATCTGTTTGATTGGACCTGCCATAGCTGAGTGAGGGCCAATTTCGATGAGGAGATCAACATCCGAAAATTCGTCGGCTGTGAGAATCGTTTGAACTGCTTGGTTGAACAGCACTGGGCATTGCAGATTGCTACTCCACTATGTTTCATCCAACTGGGCCGTAGGTGGCAGAATTGAGTTGGTTACCAAAGAGACCATTCGAGTGTGCTCAGGTGGATGTATCAGGTCGAATGCATCATCCCAAAGATCCGCCTTTGCCCCTCGAAGAAGTTCTTCATACTCGCCAGCCACCGCGGCCATATGGTGAGTATGCCTTCCCGTTCGTTTTTACACTTCGTGCAAAGATCTGTTCAGCATCAAGAATAGCTTTGATGCCTTCCACAGCCTCCGAATCACCACTCAACGTTACACCAGAAGGTGAGTTGTGGCAAGCAACTATGACCCTGTTTTTGGCTTTCCCATCCAGGTATTTCTCGACATCACTTGAGCCGAGGCCAACAGCGAGCATAGCACCATCTGTCATAATATCGCGCACTACTCGCCCTCGGTAGTACGCAACAACGATAGCCTCCCTGGCAGAGATCAGGCCTGCCGCGTATGCAGCCGCGATTTCACCTGAAGAGTGGCCGACGGTTACTTTTGGGTGAACACTCCAGTCGTTGAGAAGCTGTACAAGAGCAATTTGAATTGCGGTACATAGAGGTTGTGAGAACTCAGCCTCATTGACTTGGGATTTCGCTGGGTCCTCGAGAAGAACATCCTCAATCGACCAGTCGGGCCCATCACTCAGCTCCTCCAAGGCCTCATCGAGAGCTCGGATTGAGGCAAGGAAGCGTGGGCTGTATAGCATGAGTTCAGCTCCCATGCGAGGCCACTGTGCACCTTGGCCGGTGAAAATGAACCCCACTGCACCGGCTTTCCGCTTCTGATGGCCGAACGTGAAAGAGGAGGAGATATCCCCAAAGCTGTCAGCAAGAGAGCTCGGGGTTGTGACAGTGAAGGCTCTGCTAGATAATGCACTACGGCGGTTGGCTAGCGTGTGTGAGAGGTCCAACAAGTTATAGTTATGGACAATCTGGCTATGGGCGTCGATGTTGCGCTGCAAAGGTGCCTTGTCATGTGCTGAGAAAGGAAGCAGGAACGGTTGCTTGCGATAGGTGGCACGGCGAGGGAAAAACTCCTTCTTCCCTGTTCTTCTATTTTCACCCCGGTTCTCGGCGATGTGGTATTTGTACGGTCGCCCTTGTCCATTTAGCAATGGCTCAGTCCCCTCGACAATAAGATGCGCATTTGTTCCTCGATAACCGAAACTATTGATAGAGACGCGCTTCACTGGTAAATGTGGTGGAAATGGCACGGGCTCGGCTGGCACTTTGACTTGCCACTCATCCCATTTGATACTAGGACTTGGGTTGACAAGACCTCGAGTCGGGGCAATTATCCCACGCTCTACCATTAAGATGGCCTTAATTAGTGCCGATAGACTACTTGCCGCCCCGCTGTGACCGATATTTGTCTTGACAGCTCCGATCCACAGCGGATCTTCCTCAGGTGCACGATCTTTGTTCATGGCCATCGAGACCGCGTGAACCTCTAGGGGATCACCAACCGCGGTACCCGTACCATGGCACTCGAAATAGCCCGTAAGGCGGGGATCAAGATTGCCACCACGCTCGTATGCATGTGCAATCACGTCGGCCTGGCCCTCACGATTTGGGTGCGTGATTCCAACAGCAGGAACTTTTCCGTTTGAGTTGACTGCACTCGATCGAATAACACCACGAATTGGATCTCCATCGCGAATAGCGTCAGAAAGGCGCTTCAGGTAGACGGCGCCAACAGCATCGGCCCGCCCATATCCATCCGCGCTTTCATCGAATGTGTGACAGGTTGAGGTGGGAGACAATACGCCGAGCTTGGCAGTATTCATATGTTGGTCGACAGTAATGATGAGATTCACGCCACCAACAATCGCGCCTTCGGCCTCGTTGTTTCGCAATGCGTTGCACGCATTGTGAACAGCATATACAGATGAAGAGCATGCTGTATTCACCACGATACTTGGTCCTTTCAGATTGAAGACATGGCTGATCCGGTTACTAATTATACCCGGGTCCACTCCCGTTGCGGCCAGACTATGACGGAATGAGGGCTCCTTGAAGGCCATTTGTTGCCAGTCTGCTGTAAAACTGGCGGCAAATACCGCCGTTCGCGAACCCGAGATGCCCTCAAGGGACACACCTGCTGACTCAATGTTTTCATATACTACCTCCAGTAGCTTCCGTTGTTGTGGATCCATCCACATCGCCTCAATGGGTGTTATGTTGAAAAGTCCAGGGTCAAAATCCGTTAACTCATCATTAATGAAGTATCCACCAAGCACACCAAAACTACCAGGGCGATCGTTATTTGGATGAAAATGGGCATCAATGTTGAAGCGAGAAGCCGGCACCTTGGGTGTCTGTCCAGTCTTTTTGTTGATCAACATGTCCCAAAAATGGGCAGGAGATTTGACATCTCCTGGTAACCGGCAACCTTTAATGATATTTCCGTTAGCGATCTCTCTTTCCCGTTACCACCTGTGAGTACGGCGTACTCTGCGATATTCACTAGTGATAGAATAACATGGCAGTACTTACCCATGCCAATGACTGCGATTGGTTCAAGCTGCTCATCGAGCGGCTTTTCTGGATAATCGTCGAGAGAAACTGGGGATTGTTGGCCTCCATCATCAGATGGCGATGAGCCTGAAACTCTCAGCAGCCCCGGCATATTGAAACTGACTATCAAAGTCCTCTGCGTGGTAATTGGTATAAACTGAAAAGAGATGGTTGATCAGTGAAGAAGCTTTCTCTAATCAAATTTTCCATCTCAAGCCATATCACTGCTCATTTATCTGCTCTAATAACTTTGGAAAGAGCTCCAGACTCGAAAGTAACCGGCCTTGCCTGAGACTGTTTGGTAGGGCCTTCAGGGTACATTGCACGGAAAGCTCGGACCGGCGTCGATCGACATTCCCTAATTTTTTTTTCTTTTTTCTCCTTTGACTGTAATTTGAACAATCGGTCAGTTCGGAATCAAAGGATGAAGGATTCATGTCGTTCATGTCGACAGGACTTAGGATGAGACGGCTCAGTCGGCCCCTCCAGCACTTGGGGCTTTTTACCGGCCATGATTAATTTCGGCAATCGAAACTCCAAAGCTCTGAACGTGAAGTCCTTGTCATCATATTCTGGCTTGTCTCAGTAAATGAAAAACAGGTCTTTCCCTCCAGAGCTCGAATGAGCCAATCGGTCAATTGATCCCGGGCCGGGGTTGGAAATATCACCAGTGGGCAGCTTGAACATCCCCAACCATCCCTAACTCCGCTCCTACATGACAACATACGTGAAAAATATCCTTGCATCATCAAGACCCATCTATTTTTGCTTGAATATTTATCAAGGTGATTTGACCTTCTGGTTGGAACATTGGATACTATCGGTCTGAGAACTTCGAAGGTTGGAAATCATATGTGGTACTTCATGCATCTAAGCTGGAAAACTTGGAATTGTTTAGTATTTAAAGCTTGAGCAGAAGTGTTAGTCTTTACAAGGTCTAGAATAAACAAGCGTACGAGGACTTCAAGCTTTTTTAGGCATTCACAGTACATATTTGAATCTCAGTATGAAAGGCATGTAGGAGACGCTCTAGGAATCATGACGAATTGGCCACTACTAGAAATCTATGGAGTCCAACGGATAGCAAAGTCACATCAGGTTACGTCCATAGGTAGGTTGATACGAAGGGGATAGAGCCGACCTCAGGGGCCAAATGTGGTTACATAATGGGAAATGAACACGTCTTGGACCTCTCTACTCCAATTCATATGCAGAGATTGCACAATGCCATCTAGTCAAGCAACTCATCTCATGCTATATACATCTTTATACCATCATTTCTTCCAGAGGTTCTTATCTTGCAGACTTGGACTTCGATAAAGGAAGCTTGCTCCCTTTCAATGGCGTGGCTTTGTCCTCCCCATAACAAATGCCAGACCAGCACCAGGGCCTAAAATCACAACCAAGGCGACTACTTTCATCATATATCGTTGGAAACTATCGGCCGACCTGGCTCTAACACCGCTGGCATACTGGAAAATGTAAGCACCATGAGTGATAATGACAAGATTGATAATAATGTAGTCCCACTGGAAAAAGAGAAACGCGCCTGTAGTTAAAATTTTGTTTTACTCACGTTCAACAAGGCTGTGATTCGGGAAATACATGCTGATGAGGTTTAACTCGGATTTCTCTGAAAAGCAAACATAGCATACAATTCCGAGGTGAATGAGGGCACTCGCAGTGCCAGTGATGAAATATCCCGTCTTCACAGGTCGAGTGAAACAGTTGGGAGAGACCGCTTTCGAGGCAATTTTGCTAGCCAGATGTTAGAATAGTACCGCAGTGACAGGAGTCAAGAGATAACAAATGAAGCCGTATTGCATATAGAAGGGGCTTGCATTGAAGAGTCCTGGTGCTAAAAGAGGAGTCGGCAATAACATGGTGAAGATGGCAGTGAACGGAAGTGCCTGGGCATCACTGGCAGCAAGAGGAATGGGTTCTCCAGGCAGGTTATCATACTGCTGCTTAAGATGAAGCCGTGAGTATAGTGGGAGGATCAGGGCAACTCCTGTACAGTTCCAAAGATATTGCCACGTCAGGGAGCTTGGTTATATATTATCGTTAATTTGGCAGGGATTTTTGATGGGAACTTTCTCAATCAGATGGGCTCCACGTACGATTTCAACCACTTGGAAGTCATAGGCCGACGACTTTCAACTATCGTCATAAAATTTATGACGAGTAGTGCGGCAACAAGATCAACTAAAATCAAGAATGCACCCAATTCTTCCATAGATTGGAGGCCGAAGAAAAATGCAACGAGAACTTGAATCGGGAAGTCAAGAGGCCAAATTCCGGTGTAGCTTGTCTCCAGAACCCTTCCATCTGGGAGGGTGCTAGACCAAGCTGTATATAACAAAGCCCTCAGTGTGCCGTTGGTCGCCATGACACCCCATATTGATGAAAACGCGAGGGCACTGAGGCCGTAAAGAATTCTCGATGTAATGATTGGCAATGTCATGGTAAAGGCAATCAGGGGGCTGCAAAACGTAGACACGCAGAGATCACGAGAAAAGGCAAGTTATTGTGGTAAAGAATGCATCGGCATGGAGAGGAGAGGACGATGGGAACGATGAGGAGAGACGCTACGCTTGGAAAGGATCAGCTGACTGCAGGCTATCTTGGTCCGGCCTCTCCTACAGGAACTGAATAATCAGTTCTAAGTGATCGGGATCAATCAGAGGCCTTTGGTCTCGCACTCTGTACATGTGGATCTGGTTTCCGGTGTAAGTGTGGAGGCTCCATCGCTTGTGGATTACTACGGCCCGAGCAGTCCGACTCACGAGAGCTGTGGCATGACTGCGGATTGGTTTGAACAGGCACAAGCCCGAGTCCACCTCTCATATGGTAGTGATTGGACATGTGGTATGAACACTTTGGAAATTTGCAAGCTTCAAATTGTTCTCCTATATCTGACAACGTCGAATTCTCTAGTATATTTCTGTTCTTGCCTTGTGAAATTCCTCCAGTGTCAGTAAACAAGATATGGCTGCTGAAGTAGTTGACGTTGTCGTTGTGGGGACTGGTATGTACACATTTCATCTATTGGAATATTATCCCGTGACTCCAGTACTTGTTTCACCTGTTGAATGATTGGATTCCTGGAAAAAAGCACTAATCAATTTTCGTTTCTTTAGGCTGGAATGGCCTCATTTCCGCAAAGACATATCTCGACCTCAAAGAAGATGCAAACATCATCCTCATCGATGAGCAAGCCTGCATTGGGGGTGTCTGGAGCGAGGAGAAGATATATCCCAGTCTTTTCGCGCAAATCAAGTATGGATTGTTTGAATACTCTTTCTATCCAATGCGCCGAGAAGGCATCACGGGAGATGGATATATATCAGGTGCAACGATCAACACATATCTGAACGAATTCGCTCGCGACTACGACTTGATTAGACGAACCCGCTTGAATACCAAAGTAATCAAGTTGGAACGCCTGCCAGATGATGGTACCGGTGCTACCTGGAAACTCATCTTGGATGGCGACAAACGACCCATCGAGTGTGAAAAGCTCATTTACGCCTCGGGAGCCACTTCGCATCCTGTCATGCCGACTTGGCCGAACCAATCAGGCTTTGAGACTCCAATCATCCATTCTGCAGAAACAGGACTGCATCTTGAATCACTGAATAAGATCCAGCGGGCAACTGTACTGGGCGGCGCCAAATCCGCGTATGATACTGTCTTCTTGCTGCTTAGCAAAGGAATACAGGTAGACTGGATCATCCGTGATGATGGCACTGGGCCGTTAGCTATAATGCCACCTACGATTCTCGGCCTTGTCAACTCCATGGATGTGATTTCAACGAAGGCTATGGCTATGTTCGGGTCCAGCATCATGCAGACCAAAGGCGTGGCTTATCAATTTCTTCAAAAGACACGCCTAGGACGAGCCATCGCGAGGGTGTTTTGGAGTACAGTCACCAAGATTGCCGATGCCCATGCTGGATACGCAAAATCTCCCAATGCGAAGAAGCTCCGACCACTTCCCCACGGCAATGGCATATTCTGGGCTAATGCAGGACTCGGCTGCGCCAGCGTCCCAGACTTTTGGAAAGTATTTCATGAAGGCCATTGCTCGGTGCATAGAACCGGTATCGAGTCGTTCAATGGCAGTAACACGCTCGTTCTAGAGAACGGGACCTGTTTGGAGACGGACTTCGTCATTCTCTGCACCGGCTTTGACAAATCCTACCAGCCATTCGGGCCGGAGTTACAAATTGAACTGGGGCTGAAACCGGACCCGGACTCTCAAGACCAAGCAAAATGGTCCGAGCTGGATGCCCGCGCCGAGGTAACCGTTAATGACTTACTTCCTGCTCTGAAACACTCTCCGGTTCCACCATCCCCGCATGAGCCAAGATCTAAATCGGGCATGGGTTCCGAGACAAGGCCCCACCATGGCCCGAGCCGCCACTTCCGGCGCCTTATCGTGCCGAGACTCGCCGCTGAGAAGGACCGTTCCATCTACTTTCCAGGCTTCATTCACTCCATTTACACCCCATTGGTTTCAGAAGTGCAGGCATTGTGGGGCTGCGCATTCCTGCTCGACCTTGTTGATCTCCCATCTCAAGAAGAGATGGAAAAAGAAGTGGCTGAGTGGAATGTGTGGACCCGCAAGCGATACCTTGCGCAGGGGCGAAAGCATGCATACGCAATATACGACTTTCTTCATGTGAGTCACAATATTTGGATTCTCGTGATCTTCATTCTTCATGCAAATCAACATATTGACAAGACTTAGTATATAGATACCCTTTTGGGCGATCTGGGAATCAACAACACCCGCAGAGGTAATCCCCTAGCGGAATTATTTCTACCCGCCTACCCAAGAAACTATCAGGGTTTAGTGGATAAGTTCAAACGCTCGCTCGCACTAAGAGGAGTCCAAGTGGTTGAATAAACCAGAACTTACAGGGTCAATGGTTGGACCTGATAGGTTGGAGGAATGTCGATCCATATAAGTGTAGCAGATTTATCTTTCGAGGGAACGGCCTGGTAGTCAACTGGTTGGCATAAGAAACGGAGCACAATACTCCGAACGCTGATCTTTTGCCAAATGTTATTTTTTCTATATTTAGTCAATTCCTGAACTATGGTCGAAATAAGGCTAGACTCTCTCTTTCCTTTTGATGAATTCATCATTACGGTCAAGTTGGCGGTTGCCATAAATTGCACTGCTCAGCTGCTCGCGACCTCGGACTTCAGAAAGTCGGGAATGATGCTTCCGGCGCTGTTAAAATCAATCCAAAAAATGAGACAATGTTCCAAGGTAGGCATTCATTGCGTTAGAAAGCCACTAAGAAGCCAAATATACCTGTATGTTTCCAGGCCGTACCCAGAGACCGACCAACCAGTCTTGATACTAGTAGGAAAATTACTACTGAGACTCCCACGGTGACAATTTAAACATTCAATTTGAATAACGCGACATTTTGATATGATGTGTGTTCAATGTTTCAATCTCAGAAATGAGCCTTTACAAGGCGATATATTCAAACTTGAAATAGAGGATGACTCAGTGTGTCTACCTGTCTAGCTCAACTACCTGCTACCCTTTCACTCCTGAATTGTGGGAGTAAGGACAATAGACTGTCTGTTCTCAATTGTGACCCCAGTCTCATCGATGATAACCTGGGCGTTTCCAACAAGAAAGCTATTCTCCAGGAACTTTGGCTTGGGGTCGTTGACCAGGTATTCAATCCGGGCCGCTTCTTCATCGTTAGTATATCATTCTTCAATGACAGGAATCTCCTTAATTGAAACGTATGTGGTCTCACCTGCGTGGCCAAATGGAACGGACGCCATGTCTGGCTGTAAAGTGAAGACTTTGGCAGCTGCTGGAACCATGTCGACAGTACCAAAAGTACGGATATCAATAACATGGCCATCGTCGGTTCTTCAGTAGTTGATAGAAACACATAATATCAGTCAACGAGAACGTGAAAAACAAATGGCACAGCCGTCGGTTTTCTGGGCTCTTCGTTGGAAGTTTGAAGAGTGCTTACTTGGCGATACCACGGAAGTTCACACGACCATGCTTTCCATCTGCGTCCATGACAAACCAATCCCCACCGAAGACAATCTCGGCCTTGAATTCTGGTTCAAAGCCTGGTACTGTCTCCACTGTTCCACTTGGGACTTCCTAGGGCAGGACAAAAGATATCAGCTTAGCGTCTGTGTGAGGGATATGAGGTTTAGGGAAAGGAAGTGTGGCTTACAAAGTGGATGAGCGAAGAGCCAGTGTGGCTAACGCCTGGGGTAGTTCATCAAATGTTAGCACCGCTCGATAAAAGGCGGATCTTGAGACATTGAGCTTACCAAAAGGGCGGATCTTGGTAGGATCAACGTGAATCCTCGTGATGAGGGCGGGCTTTAACGCCGGGAATCCTGCATTGTCGGTTGCCATGTTGATTGATGCGTTTCTAGAAAGGGAGATGTCGGGCAAATGTAGTGACTTGTAAGTTATCTTGTCTTGACCACTTAAGGATGATTGATACCTCTCTCTTGAAAGTCTCCCTGCTTTGATATATCAATCGACATCTGATTGAATGATATCATCTGAAACCACCCCGGGCGGGAGTGACATGCCTGCTGGTATGGATGTTGCACGCCTGCCCAGCATCGGGATTCGCCGGTCCGATGAACAGACAGGTGCCAATAGGGGAGAGGATCTAGCCGCAACGGTGGCATGGAGAAGGAGAGAAGGCGGTCGGCGTGAGCTAAAGACTAATCCGTACAGGACAGACCTCGGACCAACTACAGGCAAACTACCATCCTAGTCCGATAACAGGCCCCGGTCTCAGTCTCCAGACATCGGCAGAGCCTTTGAGTTCAATCGGGTAATGAAGCATCGAAACTATCCAAATAATAGACAATATTGATAACGGAACCGACTACAAAATGGATCGAACTCATGGTTTGCCTCTCTTCCTCTGACCATTCACCATCTCACGCAGAAATGGCTTTTTTTGTAAACAAATTGATTGTTGTCAGCGGTGCGGCTTCAGGAATTGGCCGAGCAACAGCTAAGCTTCTCGCTAAGAATGGAGCTTTGCTCTCCCTCTCGGACATCGATGCTGGTCGACTCAAGACCGTGAAAACTGAGATTGATCAGTTTTCTCCAGAGAGCAACAGTATTACCTCAGTTGTTGACGTTTCCTCCCAAGACCAAGTGAGCAACTGGATTCGCAATACAGTGGCGCACTTTGAAGGTCGGCCAATTACCGCTGCAGCCAACATGGCTGGTGTGACGGGGACAAGTCAAGTTCCCGTGTCCGGCCGAAATATCAGTGACTCCGAACTTGATTTTGTTTGGGGCGCCAATGTACGGGGAGTGATCAACTGTTTGCGGGCTGAGCTGCTGTACCTCCAGGAAGGCATTCGCGGACGTGGAGGTGGAGCCATTGTCAACGCTGCTAGCCTGTCAGGCCAAGTGGGGCTTCCAGGGTTCCTCCCGTACGTTTCTGGTAAACATGCAGTCATTGGTATTACGCGAACTACGACGAAGGAAGAGGGTGCAAAGGGTATACGTGTTAACGCCATCGCACCGTAAGTTGGGAGTCCGATGAGCAATTCTCATTCTTTAACATCCGTGAACTGACTGATCCTTTACAATATCGAACAGCGCCATGATTAATACGCCACTGCTGGAGGAAGTTGCGAACGGGCTTGGCACCTCACTTTCTGCAGAAATGTTTGGTGGGGGTTCTTCACCTGCCTTGGGCAGACTCGGCGATGCTGAGGAGGTGGCAGAGTTGGTACTTTTCCTTTTAGGCCCTCAAAGCGGGTTTATTAGCGGCTCCGTCATCAACATTGACGGAGGAATGTCTTTTTAGTTTGATAGCAGATAGACTCAGCTCCAGTAAATCAACTGGCGCTGGAGGGCTGAAAGGCCGAAAGATGCAAAGTTCGTCACCTGAATTGAATGATATAACCAGGCTACTAGATGAGGTGGGGACATTTGGAAATGATGATTTCAATCTGTGGCCATTTTTCTTCATTCTCGAAGCAAGACCCTCGGTGTCTCACTTTAGTCTGATTGTACTTTCGGTAAAAAATCGTGTCGAATAAATTAATTAATTCGACAGTATGTCGGTCACGCATGCAGATCTCTAGGACTAAGATATTGGCCATGCAGGTGAGTGATACTGCCTACTGTATTCAATCTATACGGACCTTGCCCGCGACGGACTATAGAAACTCCACCTGGGCATAATTCATTATCACTCCCTGTCTCAGCCTATTTCGCCTCTTGCGACTTCGAAGGATTCCACGCTATATCAGGAATAAGTTGCGTGATCTGAGTCGACAAATCAAATGCATGTACTGTTGATCCCTCCCACTCACGATTCCCTGGATTATGCTTATGCTGCAAGGATATTCACTATTTGCATCAATTCAGTCCTGGAATTCCTGCATATAATGGCAAAACGGCTGAAAGCACTTGCAGGCCACCTTGCCGACTTGGAGTACTAGTAGAACGCCCGGTACACATGTGGACAAAATCCTTTGTGTATTTCAGACAGCTACTGTAGCCAATTGATGTGCATATGCTGGCAATAGTTAAGGTAGTATCAAGTCCTTTTGCTAACTTTTGTCACTTTATGCAGTATTTATCTTTCAATACAAACAATTCCTCCGCGGGCTTGCCCAGCGACACTGTTACAACCCTCGACCAACCTCGAGTTGCTTTTCCGATCGGATAGATGAGAGGGGTAGCGAACTACAATGATTTTGCATCATTGCAATATATTCTTCTATAATTTAGGGGCGAGAATCTCCAATACTATTCTAAATCTCCCAAGTCGCTTCCAAGGTTAGGAACGTCCACCGTTTCTTCCTTGTTCAACTCGCTCGCCGCTTTTGAATGCTTGGCACGCGGGGACTGCCTGTCACGCAACATCATAACACAACCCACCTTGTACAATCAACCAAGAGTCGGAAACAACCATGAGCGGAGGTGGAGCCCGTCATAGCGCATGCAAATATTGTCGAGACCATAAAGTGCGGTGTGACGGTGGCCAGCCATCATGTGAGAAATGCCGCAGGCTCGGCGAGGAGTGTATCTATCTCCCCGCACAACGACCCACAAGGGCCGACCTCACTCAGACTGTGGCGGCACTACAGAAGCGACTGCGTAAGACGATGTCTCTTGCTATCCTCTACAGTTTCTTTTGGATGCTATCGCGTCCCTGATACAACATTAAATTATCGTCTGTGCTAACCCCGACACAAGATGAAACAGAAGCGCGTATCTCAGGGATGGCCAGTCAATCAAATGGCCTATCTCGCATCGCCACTAGTTCGCACCCGCCATATAATACAGATAGAAGTACCAATGCAGAAAGTCAACCACCCGCGGCTTTTCTGTGTCCACTCCCTGCTAAAACCCAGCACGGTTACCAGCCTCCATCTCCCCAACCTTATAATCCTCCCTTGCAACCTTCCTTGAACGATGCTTTTCTGCGCTCGCTACACGCCAATGAGACACAGTATAGGATGTCAGTTGAAAGAATGGAGCCAACCCAATTTGGCAGGGAGAAAGAGCTTGGAGGTCACCTTAGACCAGATTTCACTAACTCTGGAAGGTTCGGATTCCCGCCAATCTTCCAAGCAGAAAATCCCAACAACCACGTTCAAGGTCAGAGCTATGTTGATGTAGCGGAGTTATTAACCCCGGATATCAGCGACATCACAGAGGCTTCCTCATCTTGCCTTCCTGCGTCCGTACCAATCGCGCCGCGGGAGACACCTTGCAGTGATAACAATATAAGTGAAGGTGTCGCGGCTCAGCTGGCCAATTTCTCCGCGGCTGTCTTTCGTACCCAGGCTGAGATAGCCGGCATATCGTCAGCTGTCGCCGCATATATTGCCTGGATACGCAAGGTTCCAGCGGGAATGACCCCGCCCAATACCACTTTAATATATTCAAATTTACTCGAGACAATTGAGGAGCGTCTACGTGAGATGGGTGAGATGGCTGAAGCCAAACCACGCGCTGCTTTTCGAGAAATGATGGAGGGGATCCAGAAATTTGGCCCGGCTGGTGCCCCTGTCTACAATACCTTGGGTGGATTGGAAGAGAAATTGGACAAGCAATCGGCCGATGTGGCAAAATTCTTCTCCATGCGCTATAATGCATGTGCATTAATGTCGGAACAAGCATCGAGCCTACCGCACGGGCCTGCTTCGCGCAGCGAATCGCACGAATCTTCAGGCTCAGAGTAACAGTGGGTCGAAAAGTGGGACTCGTTGTGGTGGATGTTTAGCATTGTATATATGTTGTGAGCTTTACACGAAGTGCAGGGTTTTCTTTTCAATACGCAATCCTCATGCTCAATCTTTAGATGTCTGCGCTTTGAAATTGTTTTCAAGTTGATATTATCCGCATAACTTACGCATAGTTATCTGAAATGAGTTACCTATGCAAAGTTCCCCGGGTTACATTTTTTTAAAAAAAAAAAGAAAAGAAGAAATTTAATGAATCAGAGCATAAAGTGTTAAGGTTTACTAGTACGGGAACGGAGCGGGAACTTGGACTTGGCATTTTGCTCAGTGCCCAGGTGGATTCGGGTGTGTGGCGGCCGAAGACGGTCGTTTGGTCAATCTTCATGGAAGCAGTCGATGTGGAGAGGTCGGACATATGGGCTGCAGCACTTGAGATACCTGGATCGCAAGGTAGCCGGGGTCGTAGCCCGAAAGTCCGAACCTTTTGTATGCCACCACAGGACCCCGAGGGAGCTTCGGGCCGAGTGTTCGTCCCACAATTTTGAGAGGATTGGTTTCTTCTGGAACCTTGAATGTACAATCGACTAGTACGAGCTTCACCGAATAGCATGCTCATCGAACGAATGGGTCTGGAAATCCGAGGTCTCGAGCCTAGACTTTCATATACTGAGGATCCGGCGTCTTTCGGCGTACAGCACGCCTTTATTTACACTGCTTCTCTGGAAAGAGCTCAATATCAGAATTGCCACGAATTGTCTATTCACTTGTCATGTCGATCAACAACTTGAATCCTAGTCCAAATGACTCCGTCTTAAGCAAGGTCTTTATAGTCCTTGGAATTATCGGGACTGGTGTGACATGGGGGCGCACCATTGGCGACGGCACTCTGGCACATCTCCTAGAGGCTTTGGATGGCACGGATGGAAAATACATTCTCCCAGGCACGGACTTCACGCTGCGTGACAACTTCACTGGAATCTGGCCACTTGACTACCTACTACGGACACTAGTAGTTTTCTTCTGGGAGGTTGTCGACGGCTCCCACCCAGCTGCCACAACAACAGGCATCTACTTCATCGGTCTGCTTTTTCCCATCATAGTTGCCATTTACCTGGACGGGCTCCGCCGTGGAAATGGGTCCTCAATTTTGAAACCGTCGTTATGGTTTCTTATCTTTGGAGCCGCAGCCATCGGATGCAGTGGCGCAGGGTGGGCAATTTTATATACAGCAGCTTCGCCAACAACTTTGTCGTCAATCGCTCCAGATTCCCTTCGACGAGCCTCACTTCTCTCTTCTACGAGTACGGCCGTTCTACTGCTTCCAGCCATTTTCATTGGATACGTACTTCCCATGGTGCTTATGGGCCTCCCATCGCCGTACTTCGTCTCCAATAATTTCCAACAATGGACAATCGTTATCTGGAATGCGTTTCCCATCATCATGTACACCATCATTGCGACAGGCGAGCGTATCTTGAGCCTGAGATCCTCTTCCTCGTCACCGAAGATCTCTATGTCTAGCTCTCAAGCCGCGCATCTACGCGTGGTGAGATTAATGAGCATCGTCTCGGTCGCAGTTGGCCTTGCTCTCCATGTTGCCGTTACCACCATCTCCGCCTCTGCAGCCCTTTTCCCGGCTCTCTTTGACAGCAAATACGTCAAGGAACTGACTCCATTATCTTTGATGACTCCTCCTCTTTCTCTCGCTGGCGGCGACACGGTCGGAGATGGTATTCATGGCTTTATGCTGTGGGACCAGATTATAGGATTCTCGTTAGTACAGCTTGTGTTTCTAAGTCAGCTTCGGAATGCCCTGCGATTTTCCAACTTTCAGCATCGTGGATGGATAGGCCTTGGCACTGTTGCCTTTCTACTCTCTTTTGTAGTGGGTCCTGGTACAACTGTTATTGTCACTAGCTGGCTGCGAGATGAGATCTTATTCAACCAAACGGAGATACAGACCCCCACTAATGAAAAGGCGGGAAAGACATTAACCAAAAACTAGGCAAGAGGAGGTTTACCTGATTCCAGTCTGGGGGTTTTGTATAGAGTTGCAAGAAGACACGATTATGTTGAATGAATCGAAATTCCGTGTCCCAGCAGATGTAATGTCTAGCTATTTTTCGTAGCACTAGTAGGGATATTCACTAGTATCTAAGTCTTTCACTGCCGTTGAGAGCAAATAGTAGTAATTTACCTCTTCAAGTGTTCTATGTGTCTTTCTGTCTCGCTCTCGATATCATATGTCCGACGTTCCATGCTCTCGCCTCCCCACCTGTCTTACTGACAGCCTTCTATGCCGGAATACTAGCGACTATTATGTGGGAGATCAGAGCAGCTTGTAATCAGCCAATTCTTCGCGCGTCATATCTCTCGTCTTGCTTCTCCATTTTCCAAATGACTTCTGCTCCCTATGCTCGTGCCGTCTTCGTCCCTAGGATCATTTTCATTGCATTGAAACCCCCGTGCTTCCAAAGATAATCCTCCACTACAAAAAACATCCTCATATTCCCGAAAGGACGAGTGATCGTACACAGTAGAAGGCATCATACCTTCCCCCTTCGTTTGCTTAAGGTTGACAACCTGCAAACTCCCGGTTCGAGATGGGGAAACTCCGTCGCTTTGGCCCCTTGCATTGTAAATTGTTAATTCGGGGATACATTAACCGCGTTCGGGGCGAAGCGACCGAGTAAGGTTCGGCCGGATCGAAGACTCCGAGCACGCACGCCAAGCACACTATCTGAAGAGGCCCCAACCTCGGGGGTCGTCGTCGAGAAAAATGAAAAGAATCAAAGACGCTTGTCATCTCTGCTCCGAGTAAGTACCTCTCCGTTCGGGGTAGGGGTACTTCACCGGAAGTACAGGGCATTCATCGTATCTATGCAATCGTTTAATAAAGACTCGCAAAGTGGGTTGCAAACACAGAGATCACAAAATAGGCAACAGATCATTGTCCATCAATTCATACTTCCGGGCACAAATTCAAAGTCTCCAATGGCATCTGAAGAACGACCCTTTCGTGTCATTGTTGTTGGTGGCGGCGTATCCGGACTGGCGGCCTCACATGCATGTATGTTTTCCTTTGTATTTTTTCCATCATGGGGATTCCATTCGTTGTGGCCCAAACATTTATTCATTTTCCATGATTAGTTCAGAAAGCCGGGATCGAACATGTTGTGTTGGAGCGGAGGAATACTGTTGCACCGGCCGAAGGCGCGAGTATTGCCGTGTACCCACATGGGGCACGTATCTTGCATCAACTTGGCTGTCTGTCTACAATCAAGCAGCATAGTTCAACCCCAGACCGATGGCGTGCACGGCTACCTAGTGGTAAGCTGATTGCCAATAACGGCGTATTCCGGGTTATTGAAGCAAAGTGAGTCGGTCTCTATTTTCACCTTGGTCTTTAGTTGAATCCTGGTGCAATCGGGTCTCGAATCTTGATGTTGAAACAAGAAAACGCAGTCATGGGTCCGGCTTGCTTCTTATCGAAAGACGGCAGTTCTTGCAAGACCTGTACGATACCCTGCCGGACAAAACGCCCATCAAGACCTCCTCCGTCATAGAGGATATCAGGCAAGACGAAGATGGAATAGAAGTACGACTGAGTGATGGCTCATTTGAGCGAGGTGACTTGGTCGTAGGATGTGACGGAGTACACAGCTTTGTGAGACGAACTTCATGGGAACATGCAAATAAGACCTCTTTGGGATCAATCACTGTGAAGGAGAAACTCGGTAAGTCTTTGCCATATTTGCAACCGTTGCCATTTACTGATCTATAGGTTTATAGCCATTCGGGCAGACTGGAAATGTCTTGTCGTCACTACCAACCCAGTTCCAGAGTTGGGCGACCGAGACTTGACCATCGTGCATAACAAGAATTATTCGCACATGTACACAGTGACTCCTACCCTGTGCTACTTTTTTGTCTTCTTTCACCTGGATGAGCCTTGGACATTCCCAAAGAGAACGCAATACACAAGTCAGGATGCTCAAGACATAGCTGACAAAATTGCTAACCATGCCATGTCCAACACTGTTGTATTTGGTGAAGTCTGGAAACGTCGTATCCGGGCCGCAGTGGTCAATCTTGAGGAGGGGGTTTTGAGTCACTGGTATCACGGGCGGAAGTGCTACTGGCGAAAGTGAGTGCGGATATTCTCCAGATAAGGCGTTGTGGGTAGCGAATAACCTCTGAGAATAATAGGTTTTGCATTTAGTCGAATGAAGACTACGTGGACTACCTTCTTCGAGAGGACCAAGCGATCTATATGAATTTTTTCGACTGGATGTTCAGAACATCACGAAAGAAGGGACTCCAGACTTACGATGAGTACTGGCGCCGCCTTTGTCAGTACTTCGAGCTGTTTTCCCGTCGCCGTGTCGGCGATAACGCCCATAAACAGATGAGACGAGTACGAGCATTCCTTGTATACTAAGGAAGGCCAAGCTAATCGCGATATAGTATCTCGAGGGGCCTTTCCCGGCCGAGCGCAAAATCTCCCGACGAACCAAGGACAAGAACACTCTGGATGTAGATGTCTTCTGTGTGATCTACTGGCATCACTGGGTCCATTCGCGGTTCTTTCGACATAGAAGTATGATCGTCCAATTTGCTACAGTACAGCTATGGTCTGCTATTACCGGGACTCGCCCCGGCATCTTGCTGTCACAGAATATTTCTCTGCCTGGTGATCTGTCATCCCTGGGCAAGCGTAAACAAGTTTATAACTTCCAAAGTGATCTTCCGAAGTACATATCCTTAAAAGACCTTCCCAAATCCGTCTGCTATTGTGATATTGAACTTTTCTACCTGAAAGACCGTCAGAGTAAACGTGATGTTCTCTGTGCCATCATAGAGTTTTGTAATCTAAAAGGTCGACCGGAGGGTGATGATGGGTAGGAGAACCCCTCTTCTACATATTTATGTGCTATAAATGAAATGCTAATAGTCACACCAGAACCAAATTTTTCATGCACGGTGATTACCAACTAGTAGATTGCCCTATTGCTCAGATAGTCTCGTTTGCTTTCCGCGATGGAGCGTTTGTCAATTCTGATCTCACACCTGAGCTTATTTGGCGGCTGCGAGTTCCCAAACATCAATCCTCCCTCCCCCTCCGGTGGAAGCCCGAAGTCCTCAATACACCTCTCTTACGACGCTTTGAGCGCACTCCGTATGGTTATGAACTTCATGGCTCTCTAGCGATGACTTACGAATCAAGTCGGCAGGCTCTAAAAGAACTAGGTTGAGATGCTAGATTTGAAGACAACATTGGACATTACAATTTTCGCCGTTGGACGGCAAACGAAGTTAATCGTAAGTTATTCACGCATTAAATTAACGAAAACCACAACATCATAGAAACAAGAAGTTCTACCGAGGCTAATAAGCAGGATTAGGCAATTTCACCAGTCAGGAGCGGTAAAGAGTGCTTGGTCAGTCTGGCGACGCTGTTTTTGAAAATTATTACCAATCACAATTTATTAGACGCGATCTCCAGCATGTTGTTCTTCTTCGACCGTCTCAGGAAGGGGTACTCCGCTCTACTGGGATTATACTCAGGAAAAGGGATCTTAATGCTCTATCCGAGCTCACCGAAACGCATAAACGTGCTATTTGCCAACATCCGGATATTCTACAGTTTCGACAAGAGATAAGAGAACTCAGAGCGGAGATGGTATCCTTGGTAGGTAGTATCAAAAATGCCCGGGAGCCCTTCCCGAATCTCTACCAAAAGCATGAGAATGTCAAAAAAGAAATCTCTAAGCTCCGAAAAAGGCTAGTAACTGATATGAGAGAGGCAGCTAGGAAAGACCATTTCCAAAATGCGTCTGTACTAGAAGTGGACAGACAGATAAAACAACTTCTCGGCAAGTCCGATAAAGTCTCTAACGATAAAAACACTAATAATGAAAGCTGGGAATTCCCCATTCCTGATTATGTATTTGCCGAACAGGCACGCTTGGTGGAGAACTTCTATAGGCCTGATACAGAGAGCTTCAACAAGGACAAATTACTTGCTTAACACATCCAGGTTACTAAAGATATGGTTACACTGATGTAGTTAAACGAGCCGAGCAGGCGTGGAAACCGAGTCAATTGGGATATTGATGATGAAGATGAATTACTTGATCAGTTAGAAGAATTGCCATGCCTCGAAGAAGACACTATGGAATGTCCAACGAATATATGCATTATTTGTTGTGGTCTCTCTCGCCAATCAGCATCGAATCCTCCTCCGCATAAATTCCCCAACGACCGACAGGACTCTCTTCGTCGCCACTTGATTGACATGCATCTGGCCCATGCGCGTAACGGAATAAGCTGCAATTGGGAAAGCTGTCGCAACGTCCCTCAGTTTAGCGATATCACCAAATTTTTGGCCCATGCTTCTACTGAACATTCATATGATATCAAAATCAAATTGTGTCATCTCCCACAGGTATCACCAACTAGCTGCAGCAACGTTTCATCCAGGGAAGTGTCTTTGGAGATGGAGAATCGACAAAAGACCGAGACTCCCGCCTCCTCCATCGACCTCGAGCTGAAAAATATTGATCCGTGCCTTTTGGAGGTACCCCCTCTTCCCATTAAGATGGCTTTGCCGAGTTAATCAGATACTAAACTCCTCTCTTGCTCTGGTGGATCACCATTTAAAGATATTTCTCCCAACTCGGCCGAAACTCCAATCAGACGATCGACGAGGAGCACGGCAAAGGGGACAGAACACGCACCCGCGCAAGAATCGGAGTCCCAAACTCAGCATGTGAAGCGCTTATCTCGGAAAACCCGTTATACAGAGAAGCCACAATGTGGAGGAAAGGAAGAAAACAAGGGACTGAACAGCATAAAAGCTTCTAAAGGGCCTTCGCTGCGTCGATCAAAACGATTGTGAGCTTAATCAATTTGGCCTTATAACCTTTTGATAATTGGAGTTTGCGGTTCTAAAATCTGCCTTGTTTGGTGTAGAGAGTATCGCAATCATACCCATACAGTAATGCTTGTGAATCAGTATACGGAGTTTTGCATATGAGATAGATACTCTGCGATTCTACAACAACATTATCTCTGATTTTTTGATGTACAACTTTATGATTTGTCTGTCCTGCACGAGATGTACTTGCGGAGGTATGCCGAGGGTGTTCTGGCCTTTGAATATGAGTGTCAGATTCTTTTTTTCTTTCTCTTTTTGGATAATTGGTAGTGTTATAGTTAGGTTGGTGACTAATTTATTGAAGCCTTATTTGTCGCGATTATTTCGAACTATCGGAATAGAATTCCATCATAGTTTTTTCGACCTTTTGATTGATGGGTCATAAGAAAATTGGCTGTATTTCTCTTTTACTTGTCAATATATCTATTTACTTTTCCTGCCTTTCTTTATAAGAGCAAATAACTTCTATGAAATTATATAGCAAGACCAATGACACCACTAGTCTTTAGTAGTCATCTACATGGCCATAGGGGATTCCAGTCCTAATTAGTAATATGTCTGTTGTCAAATAGTCGTTTAGGAAATGTGGCCATGCTCTCCGGTTCATGGAGGTGGCTATAATAATGACCAAGGGATGGTAGCGCTGGAATACATACTAAAGACATATAGTCTAAGACACTGGGCCTATGCACAGTGACTATAGCCCGAAGTTTCAGGGTATAGTACTAAAGACAGGCTAGGTCCGGAGACCGTGGTCTCCAGACCTAGCCGACCAGCGGACCGCCAACTTATATCATTTACGATTCCAAGTACGATAGTGTTTCAAGTTCTAGTTTCCGTGACATATCATGCCTTGAGATATAGCTACAATGCAGGCCGAAAGATTTAGGTCAGTTAAAGGAGTCTTATGCAGTATCAATGTACGCTTCTTGGACCCCGCATTCACTTTGGCGCCTCGGCAACATAACTTGGGAACGCACCGCCTAGGAACTCTCCATCCTCTTTTCATTTTTACGCGCTACGTAAGTCATCAAAAGAGAAGAAAATAACATAGGGGCTAACGCAGTATCTACAACGGTCCAAGATGAAGCTGCTCATCAATCCAACAAAGGAGGAGCGGAGGGGAAGAGCTTTCATCTAGGACACGCGCGTTCTGGAGCCGAGAGACGTGAGTATATCAGTATTGAAGTCAAAGATAGATACTGACTACAGATTTCAAAGTTTTACTGGTTCCGCAATCTTTAACCTACTTGCCTTTGCGCCACCCGCCGTTTACAGCACCCTAAGCAAGCTATAGGTCGCCAAATTAAGCTCCAGCGAGGTGGTCATAACTAATATATACACATATATCGGTATCATTGTTGAGGTAATGAATGATGGTATTCCGCGTTCTGCGTGGCTGATTATTGGAGACAAATCATCGCGAAGCCTGCACTCACGGCTAAACCTTGCCTGGACCATGATCATTGTCTGTGTAGCATAAGGGCTTCTGGTGACCGTTATATTTCTTGCAACATCAACCAAGCTTACAGCTATCTTTGTCCCGGCTGAAGTGCGACATGCATCGCTTGCCTATATACGCTGGTCCTCTATCCAAGGCCTGACATCCGCGACCGAAGCGGCGATCTCTTCCTCAACCAGAGCGCTGGATAAACCGGACATCCCTTTGATAATCAGCGCGAGCAAGTTTTTGATCAATATCGTGTTAGATTTCCTACTGGTATCAACGTTCCGTGTTGGAAAATTTACGCCAACCATTGTAACACAGGCTATTATTCGATTAACTTGCGACATATTGTCGGTGATGGTAGGACTTCTTTACTTTGTTTGTGTGGTTGTGAAGCGCAAGAAAAGAGAAGCCGATGGCCACGGAAACTTGAAAATAAGCCTCGATGCACTGAAAACATTAGTTCGGCCAAGTTTATACACATTCGGCAAGTCGGCAATCAGGAATTCCATCTATTTATAGCTAGTCAACAGAATAGTTCAGCTTGGAGATCTCTATGCTACGGCCTGGGGAAATTTTACCACAATCCGCTGGGGGCTCATAATGGTCCCTGTTCAGGCTCTTGAAGCGTCAACTTTGGCTTTCGTCAGGTATAATTGGGGTTATTTTCGAGCAACACAGCAAATAGAATACCCTAAGGCCACTAGAGCGGAAGTTTTCGGTATATCAGAAACTTACTAGGTCTGGATAAGCTATTAACATTCCGAAAGCTATTATTCGACCAGCGCTTTTATCCTGCGGAATTGTCATGGTTTTCGAAACTACCGTGTGTATTGCGCTATCTATACATGGGATACAATCTTTCGCTCTTTATTTATCTGCTTTGAACGATGTGACGGCTGTCACCCAAAGAATATGGAAGGTATCTTTCTGCAGAGAGAATGACGTTTCCTTTCCCGTTGGCTTACATTTCACAGGCCATTGACTGGACCTACATCTTTTACGGACTCAACTACCAACTTGGGGCTGTTTTACTCGTAGCTTCACTCGGTGGTATCTATACCAAGCACTCAGCTCAAACTTATGCTGGATGCTTCCTTGGGCCATCGTTGTGACTGTTCTCTCTTTGCTGAGTTCATTGGCTTGGACGTACTATGTAGTCATTTTTGGAGACGCACTTGTGTTTGATCTTCTTGGTGTTGGAGTGACGCTACTCATTTGGATTTACAGGCTTTCCAGAGGGAAATTAAGGGCTCGCTCGCATATTGAATATCATTGACTCAGAACCGTATGGGGAGCAGGGTAGGGACGAGGCATCAGAAAAATCTTTGAGAACAGATTCTGTATGAAAACGGGAAGCAGTAAAACCTGTCAAAATAATATTTGGGATTCTCTACCTCTCTTAGATCAGCTCATAGAATAATTTGACGGATTTTGTGGTCTAATGACAGCTTGGGCAAACATATTTGATAGGGACCCCAGTGTTTCTTGGTAGAGCGTTACGCCGCATCATGCACTTGCGCCCAGTCATGATCGGACAGCCAATAAAATATGGAGAAGCGACTCAATCGGCCAAGGTTTCCGCATATAGAGAAAACCGTGGCCTGTCGCAGGAAATCGCTCGTCTGGAGAAATCAGCTGTCTTAGGATATGGAAAACCGTGGCCTGTCACAGGAAATCGCTCGTCTGGAGAAATTAGCTGCCCTGGGATATGGAAAGTGGAGGAAATACTTACGCCAGAGCTCAACCAGGAATAAGAATTTGACTGGAAATTGAAATCAAAATGAGATATATGCTTTATCCTGCAAAGGGGTAGCACCTGAAATATCCTATGATAGTTCTACAGAAAGGACATTCCTTCGGCTCAAGATTATCTGTACATAACTTGCAAACCATGTGTCCACAGAGAAAAGTCACCCAGCAATCTGGTTGCGTGTAGCAGATCTTGCATTCTAAAACTCCCCGTTGTCTCTGCAAAATTTCCTCTTTGGTTTTCCGGTGTTCTTCCATTTCCCTTCGAAGCTCATCTTGAAGCTTTCGGACTTTCACTTCTAACGATTCGATTTCATGATTAACCGTATTTCTAAGCTCCTTGATAGCATTGTCCTAATCTCATGTTAGAAAGTGGGGGAAAATAGTCCTGCGAGAAGCCGGTACCAATATGGAGGGCGTATCTGTTTCCTCTCTTTTTCGTTTGCAGGGCCGGCACGTATCATTCGCATGGTTCACATCGTTTGCATATATGGATTCAATGATTTGGCTCTCAAAATTCGGGTAACTGTAGTCAAGAGCTCTTCGAGGTCGTAAACCGCGGCGTTGGAGACGAGGCAACTCCTCATCATCACTGATAATAATTATTTCGGAATGGCTCGCCATCGGGGTGTTACTTCTCGAGTGAGGACAGGCGATAAAAGCCGGTAGAAGTTAGTCTGTTAAGAGCAGAAAGAAAGACTGGAGGATGAAAATACCTGGGGGAAGAAAGCCATTTATATACCTGGGAACCAACATTGGTGGAGAAAGCCTCTTTAGGTAATTGGATACTGGTACGATCACAAGGATCAATTCTAGCTGTGATACAAGGCTAGATCGTGCTTAGTGCTTATTCCAGTGGCATCTTAAGTTATCAACAGTAAGATCCGTGCACCAATGATTATATGATGCTATAGCGAATCTAAAACATACTGACAGAATGAGTGCTAAAAGACTGGAAGTATTCAGGCCTTTAATCTTGTGACAAACTTAGCCATCCTACATGCGCTAGTGTTACATCACCAACAGGCTTTTTCAACCAACAATTCCCTGCTATAGTGCTGAACGTGAAGCATTTTAGGAGAGTTTGAGGTATCAGACTAAAAATAATGTCTCTAGAACTCCAGACTGGTCTAAACTTAGTTACTCGCAGGCAAAGTATCTTTCTCGGTAAAACTAGACTTTCAGTTGTGATAAGGTCGTGTGGCTCAAGATGAATCTTCTTGTATATCATAACCAACTGATATTGGCGCTTTAGACATCTAATCAGTGGCTCCCCGAGTTATCAGCGTCAAAGCCTGCCTGCCAATGATTGTGCCATGCTATAGAGGATGTGAAACATATTGAAAGATCATGCGCTATAATTAATCCGAGTCATGATGTATAGTACCTTGTATCCAGCCCTAATGCATTAGTGATTGTAAGTTATCGCCAAAATGAATTGTCAGCCAACCATTCTATGATGTACAGCTGATAGCAAAGCATATTGGGTTTATAACGTATGACTAGAACAATCCTACCGCTGCACTGTATTAGAAATAGTTGCTAGTGGGCGATCTATTCCCATTGTTAAAAATAGTCTTTTAGGAATGATGTTGCTCACCGGTACTCGAACATGACCGGATAGATGTCTGTGCAGGTAACCAAATCCAGCGCTTATTATAAGTCAATAACTCCGACTCACTAAGTTACTCACAGCAAGACCTGCCCTCCAATTATTTTCCCATACTATACTGGATTTGAAACATACCTACTGCAAGATCATGTTCTATTAGGTTGGAAACCACCAATCACTAATGCATGCAAGACTCCCAGTATTGCCAACAACCATTGCCAACAAGCCATTCTCTAGTATATTGCTAAAGGCGATGTGTATGTGGGCTGTGCTCGCATCTCTATCTATTTTCGTATTTCCCCCGACAAAAATAGTCTTATAGTGGTGGCATTGCTATTCAGGTAGATGATGTCAGTGTTCACTTTGGGATTGTTGCCTTGGGTTAAGCTATAAAGCTGGTTTGTTCGCACCATCTACTCCAAAATCATCATCCATTCTCTCATCCATTCTCTCTTTCATCATATCCACCATGGACTCTAAGATCAAGCCAACAGGCTACAATTCATTACAGGAAGGAGGTGAGAGCATCCGTATACCCTACATTTTACGAAATGAGCTAAGGACGGACTTAAAGTCATCGCATCTAGTGCTATTAGTACTGCTCAGCAGGTTACAGATACCGACCCTAATCTAGTCGATAAGAACGATGCCTCAGATAGTACCGAATCTATGTCCTCGGACGACTTTGAGAAGTGGCTTGAACATCCTGGACACAAATTTCAAAATATTCCAACAATCCATATCACAGAGGCGGAGATAATATCGAACTGCGACAAAGACTCTGTCGATTTCAAAACGTCGGATGGCGTTCTTTCCCCGAGGTGGCCTCAGTACGCTGAACTTAAGCCAGCAATTCATTCAAGTTCGAAGCTGGGGCCTACTAATGATGATCAAAAGGATAGGTCTAAAGAAACTGATAAATACGATTCCAATATCGAAACATCCAACATGCCAAATATCGGGGGACCCACAAAGGATGGCCCTTCCAAAGATCAAGAATTAGGAATAGAGGAAGAAAATGTGACTCCACGTTTTGCTTCTCTTGATGGAAGTGGCAAGGCCAGAGCTCATTCCGATGGTGAAACGCACAATTGTCCCTCCAATCATAAGGACACAGCTGGCTCCCCCGTGGAAACCAAACAGGCGGCAAGTTCACACTCAATATCTCTATCAGGGATTGAGAGCAACAGCACCGCAGGTTAGTAATCCACGTTTACTGCATTGATTGTGTTGAATTTTTCTAATTAAACCAAGCTTCTACAGCTCCTACGCCAATAAATACTCAACAAAATCCTGACAAGGTTGATGAGCAACCCCTCACCATGGGAGCACAACCCAGCCATTGAGTAAACGGAAACATCAGCGTGAAGCAGGATATAAATCCATCCAACCGCGTACCTCGCAACGCATCGAAGACATGAGGAGAAAAGAGCCCGTTACTCCTAGTTGAATCTCAGGTTTCACAATTTCAACAATTGGCTGCCAGGGAATTTGATTACAATTCAACATTGATTATGCCAGACTGATATAGGTATTATACACATATGATATTGGTGCTGTATCAGGCTTTGATCATTGAATCCTACTCTATAATTTTGTTCTCAAACTGTAGCCTTTTTTGAGAAACTTCCAGTTCTATGACTTTGAGAACTTTCAATGTTGCTTTCTTTCATCATTCCCGAGGTCTGGACTCGCATATGTATACACTTACCCGTCATAAGTTTCCGTACGGTCCGCAGCCCATCAAAATATATGTCTATATCGACATGATTAAATCAATTTTTTAAATAAAAATATAATAAAATATATGCTGAATTCTCCAATGACGCCTAAATACAATTTCATTTCTTGTTTGATCTAGTATTTCATATACCAACCGTTAGCCTTGATAATAGCCTTACACGAGAATTCATACTTCGAATCAACCTGTCGAAGAAATTAGGTGATATCTCAGCCCCTGTGTAATGAATTAGGCTAGAACAATGCCTAATAAGCTCTGATTTGGTTCCTTCAAATTTACTAGGGTCCGAATTAAGCTCATCAATCATACATTTTAGCTGAGCCCGCGTGTGTTCGATAGCGTTAAGATCAGGTGAAGTAATCTCCAAGAAAGAACTGGGTAGATTCTTTTACCGACGCCACGCCACCGGAGGGAGCTTTAAAAGGATAGATGACGAAATTGGTCTCCTTCTTTCCAGTGTTACCTCACTAACCTCAACGATAAGCCTATATAACAGGCTCTTTCCCGTGGCTCACAGAATAAACGACTGATCCCCACATCACTAGGTAGGCACATCTTTCTACTTATGACTCATGTGTGGGAATAAGTATACAATGGGGCCAAAATGGACACTTCCCACCACCATATGAGTGCGCCACCCATGATTTAAGTCCAACTCTTTTCTTTCGACAAGGGCTCTTACAACCCCAGTATGACCTCTCCGTGCAGCCCATGCTAAAGGTGTATACCCATCGTTGTCTCTGCCGTTGATGTCCACACAGGACCGATTAAGGAGCTGGCGAGCAATGCACTGATGTCCCATCGCTGCAGCACGCGTGAGCGGTGAACAGCCTTAATTGTCAATTGAGTTAGGTTCAACATCATTGCGATCAAGCAGCAGAGCTACTGTTCTCATATGGCCTTGCTCAGCGGCTAGTGCTAATGGCGTGGCAAGTGTGTTATTTCGCGCATCGGCGTCGACCGCTTCTCGAATAAGAAGAGACTCAACCACAGATTGGTGACCTTCCTCGGTGGCGAGAGCCAGTGGCGTATTTCCGCGTTTATCTCTTGAATGAATCCGTACACCTTCGTCCTGAGCAAGTAGGTCTAGAATGGCCGATTGATCCCATATTGCTGCTTGCCCCAGAGGTGTCCCTCCATCGACATCTTGGGTATCTATCTCTATGCATTCATAATTCAGAAGCAGCTTGGCCAATGGGGCATGTCCAAATTTGGCCGCCAATGCCAGAAGGGTAAGGCCATGACCATTCTGCCCATTGATTTCCAGCATGAGTCCTTCTGGTCATTCGAGATGCTAAACTTTTCGAATCATTCAAGTCCTCCTCCAACCAAATAGCCGGAGGGTCCATTTTGACCGACTGGATGCCGTTGCGATTATAGGCCCAAGGGAAAGAAATTGGCTGGAAAAAGAGATACTCACCATAGTCATTGGTGAAAAAGCAGAAAAGTAGCAACGCACAATGGCAGCCACCCGTAATCCAAGGGCCCCCTTTGTTCCACGGTAACACAGTCCCGCTAAGGATTGCTGATAGCGCTAGTAGTGCAGGGCGCGTAACGTCGCTCGACATGAGGCTTAGGGTCACTTACATCAACGCTATGGTGCAATTTTCTAAAGCTTATTGGCTTCGCTTAAATGAGGCTTGAGGGCCGTGCCGATCAATGCACATAACTAGTGGAGGTTGCGCTCAGCAGAAATTTGGTTCCAAATTTTTTTTTTCATATCGCATGAACTGATCTCGGGAATGACATGTCAAGTCTGCCGTCGTTGTACCCGTCCCGCTTCACAGCGTCAGGTGAACGGGGTGCTCCCATGGAGGCTGGAGTGGGCGCCAGGCTACTGAAATGCGATATCCTTGGCCAGTATATATGACTCCACAGTACGCCACATAGATGATATGACGTAAGGCGATGCGAACACTCGATATCGGAGCTACAGACAGAAGTCATAGCCCTGTTGCCATGCCCCTCAGGCGAGCCTTAAGGGCGAGGGTGTTTCGCTTCGACACCATGATATGCCCTTTCTTGGCTTGGATGACGCTTACTCAATACTCCAATGAATGGCGGAGCAGCGGTTACGTTGGTTAAATATGGACTAAATACAATGTTTTTATGACTTGACTGAAGTGTTTGGTTGGGTGTACCCAGAATATACCCAGGGCAATCAGAAAGAAAGTAACACGGGGTTTCTAGCTTGTTGATGTAGGTAAAACGGTGTCAATTTGCGTGAAAGATGTCGTGGTGTATTTGCCTTCTCCTTGCAATATTCAAACTCAATTCAAATACATAACTAACAATCACTAGGGACTGACATGACCAACTGAATTCATCATATAACGCCAAAAATTGTACCAGAACCCCTGCGCAATCGGCCTCCTAGCCTCTTTCTCTTGCTCTCTTGACCTGGTACTCTGCTTCAACTACCCCGGATATGTATAAGGGATTTGATGTGCGCATAACGTAGTCAGGATGGAGAAGCTTCGACGTAGTGATGGCTGAAATGGTCGGGAAAAGAACTATCGATGTCCCTGACATGTGGGCTCCTACAGCTCCCGGCATTACGATCCCCTCATCAATATCAAACCCAGGATAGTCCAGGTTCTCCTTCCCGTCGGTCAATGCGACGATTCGTCGCGGGCTCTCCTGTACCGCCCTCCATATATCGAAGGAACTTCGTAGCAATTGCTGTAGCCTTCCTTCGAAAGATCGTATATCGATCAGAAGCGGTCTTAGCTTGGAAGTGATACGATCGGAAATATTGGCAATTCTTGTTTCCTCCAGGTCTTACTCATCTGAGAAGTACACAGCCGATGATACTAACCTTATCACAGCTTCTTCCAAGGGCTCTTCTTTGGCCATTTTATCGGTGACTTCTCTTTCAGGAGAGATGATTCGCTGCTCACGTATCGAACAGAATCAATTTGTCTCTGTAACCTGACTTAGTTTATAGTAGAAATGTCCGCTAGGTTTCTTGGCTGTTGCTGTACTCCTTAAAGTCTACAACATGGTTCAAATATGTGAACATTAAGGTACATATACTTAGCATGCATCCTGCTTTAGTGATCGAGCGACAGAGAGATAAGAGATAGCGGAGGATAGAATGGAAAAAAGAAGGGCCATTTAATGCTTTGAGATCTCAAAATGTACAAATGCATATTTTGACACACGTTTCATGAAACACGGGCTTAGTATTCGAGTGAAGAATATTTAGGTGGGTGAATATCTGCCCGGACTGCCCTGAAGAGGCCTCAATAGGGCGGCGAGCCGCTCAGGCCAGATTCGTGGGCGTTAGGTGACCACCACCTTATGTATGACTGTTGTATGTTTTTGAGTTTTTGGGTTCTTTTTGGTGGATTTCTAGCACTTCCAGCCACCAGCCAAGTGAGGATCAGATATAGCCCGTAAACGACTCGTGAATGTATCACGCGCAGAGGAAGCCCGAGACAGCTTCCCCATTTCCTCTGCAACGTCCGAGTAACTGAATTTACCATCCTGCTTGCACTGTATCTTCTCAGTGTTAGAGAAAGGCGGTTGATTGCACCTGGAAACTTGAGGGCAGTACATACGCCCCCCCCCCCCACTGCTTCTTCTAATCTGTCTCTTGGCTAGATCGTGCGAATATTACGACTTTCCTGCATATTCATTCCACTAGCAACAAAGTCAGCTGACATTCAATTATTATTAGAAAGACCAATCGATATCTAAAGCTAGACCTCACAGGTAGGAAAACTGCAAGTGGATAAAATACGGAATGGCCTATATTAGTGTTATCCGATCAACAGCATCAGTCCAGATAACCAACTGGCGGACTGGCGGGTACATAGTACCAATTCAACTAGGCTTAAGCTCCAGCAGGACCCTCTTCAGTCACAGGTATACCTTACAGTAGGAATCCCGAAATCTTGGATATGTAGATCTTGCCCGAGAAAAATCAAGTGGATTTTGACCACGACTTGATTGTGCTGAGGAGCTGAGGAGCTGAGAGAATGGAAAACCATTGTTTTTAGACTAATGGGTTATCACCGCCCAGGCGCCGAGGTGAGTATAGGTAGAAATAGTAGATGAAATCCACAATCCTGTTGAGATTATTCGCAATCTCAAGGCTTTCAACCCTCAAGGCTTTTTCAACATGCAATTCTTGAACGTCTTTGTTTTCAACGCAATCTTAGCTGCCTCCAGCTGCGTTGTTGCCGCGCCTACTTATTTCAGAGGCGATGATTCCGATGACCTCGATTGAAAACCAAGAATGACTAATCCCCAGAATGGCGGCGTGAATAATACTATTCTAGAATCTCATGAAGACAAAGAAGTTCCTGAAAACATCTCTACTGTTATGGTAAGTCAGCCCTCATATTACCTCTATTCGAAGTTCAATCATAGGCAGAAATAGGTATGGACTAAATCGACCGTACAAGTGCTAAATGGACAGGCGCCAACCCCTTTTGGACTGGTGCCCCTAGGACTAGACCTTTGGAAATGGTATTACCGCAGCAAAATCTTCATACCGCATACCGCACCACAAAATATGCGGGATTTTGCGGTATGGGATTTTGCGGTGCGGTAAATTGAAGAATAGCAATGAGACTCCCGCAAATTCCCAGAAACTACCGCATATTGCATAAAAACATAGACCTTACCTAGTCGGGTTAGTGCCATATAGCATAAAATAATTAAGTACCAGGCTGAATCAATAATATCACCCTCAAGTTTATGCAATGCCAAGAAACTTGATCTACTAACCTAGCTAGCGTATTTACCGCAAAATCCTGCGAATTTTGCGGTACGGGATTTTGCGGTATTTTGCAGTGCGGTATGCGGTACAAGAAAAATAACGTCTCAAATCCAAAGGTCTAGATAGGATACACCATGAAAATTGAGATCAATCTTAATGTTACTTCGACATCCCTCTACAAGCCTTCGACTCAGCAACCATCTGGTGTTGAACGTGGAATATTGTAGTGTACTAGTAGGTGGCATTGGAATATCCCAGTCTTTGATAGCGATTAGGTTCCTGACCTCCCGAGGCCCTTTGACACATCTCTGACTACCAGTGGCATGATGGGGCTTAGAAGATAGTGTAGACGGGTAGAGATGCAATTTCTAGCGAGGCGGAGCCAAAGTAGTGTAAAATGCGCGCGCTCTCTCCAGTAATTCGGAATCCACTAGTATCCGTTCGACTTCCCCTCATTTTCTACACTTCTGTATTCAAGGTTCGGTAGCCACGATGTCGATATTTGATCTCCCTCTCGAGATACAGGATATGATTCTGGATCTTGAACCGCAAGAGGCACTCCTTGCTTTACGAGCGACTTGTTCCACCGCATTATCCCAGATCAACCCGCGAGTCTTCTCTACAGTTCAGCTGAATTATGATTTGATCGAGGCCCTCGCTAACAATTTATGCACTTTCACGAGTTCGGTGAAGAAAATTTGGTAAGTCTATGTAGGATGATTTGTGCTCCGATCTAATAATTCAATTCTAGCTGGAAATACGATCTGGATGAGGCCGGCACACCGCAGTTGTTTCAGTACTGGTCCCAACTATCACACTTACCAGCCCTTAAGCAGCTTGAGATCGAGGTTATCGGGGATCAAGATGAACTTTCATTCACAGAGTTCCCTCCTCTGCGCATGTTCCATGATCTGGAGTCTCTGAGTGTTACTTTCCCCGGTGACCTCCTAACCGCCTACAGTGAAAGAGAAATCGCGGTCGCGATCAGTCGTTCATCGAATCTAAGGAATCTCCAGATCCTCAATCTTACTGACACGCCATTCTTTTCGGATGTGAAGCAGTGTATCTCCCTTTCAGCCTTCTTATCATCACCCGTGACCGCCTTGGAGAAGCTTCAGATTCACCATGTACCGTTCCCCAGGCGCGGTTTGCGTCAGGTTATCTCCTCCAGCTTGCGGGAGTTGAGTGTGTTGACTCGAAACGGAGGCCGAGGGATCAAGAGTAATTGGGGTGCACTCTGGTCCACCTTGGGTGTTTCGGGGGCAAGGCTATCTTCACTTAAAGTGTCCGGGTCGGAAGCCGCCATGGACGAGCTCTTCGCCTATTTAACCTCCTACACGGGATTACGCTTATTGGAGATTTCCGATATCGTCATGGACGGCCAGGAAATGGAGGATTGCGCTGGTGAAAAATTCTGGGGGGAAGTTGTTCCCCATCACTATGCCACGCTGGCCACCCTATCCGTCACTCCTAAGTATGGAGGCAGCTGGTGCTATGGACCCGCAGCTGCGGCTAGCTTGCGAAAATGCTTTTCTCTCCGATACCTTACGATATCCCTGGGTGAAATCAATCCTTCGTGGGCCAGAGACCAGGTCCACGCCCTTCAGGCCGACGGGGTTACTTTCTCCGGCGCTGTGGAGCTAGATGAGGCACCGAACAGTTACGTGGTAGGTTTTGATATTTGGATACTACGCCCCTTCTCTTTGGCTTTACGTACAAGCGTGGCTCATTAATTTGTCTTTTTTGGTTCCACTATAGGCTCTAATAATCTGCGGGCTCTCGGTGCCTTTGGTTCAGCTAGACTTGAACCTGGTGCAGAAGGCGTCCGACCGTGCGTCTTACCTTGCTGGACTCGAAAGGCCAAGACGACCACTGGATAGTGGGCGGGCATTTGTGGCATTTCAGCAGTATCGTTTACTTCGGTCGAAAGCTCAAGAGATGGTGCTGGGAATACGGGCACCGGACGTGGTGGCAACAAAGTGGCCGTGGGTAGTTGCGATTATTCAGTCAGAACGTCGATCGCGGCATCGCAGTGGAGAGGGTATCTGGTACTACAAATCCGAATGAAACAGGGGTTCTTGAGCATAATAGTCGAAAATATTCGAAAAAGTGACATTGGGGTATGGTATGATGGACCGGAGCTTCCAGCTCGGTTCTGTGAAAACTAGTACTAGTACTGCCAGTGCAACCAAATATGGAAATGCATATAATTCCAGTGACCATCCTTCAAAATCCATCCTCCCGCAAACCCAATCCTGGGAATTCTCCTGCGCATCATGATTCTTCAGTTTGTTATTCCTTCACGTTTGGCCCAGGTGAGGCACCTGCAGCTGAAAATGCACCAGACAATAGAATTGTCTAGCACAGTTAAGACTTTTTGGAAATATTCAAGTCCACCTTTCGATCTTCCACGGAGACCCTGAAAATTCCCTTTCTTTTAGAACTGAGGTTCGGTTTGTATTCTAACACTGCGGTCCCGAGATTCGCATCTAGACCTTGCTGCATAATTGTGGCATTATTACTCAAGATTGGCAAATAATCCCCAATCCCATCAGCCCATCGGACTGACGGTACGAGACCCTTAACCTTTTTTTTCACGGCGTCAATCTGGGTGGGATAACGAGGTACAAGGTCTGACATCTCAGGCTTCTGCTTCAGTTTCAGGGGGTTGAGTAATTTGGAATTGCCCTTCTCGTCTTTATGTTTATAGGGCGTGATCAGGAACCCTACTGCATTCTCAAAATCGTTCACGTGGTCACTCAAGCTATCGTGGTTTGTCGTGCTCTTCTCCATCGCGTTGAGCAGGTGTTCTTTGAAATGATCTGCCGCTGCTTTCCGCTTCCGATCATCTGATGCAGTGTTTTCTTTCTGCTTCTTCGTTTGATTTTTCGGTGTCGGTTGTTTGTCCGGCCAAAAATTCAAGTTCTCCCACCAATGGGTGATATAGACGGCCGTTGGTGAGACGAGCATCATGGACGTGCAACCCATGAGCCCGGACATCCCTACAGTCACCGGATTCTTTCCAAGGGGGATATACTGAGCGCTATTGTAGCTTTCGTTCACGGGATAATGGGTGTAGGCGACGAACTTTTCATCTTCGAAATCTTCCGATTTTGTATTCTCTTTTGGTATCAGTCTGGATTTGTCTGTCTGGTGAACTCCCCGAACATGTTGCTTTTGATCATCGTCGAGGTCTTCGACTCGCCAATCTTCGAAACTGCGCTTCCCAAGTAGATCGCTCTTATTTTTGGGAGTGGTGCCACCTTTGTCTTCAAGGTTGGCGGGATCGTTGCCGGCGTACGTATACAGATTCAGCCCTCCTTGGATCCCAATAGGGTCTGGCGACGTCCACCGGCCTAACCAGGGGGCATAGTATCGCTCCCCACAATGGAACAGTCCTGTTTCTTCATCCCGCTCGTAGCGGGCGAATCTATAACGACGCGGTGCAGTGGCTTCCTTCCGGACCCCGTTGATGGTGGTCACGCCGAATGGCGAGAATTCCTCATACGAGACGATCTCTCCTTCATCGCTCAGCTCCAAGTTTTCGTCAACCTGATAACGGACCAAAGGTATCTGGGAGGCGCTGAAGGTTTCTACCAGGGCTATCGCGGAGGATGCCCCCGCAAGTCCTGATGCCCAACTTTCCAGAACAAGCGCTGTCTGTATTTCCTGCTGCACTGTCGTACCGTCGCCTGAAAACGTGCGGTATATTTGGCATCCCGAGAGTTGACGAGTCTCTTTCAACTTGGTCGGTATCATGCCGGCCGCGGCTGCCCTCTCCGTCACCTTACGGACCCGCGCTCCCGATGCATTGTACACATACCAAGTCGTCTCAGGCGTGTTTTCTGATCGGGTGATCTGTTTTGCTGAGGAGCGGAGGCGATGGTTGAAATCCCAGTCTAGAGCGGAATACCCGGGCATTGAGGTCATGCAGCCCATTTCGTCGTACGCGTACTGTTCTATGCTGCCTCGCACAGTAGTCGAAATCAACCGGTTGCCACCACGAGTCTCCGAGGGCTCAGTACAAGCAGCTGTGGAGTCATACTGATAAGTCCTCGTCCAGCCAGATAGGGAGGTGTCGTTGGCTGGCTCATGACGGACTTTCAATATATTGCCCGCCAAATCGTACTGGTAGCTCTCGATGTACTCACAAACCTGTGAGTCATTTGCCGGAAGTCCACTATGAGTAGGGCCAGAGAAGGAGGTAGGAACTAGCAACTGGTCCCCACTCACTTGTTCGCGGCCTCGAGCTCGAACAAGTTGTCCAATAGCATCATATTCGTAGTCTTGACTGGGTTCGATGCGACAATTACGGAAGAATGCATCCTGTCGCGCGTGGTCGTGGGCATGTGTCAATTTTCCATTGCAGTCGTACGTGTAAGCAACATCACGGAGTGTCTGATTAGAACCTGCACTTCTAGAAGTACTTTCTTTTTGAACAGTGCGTCGCCGAACCATATGGGTTTCCCGGTAAAACTTGGTCTGCACAGACACGCCGTTACCGTAGATGAGCTTCTCCTGGGCGCCCCATGGCGTATAATCAATGCTCACAATGCTCTCCTTGGCCGCTGCCTCTGAATGACCGTGCTTGAGTGAAAGCGACAGTAGTTGTCCACTGTGTGTGTAAGTGCGGCTAGTCTCACTCCCATCTGCTGCAACGCTGGTGCAAGCATTCCCCAATGAATCGAACTGGGCGTGGGTCTCATAGACAGTAGGTTCAAGGGTCGGCGAATGGCGCCAGTCCAAGATGGATTTGAAATCTTCGGCAAACTGGGTGCACAAATGAGTAGAATTGCCCCGAAAGTCGTATCTTGTGAACTCGGTTAGACCAGCTTGGTCATATTGCTGATGTACTTGCCCCCGAAGGTTGTATTTCTCGGCCTCTGGGTGCGATTCCCCATAAATCATCTTCGTGAGCAAGAGCTCCTCTGTGTAAGTCCCTTCTTGCAATAATTGAAGCCGCTCCTCAATGTTCCGATTGAGAGAGTCATACACGAGTCGTTTTCGGGTCTTCTTGCCGTCTTGGAGAATGAGTGGTCTTGATAAACAGTCGTACATGCCCCAGCTCTCTCCACCATCCACACTGGCCTCATATACAACTCGACCCGCTAGGTCGAACCGAACCTGACGAATTGTTGTTTGCAAAGCATTGATCACCCGCACCTCGTTTCCAAGATGGTCATACTCGTGACGAGTAACTTGCCGCTCGGCGGACCCATTATTGTCCTCAACGACTATCACCCTTCCCAGCGGATCATTGTGGGTAACGGACGGGGTGTTACTGTATACCATTGACTTTTTTGCAGCGTCACGCCCCCATTTGTCCGCGTCTTGGGACTGGAGGGAAAACCAAGAGGGCATGTATGAATCTGGCTCCTGGAGGCGTTGGAAATATTGCCCAACATCAGAATCTAATCTTGGATCATCGATGTGGATGTTATCCCCAATATCGAATGTCGTAACACGCCATGGTGTATGTTGACTTTTAGTCCAAGTATGATCGGCATGCAAAACTGCCACAGTCCTCCCGGCTGCATCGTTCATGGATGTGGTTGTGGGATCGCAATCCGCAGTCATCGAGAGAGGCTGATATTGGAAGCAATGCGACGTGCTATAAAATGGCTGCCATTCCTTTACGCTCATTCCGTCAACGCCGAGTAGCTGCCAACCACTGAATCTCCATTTTCCAGGGGATACGAGAGAGGCCACCTGAATTGTGGCTCCAGAGCCGTCAAAATACTCGAACTCAACCTTGATCTTCGACTCTATTCCCGCGCTAGACGGACCACTATCATGGCGTGTGATTGTGGCTTTGAAATCGGGGATTTCGGCATATTCCTGGCTCAAGGTTGAACTCTGATAGTATCGCCCTGTGCCATAGATTATGCGTTGCCCCGTCTGGTGGAGAAAGGCAGTGGAGCTATTGGCATCAATGGGTGGAGTCGCCATGAAACTTCCAATCTGGGCTTCTGTAATCTGAGGTTGGAAGCCATCTAGAATGTCTCCTTCATGGAGTCCTCCTGCTTTGCCTTCTGTTGAAAGGCCTACAGTTCGCCGTAAAGCATCAAGGACCACCCTCTGGAGATTACCATTCGGATCTATGGTAGTTGTCGCCGCAAGTGAAGTATAGTCGTTTATAGACTGTGTCAAGTTTCCGAGATCATCCGTCGTTTTTCTAACTAGTAAGTGGTACGGATCGTACTCGATATAGTTCCTACTCCCAAAGGCATCGGTTGACAGCGTTGGGAGATAAAAACTGCGGCGAGCAGTACGTAGCTGTTCCTGTGTAGTAATAATGCGAGGTGAGTAAGTGTCGGTGAAACCTGCTCGTTGAGGCAGCTGGCATATATGGATATTTGATTTACATACGACTTCATTTCCTGTTCCAAATACAGATCGCGTCGATGGAATCCACCACTGCTCATCATCAAGAATATTGCAATATCCTCCCTTCTGCCGCATGAGATCATGCGCTTCTGCCGATCCTATAGATGGCAAGATGTGGCTAAGACCCTTCAGGTCATCGGGCGTCATCGCAAGTTGATATTCTCGATCAAGCAAGGAGTAAAGTTCCAACTTGCCAAACAATAATGGTAACAGACAGTTAGAAAGATAGTAAGTTCTCGCTCTGCCCATAAGAATTCTAGTTTGAGCGCGTTCCGGAGTTGTGGAATCCCTGGAGACCTCCGGGGCATTGGTGAAGAATGCGCAATCACTGGCTACCAGATCATTATACCGATACAATTCGGTCTGCTTGTTTGCACAGAGTATCCGATAGCTTCGGGTTTCACATGGCGCTGGGGGACGGAAGCCTTCTGAAGCTACCTCGTCTAAGCTGTTTGTGTACTCAATTTCGGAATAGACAATTATTGTTTCTTCTTGCTTTTCACGGTCCTTAGCATCGAGGAGTGAAGTTTTCTTGCATCCGTATGTAATTGCGGCTGACTTTGTAGTTTGACCAAACTTGTTGACTTCCAAATTGATATTATGCGTCACCCGTGCATCTGCAATGTCCTGTCTGTCGACGATTGAAGTAAGAGATTCTGGGGATTGAACCAAGTAAGCTTGTCTTTTACCGTGCTGGGCGGTCTCTGGTCGCGACTGCACAATATAACGGTGTTCTTCGACCTTCAAAAGAGTAGAGTTTGTTGTCATTGTCGGGACCAGGTCATGGGTCTCCGTACGCAAAACTGACCCCTTCAATGCTCCGTATGAATCTCTCGTAGACGTAGGAACTGACGTCGACGGGCCTAAAATCTGACCTGGAGGGGTTGAAGTTCTGTCTGATGATTGGCCCAAGTGATACCACGCCTTACGATACACCGTAGGTTGGCACTCCTCAACAGCTTGGGAAATAAGGGAGGCCTTCGTCCAGCTGGTTTCCGCCTGCCACTCCTCCACCATTCCGAATCCGCAAAATTCTTTGTCCCGCCGATCATAGTACCCATCATGGTACGAATAGCGCAGTGTATGCGCAGTGCGCGCAATCCGATCCACAACTAGGACTTTCTCAAGGCAGATGCTGGGAAACGGGAGGCGATTTGGCCAAGGGCACCCGCGCCGTCGATCTTCAAGATAGAAGGTTGTAGAGGAGCAAAAGGCAAACGTTCTCTCCGTACCACAATTGTTGTGATTTGCCTTTATCAATCCTGGTCGCTGGCCCGCCATTAAGTCCACGTAACGAAGTCTTGGATTGGTGCTGCCTCCTGGAGGTTGCCAACATATACATGGTGTCCCTTGACCGAGGAGATCAAGACATTCGACCGTCGATATGGTGATATCGTCAAGAGCCGGCATAATATCGATATGGTAGCTATTGCTCCAACTATTGCCCGTGCAATTGTAATACACGTCGGCACCCCCTCCTGGAGGGAAATAGAGCAAATCTGCACTCCCTGAGCAGGTTACGTCCACCAGTTTAAGTCTTCCAGGAATGAAATCGGTTATACGGGGGGTATTCCGCATTTCCACGCATCTTCCAAATCTACCGTGCCCTTGGTTTGGCCAGTAAACAATCCGGTTACTCTGAATGACTATAATATCGGCCAGCCCGTCTCCTGTCATGTCTGACATTGCCACAATTGATTGCGGGTCGTTGAATGGAAGATCCAGCAAGACATCACCGTCTATATGGATCTGCCTCGGCTCACCCGATCCAGCTCTACCCAGGTTCGGATACCAGACACTTGGCATGCCGGGTGTACCAATATGAATAGTATCGGGAAATCCATTTCGCGTTAAGTCGCCCGTGAGGACATGACCATTGTTGTTGCCTGGCTTTGAGAGTGATGGGAAGGTCAGAAAATTTGTCCACCCGCCGCTCTGTGTCCGTGAGTAGAAACCTTCACCAGATAACGAAAGGGTGCTTAGATGTGTGCCCAACTCATCGGCCTCATTAAGATATACCCAATCTTCTGCAACAGAGCCAGGTATGACATCAATCATCCTGGGAGGTCCAAGCTGACACCGTGGCGGACGAACTGCGGCGCTCTCATTCGGTTGATAGTACCATGCGTCTTTGGACTTGGATAGAAGCCCTGGTATTCCTTCTTCATCAAGATCCAACCATTGGGTAGTTTCAGCTTGGGAGTTAGAAAGCAGAGCCGTCTCGGTTTGAACCACCGAACACTGCGAGAAGTCCGGGGCCTCATGGTAAAAAAACCTCTCCGGAGGTAGATGCTCATCTTGCAGACCGGGCTTGTGCCCGTATTGAGTCACGCTAGATAGCAGTGAAACGCGGTCGGGGCGTGAGTTATCATACTCCAACGCCGTAGATGAAACCAATGTGTCTCGAGCACCGGCCAGTTCCTCTGGGAAATGGTGAAACATTAAGACCCGTTGGCACAGACGCATCGTGTGGATGGCAAACCCGGCTTCGCCACTGGAATAAGGGTCCTTCCGGACTAACCAAGGGTTTTGCTCCACGGTCGTAGGGTTCAGCAGTGAATGCTCCCCATAGTCGAATACAACCTCAAACATCCAGCTGTCTGCCGGAATACAATCATCAAATACGGTCCAATCCTCTAGTCTTCGATTAGGCACGCGATTCCCGTAAAGGACACTCTTCAGATAGCGCTGAGTGTATTGATATCTATGTGTGGCGGGATTATAAAGACTCGTATCATTGGCCTGGGCCTGGGTCCCAACACCGTCCTCGCATTTATATCGAAATTGAATGACATTCCCTTGAGCATCGTATTGTTTTGCAGCCAGCCAAGAGAATATCCTCTTGCAGTTACCATTCTCGTCGCAGGGCTGTTCGCAAATCCGAGACTGATCATCTGGCCCAAACACCGTTGTGATGTTTGCGCCGGAAATGGTACGCCAGTGCACATCTGATGCATCTTCTCGGCTCTGCCATCGCTCGACACGAATGGCCGCATCATCTTGCTGCGTGCGAGGATAGTATCGCCGAACCAGCCAGCCACAGCCGCGAGAGACAATATTTGGTTCTGCATCCGATGGAACTAGATTGGTACCTTCAGCTAGCGCAAACTCATCGGATGGCTGTTCGTTATCATCGTAGAGTGGCAGCTGTGGACTTGTTTTCCTGGTAACACTGCTACTGCTCAGCTGCCAACCGAGCCCGAAGATTCCATTTCCGAGTGAGGAGTTATATGTCAAGGCAAGGGACGGTACTAGACCGTTGGCTCGACCAGGAGAGGTGTAGATCGGTACGGATAGAGTTAAAGCCCCATTTGGGGTGCCAACATGAAGGTTACTCGCAGCTTCCGTTGTCTTTGTCCCTTTCGCAGCTGCGGCCAATGAGGTGGTCTGCGGCGCAGACGATTTCGCTGAGCCTCCCTCTTGAGACGATTCCGAGCCTCTATATGAACCCGCAGAGGCCCATGCTGTCGAGCCAATGGAGCCTGTTGGAGCAGCCCTGAGCGCGCCTGGTCCCTGAGTCCCAAACCCCTGATGAGATCCGGGACGATTCATTGTTCATGCCCTGATTGGTGATAAGATTGATGAAATATCAGTTGAGATAATATTCACTAGTAAATATGCTGTGAATGAATTTCCGAGTCCCTCTGAAGGAGTTCACATGCACTTAAACTGTTATTCGACCATAATGTTACGAGCGGAGAACTTCCAGGATTTCAGTGTCTATGTGTAATTGAACTGATTCCCCATGTGAGCCGTTGAGATCCACATTTCAGCTCTCTGAGATGTGCATGGTGTTAGTTCCCCTCATAGCTTAACCAGGCATTTCTTGTCGACATTGTCCGATTGGTCAAAAAGCTGTTCAAACACTGTATAGAAAACCTGAAATTGCCTATTACTGTTTTGTCAGCTGTTTCACGGCTGTATTTACTTGGTCATGATACGTGGCGAAACGGCTGACGTTGTTAGATGGTCGGTTTAGTGTGCCACATGGCCGCACCGCCCTTGACTATGCGGAACTAGCTACTAGAGTGATTCAAGTAAGCTTGCAGGATCCAGCGGACGCAGAACATTATAGCCGATGTTGCGAAGTGACTTCAGCTGGGTTCGCGCCGCCACGTCACCTTCAAACTAAAGCTTCCAAGGTTCGTGAGGTGACTCCGAGTCGGCTTCTTAGGTCTGTTTTGTCGCTGTTGACCGGATCTAGGCCCACTTGAAATTTCCAGAGCTGTGTGATGTCTCCTGGGTGTATTGCGTTGTATTGGGTACCTGGAACCCCGATGGTCCGGACCTCTGGGCATTTAAGAAACAGAGAATGAGAATCTCGACAGAATTTCACAAACCAATCGACTCCTTATTTGATCCCTACTATTCTAGAGCAGACTGCAATGGTATTCACCCAGCCCAAAGAAGATGTGTGGGATTATGAGTCCCGTTTGGAGACAACTTGTTACACCCCTACGGGTCATTTCGATCAGGCCATCGGGCTCTCGCAGGGGATTTTGAATGAGAATCTCCAGAAATTCTATGAAATCTATCCGGAGACTCACAAGATAGATTTCAAGGATCCGTATGTGGGCAGCATTGATGCGGAAGTCGACGCTCCGCAGATTGTGATCCTTGGAGCGGACAAGGGCAACTTGAACATCTCCAATGTGATTTACCTCCTCCGGTGAGTGACCTTCTCTCTACCATCATGGCTCTCTTTAGTCTCATAAGTTTTTTAACGATCCGAAGATTCAAGTCTGGCTCGCTTTCAGACCCCCACGGTTACGTTTCTATTCCAAACTTGGCGAATTGGACCCTGGCCTTCGCGGTTCCAATCGTCGCACAAATTATAGATCCTCCATCTGAGAACAAGGCGTCCTCTGGGCAAGCCAATGAAATTTCCGAGAAGAAGAATCAAGCCGTCGAAGTCAAGATCAGAGACCGATTCGAGATTCCAGAAGACTATTCAATTGAGCGCCTTTACATCCACATATCTGGTGAGCGCTGTCCGCCTTTCACAGAGGCACCATTAGTTGGACGGAAAAAGAACCTCAGCTGACCATTTATTCGCTTGTCAGGTAACTGGAACAACCTTTACGGCACACTATCGGTGGCAGGTAAGGATCGGAACAATGTGGACATCCCGTTTACCAACTGGATGGCGGAAGAGTCAAACACAATGACTGCGATGCGGCTAGGTTTCTTCCTAAACATTTGGGGACTCAAGCAGGACGAACTTGGGTTGAATAATGCTGGACTTTCATTCAAACCTCGTAAGGGTTAGTGGATCGTTCTAAATTGACGATGAACCCTATCCAGATACCGGCTCAAGTTGCTAACCAAGATATAGTTGCAAGTACCGCGAGATTCGGTGAGATCTTCCAGCTAGTATGCGTTGAATGACAAGGACTAATGAGTAATCGTACAGTACCCAAGGAAGTTGTTCATCAAACACATCACTACAAAAGCTCAAAGAATGGCTATCCCAAGGGAGCGACGGGACTCCAGGGTGCTGGCGACCGGAATTGCCTCATGTACCTAGAAGTGGTGGAGGGTGGCAGTAAGATGCCCACAGAGCAGCGTTTAACCTGGACAGGAAACTTCGCCACTATGCCACGCAACCCCAGTGACCCTACCGATAAAGGTGTTCAGGGAACATATGTTTTGACCAGAGAAATCTTCCTGGAAAAATTCATCTTGCCAGAGTTCCGAGCGCTGAACCGAGCTAGCGACGTAGTTCACATGACGCCACTCTTCAAATTCAATGACCAACAGGAAAGCACGATCTCGTTGCGATACAGTGTTGGCTATGATAATCAAGTGCTGCGAGATGATGATGGAACGTATGACTTTAACCCTGTTATACCAGACAAAAATAACCCGTGGAATGTGACTTCGTACAGATGGGAAAAAAAAACAGCCAGCCGGTAGTTATGCAGGAGCAGAAGGCCGGTAATGTTGACTGCTGGGGAAAGGCGTGGACGGAAGGTGAGAAAACAAACCAGCCACTTGCTTAATGCCTCTCGCTAACGGATGTGGGATCTCTAAGATGTGATGCAGACCACGGTAGAATGGACCCCGGGGTCCACCGAGATCACCTTGACCGGAACCACCCACATGCATGAAAATGTGGTGTGGTCCATGAAGGGAACCCAGGATTTTAGTAATCCGGAATGCTCTTATTTCTAGTAAGCATACCTTCATTCAAGATGGCACCTCTCAAGTTTTAAAAAGCGAAGATGATTCTGACTTGTTGAACAGTGATGAATACATCATTACCTGGTCCTTGAAGGTCGAATTGGTGGTGGAAACCGTCCCGGCCAAAGAGGATGGCGAATGTGAATATAACTATCTCCATCTGAAGATCGATGCCGGGAAAAACGAGGACTGTGATCCCAAGATAACCCCCAAGCTGAACGAACACTATATGCAAATGTACGGCCGAGACAAGCAAATCGTGGGTTTTATGATAGCTCGCATGCGGCAGCAGATTCCCCGCATCATCAGCAACATTCGAAAGAAGTTGGAGGTGGCCGGACGTTTCTCCTACCCTGGCAATGGAGTCTTAATGTTTAAGAATCCAAAGATTGGGAAATACGGTAATCTCAACGCAGAGGTCACGTTTCAAGAGTGAGACCCTTATTCAGTACACCTAAAATCTCCATTGCCTTACTGACCATGAAATTCAGGTTGAAGAAGGGAGAATTCATCAGGATCCCTACGGCGAAGAAAGTGGAAGGCCAAAAGCCTATTAAAGAGAAAATCAGTGACATTGTTGCTGCGCCAGCTCAGCTGAAACTCTCTTGGAATGCCAACCATCTTTTAAGTGACAGCCTTCAAACCATTCGGTTCCGAGGTGTGAATGAGACGGATCAACATGTTCGCCTGGGAATGGTCTCATTTTTCTTCGTTTCAGGGAAGCGGGTTGGATGCTTAGCCCACTCTCATGACTTCCGCGTGAAGCTGCCCAGACCCCTTGAACCTGCTGAGCCCACTGAGCCCACTGAGCCCATTGAACCTGCTGAGCCCACTGAACCTGCTGAGCCCACTGAGCCCACTGAGCCCATTGAACCTGCTGAGCCCACTGAACCTGCTGAGCCCACTGAGCCCACTGAGCCCATTGAACCTGCTGAGCCCACTGAACCTGCTGAGCCCACTGAGCCCATTGAACCTGCTGAGCCCATTGAACCTGCTGAGCCCATTGAGCCTGCTGAGCCCACTGAGCCCGCTGAGTCCGCTGAGACAAATTTAGAGGACGAAGAGGACGAAGATGAAAAGGGAGCCATTCATGTGAATACTTCTGACGATCTTGCAAAAGTCAAGATTTCTGTAGAAGCGGCAGTCGCACCACAGCCAGGTACCAAGGGCTGGCTTGTCAAGGCTAGCGACGCCACTGGAAAGTACATATCCCTCGCTCCCGGGGACTGGATTGAAATCTGCATCCTCGGTGTTGTCGGTTCCGCAACGACCACCAGCCGAAGGTGTAACATTGACGTTGAGGAGGATTACTTCAGCGTGACACTTGGGGTAGTCGACGGACACCTGAAAAAACCGGTGGAAGTGACGATTATGAAGTAAATATTTCAAGTCTATTGCTGTCTAAATGTGTTTTCTGCGGATTTTCTCATTAACTACTAGTGAGGGCATCAGTTGCCAGTGGTGAGTCGGACTTGTACCGATGTGGTTTTTTTACTGGATTCTAAGCATCATCAAACAAATAACCTATTTCAAGTTCCACTTATGAGTGTACGCGACAGCGTCCCTAATTGTATAAAGAACTATCATATTTCCTCGTGCCAATGGTGTTGCATCGATCTCTTAATAGTCATCCAAGACGTATACCCAGGCACTAGTCGGTAGGCACTACCTACCGTATAACTAACGACCGGGGTATGTAGCCACGTAAACCTGCAGGCTCGGAGTAGGTAATCTGATAAACTTTGGCACATATTGCCGAGACTAGCTGCACATGTGATTTCTCTTCCACGGACTTGGCCGAGATGAGGGTAAAGCATCACTTCAAAGCAAGTCTAGATGTCTCGAGGGCTGATGATAGCTTTGCACTGACTAGTGCTCGCAGGCTGGTAAAAAGTCATTTTGAGCGAGCAGACAGCAGCTGTACTGGCTAGTACCGGCTAGTACCGACTAGTACCATTCACAAATTATACACGTGCGGTATTTACCGTAACAAACCAGGAAAGGGCTCTCCATATCCTACATAGACCCACACCCATGTACATGGCTGGCTCTTGTGTCAGAACGGTGTGGGATAAGAAACAAACATATATAGGATCAACCACGTCTGCTTCATGTTTGACCCTAATTCTCAACTTAGGATCGGTGATCAAAATGGCCAAACCCAGCACCCGCCTCTCGTCTGTCAGACTCGATTCTTTTCTAAAAGCCTTGAATGCATCAGAAAGCACAGAAGTCTTACTTAGACTACAATTCAAAGAACAAGAACAATCAACCCTATCCGATATTCTCACCAAAACAATTACCAAAATCGGCGCTGAATCGACTGATATGACTAGTCGACAACAATTGCAGCTCGCTTTGCGCGTAGTTCAAGTGTGCCAAGACCACGTCCAGTTTTCCACAGCTCTACTCTCCGATTCATCTATCCGATCGTTGTCAGATGTCGCTATCAAGCATTATTGCTCCGGGGGAGCTGGAGTCATTGCCGCAATCAAGGCTCCTGGGATTAAATCCTTTCGGTCAGCTCTGCTGGCCCAAGTGCCCACTGCCGTGCTCTACGCGGTTGTATCGGGCAACCAGCTGAACTTGGCCCCAGATCTACAGACGACCCTGATGAAAGTACTTTCTCTGGCTATTCAGGAGAACTTTGATATGAGCAAGGGATCCTTGGGGAATTTGGTATCACAGCAAGCTTTTCAAGAGCTTATCCCAAATGTGAAAGATCGACCTATGGTTCGGCGGACGCTAGAAAGATTGCAACGACTTCAAAACCTGGTCATGGATGCTAGAGACTTGAAGTATCTCCTCAATACCCCCTTTGCATCAGCACAGGAGATTGCGGCTGTGAAACTCGAACAATTCAGTGAGATGCTTCTCCAGCATAATACGCCCGAGGACTCCATCAACGACATCTACAGCAATGCCTTGAAGATCAGCAGATCAGCAGAGCAACTGTTCACAGATATTATCCGAGCTCGACAAGACGTCCCCATCCTAGCTGTGAGTGGGAAAATCGAACCAGAGAAATCGAAGCCCACGGTGACTACGACTGCAGAAGAATCCATCGATCTGATAAATCTGACTACTTTGTTTAATGATTTGGATGGAGTCCAAACGGATAGCAGTACGACGGTTCTGAGCCCGGCTGCGTATCTCGTTGATTTGCTTCAGCTGCTTAAACGTGCCTCCCTAGCACCGCAAAGCAAATCCTTGCCCGAAGCTGAATCGCCGAAAAATGCGCTGGATGTGCTCCTATCACGCAGGCCGGACCTATCTGAGATTGAGCTATCTAAGGAAAACACTGAAGTCCCTGTTCGCTACATGGACCTAGCCATCGAGGTGATGGAAGCGTTTATCAAGCGCCAAGCAAATGATAACCTATCTCATATCGCTGAAACGGAAAAGCAAGATATACAGCTTGAAGAAAAGAAAAATGCAGACCCTCACGCATCTGACCTCACCCAAAAGATTGTATACCAGGACCAGGTCGGTAAGAAGGTATATCCAATGGCTGTATTTCCTTACAATCATGCCATTGCGTGCAGTCGTGAGTATCTGCGGGCTAGGGACCTCTCAAGACATTTACTTCTCCAAACATTTCGGAGCGATCACGCTTTATCGGGAAAATCGTTCGGTAGCTCAATGACACCGTGTGATGTTTCCATGGCCAAAATCACCAACAATAGGAGAATTGCGGCGGAGTATCTGGGACTGCAGCCGGGGGACTTTGTCGCCATTACACAGGAAGCATTCCAGACTATGGAGTTCATAGAACGATTAAAGATCCACCATGTTGAACTTCTGGAAAAATCGTACAACCGGTTGATTGGCGCAGTCTCGACGGCCGAATACTGGGGTTATCATAAGGAGGATGCCGTGTCTGCAAATTTTGATATGCTAGATCCTAGTTCATCCAAGCGGCTGAGCCAGGTGAAGCTACAGCTACTTCCACGAGCAGGAATATCCCACAGTGACCTCCTTCGTGTACTCAATACACGGTTCTTGGGTAACCGCCTTGTGATCAATGTGCAACAAAATGGTAAATATACCGATTCGCTGGATGGTATGCGCATTCAGGACTCCCTCACCATCGACGGAGACCTTAAGGCCGCTCCCAAACTATCCGAGTCCACATTGCTAGATCTACAAGCTTTCATACGACTCTGGCACAAACTTGGCTGGTCAATTGAGGATACGGATACCGCGATTATTGGACTATCCCGGCACAAGCCGAGAGGCAAAGGCAGAGTTCTTTTTCCCACCCTAGATGGGGATTTCATCGAGCGTTTGGCGGCCGCAAAGAAGGTCGCTGACCTTACCGGGTGTGCCATTGCCGAATTAATTCCGTTCTGGGGTCCTATGGATTCACTTGGACCCCATTCAATTTATAAGCGACTTTTCTGGAGCTCTGGGTGGGTTGACTTGTATCCATCACTTGCATTCAGGCGTGATGATGACTCGGACACACAGCAGCAGCCGACTATTCGGGACAACATGGAGCCTTTACTACGCGCACTCCGTATGGAGCAGCGCGATGCAAATCTTTACATGGAGATTGTTGGGATCTCTTACGATTCCAAGTGGACACTCGATCATTTTTCCCAGCTATACAGACACCACAAGATGTGTAGCATTTTAGGCCTTACCTCATCCAACTACCAAAATTGGTACCAACTCTGCCTCCTGGATGCTGATCCTTTCTTGGATCCTCAAAGCACTTTATCTGTTATTGAGCGATGGTTCCGTCTACGTGATGATTCTATCCCCATTAAGACTGTCGTTGATTTACTGCATCCATCTTTTGTTGCAGGAGAACGGCCAAAAGAGTCCAGTCTGACTTTTATCAGAGACCTACTGAAAGGGCTCTCCAATATCCACAAAGAATTCCAGATATACACAGATCCTAAACTCGCAGATGATAATCAGATCTTCTCTCAAGAGGCTTTCTTGACCACCTGCGAAGCTATGTTTAATGCCGAAATTGCCCAAACTCTAGTGAGCATCATAGAAGGTATGCCAATAAATTGCAGGCTCTCATACACTCGCCTCTGATCCTATACTGATGTTCGTATTGCAGGCACGTTCACATGGCAAGGGAATGTAATACTCCCAGAGGGGTTCACCGTGCCCCAAGCCCATAGATTCAAGTGCTCACAGCCAAAGGCAAACTTCATTCGTTTTTCAGGAATCTTACTGGATGAGGAGCAAACTTCGTTGTTTGGTCTTGCCAATAACGTCGAATGGACAGATGCTGTGAAAAGTTACTATGATGCACCGCGAAAGATCATAGGGTTTCTGTCTCAACAGATCGGGGTCCCTGCCAACCAGATAATCCAAAAGCTCCATCAGCCAGCTGCGGCTCTTCCTTTTATAGTTGAAAAGGAAGACTCTGTCTCTGATGCCCCACTATCAGGCAGTGACCAAGATGCCGCTCTGGAAAAAGCCCCTCCATCCGCCGGTGACCAAGATGCCGCTCTGGAAAAGGCCCCTCCATCCGCCAGTGACCAAGATGCCGCTCTGGAAAAGGCCCCTCCATCCGCCAGTGACCAAGATGCCGCTCTGGAAAACGGCCTTATCTCCCGTCGAAAGTTTGTCATACAGAGAATTGTTCCAGCGGTCCAGAAGATAGCAAACACCAACTTGGTCATGAAATTGCTAGAGAATTGTTTCCCGGGTCTATCGGGAGACGTGATAAAGTGTTTGCTGGAGGTTGACCAGGCTTCTATCTCTGACAATAAAAATATTCTCCTGACCCCGACGCTCCTGGATGCAGCGAAAAAGATGAAATCAGATGAGAGGATTGAGAATGCATTTTTCTTTCCCCCAATTGCAGATGGCTACTACTTTATTGCCCCAGATGATAAATGCAAGAAAATGGCTGTTGACAAACACATCTTGACATTCAGCCTATCGGATTTGCAACACCTCACGAGCACAGTGCCTCTCAATCCAGATCGTATCTACCAACTTGAACTGGCCGGGGAAGAAAAAAGCTTGACAAGTGTGAGATTTTCCAGCTCTCAAGCAGAACCGCAGTTATTCACTCCGGAAACCCTATGTCCAGAACCCTTGGCTTCCAACATCTGTCAGGCCTTCAATGGCCTGGAGAGATCGTTGCTTGCCGTCAAACTGTTCCAAATTGACCTCTCGGAAGTGAGATATTTCCAGAGTCAAGGTATGATATTTTCCAAACTTACGGTCTCCGATGTCTTCAAACTCCACGAGTTCACTCTCTACCGGCGTGAATGCTCAAATACAGAAACATCGGCCCCTGTGCGTTATTTACGCTACTTGGACTCCATCCCCATGGATGCTGGAGTGGAGCTCAGGAAGCAGCTGGTGGCCGAAACAGCTTCTCTGACAAAGCTGACGATCAGTCAAGTCGAAGATTATCTGCTAAGCAAATGGCCGACATGCAGCGTGAAGACGATAGCTAACATTCTGCGGACACCTCGCGAAATAATTAATATGCTTTTTGCAACACGCATGGCAGATACACTGGGCCTTCGCATGGTGAATCTATTTGAATGGTGTATGCTGCCTTCTATACCAACCTGGGAAGAAGATCACCAGCTCGCACGTTCGCTGAAGATGCCGTTGTCATCCTCCTCTTCCTTACCGACAGCCGCTCATGCCAACCAGCAACGTGCACTACAAGCATATCTTCTGGAGATGCCCTTTTTCCGTGATCAGGAAATCAACACCCCTGATGGGCTTTTCAAGTACTTTTTGATTGATGTTCAGATGGGCTCTGAACTTCAAACTACCCGGATTGGACAGGCCATTGCTACAGTCCAGCTCTTCGTTCAGCGGTGTCTCCTAGGGCTTGAAAAGAAAAACGGCATTCAAACCAATGTCATTAATAGCTCCAAGTGGGACTGGATGGGTCGATTTACGCTGTGGCAGGCGAATCGGAAGGTCTTCCTCTACCCCGAGAACTGGACGGATCCCACGCTGCGTGATAATCAGACAGAAGCATTCAAAGTGCTACAGGGCAAAGTCTTGCAGAACAGCCTGAACCTCGAATCCATCAACCAGATGATTCGTGAATACATCTATAGCGTGAATGAGATCGCGGATCTTGAGATCCAAAGCTACCTATGGGAGGGTACTAGTGGGAGTTTCCGTGGCAAATATCACATCTTTGCTCGAACTCGAACAGCCCCCTACATATTCTACTATCGTTGGTTAGAGGTCATCGGTGTGTTCGGAGCGCAGCTGGAGTGGTATTGGTTTCCTTGGATGAAAATGGATGTCGATATTCCGTCGTATGAGGTCGATGGCGACAACTCTACTTTACCCAAGCCCGGAACCTATCTGATGCCGGCGCTGCTGAAAGACCGTCTTTATCTGTTTATCCCACAGATTATCAAGAAAACCTTACCCAGTCCGACGACAGATGTTAAGTTTGGTGACCTGCCAGGAACTAAACTGGACGCGCTTTCGGCACAGGACTACTGGGAGATCAAGATGGGCTGGACAGAGTTACGGAATGGCAAATGGTCAGCAAAACAGACCACCCAAACGGGAATTGAAGTTAAGCGGCCCAAGCCAACATCTGAGTCGGATTCTCAACCGGGCTCTACGGCCAATCCTGAGCCTAAATGGGTCCTGCCGTCTGTGTCATCTTTCAGATTCCGATTGCAATCTCGAAGCTCAACCTCAACCCCAGGTTCTAATTCCACGCCAATTTTAATGATTCACACCGAGTGGTTAAAGCTTGACTCCGTGGAGAAGAGAGATAAGCAAACCCATGCTGAAATTGTCTACATTGGTAGCTTTGAGATGCAAGGAGTCCGGTTGAGAGTTTCAACAACAAGTATTCCCCCGGAGAAAACCCCCTCATTACAGTGGCTTACGACGTTCTCCCGCTTCTCACACCATTCATCCTGCGAAAATGCTAGTTTGCTGGTTGCTGAGGTTGAAAGTACCGTCCAGGTTCCGTATACCAAGAGCTTGACGATTGATAATAACCTGGGGAAGGACGAGCAGATACCCATTGACAAATTCGTCAAGGTAGAGACTTCTCCTCCAATGCCTCTTCTAGCAGTTCCAGATCCAAAGCCAGTCGCGGGCGAAGTAGCAGGTTATGATCTGTCGTGGTTGATGGCTTTTGATGATACTCAGAATGCAGCAGGTACCGGGCTCGTTGTTGAGAGGTATACAGCCTCAGCGGTGGAGTCTTTCTTTGGTTTTCCGGCGCCTAAAATTGATGCGACTGCCTTCGATACCCAGGCTAAAACAACAGTATTGACGACGTCACTCAGCTATGGCACGGCTCCACTGCTAATGGAGAAGGCGACTTCGACTGATGACCTGGAGAGTATATTCGGAACATTGGAGAACATCCCAAAGAACATGATCCATTTGGCCTTTGGGCAAGATGGGGAACTGTTCCGTGAGCTAACCTCCCCTTCATCTATTTACACTTGGGAGCTCGGTTTTCATGTGATTCTGCTTCTCGTCGAGCGGTTATTGGCCACTCAACAGTTTGATCTCGCGATACAATTATCGCGGCAAGTCTTTGACCCAACTCGCAACGATAAATTCTTGTCCAAGGGGCAAGATATCGTAAAATCTAACACCGAAAATGAACCAATGTCTCGGCTCGATTACTGTTGGAGGTTCCATCCATTCAAGTCCCACGCAGTACGCACGAAAGGCTCAACTCGAGATATTGTAAAATGCCTTGACGCCAATTCTACGCCGAATGATATTACCTTGTGGGAAGCGAACCCCTTTTCTGCGCATTCCGTGGCGCGGCAGAGGCCAGTCATTTACATGAAACGATTTGTGATCAAGTGTATCGAGATCCTCCTTGCCAGTGGCGATCATCATTTTCGCCAAAATTCCCTCGAGGCCATTCCACTCGCTCTGCAGCGGTATGTGGAAGCCTCGGAGTTGTTTGGACCAGCGCCGCAAGCCATCGACTCACCCACGGAGAAATCGACCCGTACGTACGCGCAGATCAAGGATTTTGTTGATGCCTTTGCAAACAGCAGAGTGGACATGGAATTGCTCTTTCCTTATTTCATCAATTCGCAAAAGCAGTCTGGCTCACAAAAATATCGTCACGGCACGCTGGGGTTTGTGAATTCAACCTATTTTTCAGTGCCCACAAATCCTGAAGTCCAAGCTCTTCGCGAAGCTATTGATGATCGGTTTTTTAAAATACGCCACGGGCTTGACATTTACGGGAATCCTCGTCGGCTTCCACTGTTTGATCCTCCTGTGGACGTCGGTCAGCTGGTGGCTCACGCAGCGAACGGTGGTGGTACCGGCTTTGGTGCTCTTTTAGAAGCCATTGATGGGCCTATGCCTAACTACCGCTCGATGTACCTACTACAAAAGGCACTCGAACTTTGTGGTGAGCTCAAGGTCTTTGCAGATTCATTTCTGATTATCAAAGAAAAACAAGATGCAGAGGAGCTCTCATCTCTTCGCGCACGGCAGGACGTAGGTATGCAGAGCTTGCTCACTGAAATCAAGAGAATGCAATTGAAAGAGTCTCTTTCCACACTTCAATCACTTTCAGAAACCAGGAAGTCCCATGTCACTCGTCTCCAATTCTACCTACGGTTGATCGGTGAGCCCCCCCGAGCGAGTACCAAGTCCTACCCAGGAATGGGAAGATATCCAGCAGGTTATTGAGGCACCTATGAAGGATGAACTTCGCATGAGCCCTCAGGAGTGGCAGGAGATGATCTTTACAGAGGCGGCTATGGGTATCAATGTCATTGCGTCTGCCCTAGAGCATGTGTCTGCCGGTTTGATGGCGCTCCCGGAGATCATTACCCAAACCGAACCTATGGGTGTCGGCGCCTCAATGAAGCTTGATGCCACTATTGCTGGTAAAGCCATGATGATGAATGCTGGTGTACTGCGAGCTGGCGCGCATGCCTCGACAGATGCGGCGAGCCGGGTGTCGCGAAAGGCTAATTTGATTCGACAATTGCAGGACCGACGATTCCAAGCCAACCAGGCCGGCCGCGACATTAAATGTATCGATCAACAGATCCTGGCACAGAAGACACGTATCCAGATTGCCGAAGCAGAGATCAAGTCCCAGGAGCAGCAGGCGAAAAATATGCAAGAGGTCGAAGAATACCTGCGTACTAAATACACCTCCCAGCAGCTGTATGCTTGGATGGAGGTTTCAGTGCGCCAGTTATTCTACCAGAGCTATCTAGCAGCCATGGACATGGCAAAGGCGGCCGAGAGAGCGTTTGCTTTTGAATATAGCTCTGGGAAAGCCCCCCAGTTCCTATCCAGTAATGGGTATTGGGATGCCTCTCGAAGTGGCTTGATGGCTGGTCAACAACTCGCGCTCTCCTTACGACGCATGGAGGCCTATCATATTAAGACCCCTACACATGATTACGAGCTTACGAAGGTGATCTCGCTTCGACAAATAGCGCCTATGGCGCTCCTCTCTCTTCGCAGGAAAGGCTTTGCAGAATTTCAGCTCCAGGAAGTCCTGTTCGACCAAGACTTCCCTGGCCACTATTGCCGTCGCATCAAGACTGTCTCTGTCCTTATTCCTGGTATTGTAGGTCCTTATACAGGGATATCCTCGACCCTACGCCTCCTTGAGCATCGTTATCGCTTGAAACCAGGCAGTGACTCATCGTCTGGCTATTATGAGACTGATACGTCCGGAGATGATCGTTTCCGAACAGACCGCATCCCAATAACTGCCATCGCACTAAGTAGTAGTGGCCAGCAAGATACGGGAGTCTTCGAGCTCAACTTTCGAGATGAGAGGTATTTGCCGTTCGAAGGAGCGGGCGTTATCAGCAGATGGAGGCTAGAACTACCTGCACCATACCCACAATTTGATTACGACACCATCAGTGATGTAGTTCTCACTCTCCGCTTCACCTCTCTCGAAGGCGGTGCTGCATGGAAGAAACAGGCCTCAGAGGCCGTTGTCAATCATCATAAGACCTTGCTAGCAGCCCAAGGTACCGAGGGCGACGATAATGGGAATTTCTTCGTTATAGACCTGTTGAACGACGTGCGCCAGGAATGGACGCTATTCAGTCAGGCAGTCAAATCCCTTCCAGCTCCTGCTAGGGACGAGACGGATTTCAAATTTCGCATTCGAAATGTAAATGATTTCTTGCCATTCTGGGCCCGAGGGCAAGAGGTCAATCTTCGCAATGTTTGGCTAAATCTCAATGTTGAGAAAGATGGGTGGAAAACAACGAAATTGCCGACCGTCTTTGGTGTCAGTATGAAGCTCACCAGTGACTCGAGACCAGACTCTCTCGTTCAACTGGTGCCCAATTTGGAAAACACTATGCAGGTGGTCGAGGATGGCGACATTATATTCCCAGCTACATGCTTGAATGGGAAGGTGCCTCGACGAATGTGGCTCGTGGGCCAGTATACTGTACAGCCCAAGAGCGGATTGCGTTGATTCTTGCACTTGCTAGCACTTTGGAAATTGTAACAATCTTTTATGTATATACGCCATTTTTGAAATTCAAGTTGCCTTCAATTACCTGAACTCCCCTCAGTGGGAAAAATCCCCCCACTGCTACTAGTATGCAAGTACAAATTTCCCAGTCAAATTTCCACTTCGCAACCTCCTGACTCTCATTGTGGAAAAATGTTGGATAAATAAATATCTTTCTATGAAAAGTATATACAACTTATCCCACAGGTCCCCGTGCTTTGCACAGGCCTACTTGCAACCTTCAATGTCGAACATATCTCAAGTTCACAACATTTGAATACCGCGTACCTAGTGTAGTGGGGACGGTCGTCCTCCCTAGTACCATGCGGGAGGACTGGAAATTTCCAACACGGTCTTGATACGATATGCACACCGGAGACGGTAAAACACGTAATATTATGTATTCTATTTTGAAGGTAAAACGTCTTAACCTGGTCTTGAATAAAACATCTGGTGTGGTCAATATATTTTATGTTATGGAAAATGTTTTTTTCTGAACGCAATATATGTTGTATGTGTTGTGTGTTGGACTGGTAATATGTGTTGGACTAATAAAATGTGTTCGATGTGTTCAGATACGTTAAGATATATTAAGATCGTTGAAATGGCCCTTGAAGGCTCGAGTGAATTAAAAGGTGAAAGATTTAGGGAGTTGTTCTGTGTCACGTGTCCGAGTACGCTAACATGGCCAAAAGACCAGTTGCCGCGAACCATATCGCACTTTAAGCTACCTGCCAGTTCACCAGTTGTCTTTCTTGGTCATCTCGAAACAGTAGAACAACATTTGAGATTTGGAATGGAAAACTATGTACTTACATTTTATCCCTCATAGTGTTATCTCTCCCTTACAGAATGTCAATATTATATGAATCCTATATTTCTACCTTACATTGTTATATTATTAATATGTAATGGAGAATGAGTCTGCAAATTGCGCTGATATATTCATGTCGGATAATAATGTCCGTAGGGTGTAGACTTCTTCAAAACCCAACCGACCCAAGACCCAACCCGACCCAACCCATGGGTACCCATTTGGGTCACAAACAGAGCAAACATGCCCAGACTTTGCTGCTGCATAAATTATGCATTTTGGCGTTGTATTTTTGGGTATTTCCCTTACGGCCTTTAGGCTTTTGGATGCTAGGGCCTTAACTAATTCAATGCGTGGCTCAAGTGGCTTAGGAGATGGAAGTGATTCAAGCTGAATATTAAGCTTATCTAGTATATAATTAGTATCTAAAGGTACTAGACCAGTACCTTTAAAGCTATTCTGTATAGTCTAAGCTTTAAAAGCGGCTTCTTGGGCAATAGGGTAGAGTTCAAGGAAATCATCTTTGTCAATAGAATTAACACCAAGACATATCTCTTCCATAACAAGTACTCCATATACCCTTTTTAGGACTACAAACATCCAACATCAAGAGGCTGTAATAAATGAGATATATAAGCAGGCATACAAAGAGAAATAATATTATTCTCTTTACAGATTTTATCAAACTCAAGTGTCAAATATAATAAGTATCCATCTAGAATCAGTAACATATATTTCCCTTTCTGTATAGAAAGATAAGGTAAAAAGTGCTTTTGTAGCTAATAAATACTAATCTTATCACTTATCCATCTATTAGGACTCTTATTTATACCCTAAAGTGGTGGCTTTTGAAACCAGCGTTCCAAAAAGACCTTACCCTTAAAAATGATATATAGGGGAAGCGCAATACCATTAGACCTAATATATTCAATCACAGTAACCCATTCTCGATCACCAGGCTATAGAATACCTCTTTTTCCATAGTATTCAGCAGAAGTAGTAATTCTTGAAGTAGAATTGATTCCCATTACAAAACCAGACTCAGCAAAATTATAGATATCATCAGAAGTGATACCATATTTTTTGATAGTGTTTTCAACAAGCTTAAACCAAGGTAGGATCACTGTAGGATCTTCGGAAAGGGCTCTTTCATAATTATATTTACAAAAAAGACAAGTAGAAAGAGATTGGTGTCTTTTGACAAATTCTGTACTCCAATTTTTGCCAACTTTCGGAGGGGTGCCATGAGGTGATAATTCACGCGATCGGAGCAATAAATTGGCCATATCTCGTAACATAGTACGTGTAAGAGCTGCTGCTCAAGAATCCATTGAAAGTAGCCATTTTTCCATAGATTTCTCTTCTAAGATAGTAAATCTATGGCCAGAGAGGCGAGAATCATCCCAAAATTGTCGTCCTTTGATTCGGTGCTTCAAAGTTGAGACCGGCACGCTAAAAGCACGCGCAGCAGCAGCAGCATCGGGATATTGGCCGTCTTTTATAGCTTTGATAGCTAATAAGAGAGCACCCTCCTGCTGTACTAATTTTTGAGACCTTTGAGAGCGAATTGGTGGCATGGTGAATGATTAAAAACATAGATTGCTGGAGAAGGGCTTTTTTTTAATGTGTCGCTCGGGCGACCGGGAATCACGTTAAACAAAATACTTAATTAGGTAATCAGTGGCTCAGGCTGATTTTATTATAGTGAGGATTAAATTCTTCATCAGGCTGTCTAAATAGTAATCATATATATACATATTATTAAAGTCTGGAAGTTGAAGTTTTTATATCATAATGATAAACTACCAGTGATGAGGTAGGTAGGCGGTCAACATTAGAAAATTCATATGGGAAAATGGAGTTTGGCCCAACAAACTGAAGTATTATGGGCATGAAATCAGAACCGACAATGACCTTCAGAGCTGGTACAAAGAATTGACGTCAAAAATTTCCCAGAGAGGCCAGGCTGAGGGAATCAGAGTCTCAGATGACATCTGGAGGTGGTCATACTAGTAGTAAAAGAGGTTTGAGCGCAGTTCGCTAGTGCAGACTCGGAGCAGAAAGCACTGCATGCGGAGTCAGAGAACCTTGAGCATTCGGTAAGTACGAATCGATCTTTTCCGAGGATATAAATTAACCAGATACCAGACAAATGAGGAATATCTGACAACATACATTCACTGGGACAGTGACTCGGGCAGGTCCTCCTGTTGATCTATGTTTACAGCTACTCTGCTGTAAGCTAGATGGGAAGACAAACCGTTACAGCTCCCTTATCTTTAACAAGAGCGTCAAGTCCCAGTTTTACCATTATCAGATTAGTGGTGCAGTGTGGATTTTGCTAAAGATTTTTGGATCGATTGATCCGGAGCCCCTAACCAAGTTTGGAAACATTTCGTCCGACAGCCCGCAAGCAAAACAAACTCGTAAGGCTGCAAAGTCGTCAACAAGTTCATCTGAAGCTGATTGATGACTGACTCTTACTTACACGGGTGCTCTCTTCCTCTTTCCTCAACACGCTCCAACACGCTCCCTCTTCAAGTTCCCTCAGTTCTTTCCCGATCTTATCACAGTTATCTCGCAACTATCTCCGAATCGCTCTTCGTCTCTTCCTTCTGCTTCCTCTCTTATCCACGACCAAATCTAGAGATGGCCAACAAGGGGCGGGAGCAAGCTCTCCGACACTTGAATAAGCAAATTCCTGTCTTCAACAAGAATACTTTCTTGTTTATCTTTCTGACGGATTTCACCAACGAAGAAGAAAATGCTCTCATGGAGGCTTTTAGGCTACTTTTTATGATAAATGGCCGCGAAATACAAGCATGGAAGCCTTCTCGACACCTGCTGAGTAGCCTTGGGGTCCAGGGTACTCATCGAGACAGCCAAGCCAACATCTATGCCATTGCTATGCTTGCTTATCGATCTGGTCTTCAGTTCTCGGGGGTTTCAAACGATATCGAAACAAAACCTGCTACAATTTTTATCGTTGTCGACGAGCTCAGCAAACGTTGCTGGACTAACACACACAAAGTCGGCGAGCAAGGTACAATTTCAATACTCATGGTTCACGTGCAATCAGAGACGGATGATTATACACCTCCATATTGCTTCACTATCCCGGTTGGAGTGCGCGTTGAAGTTGCTCGTTATGATCTTAGCCTGTGGCACGATTTTGAGTCTGGTCATGATTTCTCTAATGATTCCACCTTGTCTGAAAACGGACTGCTGGATATTCTAGGATATTTCCAAAATGGAGAGCACCGGGACTATAGTAATGAGGAAGAATATCTGGATGACTTTTGGAGTGGCGGTATTGGTTCCTGGGGGTATAAACATTGGAGTACGTTCATTTACGACCCAGATCAGCGGCCATTTCAAGTTGTTTCTTCAAGTGAAACTTCGTCCACAATAAATGAAACATGGAGAGCTTTATTACCACGTCTTCCCGCGGAGCTCGTCGGCAACATTATCTCTTTCACAGCTGCAGAGCCGTTGACGGAGAAGATTCTGTGGGAAAAACGCCAATCGGACGAGCATCTGCATCTATTTCTCACGTTTCCCACAACAGAAAATGAGCTACATGAAACTAGTCTGATCATTCATGATCTTCTACGGCAGCAACCCGAAGATTCTCCGAAAACAGCAGAGCTAATCCCGCTGCATTGTCATCAGATGATCTCACGCCGTGATATCTGGACATTTTGGGAAGCATACCGACAACACGAGCCTGATGAAAGACTTCACAGTCCATTTATGAACCTGCTGTTACATTCTTTCACTGATAACTTGAAAGATCACAAAATGTCTCCCTTCGCAGTTGTCCGGGATTTAAGACATATGCCTCTGGCTATCATGCACATCACTTTTACGGAAATGTGCCTGCCGCAACAGAAAAGAAAACAAGGCTTGGATTGGAGTTGGAAGGCCTACCCTGTTAATACGGCAGAGCTTTTACATCATCCAGATCAGCCGTGTTATGAAGTTTCCCCGCTCTGGAGGGGGGCAAGGTCATTTGATATTCTTGACAATAGGCGGGACCGATGGATCTCAGTATTCTACCTGACAAAAAGGTTCACAGAGAAAGAGGATTCAAAACTGAGGCAACTAGTCGAAGAAGATCTGAAGAGTGTGTGCTATATACCCTGGGAGCATGAGGAGGATGGAGGCTTGGACGACATGTGGAAAATACTCTTGAAAGTGTACAGGTATCACGGACTGGGAACAAAGTGTCACCGCTTGTTCTTCATTGACAGGGAGTCATTCAATGATCGTCGACTCATTATTATTGAAGCTTACTTTTATCTCGCCGGGAGACAAGTACAAAGCCGCAGCAAGCTTCTACAAGGCCTCGAAGCACCTTTGCTAGCCGGATTTCGTCATTGTCGTATTCCAGCCACAGAGGCACCGATGATCTCCCTCGCGCTTTCAAAAAAGACAATGGTTTTCGAAGAACTTGAGGGTCCTGACGATGAAGACACCGAGTTTATTCGACCGGGCTGGCCAAGTTTTAGCGATCTTCCTCCAACAAATCCTTTCAGGCCAGACTGGGAAGAGCCAACGACAATACCTGTCTGGGAGATTTTCAATGTCATGGGTGGTGGGCTCAACCCGAACCCAGAAACGGAAACAAATTCTTGAACTCGACGAGGACAGCCACATCCTGTAACAAGAGGAGATGAAGCCACGGCGAAGCCACAAATGGGAATTTAAAGACGCGGAGCCTATGTTCAGGGAATGAATTTTCAATTTAGAATACCTTCATCATATTCATTCCTCCTGCTACCTCACTGTCATGATATCAACAATATCATCCGTGGACACAAACGAGAAATTTCACAAAGATTCAAGTTTCCATTTCATTTCATAACTTTGTAGACAATGACTGTCCTTTTGATTTTTGATTTTTAGATAATATCCGCTCATTTGGCGACAATAATGCGGACTGCCCATGTTCTCGAGCTGACGCATGACGACAAGTGTAAGCCTAGGAAAGAGAATTGAGGGATCTGAGTTCAATTGAAAGATAATCTCACCACTCGATTGATCGCTTCGACGTCTCCACCTCCCAGTGACCACATTATCGCCAAACATAGACCTAGACATCGCATACTCTATATCATTTTGGTCGGAGTGCTTGCCCAAATTAGAAAGCCAAGCCAAACCGCTATGACAAGAACTCACAATCAAGATATTTGCACCTTTGAATTAGAATTATGAATGCTTCGGGACACGAGGTCAACAATTATCCACCTCGTGCCTCGATTATAGTGGTTGGACTACGAGCGCCAGCTCATAACGTTTGTCTCGTCCTCAAAATGCCTGAAACAGTCATATTCATCAAACGAGGATGTGTCGAAAGTGGAGGTTTTAGAAGGAGTTTCTCAATCAAGAAGATGAAAATGATCAAAGTGCGTAGTAATGCCAAAGCTAGTAACCTCCAGCGGTCAATTTGTAGTAGCACAACGGCCATTCTCAGGCTGTAGAAAAGATTCGGATCAAAGCAATCAACAACTTGGAGGTATAAAATGGAAATGAAGACTGGTACATTCAACTTGAAGTCTTTTTGTGAAAATCCAGTACTACTAGATACTCGATACACCTTCTGTATGAGGATAAAGGGGTCGGGTAACTTGAATGCTCCACATTCTTTGTACGGCTCCACGTAGAGAACGTCCACGAGATACCCGAACTTGAATCGCCAAGCAAATCTTAGCTAAGACAGCGGGATGTGTTGGTGTTTGATTGGCTTGGTATGAGCTCTTCTTTGCGTGATGCTGAATGTGAATGTTGGTACTCCAAGTCCGTTCTTCCCTTCATTCCGACGACTCGGATCATCATGATGTTGACGTGATTGGAAATGTAGCCGAGAGATTGAGAGATATTTAAGATGTCATCTAAATGTTGCTACGGAGTAGAAGGGGTTAGAGTAGAGTACTTGAGGGAATAATAGAGATCATCAATCAAGCTTGAACTTGAAGTAGCACTTGAGTCGTCTTTCTCTATCTACTATGTAGTATGTTGAGTCCTATAACATATGTGGATAAAAGGAACACCATTTGAAACACCGCCGGGTCCTTAACATTTGAAGTTAGAGTCTAGGTGCATATTGAAGCTTGAATGAACTTGAATTCATTCAAATGTTTCTCCTACTACTGTAGTAGTATGTATAGTATGTGCAAGGTCAACTGGTTGACATCAAAGACATAATGGAGACCCTGAGCGCGATGACATCATATACATAATCAACATCTATTTTAGACCAACACGGTACTCAAATAGAACATTTGAACTTTGATCGGAATAAATTCTTGTCTCTTGAATTCGAACTTGAAATATGGTTCCAATAATAAATCAGGACGGTGTAAGTTGAAGCACTGCTGTCGGGCTGAAGGTATCCCCGCTATTCGCAAAACGGGGCGTTGATGACTTGCCTCTAGCATCCTAGTGGTGCAACGTGGCTGTGTCGGGCAACTCACAGGACCCTAATCTAACGACAATCATACATGCACTGACAAGAATATCACTGTGTTTAAATCCGATACAAGATATCCATCCATGAAGACCCACAGAAACATTCAAAGTCATGGCAATGGACCTAATCCCACCGTCCTATAAATCAGCAACAGACCGCGATGCATGGGCTATTATCGCCCACTACATCCCGTCCAGCGACTTATGTGCCGCCTCATTAGTATCTCATCGGTGGCATGATCTATTCATGCCATTTCTATGGGGTGATCCAGCGTCTCATTTCGGGACAGAGAACGATGCCGTCTATGGTAAGACCCCGCAGTGGACGCTTCAAGGTGTCGAGGCATCACTAATGTATACCAGTCGCTCTCACGCGGTTCCGAAGGACCCTGAAATATGCAAGAAAAGAGGTGCGCGCTTTGACACATACTCTTCATTTGCCACCGGCTCTATCCGAGATCTATGATGGCCCGCGACCCGAATGGCTGAGAGATATCCTGGAGTCTCTACCATGTCTCCAATCGCTGATGGTCTCGCGTCTCCCGTTCTTCGATCACAATTGCATGATTGCATTAAAGAGTCCGCAGAGGTCAAGTCACTATAATGTTCGTCTTCTATTGGCAGATCATGAACCAAACACTACTTCTGTGGGCCTGGCGGAGACGCTGCTGAGGTTCCCCTTGTTGACCTATCTGGATCTCTCTTACACAACCTCGGCACGAGATCTGAGCGTACTCTCGGCCTTGTCTCAGTTAGAACATCTCCAAGTGTTGAAGCTTCGGGGCATTGGGCTGAAGGATCCCGACGCGGAGTTCCTGGCCAATGCCATTGGCAAACGAGTTCGATTTCTGGACCTGCGCAATAACATGCTCACAGATATGGCTGTTCGCTCATTACTGCAGGCATCATTTGCTTTACCAAATCAGTCCCTACAGCTTCCACAGCACCTTAGACGTACTGGATACTCTCCAGACCCTGTTGCCCAGACAGCTCTTCGAGGACTTGGTTCAGATTTCTTGACGTCGCCTCATCTAGATGAACAATACCTGAAATTCTTAGCGGGTCCAGTTACTAGTCATCCTTGGGTTGATTATATGCCTTCTGTTGGTATCACTCACCTCTATATCGCAAATAATATGATCAGTGTGGAGGGGGTGGCAGCTCTATTGAGTTCTTCTCGGCTTCATGCTCTTGATGCTGGTACAGTGAAAACAGCAGATATCATTTACAAGCATCAGTCATCTCCAAAGGATGGGCGATACCCTGGTGCTGAAAAGCTCGTCCCTATATTAGGGAACCTTGCCGGCGATGAATTAACCTATCTGCGAGCAAATCATGCAGTCCTCACTGCAGAGCCTCCGTCGAAAGATGTTGGGAACGTCGCAGACTTGCTGCCGGAGCTGGCAACCTGCACAGGGGCCCTGGAGGCAGAGCTTGATGCTTCACAAGAAGCACGAATCTATGAGCTTCCTACAACCGAGGCACCTATCTACGAGCTTGCAGACACATCTGCTACCGGTTACACAAGTACTGTAGCCACGAGTAACCCGAAAGTTCAAAAGCCTCCGATGCCATATGAGGATGAACCCTTGCCTACGGCCAGACGGGGATCTGCTTTCGCTCCAGAAGTCCTCCATACTATGTCAAATGGTGGAAGTTCAATCGACTCCACGACTTTCAGCCCTATAGCTACTAGGACCCCACAGGGACTGCAAACCGAAGGAATATTATCGTCTATCTCGACTACGGCGTATTGCGCGAGTCCTGGTGGAATAACTACGCTATCGCCAACTGCCACATTCTGCAGCTCTCCCACTGGATCAGACGATCCTCGCGCACAAATAATTCAAGAGCTTCTGGCAAAGCGCCCGCGCAACAAATCACTCCCACTCCGCAATGGTAAAGAGAGTCGATTCCCATACTTACATCCATCACATATCTCACACTGCGAGACGCTAGTTCTTACCGACATCCCCTCACATATACCTCCAAACTCTCCAATACTATACACCCTCACGCGCTTCATCACAGCATGCTCCAACGAAGCACTTCTCGCAACACTACAAGCAGGTTCAGACTATTCCCTCCCACCAGGCCAAGCCCGCTACCAAGCCGAGCAGCAACGCTCTCGCTCCCTCTTCGGGCTTCGTCACATTATCCTTGAGATCACAGACACCTCACGAGCGAAATTAACATCCTGGAAACCCGCCAACCAGCGCAACGGAAATACAGTTTCCAGTACAGGAGATCGTGACTCTGAAGCCTTATGGTCTGCCGCAACAGATGACTTCAGCTTCTTCGGCGAAGAAGAATGCGGTATACCCGAGAATGACCCGGGAAATATTTCCCTATGGCAGTCTTGAATGAGAAAGTCTCGCTCATGCCATCAGATGAGGACTCTGCAAATTCCCGTTCTAGTACTGAGTCTCCTCGGAATATCCCACAGCGTAGCATACCTTCAACAGCACCTGAAGCTCAGCGGAGGCAATTACTACAAGATGTAGATCTTGTTGCGCAACTTGCTGCGTTTCGACGAGGGAAGAAGGCAGAGTATGAGGCTCTTGTTAGACGTGAGCGAGGACGGAGGAATACGGCGGGGACTGGGGTCTCAAGTATATACTCCGCTTCTTCGGCGCAGATCTCCATGGCTCATTTTGTGGAGGGGTATTGGAAAGGAGAGGTGAAGATTGTGAGAAATCCGACGCCCAAGGGTCGTAGCGGGATGGTTGATATGTATGGAAATTATTTCGAGAAGGGGTACTTGTATCCATGAATCAATGGCCCAGGCAATCCCCAGATGATAGATATCAATTTGTTTAATGTGGAGATTCAATACAAGGACATAGTGAGAATCTACAATTCTTATCGAGAATGGAATTTTGAGAAATTTTTTGGTATTTTCTAAGCCCAATATGCGGGGCACACCCTTGTCCTCTCATACATGAGCCGATAAGAATATCCTAACTCAAGTACGCCGAGGAACACATAACTCGAGACAAGACAGTAGAAAAAAGAGCAACAGAGGAAGCCGTAGAAATAAAAACATTCCTATAACTCCCCCCGGGTTCCAATCCCAGTGTCCCATCATGTCAATTCATCCAACAACCGAATGCCGAATACCTCCAGTTTTTTAAATCAGTTCGTCACAGCATTGCCGGTCGATTCATGACGGTCGTGAAAACGAACGCCTAGAACCGAGCCAAAATCGCGTGGTGCAAGGTCAAGCGGAAAGAAAAGAGGAGACAAAATAAAAGAATTCATTTCAGACTAGTTCCATTTTATTTTGTTTCGTTAAAGGGCCGTCTCCGATCCTTTAGTTGGCCTTACCGGCCTGAGGGGGGGTAAGCTTCTTTCCGTCCTTGTTGTAGCGAATACGAGGAGGAGGAGCACGGTTGCGGCGACCGACGCGGGAACGGACACTGAAGGAAATAATTAGTATGGCTTGTAAATTGATAACGAAATACACCTGAAATTCGTTGCGTGTTCAAGTGTAGAGTGTGGACGTGGTGCGTACCGAACGATCTTGCCGTGGATAGCGCAGGAAACGCAGTACTGGAGCTTCAGGTACATCTTGGGGACGGAGTACTCGGCGAAGACAGAGGCATCGGAGATATCACGGATGGCAGCGGACTCAACCATGTTGCGGATGGTGAAACGCTTGATAGCCTTGTCCTTGGGAACGCAGCGGGCACAGTTGGAGCAGCGCACCGGCTTGACGTGGCCGCGGCCATTCTTGTTGCGACCGCTAGAAAAATCAATCAGTTATCAGTTCGTTTGGTGGATGCTGTGCCTGTTGTGCGAATTTGACTGTTCCATTTTCATGGACGTTCATTCCGGGTCCCTGTGGCTCTCCCATTCTCCTTGATCGTTCCGGCAATGCGCGTTGGCTGGTGCTTTATTCATGACATTTTTGTTGTGTTGGTTGTGGGTTCATCGAGACTTTATTTCCGGTTTTTTTTTTCATTTTCATTTTTTGGCGTAGCTTCGGCATCATTGCGGAGGTTCAAGTCGAATGGGAGTCTGGGATGTGGAATTTCGCGACGACGGGGAGGGATCTGGTCTTACTTGTTCGCCCGCTTCTTGACCATTTTGACGGATTGATCTGGATTCGTGTTAGACGTTGAAAATAATCGTAGAGGGTAGGGACAGCGTACGGTTGACTTGTCGAGGGTGGGTTGTCGAAGCTCGCTCACTCAGAGACTCATCGGGAATGGATAGTGGTTGTGTTGTGGGAAGCCCTAAGCCCTTAAGCGAGACCCACGGATGACTGATGCCTTGACACCTTATTTATGTGGCATGAATTGAAGGCATCACATGACGCAGTTATCACGTGTGACATCACGGGATGCACTATTCCTAAAACCATCTAGCGTCCGGAACGAACCGTCAGACCATTTACCCTATTACATAATCCCTTGTTTACCTGCGGGACAAACAGGACATAGAGGGAGAAACACCCCTGTTCAGATCGTCGTTCGACTACTTCTCCTAACACTTTAGAAGGGCTAAAAAGAAAAAAAAATCTCGCCCTTACTGCTTTTTGGTTGTGCTGTGTTTCACTTCTTCATTTCATCCCCTCCCTCCTATCTCACCAATCTCCTGTTTTATTACGTGGTTCTTTAAAAATGTCGCATACAGGCACATTTAGAGGGACGCCCAATAAGACCATCGGGAGAGGGAGGCTGCCCGACTTTGACGGTTCCAGTTCCAACGCTTCTCACATCCCTCGGCCCCGACCCGACCGCCCTGAACCTCCTTCTTCCCACCCCCCATCCAGCGACGTTGGTAGCGGAACCGGCACCATGAGCGCGGCTAGTAGTAGACAACGGCAAACGCAGTCGAAGCGTGATGAGGTGTGTGATCAACCCAGCTACATTATTCCTAGGATGTGCTTTGTCTCACTCTTTGTGTCTATGCGGTGGATACAAGCTTCGAGCAAAACTTTTTCTTCTCGAGTCACTGCTTCAACTCGACTTTTATCGGTTGACTGACCGCTTTTTTCATTGTTATAGGCAATCCGCCTCAAGATGGAGGCCAACCTCAACAAAAAGAAACAACATCAGGCCAAGGCTACCCGCTCGCGTAAGGCTCCTCCAGGTACTGTGCTGGCTTTGAAGCCCAGCCAGGCTCTTCAGATTAAGCCCATCCTTAGCATCGCTGAGGCTGCTCAGTTGATGGCTGCTAAGCGAGAGGACTGCGTCTTGGTTACCGACGACGATGAGCGAATTTCGGGTATTTTCACAGCTAAGGATTTGGCTTTCCGTGTGGTCGGAATGGGTCTGAAAGCCCGTGAGGTCTCAGTGGCTGAAATTATGACCAAGAACCCTCTATGTGCGCGAACTGACACCAGCGCTACCGACGCGCTCGACCTGATGGTTCGCAAGGGATTCAGACATCTGCCGGTCATGGATGAGAACCAGGATATTTCGGGTGTTTTGGATATCACCAAGTGCTTTTACGATGCGATGGAAAAATTGGAGCGCGCCTACAGCTCATCTCGGAAACTCTACGATGCTTTGGAAGGTGTGCAAACCGAGCTTGGCTCCAGCCAGCCCCAGCAGGTCATTCAGTATGTGGAGGCTCTGCGACAGAAGATGTCTGGTCCGACTCTTGAGTCTGTCCTGGATGGTATGCCCCCAGTGACTGTATCCGTTCGTACCACGGTGAAGGATGCGGCAGCTTTAATGAAAGAGCACCACACCACCGCTCTCCTTGTCCAAGACCAGGGCTCAATCACTGGTATTTTCACTAGCAAGGATATTGTTCTCCGTGTCATTGCTCCTGGTCTTGACCCGGCCACCTGCAGTGTGGTCCGAGTTATGACCCCTCATCCCGACTTTGCTCCTTCTGATATGAGCATTCAGGCCGCGCTTCGCAAGATGCACGGTAAGTTTTCTTTCAATATTAGGGCTTGATGGTTCTAGGATGCTAATTTCTGGCCTTTTTTCAGATGGTCACTACCTTAACCTGCCTGTCATGAACGAGGGAGGTGAGATTGTCGGTATGGTGGATGTGTTGAAACTCACATACGCCACTCTGGAGCAGATCAACACCATGCAGACCCAGGATGATGAAGGTCCTGCATGGAACAAGTTCTGGCTTTCAATGGACCACGAGTCAGACTCAATGGTTTCTGGCAGTCAGAGCCACCCGCCCCATGCTGCAAACCGCTCTGTTATGAGCCCCGACTTGGCTCGCTCAGCCTACGATAACAGTGTACTTCCAAATGAATCGGCATCACACCACGGTGGTGAGGAGCACTCGGAAGTCGCATCACAGCACCATAAGGAGCCCGCTGAGGATGTTCCATTCCCCTTCAAGTTCAAGGCTCCTAGTGGACGTGTGCACCGGGTCAATGTTTTGACTACTGCTGGAGTTGAGGATCTTGTGAAGCAGGTGACTGCTAAGCTTGGTTCTGAAGTTGAAGCTGTTGGTGGTGAGGCAATCGTTGAGGAAGGTCGCCTAAGCAACACTGGCTACGCCCTCAGCTACATGGATAATGAGGGCGACACTGTTTCGATCACCACTGACCAGGACATGTTGGATGCCATCAACCTGTCCCACCGCACTCACCGTGAAAAGGTCGATCTCTTTGTTCATGATCCGGCTCAGCCCCCTATCCCTGCCCCTGCTTCTGCTCCTGCCCCTGTTGAACCCCAGCCAGTTCAGGTTCAGCCTGCTACCCCGATCATTGAAGAGCACAGCAGTGTTGCTGATGATACTGCCACTGAGGAACCTGTCCCTGTCGTCAAGCCTCGTACCCAACAATTCCCCTCACATGGCCACGGCCCTGAGGAACAGCTCATTGCTGGTGTTCCTAATGACCTGCTCCTTCCTGGTGCCATTGTGACATTGGCTGCAGTTATTGCCGGTGTCTTCATTCTCAGCCGCCCTAGTGGTCGTTAAAAGGCCTTCCATTAAGGCAACTTCAAGTTCTGTGTACTTATGATTAGGGTCGGGATGATCTTCATTCTCCCATTGCTCCCTTTGATCATCTCTTAGATATCTCCTTCCCTCGTTCCCCCTCAAGTCCTTATTCTCACTATCCTCACTATCCTCTCACACTCTTGACCAAATCTCTCCTACTCATTTTGGCTCATGTGAATTTCCCTTTTTTTTTTATAAAGAGTGCATACCCCATTTTCTAATTATCAATATTCCTTTCTTCTTCCCTCTTCTTGTTTTTTACATGATCGGATAAGTGCTGTTCTAGTAAGGATTGGTCGTGCCCGGTAGTGGTTTAGCCTTCAATGCAAATAGTTCTTTGTATCAAGTACTATCAAAGAAACCCAAGCCCCATAGTAGAACCCGTAGTAGCCTTGTGACTATATATAGATGAGGTGAATGAGGGAACATTGGAGATAAAAGACTTCGTTCACAGTCACTAATAGTCGATCTCAAATTCCACTTCACACCTTCATTATACTTCAGAACCCACATTGTCTCCAGATCATTTCTGACTTTAAACTGACAAGATTTCCTTTCATATTGGTTGTCTAGTTTTCCCGGGTACTGCCCAAGTACTGACGATCCGACGGAGCGCTATCGCATATCAATTCCCCTAATCATCAATCTTTTTTTCCCTTCTCCCCGCCCCACCAAAAACAAAACTCCTCCCCTTCCTCTTCACATCCACCCCTCTTTTCAATACCTCCCACTCAAATCACTCTAACCTTAACCGGGTCCCAACGTATTGGGTTGTTTCTGTTTGTTGGATCTTGGGAACAGAAATCACCCATCATGTCCCTGCTCCCTCCCGAGGTCCACTCTGCGCTTTCCCAGCTGCTGGCCGCCTTGAGCACTCCAGATAATGCGGTTCGCTCTCAGGCTGAGGAACAGTTGAACAATGATTGGGTCCAGAATAGGCCTGATGTCTTGTTGATGGGACTTGCTGAACAGCTTGAGGGTTCTAAAGACACATTAGTGAGTCCCCGCTTTCCTCCCTTGAGAGACAATACCTTACTGCGGTGAGGCAATAGAGGGGCGTTCTTGATGCAGAAAAATAAAATGGATCAGAAGAGCAGATCCAAATAAAAGCGGAGCATCTGAATGCAGCATACCTCTTTTCGACTACGATTCAACTGCTAATATTGGCACAATATAGACTCGTGCTTTCTCCGCTGTGCTTTTCCGAAGAATTTCAACAAAGACTCGCAAGGACCCCGTGACCGGTGACGCCAAGGAGGTCTTCCTCTGCTTGCCCAACGAACAACGAGTGCTTATCCGTGAAAAACTTGTGAACTGCCTTACAACCGAGTCTATCACTGATGTGCGCAAGAAGATTGGTGATGCGGTTGCCGAGGTGGCGCGGCAATACACCGATAATGGTACGCGACCTTGATTTTTGTCACCCGTATCGACATTTTTCTACAGATTCTGACCGTTGATATTTGGAGAAATCCTTACAGGCGACCAATGGCCCGAATTACTTGGAATCCTCTTCCAAGCCAGTCAATCCCCAGAGTCCGCTCTCCGAGAGACGGCTTTCAGAATCTTCACAACCACACCTGGTATCATTGAGAAGCAACACCAAGATGCTGTCGTGGGCGTTTTTACCAAGGGATTCAAGGATGAGAACATTGCGGTATGTCACGATATGTCTTTCTTGTTAAGGAAAAAAAATCATGAAGACCCGGCCAAGTTTGTCCCCCACTAACAAATTGTTGGTTTCTAGGTTAGAATTGCCGCTATGGAAGCTTTCGCCGCTATGTTCCGCTCTATCCCCAAGAAATCCCAGCCTAAGTTTTTCTCTCTTACGGGAGACCTTCTCAACATCCTGCCCCCGCTCAAGGAATCCAGTGAAAGCGATGAGCTATCTTCATCCTTCCTTGCTCTGATCGAGCTTGCCGAAATCAGCCCCAAGATGTTCAAGGGTTCTTTCACAGACCTGGTCAAATTCAGTATCAGTGTTATTGCCGACAAGGAGCTCAGTGATCAAGTGCGCCAGAACGCCCTGGAGCTTATGGCCACCTTCGCCGACTATGCGCCGAACATGTGTAAGAGGGAACCCAATTTTGCACAAGAGATGGTTACGCAATGTCTGAGTCTGATGACCGATGTTGGTGCTGATGACGAGGATGCAGAGGAGTGGAATGCTTCTGAGGATGTAAGTTTTCTCCAGCTGCTTTGCATGGAATTTGACTAATGGCGGGTTTTTAAAGCTCGAACCTGAGGAGAGCGATCTCAACCACATTGCTGGTGAGCAATGTATGGACCGTCTGGCCAACAAGCTGGGTGGCCAGGCCATTCTCCAGCCTGCTTTCTCCTGGATTCCCCGTATGATGTCTTCTACTGCTTGGCGTGATCGTCACGCTGCTCTCATGGCCATTTCCGCTATTTCCGAGGGCTGTCGGGATCTTATGGTTGGTGAGCTTGATCAAGTCCTTGCTCTTGTTGTGCCTGCTCTGCGCGACGCCCACCCTCGTGTTCGCTATGCTGGTTGCAATGCCCTCGGTCAGATGAGTACCGATTTTGCCGGAACTATGCAGGAGAAGTACCACGGCATTGTCCTCAACAACATCATTCCCGTCCTGAGCTCCCCCCGAGCCCCGTGTTCAGTCTCACGCTGCTGCTGCCTTGGTCAACTTCTGTGAGGAGGCTGAACGCAGCATCCTCGAGCCTTACCTTGGAGACCTTCTTAGCCGTCTCTTGGAGCTTCTGCGTAGCGAGAAGCGCTACCTTCAAGAGCAGGCTCTTTCCACCATTGCTACCATCGCTGACTCCGCCGAGACCGCTTTCGGACAGTACTATGAAAACCTCATGCCGCTGTTGCTCAGCGTTCTTAAGCAGGAGCAGGGTAAGGAGTACCGCTTACTTCGTGCCAAGGCCATGGAGTGTGCTACCCTGATTGCTCTGGCTGTTGGTAAGGAGAAGATGGGCCCAGACGCCCTGAACTTGGTTCAAATTCTGGGCCACATTCAACAGAACATCGTCGATGCCGATGATCCTCAGTCACAATACCTGCTTCACTGCTGGGGCCGTATGTGCCGTGTGCTTAACCGCGACTTCGTCCCATACCTTCCAGGTGTGATGCCACCTTTGCTGACTGTGGCTGCCGCCAAGGCTGATATCCAGCTGCTCGATGACGAGGATCAGATTGAGCAGGTGGAACAGGATGAGGGCTGGGAGTTGGTGCCTCTCAAGGGCAAGGTCATCGGTATCAAGACCAGCGCTCTAGAGGACAAGAACACTGCCATTGAGTTGATCACCATTTACGCCCAGATCTTGGAGGAAGCCTTTGAGCCTTATGTCCTGGAGACAATGGAGAAGATCGCCGTCCCCGGCCTTGCATTCTTCTTCCACGACCCCGTTCGTGTCTCAGCTGCTAAGTTGATTCCCCAACTGCTGAACTCTTACAAGAAGGCTCATGGCCAGCAAACCCCCGGCTTCCTTGAGATGTGGAACAAGGTTGCTGAGAAGATCATTGAGGTTCTGAGCGCCGAGCCCACCGTTGATACTCTTGCAGAGATGTACCAATGCTTCTATGAGTCTGTGGAGGTCGTTGGTCGCAACAGCCTGACCCCTCAACACATGCAAGCATTCATCGACTCTGCGAAGTCTACTCTGGAAGACTATCAGATGCGTGTGAAGCAACGTTTGGAGGAGCAGGCTGAACTGGAGGACGGAGATGAGGAGAACCTGGATTACGAGTACGCTGTTGAGGATGACCAGAACCTGCTCAGCGATATGAACAAGGCATTCCACACCATCTTCAAGGCCCAAGGCACTACCTTCCTGCCTGCCTGGCAACAGCTGATCCAGTTCTACGACAATTTCATCACCAGCCAGGATCCCACACAGCGCCAATGGGCCCTCTGCATCATGGATGATGTTCTGGAGTTCTGTGGTGAGGAATCTTGGACTTACAAGGACCACATCATGCAGCCTCTCGCCGCGGGTCTTCAGGATGAGAATGCCGCTAACCGCCAAGCGGCTGCTTATGGTGTCGGTGTGGCCGCTCAGAAGGGTGGTATTGCTTGGAGCGACTTTGTGGCTGCCAGCATCCCAAGCCTTTTCCAGGTGACACAGCACCCACAGAACCGCACTGAGGAGCATGTCTTTGCTACCGAGAACGCCTCGGCCAGTATCGCCAAGATTCTTCACTACAACCCATCCAAGGTGCAAGCCGCCGACGACATTCTGACCAACTGGATTGATACTCTGCCCATTACCTTTGATGAGGAGGCTGCACCCTACGCTTATTCTTTCATTGCACAGTTAATTGACCAGTACGTTATCAGTTTTTTTTTGTCTATTGTGATTCTCTCTTGTTAACTTTTAATCTTCTAGACAAAATCCTATCGTCTTTGCCAAGGCAGACCGTGTCTTTGGATTCATCGTGCAGGCCCTTGAAGCTGCTACCCTGCAAGGCCAAACCGCCACTCGTGTGGCACAGTCTGCCAAGTCATTGGTGGCTGCTACAGGGCTGAACGCTGAGTCGATCCTGGCCGGTGTCAGCCCTGATAGCCAGGAGCGTGTGCGCAAATTTTTCGCGTAAAAGGCGGGTTTCTGTTTTACGTAGCGCGCGGGTGCTGCTACGTTTTCCCGGTTTTCTTTTCTTTTCTCATTCCCCTGGTCATATGAATCTGATGCTAGTAAACCCCGAAATGTTTCGTTAATTCATTTCTTTTTTTTCTCCAAGGTCTCTCTTGGGCTCCTCAGGCTATGCTCTAAACTAACCTTGGAACCTAAATACTAAGTATCACAAGTGCAATGAAGCATAGAATTATAAATTCTGTATATAGCTTGGAATTGCATTCAAGTTATCCTCTTCAAGGTTTCCTTCAGGCGGGCACTTCCAGATGTCTACTAGGTAAGATTGAGCTTGTGAACCTTGGAAGTACGTGCATACTAGTAGTACCGACATCTGGACCTCGGAAGGTATTACTATGGATCATCGACATCACGATGCGCAGGTGTCCATAAATTGGAAACCAGGTGACCTTCCAACATTTGAAGAAGAAACATACGTGTGGGTCATTGAAGTGCAAAATCTTAACTATATAGGATCAATGGAGCAAATGGTCGTGGCAATAAGATACTATGTAACCTTGGAAGTATCTGCAGTGTATGCGTGCATATACTAGAATACAAGTGCGTGGCTAGAGGGAAGACAGTGGTTTATATGTGGTTGATAACCACCCGGGCTCCTCGGAGGCTGATACATAGCAAACAACCTCAGGCTGAGCCTTGGGATATAAAACCTCAACGTTCAAGTTTGAAGTGCTTGGAAGAGATGTGAGAAAAGAGGCTCTGCCCAGGTGGGCTTGAACATTTGAACTCTGAATTAGCGGCTGAAAGACTCGGAGGTAGGTCTGGCCAACATTTGAAAGAGGCTTAGCAGATCATATACTAGAAGTCCCCTCAACCCTGGAGGACTCGGAGCTGCCAGGTGCACATCCATGGATGTGTGGATCGCCACTCGAGGCTGTCAGGGCGTACAGTAGGCAGTACCTACTACCTAGGTAGGAACTTGAATAAATCTGAACTTCAAATGTTGAAGGGTACTCCTAGTAGTACTACTAGTATATATCACTAGTAGTACTATCGGTGGCCCGGGAACATCAACAACTTCAAGTTCAAGTTGAATACATAGGTATATGACTCTATACTAGTACAATGTATGCATGCCATCATGATGCTGCAGATCCCCTGAGTAACCTCGGAAATTTCAAACAAACCTTGCAAAGTAACTAGAACCTTGGAATCCTTCAAAAGTATGTTGATCAACAAGTGTGGCGCAGTAGCATATGGCGCATACAATGTTAGGTTCAGGATGTTCGGTATAACTTCATTACTATCTTGGGCGCCCAACGTCTCAATTCTTTCCGGTTACTCCGCAGGTAATATTGAAACCTTGCACTCCAATCAATTCAGAAAAAGACTTCCAAATAGAGATATTTTCAACCTTGGAAATGTTGAGCGCCATTTTAATCCATGGCAGAAAACCCCACGTTATTGGCAAAAAAAAAGGCTGAGCTCTCCGCCTTCTCAGCCTCCTTCACATCCAGATCGCAACTCATGACTTAACCACCTTTTTGGTCTTACACGTCCATATAAGAGATCCATGACTCTCCTGCCATCGCCGCTCGCTCAGTCCACATTGGGCGAGAAGGCCGCATTCTATTTGGACCACGTCACTGACAACCTGCCCGATTTCTTTCAATCCTTCCGTCCTCAATTGGCCCCGTGGCTCACATATTCGGCCACGCACCTTCGCTCGGTCGCGCAGGCGCTGCCATTCGACGCTGACGAACAAACAACTGCCCTCTGCGCGGCTTTACTTATCTGTGTGCTGACTATAGCCGCGATGAGTTGGAGCAACCCCCTTTCCAGTTTCTGGCGCCGGTCTGCCCCGCAGGTCAACGATGCGGATTACAGCTATATCACCCCAGGAGACATCGTGGATCCCCCATCTAACAAACCCTCCCGAGTCGCCAACCAGACTCGATACGATGCAAACGTCGATCCTAACGAGCCGGATACTATTGCTCTCCGCCACCGTGGCACGATCTACCCCTTACGGTTCCGCGCGTACTCCATCAACGACGGGGTCTTAACTGTGGGCGCGCTGCGCGAGGAGGCTGCGCGACAGACTGGCGCACCCAACCCGAATCAAGTCCGATTACTTTACAAGGGAAACCTTCTGAAGGACGACCAACGTCCCTGCAAGGCGGAGGGACTTAAGCAGCACTCTGAGGTGCTCTGCGTGGTCTCTGAAGTTGGCGCTACCACCCCCGGTGAACTGTCAGACTCAGGTGATCACCGTCGACCCGGGTCCTCATCCTCCCGAGTCGAGCTCGATGACGAAGAGGTTGTTAGCTCGACCTCCGAGAAGAACAAGAAGAAGAATAAGAAGAAGCGAAACAAGAAGAAGGCTGCGCAGCAGGAATCACCTCAACCTTTGCCTACTTCTACCCCCTCTTCCTCCAACCCACCTCTGCCCCCCAATCTTAAGCTTCTGGTTTCCGCACAGGAGCAGGTTGCAGCTTTAACCAAATACCTTCAACGTGTTTTAATCCCCATGTGTGATGAATATTTGGCTCATCCGCCGGCCGATGCTAAGAAGCGGGATTTTGAATATCGTAAACTGAGCGAGACTATTTTGGCTCAGATCATGCTGAAAGCGGATGGAATCGAACCTGATGGAAATGTCGATGTGCGCAATGCCCGCAAGGCGTTGATCAAAGAAGCGCAGAGTGCATTGAATCAACTGGATCAGGTGAGCCGCGAATAAACTCACTTGGGAGGAGAACTTGACCTGTTCCATTTTCATGAAATACAACACCTTGAGAAATCTCTTTTTTTTCTCCTATTCATATTTTCTTTTCATCATTTTATTATCCCCTTTTCTCCATTTCTATCTTATCTGTTTCCACCTGGGCACCTTTTCCTCCCTACACATAGACTATTGATTTACCCATGGTACTGGGTCACGGGAGGCTATACGAAGTATGACAATGCAATCTGTCAACCTGTCTGGCTTATGCATATACAATCATGAGGGAGATCGGCGTTTCTGACGAGTCATCCTCGAACTATGTACTTTCGAAGGTGGGGTTCTTTAAGGATCTTAAGATCCATGGATATTCTCCAGGACAAGAGTATGTACAATGATACCATATAAGAGGTCTTGAACAAGAAAAAGAAGCCGTTAGTGTAAAAAGTAGCGTAAAACTAGTTGATCGGCGTTATGGTTCAGGGGCAAAGTAGACAAGTGCACGGTCCAGAAAGAAATATTTCTGTCATGTCAAGTCTTAAGCAATAATTGATTCGATCCTCTGAAACATTGAATAATGTTTATATATAAATTTATATAAAGGAATACGGAATAATTTCTCTTTTATATATCAAGTAAGTATTCAAATTTTTTAAATAGAGCATAGAGTAATATTTATGTGTAGATACATCAAGTATGAAATTGTATAGCGTAGTGGTCTAGCCCGTACTAATCCCAGTTAGGGAGTGACTAGTTTCCCTCCAAACTCGTTCACTCCGTTCACTCGTTACTCGTCACTTGATTCTCCTTCAACCCGTTTCTCTCCTTTCTCGGTGTCTCTTGTGTCTACTGTGTTCTACTCTGTTATTCGGTTCCTCGGCTGCTCTGGCATTCCATTTTCTCTTCCTATCCACTTTTTTTTTTTGGTCCCCAGCTTGGACCAATCTGCACGATCTTCCCAACCCCCTCTTCCCCTCGTGGGCTTCTTGACCGATTTCCCACTTTTGACTGAGACTTGGGAGAGAGCCAGCTGCAGAGTACCGTAGAACACAGACGTTCGTTCTTTCCAGATCTTCAATCTTACCCTATCAACACCCTGGGCAAGGATTCACTGCTCTGGTCCACGGAACCAAGTCGCACCGTCCCATACTTCATCCGTGGCTCGGGGAAGAACACCCTCGCGAACAGGCGTCTTTGCTCAGGGCTGCAGAAAGCAAAATCAACTTGGAAACTCCACCCCCTGCAGAGTGTATTTACAATTTACTTCTTTCGGTTTCCCCACTGCGGCGGGCCCCCCTTACCACCGAGAGAAACCCGCAACCCCCCTCAACTCTTCTCTCTAATATTTTCATCGAATCGTGGACAGGCGTCGGTTACCGACTGGCATGGCTGAGTGAGACACCAAACAAGTTCAAAGCGAACCTGGACTTTCTTCCATTTCTCGTTTGCGTTTTTTTCTTTAAACTTTAAGAATTGGGTTCCAGCTGGCCTGGCCTTCTTGATCGTCCAGACGATTCTCCTAAAAAACTCATTGGAATGGCGGGCGTAGCCACCGCGTATTCATCAGATGCCTTGACATCTGGAGCGCCTGATAACTCATCGCAATGGGAGTTTTCTGTGCCAATTGGCAATGATGTGAGTTTTATTCTTGTTGTGCAATCGTTTTTCACCCCTCCTCCTTTCCATATACTTGGCAGCGCACGCCGTGGTTGATGGGATTGACGAAGAACTTTTTTTGGCTGATCTCTTTTTTTAAATCCACGCTCAGGGTACCCAAAATTCCTCACGAACACGAAACTCCCATGATTCGAGCGGCCCCCGTACTAAGTCCACTCGCACGCGCAATTCGAATGGCTCGCGAAGCTCTTCCGTTTCTCGAAATATCCACGCCCACGACTCTCCATACTTGGCATCTGGCAGAGGCCGACGAGAACAAAGCTTGAACCGACATGGAAGTGATATCAGCAACGCGCGGGAGGCACAAGAAACGACCACTCGATCCCCTGTGGATGGTCAGGAAGGAACTGAACTCTTTGAGATGAATAGTGAAAATTGGATTCATCGCGATAAGCTAGCGAAAATTGAGAGTGAGGAGTTACACCAGGCTGCTGTACTCTTTCAGCGGCGGATGAGAGCTGGTAGCAACCCAAGTGCAGGACGTGAAAGAAGCCACGATTCTCAACACAGTGGCGCGGCATCGGTCAGTTCGCCAAATGTAGAACATTCCGAACCGTGGCCTCAATTGCAACAAACTGGACGAGATGATCGGACTGAAGAGCGGAATCACTGGGATCTTCGCCGACCAGAAGAGATTGCCGCCGACGAAGCGGCCGCTGGCTTTTACAGTAACCCAGGCCTGCGTAAGAGCTCCTCTCGAATCCCTATCTGCACAGCTAGCCCTCTGCCTAAGGGGTCGGGCCGTGACTCTCAGGGTCCTCGGAGCCGAGCAGCGACTGATGAAGAGGATGAGTCTCGCGGACGCAGAGCTAGCGAACCCCTCGCGTTTGAGATGGAATCCTCTACACCTTCCCCAGGAAGTCGCCCTGGCAGCCGTGGATTTGGCACAAACACGAATACTCCTGCTAAAAAGACTCCACCCAAGACCACAGGGTCAAGCAACCGCAAAACTTCTGCTCCTCCCACCAACAGAAAGACCTCCACCGTGAGATCACGGGCAGTGTCGAGCAACACCTCGCAGCGCCCAACCACTCGTTCAGGCGAAACCCGGCCTACCACTGCAGCCAATCGACCCGAGGGAGATCCGCCATGGTTGGCAACCATGTACAAGCCGGACCCTCGTCTCCCGCCTGATCAGCAGATGCTTCCTACTCTTGCCAAGAAGATGCAGCAGGAACAATGGGAGAAGGAAGGCCGAACACCGAATACATACGATCGCGACTTTGCCCCGCTGGCAGTGTACCCCAATGAGATGCCTCCGCCGTTACCCAAAAATGATGAGCAAGTGGAGGAAGAACAGCCGTCACAGATCCCAGAATCACTACAAATTACAGAGCCACCCAAGGCTAAGACTCCCGAGCCCCCGCGGCCCAACACAAGCACCGGCTATAGTACAATGCCCAAGGTGCAAGACACGCCCCCGATGGGGCTAAACCCCAACCCCAACTGGACTCCTCCAGTGGTCACCGCTCAAGAGAAGCCCAAGAAGGAAAAGGGCTGTGGATGCTGTGTTGTGATGTGATGCACCTTTTTAATCATTCTTCCTCTCATTTTTTTAATCTCAACGTCCCCTTACCAACTATGTTTCTACCCTGCCTATCTTCACATATTGAGATACCTTTGATTATTTGCATACATACAACCAGCACTGCCTTTTGCCTCAGTATTTCCTTTTATTTTTCAAATTTTCTGGTCTTTCCCATGTTTATCTTGTTTTCTTCGATTTGCCTCCTGATTACTCCGGCGGACTGGTGTTTTCTGGGGTTGATGTCTTTTTGTTCTTCTCATCCCAAGTTATTTGGAGTCTACTCAGCAATTTTTCTTAGTTCGGTTTTTTTTTTTACTACCTGGAGCATGGCACTCATCTCATGCATCCATTCCTTCTTCTTTTCTTGTTGATCATTTTTTCCTGATGGATATTTCCGCTGCAAAGGCCGGAAATTCCACCCAAAATTGCGAACCCATTGATCCATACCATACCAAAGTATGGCTTGTCTTTTGGCCCAGCTCTATCTCATTTGGTTCTGTTGGTTTCGTTTGATTTGTCGATTGGCATTCTCGTTATCTTTGGTTTTGTTTCCATCTGGCCTATCTTTTGTTGACCTTGCATTACTCATTACTCTCGACTTTTTGCCATATTCCCAAGCCATCGCAAGCGTTTCTGACCTTTTCTTATCTTATTTGTTGTGACCGTGACATGCATGGTCTCTACTTAAGCCCAGCTATGGACTCAAAGACATCAATATCACTGAATACTAGTTCCAAACGTAAGGTAGACTTTTTGGATATAATAATAAGCTTTCTTTAAAAACAATCCCCTTTCTCTCCAGTGTAATTGCGTGCTTCTTCTATAGTGCTTCTATAGATGTCCATAGATCTCGAAAATGGATGGATCTCGACCCCTTAGATGACAAAGCCCATCACCTGACATCATCGCGCGCAATGACCGAATCATGGGATTTTCCGGTTTGCCGAACAGCTTTTACCTATCACTCTTTGTACATTCATTTCCCATATAAAAGGCAAACGAGACCGCATACCCCGCCGGTTTCATTTGCTTTTCTCATTTCCCCCGCCCACCATTTCGTTCATCTTCCAGCGCCTCTTTGGCTCCGTCGCCGCTCCTTCACCCGCCGCCATGTCCGCCGCTAAGACCGAAGCCCTGAAGCTCATCAACGAAAATGGAGTCGTCGTTTTCTCCAAGTCCACCTGCCCTTTCTGCACAGCCACCAAGAAGCTGCTGAATGAGGTCGGTGCTCAGTACAAGGTCCTCGAGCTGGATCAGGAGAGTAAGTGATCTGCTTATACTGTTATCGTAGTGTTGTTTGCATTCTTGTTGAGCGGGGGATACTTATGCTTTTGCTACTTTTACCCCGCTCTGTCGTCATCTTACCCCTGAGCTTCATGTTGATACTGTCTCGACTGTACAACATTCCATTTTGAAACCGACTAACTCATTTCCCAAATTCAGAGGCTATTCAAGATGCGCTGCAGGAAATCACCGGCCAGCGCACCGTTCCCAACATCTTTATTGGCCAGAAGCACATTGGTGGTAACTCCGATCTGCAGGCTATCAAGGATCAGCTTCCTGCTTTGATCCAGGCTGCTGGCCCCAAGGCTTAAATTCGATCCGTGAGATTGAATAGGAGATGGGTGGATCAAATGGAAACGTCGCGATATATGGGTAGTTTGCAAATAATGAAGAGAACTTGTGGCACATATTCCACACTGCGGAGGTGCTCTTTGTAGCCTGTGAGCTTTTATGAATTTCCAAGATTGTCATGCCTTGTTCTAGTGGACTGCCAGTGGACGAGGCTGAATGAGAATTTATTCGGCTTTCTACATACATTGTCTCTGCCGAAACGGCCAATTAGGCACTCCGAAGAGGTTGAAGAAGTGTCCCCGTTTACGTGTTTCTGCTTCTAGCTCCCTGGATGTGTGGTATATTGTAGGGTGTTGAAACTATGCGGATATATGTAAGAAATCCGGAGGGGACCTCTTACTACACCAGTTGACCGTGTCGCGTCCTACCTACGATCATCGGTCATGGAGAACAAAACATGGTCATTTCTCCAGATTGAAGTACTACTTCAATGCGCTTCACTTGGAGACACCATATTTCCTTCAATGTCCAGGTTAGTTGAAATGGAGTTTGATGATCACGTCCACGTCAAACCCAAACTAGATTAATACCTGCGCATATGGATACTGTATGTGCAGAGCTATGACAGGAGAGAAAAGAGATAAGATATGGGAGCAGATAAACCTTGGAATAACTCGGCTTACCAGATTAGGCGGCGGAGGTGTAAAGGCTACAAGGGCTTTTATTCTTGTCCAATATGAGTCTCTGATATAGATCGACTCGCCAGAATGAGTCCATTGCCTGATTCCGTGATTCGTACAACCATCCATGGATCTAGTGGGTTGGGCGACAGCACTCATGGATTCTACTACTAGTAGTCGTATATTACTTAGGTCTATAAAAAGATAGAACTTGAAGAGTCACTGTGATTTAGCTATAGACATCTGGAAAAGTTCGACTGATCACAAGAAAGCTCCCAGTTATTAACAATAGGAAATGAGAACTTAAATGCTGAGTGTGAGTGCTACTGAGTAGTTCAAGTTCAAGGTTATCATCTCAAAGGGGCAAATGCTAACCTCAGGCTACTCAAATGCTCAAGGTTAATCCAAGATTATTCGAACCTTGGAAGGGTTGATTTCTAATTACAAACCCTCGGATCCGGAATAGACAGCTTCCGGTAGGCAGCTAAGAACTATATGAACTAGAAGTACTCCGTACTTGAGCGAGAGCGATGAACTAGAACATTTGAAACATTTAAAATTTAAGACCCTTGGGACTATTGACCAAATCAGGCAGGAGATATTGATTTAATATCACATTAATGTAGTACAAACATATGTATAACTTGAAATGTTGAACATTATGAAGATAGGTATCTACATTAAATATAGTTAATAATAGAAGCCTAAAGGTCCAGATATCCAATAGATAGGGGGTTTAAAATATTTACCCCCTATTGGATCTCTTATTAAGTCTCTATGCGAGCCCCGCCATAAAAATGAAATCGGAACATTGACTAACCGATATTATATAGCCACTGGAGTGGATATAGTGGGGATAAAGAAATCTGGTTGTCCAATTACATTAATTACCGACGGTCTCGTAAAGGAAAAGGTGAAAAAGGTGCCCCGCACGGTCTTATTCGCATCCGCATCCGTAAACGTATTGCTGCCAAAAAAACGTGGCAATAATCAAGACGAATTTTAGGCGAATCCAGAATCTCCTTTTCAAATGTTTGATCTCTCATCTGAGAACTTCAGTTTATCTTTCCCAGATCAGGCTTGACTCTTTCATTTCTCATCATACGCGACAACTCAAACCTCAAATGCGCTGGATGTCATAGGTACTACCATCCCGCTGATCGCCGATCTGCATGCATTACGACTTCAGAACGTGCTAACTGAATTATGCAGGTTGAAAAGTAATTCTGTCTCAGAATTCAAGTTCTATGACAATGTCAAAGGAAGCTCCAGGCTCCCCTACCCTTCCGGGGGGATCTGAGTCTGTCGAGGAAAAACAACTCACAATCAATCATTCTACTACTACTAAAGAGCATGATGATCTTGAAAAGCTTGACTCAAATATTCTACCAGTTGAAGCAATCCAAGATGAAGATGTATTCAAACATCTTGCCCCCGGAGAAGCAGCCATTCTCAAAGAACAAGTGACGATACCGGTTGTCAAAGTTGGAATCAAGACACTTTATCGTTATGCGACCACCAAAGATCTAATCCTGATCGCAATCTGTACTATTTGCGCCATCGCCGCAGGAGCTGCTCAACCTTTGATGACAGTTGTATTCGGAAACTTGACCGGTCAGATCTCCTCATTTACATCAAACCAGGCCGAATTAGAGGCTTTCCGTCACAAGATCTCTCACAATGTGCTTTACTTCGTTTACTTGGCCATCGGTGAATTCGTTACTGTTTACATCTCCACAGTCGGTTTCATCTACACGGGAGAGAAAATTAGCGGACGCATCAGAGAGGAATATCTGGCTGCGTGTCTTCGCCAAAATATCGGATTTTACGACAAGCTTGGTGCTGGTGAAATTACCACTCGAATCACAGCAGACACGAATTTGATTCAGGAAGGTATCTCTGAGAAGGTCTCTCGGACAATGGCTGCGACAGCCACCTTCTTTGCTGCATTTATTATCGCTTTCGTCAAGTACTGGAAATTGGCTTTGATTCTCTGCTCTGTCATCGTTGCCATCGTGGTAGTGCTGGGAGCATGTGGAAGCTTTATGGTGAAGTACAACAAGCAGTCCTTAGCATCATATGCCCTGGGAGGTACAGTAGCCGAGGAAGTCCTTTCATCCATTCGAAACGCCGTCGCTTTCGGTACACAAGACAAGCTCGCTCTTCAGTACGATACGCACTTAGCCGAAGCCGAGAAATGGGGTTTCAGACACAAGGCTGTCCTTGGAGGTATGATGGGATTTGCTATGTGGGTTGTCTACCTCAGCTACGGTCTAGCATTCTGGCAAGGATCCCATTTCCTGATCGATGGCGAACTTGGCATTGGCCCGATTCTCACCATCATTCTCTCCATGTTGATTGCCTCATTCAGTCTCTCAAACGTGGCTCCTAATGTGCAAGCTTTCACCACTGGACTGGCTGCGGCGGTGAAAGTCTACGATACTATCGACCGTGTATCACCTATTAACCCTGAATTGGAGACCGGCGACCGCCTGGACCATATTGAAGGTCGAATCGAACTCCGTGGCATCAAGCACATCTACCCATCCCGCCCTGAGGTCTGTGTGATGCGCAATGTCGATATGTTGATCCCAGCAGGTAAGAAGACTGCGCTGGTCGGTGCATCTGGATCTGGAAAATCTACAATCGTCGGTCTCATCGAGCGTTTCTATAACCCCGTCGCCGGTGAAATCTTGCTTGATGGCCATGATATTTCGACTTTGAATTTGAAATGGCTACGCCAACAGATCTCCTTAGTCGGTCAGGAGCCCACCTTGTTCGGAACGACAATCTACCAAAACATTGCCCATGGTCTCATTGGAACATCTTACCAAGATGAGAGTCCGGATCTTCAAAAGCAACGAATTATCGACGCAGCTAAGATGGCAAATGCTCACGACTTCATCAGCACATTACCGGAGGGATATGAAACAAATGTCGGTGTTAAGGGATTTTTACTTTCTGGCGGTCAGAAACAGCGCATTGCCATTGCTCGTGCCATGGTCAGCGATCCTAAAATTCTTCTGCTTGATGAAGCCACATCAGCACTCGACACCAAGTCTGAAGGCGTTGTCCAAGCAGCACTGGAAGTCGCTGCAGAGGGACGAACCACAATTATCATCGCACACAGATTGTCCACTATCCGAGACGCGGATAACATCTTCGTCATGTCTGAAGGTCGCGTGATCGAGGAGGGCAACCACGATGAATTGTTAGCCAAAAAGGGTGCTTACCATAGCCTTGTTGAAGCCCAGAAAATCGGTGACTCGAATGACTCTCCTTCCGACGGAGAGACTCCTGTCGATGACTCAACCCACTCAAACGCAGCCGACAACTACGATGAAGATCCAGCTGATAAAATCGCCGCTGAAAAGCTCCGAATGGGTCGCACCAATACTCAACAGTCACAATCCAGCCGGGTTCTTCGCAGTCGTCAGCCAGAGGCCTCTCAAAAATACTCCATGTGGACTCTGTTCAAGTTCATTATCGCTTTCAACAAACAGGAATGGCACATCTTACTCTTTGGACTTTTCTGGGCCGCTATTTGCGGTTGCGGTAACCCGACATCAGCCGTTCTTCTTGCAAAGGAGATTATCTCACTAGCAGCCTTCGGCACAACAGCCTCTGCAAGCGAAGTTCAATCAAACAGTAACTTCTGGAGCTGGATGTACTTCATGCTTGCATTTGTGCAATTCATCGCTTTCGTCTCTCAGGGTGTGGCCTTCGCTTGGTGCTCTGAGAAGCTGGTTCATCGCGTCAGAGATCTCGCGTTCAGGACTATGCTTCGCCAGGATATTGCCTTTTTCGACAAGGATGAGAATTCCGCTGGTGCTCTTACCTCTTTCTTGAGTACAGGCACTACCAGTGTTGCTGGACTCAGTGGTGCTACCATGGGTTCAATTCTCACTTGTGTGACTACTCTCATTGCCGCCATCTCTCTCTCTTGCGCTATCGGCTGGAAACTTGGTCTAGTAACTACCTCTACTATCCCGGTTCTAGTCGGATGTGGTTACCTCAGATTCCACATCCTGGCTCAATTCCAAGCTCGCGCTAAGAAGGCGTATGAGTCCTCAGCTGCTTATGCTTGTGAGGCCACTTCTGCCATCCGCACCGTTGCCTCATTGACAAGAGAAGAAGATGTTCTCTTGCAATACCAGGCCTCATTAGCCGAACAGGCTAAAAAGAGTCTTCGCTCTGTTCTCGGTACATCAACGCTATACGCCGCGTCTGAATCCTTGACTTTCCTTTGCATGGCGCTGGGTTTCTGGTACGGTGCTACCCTCATCACAAGCGGTGAATACACCATCCAACAATTCTTCATCTGTTTCCCTGCCATTATCTTCGGTGCTCAATCCGCAGGAAGTATTTTCGCCTTCGCCCCAGATATGGGTAAAGCTCAAGAGTCTGCTCGTGACTTGAAAATCCTTTTCGACCACAAGCCCTCAATCGATACTTGGTCCTCTGAGGGAAAGATGGTCGATGAGATCGAGGGACACATTGAATTCCGCGATGTGCACTTCCGATACCCATCCCGACCCGAACAACCTGTTCTTCGAGGCCTTAATCTTACCATCAAACCTGGCCAATATGTCGCCTTGGTCGGTGCTTCAGGTTGCGGTAAATCCACCACAATCGCTCTCCTGGAACGTTTCTACGATCCACTTGTTGGTGGCATTTTCGTTGATGACAAGGATATTTCATCCTTGAATCTAGCTTCCTACCGCTCTTACATTGCACTGGTATCCCAGGAACCTACTTTATACCAAGGTACAATCCAAGAAAACATTCTCTTGGGTACAAGTCGCCCAGTCTCTGACGAGGAAGTCGAGATTGCGTGCCGTGAAGCAAACATTTACGACTTCATCATGTCACTACCAGAAGGTTTCTCCACCGTGGTTGGTAACAAGGGTGCTATGTTATCAGGAGGTCAAAAGCAACGAGTCGCCATTGCCCGTGCTCTTATTCGGAAGCCCAGAGTTCTTCTCCTTGACGAGGCTACGAGTGCTCTGGACTCAGAGTCTGAGCGGGTCGTGCAAGCTGCGTTGGATAAGGCTGCTAAGGGTCGCACAACTATTGCTGTTGCGCACCGTTTGTCGACTATCCAACATGCTGATATCATCTATGTTTTTGACCAAGGTCAGATCGTTGAGGCGGGAACTCATGGAGAGCTGATGAAGCTACGCGGAAGATATTCTGAATTGGTCAGTTTGCAGAGTCTAGAGGAGGCTGTATAGACTACAGGCTTTGGCTTCTTATTGTACATGAATTTTAGATTTATCAATTGTAATATCTGAGATACTAAAAATATCTTAAAGATGGAAATGGGAAAACTGTGCTGGAGTAGATAAATTGCGGTGGAGTAGATAAAGTGTGCTGGAGTGAGAAAGTTGTGCTGGAGTCGAAGAACCGTGTTGGAGTGGAAAAACTGTATTGTGGTGGGTAAAGTGTGCTGGAGTAGATAAAGTGTGCTGGAGCTACAGAGCCATGCTGGACCTATAGAGTTATTTTGGACCTACAGAACCGTGCTGGAGCTATAGAACTGTGTTGGATCTACAGAACTGTGTTGGAGCTATAGAATCATCTTGGGCTTACAAAATCACTTTGGACCTACAAAACTGTTTTAGATCTACAGAACTGTCTTGGACCTACAGAATCATTTTGGAAAAACTCCAGATGCATCTAGTAACACTTTGAAATAACTAACCAGATTGATACCATAACTATAGTGGGTTGTAGTAGAGTAGTTTTTTTTTTTTCGTATATTCACAGTCAAAGTTCACCAATTGATTTGTCAAAGCCAACTCTACTAGTATCTACCTAATGAGATTATATCTACTGAATGAAGCATCTATGGAGTAGATTACAGCCTCAATTCAAAGTATCTACCCGTAGGACTTAGACCCGTTTAGACATTTCACCACAATCAACCTCCGCTTCACTCGGAAGCAGTCCAACCTTGTCAAGCAAATACGCGACAGCATTAACGACACCATAGAACAGCATCGGAATAGCTCCAAAGAAGAGATTTCCAATATAACCACGTCGAAGAATAGTCTCCGCCAATTCCGTCCGCGCAATCTCAGGCGCAACGGATGACTCAAATGGACCCATCAATCTGTAAAATGTAACAAAAGATGCACCAAAGCAGTAGATTAGTAGGATCTGGAGGCCATGTCGACGATACAGCTCAAGTAGACTGGGCGCACCGCCGAAGTCCTTGGCTAAAGTGCTCATGTAAGCGCTGTGATCGACGCCGTATTGGATTCGAGAACTCTTGGCTGCGAGGAGATGGTAGTGTGGGGGATCTGTGGGAATTTGCATGCGCCCTGTGATCAGGGTGGTCCACCACATCGCTTGTTGTTCGGCTATAGGTGGAATTGCCCCAACGCCGGGACGGACGAAGCCGATGAATGAGATGTCTGGATGTGAGGGATTGATGATGTTTCGGATTTGGGCGTCTGATGCTGTTGGGTATGATGGATCGAGGTAAGGAAAGGTTTGTTTGTATCTGAAATGCACTATTAACATGGGATTGAAAGATCAGAAACAAATGAAAGGAACTATACCCAGAGCAGTAAACCACACAGTTTGGCTGGATGTTTCTATCCTTCAACCGCTGCCAATCCTTCCTTTTCGGGTTTGACTGGAAATGAACTCGGCCTGTATCATCAACATACTCCGGCCAGGTGCAAGTGTCAACGACTCGATCGGATGCAGCATCCTCCGGAGGATCAATATAGCGATTACCGATGTATGCTAGAAACGGGTTATGCGTCTTATAAGGGCGATTGAGATAAGGCATCGCCTTGCTGCTCTTGTTGAGGAAGACAAAAGCTCTGCCCAGTCGGTCGTTGGGGAGAGCACCGACATGCTGGTTCATACCAGCCTGGGTTCCAGTTAAAAACCAGAGAACTCGTTTGATCACAAAGTCCGAAATGAACCAGCGTAAGCGGCTTTGAGCGACGGCCTGATGGACATATGCAGTTTCGAAGAGATTGGTAATGAGGCCATCGATTGGAAGTCCTCCACTGAAGACCTTGCCGAATACCTGGAATCGGCTGAGCTGCTTGGGGAAAAGAGGAAGCCCGTGCGGAAACACATGGTGACTGATTCAGCATTGGCTTTGATAGACTCATAGGCAATATCTTCGACTCTATTAGATGGGCTTTTGATGGATCAATTTGAATAAACTCACCCATGGCTGTTTCACCGCATCCTAAGACAAGAACTCTCTTTCCAGCAACTTGATCACGGCCCTTGTAAAGCGATGAGTGGAATACATCACCCTTGATATTCTCGATGCCTGGAATATCAGGAATATTCGGCTCAACATGAAGTCCAGTGCAAACCGCAATATGCGAGCACTCAAAAATGCTCTCCTTGGTTTCGTCTTCGCCATTCCGGTCCACATAACGTACTCGATGAGCCCATTTAGAATCATCATCGAGCGGGGACACGCGAATCACGGGGGAGTTAAACTTGATATACGGTGCCAAGTTAAATCGCTCAACATAAGACCTAAGATAGTCGACGTATTCGGGTAGTGACACATGGTCGGGAGTCTCCAACGGCAAGCGGTGATCCGAGAATGTGGTCAATTGCTTACTGCTAACCAATTCGGCATTCTCATAGGAGCGATAATTGAATGTACCGCCCACATCGGACTCACTGTAAATGATGTTGATTAATTAAAACCCTTGTGGAGACCGTGCAGCCAAGGTTTTAAAACATACGCTTCGAAAAGGTATGCCTCGATCTGCCGGTCGGGCTTGGATGCTTCCAGCAGGGTTTTGAGGGTCACCAGGCCACCAGGGCTGCAAGGGATTAGCATTTGAGAATCAACTTGGAATATAGATTTGGCTATTTACCCTGCACCGATAATGGCTACTCGGATTGTCATGTTCCTGGTGTTGAAGGAAGGAAGAAGATCACAACATTGGAATGGATGCTGCCTATTAATAGCGGGAGGTTGGTAGCCCCCACTCATAAAGCTTGAGGAAGCTTGGTCGGACTCCGCGGAGCCGCCACCTCCGTGATTTACTTACTTGAGCGGCATGTTGGAATTGTGGGAGTGTTCGTATCAATAAGAGAGAACCTTAGTTGTGGGAAAAAGAATAAAAATATTAATGGAGTGTGGAGGGATCGATCCAAAGATTTCTTCGCGATGCTTGTACCAAGTGAAGCCTCAAGATGGGAAAAGCTTCCACATTCAAAAAAATAAATAAAAATAAATAAAAATAAATAAAAATAAATAAAAATAAATAAAAATAAATAAAAATAAATAAAAATAAATAAAAATAAATAAAAATAAATAAAAATAAATAAAAATAAATAAAAATAAATAAAAATAAATAAAAATAAATAAAAATAAATAAAAATAAAAACTGATACTGGAAGAAATTTCAAAGCAGAAGCCCTAGAAATCTTTCACATAGTCCGCTTCACGCTTTTTGAGAGGACTTCACATGCATGTTGTAGGATATCACGATGTCTGATTCAAGTTTTCCTAAGTAGCCTTTCTGAGCGATGATCTGGATAAGCGTGATACACTGGCATATAATTCATATAACGAAGTAAGACTCAAAATAAAGCCAGAGATCCGGTGCCACCGTTATTCCCGATCATCAAAAGCTCGCCCACTGCCAGGTATTGTCCTTGATATAGCCAAGAATCTTCTCAATTTGAACTATACCATATAGCTTAGCGATGTCGATAGTACCATTATGAAGCTGAGACATGCTACTATCACTGTTTGCTTCGCCGAAACGTAAAATCGTACTTTCTTGCCGATAGCAACTGCCCCAAACATCTTTCCTTTATCGCTCAGAGCTTGCAACAACTCATCGAAAATCCGTGTTTCCTCGTCGTGAATAGGTGGAGTATCGAGGGGCGCGCTCCTGCATTTCATAAGAAAGATTGGTCGGTCATATAAATCGCACGAAGTCTGGAAAATGGGAGGCTGCTCAGCAAGCCGGACAAGGATAATATCAGGCTCATTCAAATTGTTATGGGGGCCTTTCCAGAGGTATCTATAGCCTTCGCGAGAAGGAAACCAATCGACAACGATTACGCTCCACAAATCTTGGACTCTTCCCTCGGGGCTTCCTGGATTTATATGGCTCAGGGCAGATCGGATGGTGATGTTACTGAATAGAGACTTGGATGATGTGGGAGTGGTCATTTTGACAATCCCAAGGGATTCACAGGTAAATAGTGTTGTTTAAGGATAGTGATAGCGCTCTATTCAAAGGATATTGTGAGAACTTCAACCCTTGGAATGCTGTCAAGGACACCGAAAAACCCTTGGAATCTGGCCAGTATGGAGAAATTTAGTATGCAGTAAATTGACGTACCTTAGCCACTCACTAAGCGCCCGAGTGAGATAGGCACTGGGAGGGTTCAAGAACTCTAACCATTCAAGTGGTAAGCGGAAATTGTGATCTATCGATGTTTTAGCGCGATTGTATAATATTCGCTGAGACAGCACTTGCGTAATATTAGTATATTCGGCCAGTATTTCTTTCATACCACTCACTGGCATAGACTAGGGCCAGATATGCAGATAAGTGTCTTCAATTTCCAGGAAATAATGACACTTGTCGTCATCAACACTATGTAAGGTAATTGAATCAAGCAAGGCACGCGAATTGAAAGGTTTATCAGCATGGTTCTTTCTGTTGCCTGGCCCATGGGCGTTTGGGATCTGATATCAGTATGAAAAGTAAGTGTCAAGCCCTGAAGGAGGGACAAAGAGATTGCAGCAAACTTCAAGTAAGAGCTGATTGATCTATCTATCATGATGGCGTAGTATCTTCATGTGACTTATAAACTACCTAGTTGTCAAACAGACGGGTGTAGAAAAACTTGGCTTCCTCCATATCCAGAACGTGTACTCAAGGTATGACTTGGCTGCTCTTATCGATGAATCAACTACTTGACCTTGGAATATAATCAAGTATTGATATTGCAGAAGGAGACTGTGATCCCCTCAGCATCTTTGTGTAATGGATCCAGATGATCAATTGGATGTAGATCATCACGTTGAAGTTTTTCGTCCCCTGTGTGGAGTCATTCTGGGACGACACTATGAGCATCTTCATAACGGTTTATTATCACTATCACGCTGTTTTAGTTGGTTTGAACATGTACGAGGTGTTTATCGCTCCGATTCAACTTCCTCTGTCTGTCTGACAGGAGTGGGATTGGTTATTCACGGTGACATGCTTTATGCACCCCTTGAAATAACTTCTTCATACCATGAAAAACCGATCGACGAGTGGAAAAGATGGACCATCAATAGTTCAGCTAGTCCTTGGTGCTTTGGTTTCCATGACTCCTGCTGGCGCCTCCTCCTTCTTAGAATTGGGCAGAGCAATCCCGTCCATGACGAGATGGAGATTGCTGAGTCTTTCTTCAATCAACTGAGCTGCATCTCTTGCCCTACAAGATCTGTCTTTCAATTTGGGCATTATTATGGTGCCACACAGACAGGTAGATCGGACTGGGTACCAAACATTACTGTTAGGTTGGGCTCGCTCTACTTCGCCAATCCTGATCAAATCCCGTCTTTGAAGGAGTTGGAGAGAGCTGCTCCTACTCGATTCAACATTTCTAACCAGATGAGCCTTCTGAAAAGCAAGGCGTCCCCCATCAAGCCACCACAGAGCAGGACTGGACAAAATTTTACCGGATCGGAAAGATCCATTTCTCATCCCGCTACTCGACTGCCTTTGGAGCTAATTCTTGAAATAGTATCGTACCTACCTTTCACTGAGGTGCTGAAGCTACGCTTGGTATGTCGCCGTCTTGCGTTTATACTTCAGGGTCTCCCGCAGTCATATTGGCGGAGTAGATTTTCCATTGGCCAAGAGGCTGATTTTCTTTTTCCAAACCTCCGAGAGATACAAGCATGGGAGTCAACATTCTTGGGAACATTTCGTTTTATGCGTGGGGAAAATCATTCCATGCTCAACAGAAAGCGGATTAGGGATCTATTGGAGCCTATCGCGGTTCTTTACGGTTAGATTCTTTCTTCCGGGCTGGACCCCATGGCTCTGTCGTCTCTTCCTCAGGATCACAGGGGAAAAGGTCTTTACACTTTTGGAGTGTACTCAACAGCGAGTTTTTGTCTCTCAAGGTGGCTGCTATTTTCTCAGGGGATATGCAAGCCGGCATGGAAGGTATCTTGAGGAAGGGTTGCCGGGCAATTCAGCACAGAGCGCAATCACTAGCCACTACTTCAAATGGCGCAGTCCGCAAGATACTGGTGTCAACCATTCAAATGGGGACTAGAAAATTCATATCGGGAATCAACATCTCCCCGGGAGTGGAGTACAATATCAACAGTCACGGCCTTGGATACCATATCCCATCTTCGGAGATTCAGATATCACACAAGTCTAACCTCAAAATCTTTACAGTGGCATTTCGCCCCGATGAAATCACTGGAATCAAATTTACCTTTGAGGACTTGAGCTCAACAGCTTGGTTTGGTGACATCGCATACACGGGAGTCGCATTTGGAAGTTTTTCCCTTCATAACGACTCATGTAGTTCCTACCTGATTGCTGGCCTTGATCATTACAAGATCGTCTCGCTAGGTCTTGGAGTGCAAAGAAGTGATCCTGGGACATCCATCAACGCGAAGCCATGTTTAAACAATGCTGCTAATACGCAGCCCATGCAGTCATTACTGTGAACACCAAATCTTCCAAGCGATCCAAGCGTGACAGTTAGTGCAATTTTGCCATCCCAACCATTTCGAACTTTCGACTCTTTGTGCAATATCGACTTTCGGGGCCCGAAAGGTGGGATATTGACAAGGTTTACCTGTTATATTAAATTCAGACTTGCCATCAAAGGAATTGAAGTATGCTATTCTGATGGGGAGTCTGCTTTCTTTGGCACAAAAACTGGCTGCGAACTTTCATTTTTTGTGAATGGCGAACATGGGGAACGAATCAATCAAGTCGGTATTGTTGAGGAACAGGGCCGGCCAGGCAAGACGCATCCACTTCTCTACGGCTTACAGGTTTGACTCTATGATGATTCCCTAAATCTTTTGGTAATTTGCTTACAACGGCAATGAAATTTTAGATCTCAACGAATTATGGCAGAGCGGCTAGCTTTATTCCTCTTCAATGTCGAGTAAAAGGGCTTGTGAAGCAAATGCCAGCTCTGCCAACGGGCCACGTTATCACAGGACTTGTTGCAACTGAGAGAAACTCGTGGAAGACCTTAACGGGCCTCTAACCCTGAACAGAGACTCTGGACGACAAATCAGGATGGTTTTGCTGGAATTGGAACTCAGTCCCAGCCATGTGCATACAATAAAACACCCACGCTAGAGAGGATTGAAGGTCACAACTTCATTGATGTTTCTGACAGTGAGGTAGAATACGATCGGAAATTTTTACATTTTCTTGGCAACTCTTCGTGCAATTACCAAACATACGCATCAGTCCAGAAAGTTCGTAGAGTCAGAGCTTCAGTGGGGAATCATGGACGATCCCGACCCTCCGATGTTATCTCTGGCTTGAAATTTGAGTACTTCGAGGATCAAAATCAGGCTCCAGGTGTGGTAGGTCAGTGGATGGAAGAAACAGATAGTGTTTTTGAATTCTCTTTGGACGAAAAGCTGAAATCCATCACTGTTTGGCTTACCCCAGGCAAGAGGTCATCCCCATCCGATGGGATTCGGGAATGTCAAATCATGGGTATACACATTCAGACAAGTCACTGTCGTGAGATGACATTCTGTGCTTTGAAGAGTCAATCATCGCTTCATAAGCAAAATTTTGATCAATATCAGTGCGATGTGGGAGAAGAAATGGTGGCTTTATCGTGTATTTTGAACACCATGTCAGATCGGTTCCGACCAGTTTTTTCGAAGAGAGATGGCCCATCTTTGATTATGGTTCCGGAACTCTCCCTTCCTTTTGACCAAGCGCAAAAGCTCTATTTTCTCATGCCGAAGTCAGATGGGTCTTCAGAAGCTGTGGTTTCAGTCAAGGTCTTTTTCCGAAATAGAGTGATAGTAGGGATTGTTTTCACCTATCCCTCAGGCAAGGTAGCAAAGGCAGGGAACACCAGAACGAGAAATTCTGCAACAGCTTGTTTTGAAGCTCACTGTCGAATTTTCAGCTTAGCTGTCAGATACAACAAAGAGAGCAAGCCTCAAGGCATTGAATTCGAAGTCGAGTCAGTTGCAGAATTCGAGACCGAGATGCTCAGATTTTGTGTTGAGGCTCTTAATGATCAAACACCTGAGGCACTAATTGGCTATCATCGGCGAGAGGTGTGGTGGAGGAATGCTCTAGCCACCAAAAGCCAGCAGTGGCCATCATTTCTGAACGGGAATCTCATGCCGCCTCCCAAGTCTAAGCTAGTCGGTATTTATGTGCGATGCCAAGTTAGTGACTCATTGGAACTTGGAGGAGTGTATGAACCTGAAGGGGAGGAGGCTTCGGGCCTTGAAGACTCCTCGGAATGAGATTGTTGAACAACACTACTACTCATAGCTCCAACTCACCAGGGTAAAAAAAGTCTGAGGAGCTTCAAGTGCGAGGGCATTATGGGTATTCAATTATTTGAAGTGTGTGTAGAATGAAATAAATGTAATAAAAGTTTCCAAGTGATTGCCCGAAATACAAATAGAATCTAAGAGACGCGATATTCAGGCACTGCATCAAGCGCAGTCAGGCTGATCCCACCTGTCTCTTCTCCATCCCTAGAGTTATCCCAGCTACTTGTGATATCATCCTTGTAATGCCTTGATGTTAAAAATCTGGAGCCTCAAAGCTATTAACGACCTCGGGAATGGTTGTGCTGCTAGTTTCCGTCATCTGCAACGCAGCTCTGCGACATACAGCTGCGGTTTCTTCTGATACTTCCCCAGATCTTTCACCTCCAAATGCCCGGAAACTGGCTTCCCAAAAGTCCCATCTCTCCCGAGAGATGCCTCTCCTGTCTTTCTTCCCTTTCTTCCCTTTCTTCCCTTTCTTCCCCTTCTTCCCCTTCTTCCCCTTCTTCCCCTTCTTGCCTCTCTTGCCTTTTTGCCTTTTGAAAAGAGGACCTTCTCCAAATTGAGTTAAATCACTATTCGAGAATTTAACGTCCACTTTCTGAAAAATTGCTTGTCTGGAATGTTCGATCCACTGCGCGGCTGCACGTATTTGATGCTCTGCGAGCTCTTTTTTCTGGTTTGGCTCATTTTCAAAGGCCAGACGGAAGATTCTGTTAACATACATAAACCATGGAGCTATACCTGACTGAAGCAGGCCTGCCGAAAATGCATGCCAGTTTACAGCTCTTCTGGATGCTTCATCAAAATCTGTATCATGTTTCGAAGGCTCTGGTGGAGATTTAGCTATCTTGAACATCGCGTCAAATGAACATAGAATCGTTACTGACCTTGCCAACCCTCAGCCCAGGCTGCCCCTATCAAGGGCAAATCTGCCCAGATCCGCAACTTTTTCTACGGAGTACGTTGATTAGTGAATTTGCTTTCATAAGAAGTGAGGACTGACATCTCACCGGACCCCAAATCTCGACTTCTATCGACGGCAGCGATTTCAACTCTTTAATCAGAGATACTAGTTTCCCCTGTGATGGATGGTCATGGGGAATCTGTTTTGATATCTCAATAAAGAAGCACCACATTTCCCACAGATAGCTCTCTGGGTGCTCGGCATTCTCTTCACCCCGAGCTTCCCGCTTCATAGGGGTAAGCTCATTTATCTGAAAGGCCGCTTCTTTGGAAGACAGTTTGCTGTCTGGTTGCAGAAAGTCGTTCAAGATATCGAAATTTTTCTGCTCGATGATCCATGGGTCGTCGTCTTCAAGAGACTGGAGACGAAGATGTAGCATTGGAGCCATGATCAAAAAAAAGATAGGTGAGTTAATTGATTTGTGTAGGGGATGAAAGAAGTTCAAATTTAGAAAGCCCTGGAGCTTTGCTTGGATCTATGTAAAAAGAAAACATTTGAAAAGGAGCCTTGGAACCCGCTACGCTAGTGCGGGGTACCCAGGCATAGAGAAACGACAACCCGTCTGGTACCGCGCGCTTAGAGATACACTAAACGAGTGGTTCTAATCACTCCTACGCCTATCTAACCTTCGAATTATTATTAGTTTAATTAATAGGACTAAGCCTTACACTCTCCCCACTATGACTTCGGCAATATCTAATGAGAAGTATTTTTAAGCGCAGAACTCGGATGCGCGGCTTTAGCTAGTAACCAACAATATCCAATGATCGCAACTTTTATCGTAGATGAGACGTGAGGCTGTTTCATAGATGCATTATCCATGATTATTTTGTCAAAATAGACCCGATCTAAACCAGATCCAACTATCTCCTGTTTTTGTACAGTTAGATGTGTTCTTCAAATTAATTTTGCGCGAAACGCCCATGCATGCGGCATGCCAGTGTCAGTGTGATATGCTCAAGAGATATCATGATGTTTCATCGTTCAAAATAGCACTTGAACACCCTCTTATCTCAAATCTATAGATACTTCTGAATCAACAAGGATGTTTTCAAGATTGCATTTAACATGCTCTATGACCCTAGGAAATCATCAAATCTCCTGTTACTTTCTCATCCCCATCTCGCAGGTCGAGCTACTTCAAGTTGACGCAGTCTCTCATTTTGTTTTATTTTTTTATCAAGTTTTCATATACGCATGCCAATTGAGTGTGCAAATTTGAATACATCAGCCTCATTTGTGCATACCTATCATTTCTATACATACATCAATCCAAGTGCTAGCTGCTACTATGGGCAAGGGGAAGAAGGAGGCCAAGAGCCGACAGGCTCCACCAGTATGACAGCCCCTCAAGATTCCTGCACATGTGCTATTATTCGTTACATATAATTTTTCAATACTAATTGTGTTTTCAATACATAGGCATATTGGTACACTCAGAATACATGCTTGACCAAGGAGCAAAACAAAATCTCCCAGGAGACAGTCCGAAGACAGCTCGCCGCTGCGCCCGGTCCAAACCTAAACCTTGGAAACGTGGACCAGAAGACGAAATCGGGCTATCCACATAAATATTTCAATTATGAAGAGGGTCCAGACAAGGAAGGTCTATTCCGTAGACGGACCAATAGCTCGACTACTTCGTATCGTGAATATCCAGTCATGCCAACTGGACCTGCTTATCCTTTCGACACGAAACCAAAAACTCGCCCTGGAGCTTTTCGGGCCATCACCAACCAGAATAAAACGTTCAAAGGAGTCATATGCCATAATGGGGAAAACGGAGATCCAGCCAAGGGATATTTCCATCGTGCGACGGAGACTCCACGGTGAATGACACCGCTGCATGGAGTGACAATCATTATCTTTTATGAATACTTCAAGTTTCTTTTGTTGGGTAGTATAACGCGACTTTATCAGTCCATCTGTCGTTACAAGAGAGAGATAGGCGTTTGATTTCATTTTTTTCCTTTTCCAATTTGTCTTTGTGTTATGAGATGACACATGTGCAATGCAACTATTTCTGTCTTGAGCAGTCTTCTAACTCAAAGTTAGTTGGGAAAGTGGTATTTTCATTATATAAATGCTGATTTTCAAAGCTGTTCAAATAGGTACCTAAATATTGACAATTGACATCACTCAGGAGTTCCTATCACTAGTATCCGCGATCTGAAAAAGCTTCCAAGGTTGATGATATTGATTGATATCTCAAAATGACAACACCGCTGAAATACGGACTCCCCTGCCCATGTGAACTTTTGAGGAGCTTCCAAGGCTAAGATATAACGAACTTAGAGCTTGAAGGTATCCATGTATTTGTTACTTTGTTACTACTGTGCATGCCCAGGTTGACGTTGTGGTATTTAGCGAAGCCGCATGTTCAAGACATCATGACACTACTATTGAGCCTCAGTACCTACCTAGGTAGCTACCTAACCTAGGCGTGGTCAACTCAACAGCATAATTAGATACCATCGCTTAGATTACATGCTGTTTTCAGTGTTGGTCGCCTCACAAGGTAACAGATGGATAGCCACTCGGAGTTCTTGCGCATAGTATCAGGCTCTGATTCTCACTGCTCGCTAGCGACTAGAATTAAGTCAAGATTAAAATCAGATGGGAGTATCTGAGTCAATGTATCTGGTGACTGATATCTCTCACTGCGCTGCCCTTCCTTGCGCCTTCCCCAACACACCTTCTCCTCGATCCTCTCCATGCTAGCAAACACCTTGCTCTCAGAATTTTCATGGTGATTCTCTTGCTACTACTATTTTGATCCCTCTGAAAGATAACAGCGAAAATTCTCTACAACCTCACAAGATCTGGAAACAAGAAACTCATTCGGGCCACGCACTCTTCAAGTCCACGGCAAGTTCACACAGAAAACATACCAAGAGAAACGGCGAACCTCCAAAACATGGATCCACACGCAAAGACACTTTTGGACCTTCCTCTTGAAATACGACTCATAATCTACGAACACCTTTTTTCGTCAACTACGCTCATCTTTGACGAAAAACCTGACGACCTCGAGTTCAATGAAACAGCTAGGCCTGTGCGTGATTCCCTGGCTATTCTCAGAACCTGCCGGCAGATCAGGCATGAAACAGACCATATTTGGCTAGGCTTGATTGAGCTCAGCTTCCAAAATCCGGTGTGCATGGTCAACAAGCTCTCTAGAATGCCGTCGGCTATTCTTTCGGGAATCCGTTATTTGAGTCTGAATGGATGTCTAATTTTTCCCAACAGGAAGAACTATGAAAATTATTGGCATCACAGTTTGGAAGAATTTTTGAAGCTATTTCCCTGGTTGCGCCTGCATAGGCTTACCATATTTGAATCGTCTGCAGGTGATATTTCCTACAGTAATCTTCACCGTCTTATTGATCAAGGAAATGGATGGCAAGAGTTGTGGTTTATCACACCAGATTCGAGGATGCTCGGCTTTGACAATGAGAGAATTTTTGCGAAAGGTCGCCAGCTGCGATGGTCTCAACCAGGAAATTGGAACACTCTCCTCTCGTGGCGTGATGGGATTAACTCTGGGGCTTCCGTAACTAGTTATCTATCGGTCTACTGAGCCTGACTCCCCAGGCTCTATCATGAACAAGCATACTCGCCAGTTCTCCAAGCAGGAATTTGATATCGAAAATCCAGCAGACCCCAGAGAAGATAGCGCCTTGATGTCCGGAAACGAAGACACCAAGGAATTACTGGTGGTTGTCAAACGTGGTGCCGGAGCTCATACAAGGGAACAGGCTAGGATGTTCAAAGACCTTGATCACTGGACATATGATGCCTCTTGGGAAGAGATCCGTCACTTGTGCTCTAATTTCGCATATGAAGAAGCGCAATGGAGAGAAGTTACCAGCACGACCAAGCCCTCCGCAATATCCTTTCCGCATACCCCCAAGATCTGGGGTCCTTCAGGCATGAAGCTGCTCCCCTACCGCTCCTACAGCAATATGTTTGACGGATGGCTAGTTTGAAATCTAGCCAATTAAAAATGATGGACCTACGTCAACAAGGCTCAGTCTCTATCCTGATAGTTCAATTCCAGGTTACACTTGAACAAAATCCATTCAAGTCTGATAAGACTTCTCGAGAAGAATCATCAATAGGATAAAGCAGGAAACTGGGATGACATCTAGCATCTTAGTGTCAATTCCCAACTCCGAGTTATAGACTTTCTGCTAAGCTAATTTGCCTACAATGTCTGCATGATCAAAGTCCGTACAATTCACCTTCCGGTTATGAGAGTGTTCTTGAAGGCCAACTTTTGACATATACCGGACATGGAATACTGGTTTCATTAGCAACTTGATTCAATGTGTTGTTCCAAAGCGCCATGTCGGCTATCTGAATGCTTTCATCTGCGGAAGCCAGGGATGGGAAAGTAGGTCCTCTGCCGTGCTCCGGTCTTCGGGTTTCCAACGTAGAATTTGAGAACAAAAGTCGACAAATTCCGGTATGCCGTTATCATCATCAATTTCCCGCACTATTGACAGTAGGTCTTTTCTCTTGATAAGCTCAGGAAATTTGAATTGTCCTATCGAGCAGATTAACTATGTTTACTGAAGACCCAGCTACCAGATAGCATACCTTGGGCGTCAAAATAATTTGATGCTTTCTTTCCCTGGCTGAGAAGCTCAGGTGGAGGAGGTCCCAAGAGAGAAATAATTTGGCCTAGATAAGCTTTGTCTGCAGAGACTGGGCGGTCCAGGTCCTGTGGCATGTCAAAGGCGCTATGACCATAAAATAGATCCCAAAGCTGATGGACAATTAGTGACCATCAATATCATGCTTGTAGTAACAGAGTTCTTCACCATGACTCCCAGATTCCAAATGTCCACGCTGTAGCTCCACTCACATCCGAGACAAACTTCCGGCGCCCGATATTCATCTGGCTGGATGGGGTGACTGTTAGGGGCTTCATCACCTCGAACGGCAAGTCCAAAATCAGTAATTACTGATCTACCCAATTCGTTCGGAGAGAGTGCCCAGTAATTTCGGGAAAGGTATATATCCCGATGATATAGATGCTTCCGTGGAGACGGATTGTCCATTTCGTCCTGAGCCACCGATTCTAGGATAGAAGGGTTGCGCAGGGACATTAAGATGTTGTCAGATTTGAGATCTTGTTTTTGTTCAATGTGAATAATTTAAGAATTAGATCCGTTGGAGTGTTTGATACCTGTGTGAACAACATGACATTCGTTGTGTAGATACCGTAGTCCCTTCAATATGAGTTTGGATACTGGTTTCAAGCCATCGAGAGGGATGATGTTCCCTTGAAAGCGACGCTTCAGCATCCAAAGTGGTTCACACAGTACATCAAAGACCATGCAATTATGGGTGCCATTCGGGCTGGCAACATAAAATGAGTCTAAGAATGTGGTGACAAAGTTGCGACCTATATGCTGAGAGTTTAGTTTTGTTACTTGCTCATGAATTCATAGCTCTCTCTCCGCGGACTCTGAAGATGGATAGCTGTTCGCATCAACTTGAACTTTGATGGCCACATATCGGGGCGGGAGCCACCGCCACCTACAGCATAGCAGACAGTGAGACAGAAATTGGTTATCTTATCGGATATTCTTCACATACTGGTAAAGATCGCGTGCTAGCCATACTGTTGAGCTTGTGCCCCAGCCTATTTTGGCAGCAATCTGGTATCGGCTGTTGAATATCTCATAGAGCCGCACGGGGTAAAAATGCTGAGGATTATAATTGGGCGTACGCTCTTCCTCAACTAAATGAGCCGCAGGGAGTACCTTTCCTGGGAACTAGGGGGGGGCTTGCAGGGAACCGACCGAAGAATACTTCTCAGGTACATGGTCAAAGCACCTGAGAGAGTTGAGTAAGTCAGGAATTGCCCGGGTGTTGACTTTTGTTGGTCATTTCGAACGTTCGAAAGCAGGAGCAGGAGATGGATGCACGGACCACCGCGAGACTATACACACGGACCGTTCTCCGAATCCGTAATCAATGCGATTGTACTTTGGAAGTCAATCTTGGATAGATCTGGCATTTTGATGGATGACTTCGGGACATCGATGGAATGTACATCTAAATAAGAGCGTGCTCGCTAAGATGGTTGGAGTTAACTCGGATTTTCATGGTCGATTGCACAGAAATTAAGAGAAACCAAATCGTGGTTGTGGCACTCGTGAGTGGGCATATATTGGTCCTCTAGATAGACGTCAACTTGTGGTCGGGTCTGAATGGAACTATTGTGATCTGGGCTTGTGGCACTAGCATATGTGAAGTGATTTGGAGCTCAGTATCTGGCCTGCCAGAAATTATATCGATTGGCCTAAAATACTGGTATTGAGGTGGGACCGTGGGAGTACGGAGTACTCCGTACAAGTCAGCATAGATACTAGTAGTCGACAAGAAGTTCCGAGTCAATAAAATCCTGTGCTTTCGATAAGACGTCCCACTTCAAAAACTAGGAATGTGACACCCCACATCGATAGTAAAATGTTGTTATGATGATCATCGTATGATCAACCTCGGCCCGGCGCCATTCTTCATTCAAGACGAACACGGCTCTCGAGCTCCGAGGTTTTCTTATTCACAACCTTACAGCTACAAATAATTCCTTCTCCGAACTACAAAAGAACATTTTATGAAAAAGCGACCAAGATCACTCCGTTCCTTCAAATGGCAGAATTTATCCCTAGCCCTCCCTTGGCCGCGAAACCAGGGTCATTCCCACCCACGGAAAGCGTTCCAGTCGCTCCACCCCTTTGGACCCTCAAAGCCAAAGCTTGGACTTTTCTCTACTCTGATGTCGACCAGGAAAGCGAGTACCTACCCCAAAACCCAAACAACACACCCGATATTCTGCAAGATGTCCTTCCTCTAGGCTCTTATCACCCACTTGAGAGCCTTCACACCGAAGCTCTGCAGAAGCTGCCTGGGGGTGAGCCGCAATACCGTCGTGGATGGCTCAAGGGCATCACTATCATTCGATATGAGGATTCGGATGTCGGTCCATATGACGAACTCATTCTTGTCCCGGGAAAAGCTGTGAATCCGCATACAGGCAAGGCAAATATGAGAATAAGTACGATATTCGTCTCGACGGATGCAAGTGTTTGGAATGGAAGAAGAAATTGGAGTTCGTGCCCACCTTTCCCGCTCCCGCTCCCGCCCGCCCCGCTCCGCTGTCCCCACATGCAGGCATCCCTGAGCGGAAAGTCATCAGACTAAGAGTTTTCTAGATATCCCCAAGCATCGGGCAATCTTTAAATTTACACCGAGTGGGAATTCAAACTCGGATCTTGAGTTGAGAGTGCATTACCCCGAAGACTCACCTGCTCCGTTAGATCCAACAGTGCCGTTTTTTACAGCACGGCTAAAGAGCTCCACTATCAAGCTGCCATTACCAAAGCTAGCGGCGATACCTGTCGTTCAGCCCCCATTGGCCAAGTCAATATCGCCGCTGATTGAAGATACGGTGATAGCGACCGATGATCCACAGAACGGACGAGAAAACCCGTGGTTGGCGACAAAGCCATCGTTCAAGGGCTCGTGGGGGCTGGCATATGCTGATAAGCTAGAAGACGGGTTAAAGTGGCATGGTGATGGGATCGGGTTTCCCAAAGTGAAGCTTTGGTCGGTTGGGGCTTCTTTTGAGGGAAATATTGGTTTTAGAGTACCGACCGTGGCTAGCTGAGTATCTACGGGTTATGGATGCAAGGAATCCCCCCTATGTAAGAAGCGGGGTATTGTGAATGATCTTTAGCTTACCATGGATCTTTCCAAAAATCAGTTTTCAATAACAAGAGAAATTTGAGCTATGAAATGTCTGAAGTCTTGCATCATACGCTCTTCCCCGCCCCAAATAAGCAACACTGCCGTCTCCCAGTCTCATAAATTGGAGTATAAGATTAAAGTCTCAAGATTTGCACTGTCCAATACATCCCTCAAATATTTCAATCCAATCCTATCTTCTTTTATATCTTTTCTGTCTCTCTCTCCCTAGTCGGTCTCTCCTATCTCTCTCTCTTTTCTCCCTCTCTTTCTCGCCGCACCCTTTACACAAAGAATCATGCGACCCTTTCCCACGCGTAGTGCACTGAGGGCAGGTATCTAGTGTCAAATAGCAACAAATCATGATTAGTCTAGCTGAACCCAATGAAGCTGTATAAAATGACAGGAGACTGCATCCGTATATTATGGGGTATTCCCGACACTTACGGTAGCGGCACCATCGCGATATTCTAGTGTCGTAGACTTGCTGGGGGTTGTTGCATAGCCTTCCGTCACACTTTTTCTCGCCGGTCATTGTTCAGTTGGTTATTATTGGCAATCTTATAGCAGAGAATAGGATGATAGGATAGAGAATTCGTTGGAGTGCGAGGTCACAAGAAACAAGAAATGGCAAAGGTCTCTGTCGCATTTTGTAGTTCGGCTTCGGGTTTGTCATGAGGGATCATGCATAGTACAAAGTAGCGGATAATGCGGCATTTCTTATATCGACTCGTTACTATGTTTGGCCCCTAGCATGGTCAGCTATTATTTACACGGAGGGGTGCGTGCTGAATAAGGGCACCAATCCATCGCGTTTCAGCACGCTCAGCTTTGGGAGGGTCAGTGCGTCTGCACTAGCCAGTAAGCTGGGGAGCTGCTCACTTAGCTTCAAGATTGTCACTCTGAAACTTACCCTGTATCTATCTACTCATCATCTTGTTCTGTTCTTTAAGATACCGCCGTCACCCTAGGTGCCCCGGGCTGCGGACCACTATTCCAGCTGGAGACATCGACCGCCTGAGAAGTCTCAAATCACTCTGCGACGTTTGCTTCTGGCATAGTCCAAATCCCACTCGTCCAACGTCTTTGCTTGAACTGTACCTTGGTTTGCATTAGTGACGAGCTTCCCTATACACGAAGAAACATGATCAACAAGCACCTGGAGATCAGTCTTGCATGTGCTTTATCTGAATGCATTCAAACGTCTATTGTCCCCTTTGTGGAATCATCCTGCTCCAAGATCCTTGCCAATATCATAGACATCTTTCATCATCCTCACAGGCTCCGTGTCATCCTTGGTATGCCGACGTCCGAGGAATACACTCCTCTCATTCTTCGGGCGCTGTGACCCCCACAGGACTGGGGTTCATTCGCCACGGTAACATACTTTATGCACCAGCTGAGAGCAAATCGTCCTATATCGGCAAATTTATCAAGGATCTAGAAGAATTCGAAATCTGTGAATCTTCACGTGATTCCCGCCGTTGGTGCTTTGCTTTTCATAACTCATGCTGGAATTTATTTTCCCTCAGGATAAGTCTTGGGCAGAGTGAAAAGACTCGAACGGAGACAGACATTGCCAAATGTCTGTTTCAAATACTTGACTGTATCCCCTGTACCTCTGAATCGATATTTCAATTCGGACATGACTACGGAGGCGCGACGCAGATGCACAAAGTGACTGAACCACCAAGTGACATGGACTTGAGTTCATATTTCTACGTTGACCCTTATGGGATTCCCTCCAATGCAGAAGTTGAGGCAGCTGGAATTCCATTCCGCAGGCCACAGGCATATTCAGATCGAACTACAAGCGACGACCTCTCCAGCCAGTTTGACACCATTTACCTCACTTCTTCATCGCATAATCAAACAACTCCATCCTATCCGGGTCAGAGTACGACAAAAGGATCTCAGAGAACATTGGAAAGTTCGATCACCCATATATTTCATAAGCTTTCTCCGGAATTGACATATGAAATCCTGTCATATTTGCCCTTTGACCAGGTGCTAAAACTACGCCTGGTATGTCGGTATTTTGCATTTTGGTGTCATATCAAGCGGCTTCCACAGTCATACTGGCGGAGTAGGTTCTGCATTGGTCAGGAGGCGGACTTTATTTTACCGAACCTCTCAAAGATTCAAAACTGGGCTCAACTTTTTTTCGGAACCAGATTCTATCTACGAGATGGGAACCTGGCCATGATTAATCGAAAGAGAATTAGAAGCCTGATCGAACCAATTGCAGAGCTTCTAGGTCTGGACATTGTTTTGAATACAGATACTGGGCCGCATGGCTCTATCAAATTCCCCATTCAAGACACGGAAGACATATTGAGGCTTTCAGATAGTACCACACACGACTCATCTGTCTTTGTGAAGATGGATTCATTATTTTCGGGCCAAATACAATCACATACAGTTGCCAGTGGCCCGTTAGAGGAAGGATGCCGCATAATTCACCATCGAGCACATTTATTCAACCTTTCGCATTCCCTCAACACTTCTCAAATTGGTATTTCGTTCATACAACTCGGCTCACAGGTCTTCATATCTGGGATAGACATATTTCCATGGCCAGAGCACAATAAAACCAATCGTGGTATTGGCTACCAGATCCCAGCTTCTGAAAGACGATTAAAAATACAGTGCACCTCCAACTTGCAGAACATCTGTGTCGCCTTCTGCTCAGAGGGACTTACAGGTATCAAATTCAAGTTTGAAGACTCAAGCTCAACAGCTTGTTTTGGTGATATCGAAAGTGGAGGGATCGCATTTGGCAGTTTGCTTATTCCGCATACGGCTTGGCCGTATCTTATCGCTGGTTTGGATAACTACAAGATTGTTTCACTTGGGATCGGACGGCAAACAGACTTTTCCACGGATGTCAGGTTTGACGGTACGAACGGTCATTCAATGTCCAACATCGATACGCAATCTGTCCCGTCTCTCTTGTGGACACCAGGTATTCCAAAGCAAAAGGGTTTGAAGTATAGCGATATCCTACCTTCCCAGCCTTTCAAAACCTTTGAACCCTTGCTCAACATTGACTTTGGGGGACCTCAAGGCATTCGTCTTGAAGCCTCAACAAGAATCACATGCCACATGACATTTATAACTTACCCACTGATTGGAATCGAATTCTTCTATGCAGATAGAGGCTCACTATTGTACGGCTCGGGAGGTGGCTGTGAGATATCTTTCTTTCTCAACGGACCCGCCGGAGAGCGTATCCATCGGTTTGAAGTGGGGATTGTTGACGCTCGTGAGAAAAATACGTCTCTAGGGGGGTTCCAGGTTAATTTCCCACAATTGAGAATCACTGGCCCCTATAATGTATGCTAACCGATGTCAAGATTTTTACGAATTACGGCAGAGCCGCTAGTTTCATCCCTCTTCAATACAGAATCCATCAATCACTCAAATCACTACCAATACCACCACCTGGACATTCCACCACTGGCTTTACTGCAGCCGAGAGGGGAAATTGGAATAGATCAAGCAGTTTCAATCATCCCCTGCAAGACCTTAGCGATGGCTTTTCCAGAATCGGTATTCAGTCTCAGCCATGCGGCGACACACTGGCACCAACTGAGACCCCAAATTACGACTCTGGAATAGTCTCTGATGATCAGCTCCGAGATGATGAGACTTTTGCCCATTTGATCAGAATACCGGGAGACAATGTCTACCAGACCTATGCATCACTCAAGAATGTCCACAGAATCAAGGCTTCGATAGGTGTCCAAGGGCGATCAAGATCTCCTCGCTGTATAACTGGTCTTAAAATCGAATACTTTGATAATCGGTCCCCGAGTGTAGTAGGTCAATGGATGGATGAGATGGAACTTTTGCTGGAGCTTTCATCTGACGAGACTGTGCGGTCTTTGAGTATCTGGCTGACTTCTTTTGATTTCTCGCACGATTCTCAACCACCGTTCAGAATGTGTCGAGTCACAGCTATCCATATCGAAACTACATTATCTCGTGAGGTCACATTCCGTGCTCCCTCTGGTAACTCAAAGTTCAATGGGCAAGAGTTCAATCGATACCTGGGTGGTTTTGGGGAAGAGCTTACTGCTATTTCTTGGGTTTTTGATGGGAGGTGTGACCGGGTTCGAGCAATTATTTCCATCCATCGGCCTCTGATCATACTTCCGGCATATTCTGTACCCTTCTACCATAGCCAAAGGCTTTATTTCTTTGTGCCTGACAGCAGTGGTTGTGTGCAACCAGCTGTCGCAATCCAGGTTTTCTGGCGAGGCAGTTCTATTATTGGAATCGCGTTCGTCTACCCTTCAGGACAAGTAGTAAGAGCTGGAGAAAGTGAGACTGCGTCTCAAGAAACATTTACCTTCCCATCGGATTCAAGAGTCGTTAGCCTGTCTTTTCTCCACGGCAAGGGCACAATCAGAGGAATCAAATTTGAAATGGAATCAGATGGTCAACAAGCGATCCCCTGTATAGAGACTTCTGCTAATCCTACTGATAAATCTGCTAGTGCCGACACCATTGAATGGGAAAAGAGTACAATTTGGTGCAAAAATGCCGGATACATGGAAAGTTATGAGCGACGTGCACCTGGCACTGCCCATGTCTATAAGCCTCCGCCTGAGTCGGAATTGGTTGGCATTTTTGTGGGCTGTCTGTTATTTTCTCATTGCGGGGGAGTCTATGAGCGTGAATAAGGCCGGTAAACCTAGGCTTCCACCGGAAGAGATTGTGTATTTGGGCTTTGAGTGATTTTTTCGGCATTGTGTACGATCTCAGAGTGATTAAGAACCTTGGAAATAAGTTAATTCTAGCTTCTGGGTTCCACAAATTCACTTCTTTTGATTCCCCGAGTGACTTGTCCTTGCGGCCCTACCCTTTGGCCGTTCTGTCCCTTCAACTGAATACATTTTAGCAGGTGTCCTTTCACAAGCGGAGCAAACTGCAATACCACATAGTCACGTATGTGCGAGTAGTACTTGAGTTAGATTTCAGCCAATCATTGAAAATGGGCATCTGGATGTGGAATCCATGATAAGTCTCTCTAAATCTAGGAGACGCCCTACTTACACATGTACTTAGTATGTAAGTAGGCAGGCTCATGTGTATAAGCTTCGCGCATTTCACTAGCCACGTATGCTCCAGGGCTGCAAGTTTGTATGAGCTGCTTAATACTCATCAATTCTGTCACGTAGGCTCCGAGGGTTCTCTACCTCGGCAGTGATATCGTCAATCCATGCAAGTATATACCGGGCAATAAACTCATTGTCGCAATTGTGCACTGCAGTATCAAAATCTCTTTGACGCTGGCTTTTATGAAAAATATCCTCCCATTCCGGCGCCAGTATTCTCATCCTATCAATAAACACCTCGCGGAGGAGAGTGAGCTCATACTCCAAAAGATGTTCCCAGTAAAGATCGGAGGGTTCTGTCTCAGTCTCAAGTTTGTATCGCCCTATATCAGGCTCTAGACGTTGTGGTCGACCTTTTGGTCGACCTTTCAATAATGCAGGATAATAGCAGGCACTCCGCAAAGGAAGCACCGAGACACATTCCCAGTCTAAAACGGCGGTCAACTCTCCGCTGTCTTGGACAAGGATATTCCGGCTAGAGAGATCATCGTGAAATAGAATTGAGACCTCTGGGTCATCTCTACCCGGTGGAAAGACAGACGGAAGCAGTCCTTTCAGTTTTTCAATAATATCCAGGGTTCTCGTAGCATCATCTGCATCGGCTTCATCGTCACTGTCGAGATCTCCGGATGGTAAATTATCCAATATCAACTGATTGTCTTTCTCACTTGGAGAAAGACGCGATATGATCCAGTCTCTACTTGAACCAAACCGACCCCGATCAACGTCCTGGAGGATACGCGACCCCCCAAAAAAGTCCATAGAAACAATCCGGCCCACATCTAGCAAATCGTCGGGAATTTTCTCCTTCTCAGATAGTGATAAACTTTTGGGGTATACTGGATTTCCCACAGGCCAAATCTTTTCAGCTAATTTGGAATCAAGGGTAGATTTTACCCCATAGATATTCCCAATTCCCCAGAATTTGTTCTGGAAAAGGCAGTGGGCGTATGACGCAAGCTCTCCAACCAGGTATTCCTTTCTATCAAATGATGGAGAACGCCATATCTCTTTCAAGGGCTTCCCAGGGATTTTGGTCATGAAAATCCATTCAAATCCCACAGGGTTTTCTCAGGAAGGTTGATAAGTGATAACTCGGGGAACCGGGATATTTGTCGCGCGGGATATCCAATCCAGAGTTGATATTTCACTCATAGTTTTGCAGTAAGGATCAACGGGCAACGAAATTCGCATAATGAAGACCTCGTTGTCTATTACCACATCATAGACTTTGTTAAAGGCGCCCTGGGCCAGAAAATTCACCGTACTTGACGGCTTCAGCAACTGGACTGTCCGCTTGATGGCTTCAGGATTGGGCTCCACAGTCCACCGAGGCTCCAGACTAAAGGTCTTTTGAACCCAAGCAAGACCCCGAATTTGCTCTTCCATCAAGGCCATGCTTGCGGCAGTGCGAGTTAAGATTCTGCTTTTTTAATTTCCAACTTGTGGGGTAAGCCAGGTGTTCGTGGATGTAGCTCTTGAAGCACGCAAGGGAGCTCCGAGTCCCCAAAGACATGTCGATATCTCGCCGGGACAACTATATTCCCCGGTGTAATAGGTCGATGTATTCAGATTAACACCGGCGCCTGAGAAGTAAATTATCGGTATTCTGGGACCCGAAACTTTGAAAATCTATTCAAAGACTTGATTCTTCGAAATACATAGACTTCATAGTAAATAGAAAAAGTACTCAAAAAAAAGCTCCAGGTGGGGGTTGCACCCACGACCTTAGGATGTTCTTAATAGAAGCTTTTCGTGGGTTAGTCAAAAAAACACTAATTTCAGTGAATTCAGTGTCACTTACTCATACGCTCTGCCATTGAGCTACAGGAGCACAGTGTATCTCGACTTTTTAATTCGAGCTATATGACCCTGGGAACCAAACGAGTAGAGCAAAGTTCATAACTATATCGATAGGGTAAACACGAAGAACATTTGAATCATATAAGTAATCCCAAGGTCAGTGTTCGCATGTGATTTTCTAGGTACCATATACTAATAGCACACATCTGGACTACTTCAGAGTGAACAGGCGTTCGAGTTTCCAGTAGAGATCTGAGGGTTCTTCATTCACCTCAACTGTATACCGGTCCAAATCAGGCTCTGTAGTATGTACGTCGTGGTCGCCTTTCAAGTAAGTCAGGGTAATACCTAGGTAGTAGGCATTCCGTATTGGAGCCTGAAGTGCTGAAACATTCCCAGTTCAAAACAGCAGCCAGATCTCAACGATATAGGTACAACCTGGTTTGACTCATAACAGTCAATATTTCTGCAGTGATGTCAGTGAGATCTGAAGTTCCGTGTGATAAACGCAAGGGAACCTTGGAAGTACAAGATGCAAGTGCCAAACACATGTTAAGATAGGTACCAGTTGACAGATCCAGATCCATGACCCACTTGGAAGATTGGAAGTATTACGTTGAGAATGCGAATTTGATAAATATATCGATTTCCTGCATAGGAATCATACCATGCTGCATAGATCCGAAAAAATGAAAATCGAATCATGAATGTTCGTATCAACCTAACCGCCATGCGCCATGCTGTCCTACTCCTTCTGAACGCCACGATGAAATGGACATGGATATCCCGCGCAAGTGGATGCTAGTATTGACCTCTGTGAAGCTTGCAATCAAACTTGACCGCAATGAAAAGAGTGCATTGCACAAGAGGTCCTATCGTCATATTCAGGAAGTTAGAGAAAGAAAGAGAGAATTTGACTTGATGGAGGATGATTGAGAAATTTAGTATGAGAAGCGCTAGGCACGAAACCCGAATACAATCCATAATAAACAAGGGGAATTGTTCCAGGGAAGTTAAAGAAAAAGAAATTCAGGCATGGTCCCTTCCTTCGTCCCTCTCCACTCCGGTATCAGTGTACATGAGTGTTGAGAAAGTCATAAATCAGAGGACCCCGATTCCATGATATGCAGGCCTCCCTGGGAAGGGGTAGATTCCCCGGGGAGGCGGGGGTATGTAGCTGACAACAGCCGAAACACAAGATCAATGAGGCAGAAGACAACATGTGAGGACCCCTCCTCAAACCAAACGCAGTAACAAGTGAAGGAGAAAAAAACCCTAAGAGGTGGGAAACCACCCATGGAGCGACCCGGCAAGAAAAAAAAAGAACATGGCATAAGAAAGGGACAATGAACTGATTTCGTTAAAACCAGAAATGCACCTGTAAAGCAAGTACAGAACAAGATCAAGACTCCATGATCATGCAATGTGAGACAAAACTAAGGGAAAACGTAGTCACATCAAAAGTTCTCATCAACATTAAAAATCCCAGAATCGGTGCCCTCGGATACCTTGTGAGCGCCACTCATACGTTGATCCGTTGAGTTGGTCAGTCGGTGGCCGCGATGCCACGAATCTTCGGCAAGAAGGGTATCATCTTCCATGTCTTCCTCACTCGGCTCAATCTTAACATGGTGGTCAATAGAGCTCTCATTCACGAATGTAAAGCCCTTGAAGTTAGCCTGCATGCCAGGCGAAAGCGGTGTACCCGCAGGCATGAACCCGTTAGCCAGCGCCGCGGCACGGTCGTTCAAGGACATGTTGTTCTCAAGGGCGTTGGTGAATTCGGGATCGAAGTTTGAGGTATCCAGGTCGGACTTAAGTTTGGGCTTGAATGGAGGGATAACCTGCTTCTTGCAAAGCACGTCCCAGTCGACATCATGGAAGAATGGGTGAGCCTTCAGCTCGGCTGCATCACCATTGGCACCCAGACGGTGCTTGGGGTTGCGGTTAAGCAGACCCTTGACGAAATTCCTGCCCTCGGTGCTGAGTGCGTCACGCGGGAATCGCACCTTGCCGAATGCGATGTTCTTGTACATCTGCTGGGTATCCTCCGCGTAGAAGGGGCTCCATCCACAGCACATCTCGAAAACCAAGACACCCAGAGACCAGAAATCAACCATCTTGGTGTAGCCTTGTTCATCCAGCAAGACTTCAGGAGCCAGATACTCGGTGGTTCCGCAGAAGGTGTTGGTGGTATCGTTTTGGGTAAGGTTGGCCTTGGATAATCCGAAGTCACAGAGCGCAATATGTCCATTGGCATCAAGCAAGATATTCTCAGGCTTGAGGTCGCGGTACACAATGTCGTAATCATGCAGATGCTGTAGGGCCAGAATGAGTTCAGCGATGTAGAACTTGGCTCGTGCCTCCTGGAAGCGGCCCTCGCGCTGCAGATGCCAGAACAATTCGCCGCCCGACATGTAGTCAGTCACCAGGTAGAGATCGGTCGGAGTCTGGAACGAGAATTTAAGGCCCACGATGAAGGGGGATGAGGCCATTGCGGTGCGCACCAAGATGTTGCGCTCTCCCAGTGTGTGGACGACTTCCTTCTTCTGGATGATAACCTTCTTCGAAAGAACTTTCATGGCATAGACACGCTCAGTATCCTTCTTCTTCACCTGGTAGACCTGACCGAATGTTCCCTTGCCAATCAGCTTGAGGATCTGAAAATCGTTCGGGCCAACCTGCTTGCGCTCAGTCATTTCAAAAGTCATCGTCAGATAAATTTCGCCGGACACTTGGTTATCCCCAGCTCCACGAGCCACCAAGGGGAACCAGCCCTCTAGCCGACTGTGGTCTTCCTTAAGGTTAATTCCCAGTCGAACGTGGCCGAGGAAAGCCTCTTGGTTGTGACGATCATAAACGGTAACATCGACTTCGGATTGGTCGCCGAGAACATCACTATTAATGAGAGGGTTAGCAAATCAAGTCAAGAGAGGACAGGCACTCTTAGAGATTGTGAGAGGACATACAAGACGGCGGAGTGATCCCAGTTGGGGTCTGTGACAGGCGCTTTCCCCTTATTGTCGAGTCCCTCCAGGGAGCTGTTGTGACTGCTCTGACGACTCTTCATTGGAATCGCCATTGGACGACCAGCCTCGGCATCGGATTCGATCTGACGTCGCTTCTGCTCCTCTTCTTCCTCACCATCCTTGGTACCCTTGGAGATGTACTCATTCCATTCAAAAACGCACACACAGTAAGGATCCACACTCGGACGCAAACCACGACCTTCGGAGATCTTAACTGTAAGTTTACCCTTCAGTGGGGCGACGGGAGGACCATTCTGGGGCGAAGGCTGGCGGGGAAAAGCCTGGTCGAGTTTCATGGTGATTTCATCGGTCGAGCTCTCCCGCGATTCCACCTTCTCGGCGGGGGCCGAAGTTACGGACTTCTTATCATCCTCGTTCGACAAAGCGCGGGGGGTCAGGGGTGGAGTATTCTTCAAGCGCACCACATCGGGTGCGTTTCCAGTCAGCTTGGCAAGATTCTCGCAAGATTTGGATGTATGCGGTTTCTCGTGGTCGAGCAAAGGTACTTCGGTAAGGGGACACGCATCTGATGCAGGAGAGAGAGATGGGTTGGAGAAATGGGAGGCAAGCACGGGATCGTCAGAGACGCTAGACACTGGGAGGGAAGTTTGACGACGGGAAGGTGTTTCATGGGTAGGAGTGAGATATTTTTTCAAGGTGTTGAAGATCGACCCCGCAGTCTTGTCTGGACTCGAACTGAGATCCATTTCATCCGACTGCAAAAGGGAATGGGGAGGTGTAGGCAAATTCGCCTCGATCTTCTCCATCCCCTCCTCTCTAGCCAACACGACAAAGGATTCGGAAGAACTGTCCAGCCCTGGATGTTCGGACGAGGATTTCGCAAGGCACGGCCATAACCGCTGAAGACTCAATTTATCACCGGAGAAGGAACCAACCTGAAAGTAGTTGTGCATGATGGAGGGCAGACGCTTGTCCGCGGGATCCGGTTGAGGAGTCGAAATGCCAGTAGGAGTTGAGCCGTTGGAGCCGATCTGATCAGGATTCTCGTCTTCAGGTGTGGCACTGAAAGAGCAGTTCTGTTAGTATGTTCTTTTTGGATCATGATTGGCGATATCGGATATTTAAGTCAAGCTGGTGATGGGGGGGGTTTAATCTCGATGGTGGGGGGTAAAGTGCAGTGCGACCGGGTTGATCATGCAGATATAGCGGGAGAACTCCGGTAAAGCAGAAATGACCATTCAGGGAAAAGAAACACAAAAAGAACGGATCGGGAGGTCTGTATTTTTTTGTTTTCTTTTTTTTCTTTCGGGGGAGAACATCTGCGCCTCTCCATAGTTTGTCTCACATTGGAGACCAGGATGTAGGCACTCGAAATGCGGGAGGGGCAAAAAACCCTCGAAACCACCCAGTATAGATAAACGAGGGTTTTTTTGTTCTTTATTCAGGGAAAACCAAGTGAAACCATCCAAAAAAAACCCAGTGAAGATCTGGACCTCTCGAATAACAGAATAGAAACAAGAATCATGATGACTCACCTTGGAAGCTTCAAGTCTGCCTCGTGCAACTCGGTTCCGTTCTGCGCAGCCATTGTGTTTCCATCCAGCGCGCCCTTCTGAGAAAACCAGTAAAATCCGAAGAATCAAGAAGATCAAAATGAAGTTGTAAGAAATCAGGGAGTAAGAGTGTGGGGAAGAAAGAAATAAGAGGGTTGAAGAGATGAAGAAAAAGAAAAGAAAGTTTGTGACGGTGATGAGCTAAGGGAGATTGCGGGATGATGAACCGGGATCGGCTTCGGGTCTTCACTCGGTAGCACTTGAATGCCCCAAAACTTGAAGTATTAAGGACATGAGGGTGAAAGGGTAGAGTGAAGAAAGAAAAAAGAGTTAAGTGAATGAAAGTAAAGGACAAACATTCACTTTCAAATCTTTGGTGATCATATATGAGATCATTTCTCTCAGTGAATAGATTTCTCTTGAGGGTCCAAGTTCCTACTGTACTCCGTTATGTACTTAATTTGTATATAAGAGTAAAATAAATAAATAAAATTAATAGAATTAATTCCTTTAATTCCTTTAATTGAATTATCTAACCCCACTTGGTTGGAATGAGAGATTCCTACAGTATATACCCCAAAGTCCCTGGGTTTGACGTAGGGCATCATCTGGATTAATTTAGAACCAGCATTTCAATCTCTATTCTCTCATAAACATCACTCTCTGCTATTTTATTTTATTTTATATTATTCTCTATCATTTTATATTCTATCCACCCTCTAATTCTATTCCATTTCCCCAGTACTCTTTGTACAGAAATCCGGAGTAATACCGAGTCAGAGGCAAATCTCGGGCATCCAATGAACTCGAAGGCGAAACCATGTGGAGAATCACCCAAGCGGCTTGATCCGTGAATGGCCGATACTCAATAACGGGCATTTTGTCTTCAATAGTGTACCTAAATCATCTATAGAACTATATTCGACCCTTGGAACTATACACTGCACCCCCAAATGTCAGTGTTTACCCCCCCTCAACCACCCTCAATATTGACATATCCCTCACTAGCCTAAACATTCGAACTTCGTGACTAGGTATAATGACACGATCGACATGACATGTGTTGACTTCGGGCATTTTCGCTTTGCGCCTTTTTTTAGCCCTGGCTATGGCGCTTGAGTTCTAATCGCATGGTCTCCGCCATCTCCGCTGCATATGGGTGGGGTACATTCTTAGGATCGGAGTACATGCCTCCTATATGTTCTAGGAGGTACTTCCATAATGTACTCTGTAAAAGAAACCACTTTTTTCGACTCTCACTTACTTGATAAGGTAAATATTCCCAGAGAAACAAATCACGGAATCCTCTCTGTACAATCCAAATCGAGGCCGATCGGCAACTCCTAAGATCGCGATCGTGCAGCTTTCAGCTTTGAATATGGCCCGACCCAGCTCCCTCCCGGTCCTCCCCTTGCATCGACATACCATTGGATAACAGAGAAGCAACCAGGACGTGAGCGGGCAGAAACAGACCAAAGGCCGAAAGCTCCTACCACTAGGTCGTACTTATCCCTAACCCTCCACTGAAGGATCCCCACCAGCTGCGTCATAGGGCGTCCGCTATCCGAGTCCTGAGTCCTTGCCTTTTTTTTTTTTTCGGTATAGATGGTTTGATGGATTAAAAAGCCGGAGGTATGAGCGCACACAGCCTATGATGGTGTATATGATCAAGCTGTAAAAATAACATTTGAAAGTTGAACTCAAGCTACACTCAGGCTGTCCCAAGCTCCTCTGTGTATGACCTTGAATTCCCTAGTTGAATTGCGGGATGATGAGGGCGGGGAGGATCTGCATCCCCCCCCCCTCACCTTGCTTTTCCCTCAAACAAATAAGCGCGGTACTGGAAAACACCTCCTATAGGGATGAGTTCATGAAGGGGGTATTCCTGGCATATACTACTTATCCTTGTCCTGTTATTGATTGATAAACCTTGTGATGATCAGTATTATACTATGTACACCTAGGCACATTGTATAACTCGGATTTATTCTCTCGGAGTACTCCATACAGTAATGCGATACATCTCTATACTTTTCTCCATATTTTCATATTCCCCCCCCCCCCCCCCCCAGCTCCCCCAAACTGCACGGTCTGACGGGTATTTTCTCCATACTACCATGTCGATCTAATTTGTAGGTCATCTGCAAGCTGCGGTGAAGCTGTGCCACGATCTGCAGCCATGCAGCCGACTCGCCGTCCTGCGACCTGTTCCGCATGATCAGTGCATAAGAAGCATTTATTAAGATATTCTGGAACAATGGTCACAGAGCCTGCATGGTCAATGGTGGCTAAAGTCAATCAAAGGGTGAAACTTGAAATAAAGTGGAAAATCCAGATGTCCCTTTATCACCGTTATTGGTGTCTGTTCATCAATGCATGTGTAGCATTCGTATGTACTGAATACTCTCATTGATGGCTAGCTCGTATAGGTCCAAGCCCAAGTGGAGAGAAACCTCTGCAGTTCTGCCTTAAAAGCAGGTTTCGTGTCAAAAGTTGAAAGATTAGAAATCTTACAAAGCTACATACATGTGATATTATCACTCCTCATAATAGCAGTAAATACCTCATCGGGTACCTCATCGGGGAAATGGGGAGCACACGGGTGCTAATTAGCCGTAAAAGGCAGCTGTTCACTATTTTGGACTGTCATCGGAAAAGAACGGTGAACAACCTGACCCGGTGAGCATTTAGGGCGCATGAGCTCATGGTATACTCTGGGCTGCTTACAAGAGATGAAATATTCAAAGGGAATAGCATTCTCGACACGAAAATGATAAGTGGGCAATGAAAGGTCTAGAATGCTGAAGAAAACAACATAAAAATGGGGGATTGGTGAATCAGAATGTGTTGTGATAGAGTGTGACAGAAGGATGGCAAAAGGATCAGCATATGATGTCATTTTTTATTTCAGTGAGGGGAAGGTCCCAAAATGGCCATATAGGGTTTAGGGCCAAAATTGCCTGAGGGCTGAGGCTCTAAGGTGGCTTAGGTGCCTGAGGCTGAAATTGAAGTATATACATCACGTGAGGCTATTCACTCCATATCACGTGGGTTCGGAAGTCGGAAAATGGCTAATCCGCATATAGCAAAACAGCTTCAGATGTCTTTGATGTCTGTCTCTCTCTATAGCGTCAAATCTAATATCCTTGTGGCCATGCCTCGAAAGTTGAGGGCTGCCGCGCAAGCGGCTGCCAAGTCAATGCGTACGTGACCCCTCACTTTCTTCCCCTCCTCCAATTCCTCCCCCCACCTTCTTTTCCACAGCTACCCTTGTTCGGAGTTCCTTGGACGCGTCGCAATTACTGACCCTCGAACCTCAGGTAATGCGCCGCAAATCCCTGACATTTCTGATGACGAAATGGTAGATGCGCCTCCGTCTCAACCATCGTCTCCAATTCCAGACTACAACGACTCACCCGAGAACGACCCGGACGTGGAACCAGAGGCAATCAGCGACGCTGAACCTGACGCCGACGCCAATGCCGCCACTCCTGGGGATTCCAAGACTGACGAAGCAGGTGCAGCCACGACTCCAGCCCCGGAGGATTCTGTACTGTTGGAAGCCGGAGACGGTTCACCCTCTTTTAATGGCGGGCGTCAGTCAGCCATTCCGCGCAAACGTCGTATCGGCCGTCCCCCCAAAAACCGTCCCCCAGACTGGGACGCGAGCGGACCTGATACTCCGAATCGCGTTTCTACTCCTGTAAAGCGTCGTCGAGGTCGTCCTGCCGCCAGTGGAGGCCGTTGGGCGCGTAACCGGGGCCCGTCTCATTTGACTCAGGTACCCGTTGACAAAGAAGGAAACATGATGGATGTAATCAACGACGAAGTCTCTCTCCCCCCTAACCCTCAAGGTGTCACCAAAGTCGATGACAACGGTCATTTGCTCGAAGGGCGCGAATACCGAGTTCGTACATTTACCATTCAAAACCGCGGTGACCGACTCTACATGTTGTCGACGGAACCAGCTCGATGCATTGGTTTCCGTGACTCTTACCTTTTCTTCCAAAAGCACAAGATGCTTTACAAAATTATCATTGATGACGATGCGAAGCGTGACTTGATTGAACGAGACATCATCCCCCACTCCTACAAAGGTCGAGCTATTGGTGTTGTGACCGCGCGCTCTGTTTTCCGTGAGTTCGGTGCCAAGATTGTCGTCGGCGGCAAGAAGATTCTCGATGACTACGATGAGGATGTTGCTCATGAGCGAGGCGACGTGGAGGGCGAATTGGCTGTTCCCGAGGATAAGCTTCCTGGCCCAGGAGAAGAGTACAACCGAAACCAATATGTTGCTTGGCACGGTGCCAGCAGTGTCTACCATACGGGTGCTCCTTCGGTCCCAATGGTTGGTGGAAAGCCCGCTGATCCCAAAAAGCGTCGTGTGCCAATTACGGATGAGAATTGGAAAATTGACCATGCTCGCGCTGCAACGTAAGACGAAAATTCAATCCGATATCAAAACCACATAAGACTTATATACTGACCATTGATACAGTTCATTCAACTCTCGCTTGAGTCAAATGCGGAAGACCAACATGGGAGGCGTGTATGAGGTCCACACCAATGTCATGCAATATCCTCAGATTACGCAGCCTACTCACGTCCGCTACGAACATGTCCCACCACCCTCCATCGACCCACGAGAGAATCTGATGGGCGGCCTCTCCTCTCTGAACCTCGCACCCGGTCCCTCCACGACCGAGGATGCAGGTTCATCCTCGACCATTCCTTCCGACACGACCTCACCTCCCATCTTCCCGCCCGTCCCCAAGTCCGTTTCGGACAACTATATGGTCCAGGACATCATTTTCGAGGCCCCTCCATACTCAAACATGGGTATTCCAGGTCCAGCTGGGGACTTGGCCGCTTATCCCCGCCCTAACGGGCTTACCAGCTTCGGGGCTTCCCACCCCGAATTCATGACCCCAGAGGTCCTGGCCTCCCTTCCCCAGACAGCAAGAAGGCCCTCGAAGAGGCCCAAGCTGCTGAGTTGGAGTGGAAGCAGCGCTGGTCCACTGAAGCAGAGGACGGCGCACGGTCGGAGATGGTCAAGAGTTTTGCGTGGTACCCTTAAGCTGAACTCTCAGTTCTGCTTGGTTGAGTGAAGACGATTTACCCCGTTTGCCACTTACTTGACGACCTCCCTTCACGGATTTATGGCGGTGTTTTTTTCTTTCTTTTTTTCAATTCCTATTTCTCTTATTTTTACTTCCTATTCTCACTTCTTATCTTCCCTTTTTATTCATCTTCGGATGAGCTTCTCTCGCGATCTGTTTGTTTATTTGTTGTATTTTCTATTTTGTTTTCTTTGTCATGGCGTACTCGGTTTAGCATGGGTATGGGGGTTATGGCGGGTTTAAGCCATGGTGTTTTATTCCTTTTTTCTCTTAGTTTTTTTTTCTACCTCCACTAGGGAGGTAGCTTCTGCTCCATAATGGAGAAAATTTTCATTCATTAAACTCCAAATATCCTATTAAACACTCCATGATGGATACTGAAAGGAATCGGAGAACTGCCGGATGTTGAAAGATATGAGTCCCAATACTAAACTCATTAGTTCAGGTACTCCAGTTACATAATAGACAAAAGGCACTGAAGATAGTCTAGCAGATTCATTGTCCATGGACAAAAAAAGCAAATTGAGGAGAAGACTTAAGTAGAGCAACATGAAAAGAACAGAACCCATATTTAGGTGTATAGAGAGAGAGAACTAGCGCCGAGACATTCAAAGAAACAGAGGCTTGCTTGTAGGGAGAAAAGAAATAAGACATCCAATGCTGAGGGAGAGGTCAAGTTGGGCGATGGAATGGGGATGATAATGAGCCCGCCCAAAACCAGAGACAGAAATCAGGTATGCGACATGAAGATGAAAAAGAGAATTAGTAGAGGGTCAAGAGAAAATTAGATGGCCATTTCGGCACGCAACTTGGCCAGCTCTGCCTCTTCGTCGTCTTCCTCGACTGCTGGTGTCTTGTCTTTGCTTACTGGATGTAGTTAGCGATGTGTAGAGAGAGATAGGTGAAGCAAGAGCCTCTATCGGCGAAGACTTACAATCCGAAGTTCCAACAGCGGGTAAACGGTCCAGTTGGGCATTAACTGGGACAGGACCGGTATTGAGCATCCGCTCGTCCATAGCCTCCTGCTCCAGTCCCTCCAACTCGGCCTCCAACTCGTCCTCGTCGGCCTGCTCGCCAATCGGGACAGAGACAATCGCGGCGCCGATATCGTCTGCGAGCTGGTGTTGTTCCCGGAGTATGTCCCTACAGGAGAATTTATCAGTACCAAACCACAGAGAAAATCCAAAGAATAAAGACCCGAGTCCAGAGGTCCCGTAGTGATGTCAAGCACATACATAGTCTCATCAACCTTATCAATGCTCATTCCACCATGAATCTGCTCCATAGCCGCACCAGCCTGTTTCATCGCCTGCAGTGTCTCGTGATTGATATTCGCCGCTTCGATCGAGTATACTTGTTGTTCAAGCTGCATGATCTGTGCGGATGTCTGCTCAAGGTTCTTCTCGAGGCCCTTCTTCCGTCGGAGTGCGGCCTTCGCAGCTAATGGTGGCGTGACGAGTTAGAAAATCCGAACACTCTTATCTTTCCGTTTTATAGACCGGGTAAGACTAGACCATACCGTTCTTATTTGTGTTGACGTGCTTTCGTGCAGCGGCATCTTGTTCCGCAATCTGGGCCTCAAGGTGCTTCTCTCGCTTCTGTAGCATGTCCAGCTGTCCGCGCAGCATCAAGATAGCGTTCTTGGGCGCATCCTTGCGTTTCTGAGCGGCTGCGCCGCCGAACCAGGACCACATTGTTATGGTGATTGAAGGAGAGAATGGGTAATATGTTGCTTGGATTTGAGGGAATCAGGCAGCACTGATACCGGGCGGTTTTATCGAGGTACACCAGTAAGTATCGCAGTCAGACGGAGGCGGAGGCGGTAGATATGTTTTGTAGGCAACCAGCAAAACGTGAGATTAAATGACGCCGAGACGGAATCAAAGAGAAAAAAGAGGGTGGAATCAAAATTAAGTAGGCTGAATCCGTGCTTCGAGGGTTAGGTCAGATTGGGGACTGGGAAATTCGGCGATCGTAGTCTTGTGATGAAGTCCGAGAAATGGAGGGGAGTGGACTTTCCCCTCGCTGCGCCTATGACATACGCGGAGTCACGTGCTTGATTCATATACCAGTTGACAGAGCGATTTCAAGCTTCCTCTTGTCTTCATCCCAGGGATGAACGGGCCGCCTCCCTCGACTCGCGCTTTCTTGTGCGATCTGCAATGTTTACCTGCAGATTCAAAGATTCGATTTCTTGGATGGTGAGTTTTATTGGAGGTTCTCGCCCAGATGATGATATGGTATACATATCATCTAGTATACTATAGAGTTCCTCACAATTTTAATAGTGTCAGACAGTATAATGTCACGTTGGGCCACCTGATTTTGGAGCACAATTATCCACGCAGCAAGACTGAGGCGAGCTCAGTCTCTGTGGATATTAATGCTGTTCTAGAAACCTTAACGGCGGAGGATCTGCGTGTTGGCACATGGTTGAATGTGCTAGGCTATGTTCGAGACTCCACTACGCCAGAACAGTCTTTTTCCTCGAGCGACCGGGGCTCCCAGCCATCAATTGCTCAATCCTCTCCCGCGCAACCTATGAAGATTCCACCTCGTCCTGTTTACGTGGATGCTATCATGGTTTTCCCAGCAGGGGCAATTGCTTTGGGTGAATACGAGCGTATTCTTCAGAATGTTCAAGACGTGGAAAGCCGAATCCACTATCTGGGATGAACAAAAGACTCGGAAATGCCAGGATTTTTGTCTCGCAAGAAAAAGTCACTACTAGTCCTGCATTATATACCCCATCTACGGCCTCCTACAAGGACTCGAATGATTGTCCTCAAGTTGAAAGAAACAATGATCAATTACATTAATGCGTCACTTATGTATATCTTTTTAGGTCGTTCAAATCAATCAGTCATGACTGCAACAAAACTTTTGTAAACACCTCCAATGCTCCAGGGTATCCATTTCAATGAGAGCAATCCATCAACCAACCTAGACAGCCTCCTCCGGCTTCACTTGAACATTAGCCCGTCCACCAGCTCTCTTCCCCTCCAACTTCTTCTTTTCCTCCTGAAGACGCATAATCATCTTACTGTTCTCCCGAATCTTATGACCATACTTGTAGAAAACAAACGGAATCGGCACAATAGCCACTTCCAGTAATCCAAGCAAGGTACCCGACCAATTCGAACCAAGGTTATTGTACATATACGTACCCGCGATAGGCATAACACCACCAAGGATACTCCTCACAACTGAGTTCCCAGCAAGTGCAGACGCAGCGTACATGCCATAGCTACCGGTAAGATAGTTCGAAGCGTAGATGAAAACACCCGTGTTTCCAGCGCCGAAGGGAATACCTGCGAGGATGGGGACGATCCAGTGGATTGAGGTTGGCACACAAGTCCAGGCAAACCAGAGTTCACCGATAGGAATGAGGATTGAGCAAATGCAAATAAAGGAGACTGCAGCTTCCGGATAGACTTTTCCTGTCTCGGGATCGATTGGGTGTCTGTTAATTAGACGGCGGATGAGTGGTTCGCAGCCGATGGTTATAAGGACGCCCAGTCCGATGCCTAGGAATGAGAGTCCTGACATGCCGAGGCCCCAGCCGCGGTCATCTTCGAATACGACGGGGTAGGCGACGAAACAGAGGTAGAGGATACCGTAGACGATGGCAACGTAGATATCCCAGAAGATACTGTGGAATATTAGCAAGCATTCATTTTAATGATTGTGGTGAAGGGGTGTAGTGAGATATCTTACCAGATAGGTTCGGTGACGGCCATGACGAAGGGTCGACTAAGACTTAGCTTCAGGATCTCGTATAGACTATCCTTTCGATCGAAGCGGGACCACCAGCGGGAATCACCGGTCTCCTTGCGGATTCGCGATGATTTCTTTTGCAGTAGTGTTGGACCATATGTTTCCTCTAGAATCAGAGCAAACACCAATCCCACACCGGAGAGAATGAGACAAATCCAACACATCCAGCGCCAGCCTAGGTACTGTGTGACAAAGTTTCCAATAACGGGACCCAGAACTGAGTGACTCAACTGTTAGCAATGAGTGGAAAATACAGAAGAATGGAGAACTAACCAGGTCCATTAAGAGGACCAATACTCCAAATTGAGATAGCCAAAGCACGGTGCTCATCATCCACCAAATCAGCAACCATACCTGGTGCAGTGGAGATCATCACACTTCCAAATAGAGCACCGACAAAACGAACAACGATCAAAGCTGTGATCGATTTGGCGAGGGCACAGGGGATAATCAATACGGTAAAGAGGGCCATGCAACCTACACAGACAGGTTTGCGGCCGTAGACCTCACTCAATGGGGCCATGAACATGGAACCAATGGCAAGACCAAATAGATAGAAGGTTAGACCCAGAGTGACAATAGTCTCAGTCTCGTCGAATTCATTCATCATTTCAGTTGTTGCAGAAGTATAAGCTGTGGAGTATAAGACACTATATGATATTAGACCGAGATTCAACAGGTCATGTCTTATGCAGTGCCAGCACTTACACAATCAGAGTATTCCATGACAAGAACAGAATTCCCATAGCCTTGTATCCAATAGACCAATTCTTAGGATTCTGAGGATCGTCTTCGTCTTCCCAGTCAATCTCGAAATTAGGATCAGAGGTAACATTGGTTGGAATAGTAGTCACACGCTCGGCGAGTGACATATGGCCCGAAGCCCGCGAAGCATGGGCAGTCAAAGTTTTATCCAAGGCATCATGATCAGCCTGAGTATCTACCGAAGAAACAGTCTCGGCGATGGAGTCAGTATCTTGATTATGATTTTGAGGCCATTTCTCCTGGGTCGAAGAGTGCGACGACATCGCATCTACTTCAAAGGGAGGAATTGAAGAGATGATAAGGTTCAAGTTCGGTAAAGGCTTGAACTTAAGATTAGAGGGCGTTTGATATATGAAATTCTCAGGCTGGAAGTATTCCAAAGTATTATAAAGATCTGAATTCAAGATCCGATAAGGTTCTCATCTAGTAGTCAGACCTAACAGGAATGGAAACGCGGGTATAAAATTCAAGTTGATAAGAAACGGGTATCAACGGTGATTTCTACCCTCAAGGCTTAGAAATTTTTTTAAAAAAACGTCGCGATCAAGTGGGGCGCCGGTGATCAGCCTAATTTCGTGCTTTTGAGCGTTAGGGGTCAAGTACTAGATGAATTTTGGAAATGAGACCGAAGACAGCAGAGCTTTCGTCTTCAAGTTCTACGTATATCAAGGATTCTAGGCACCCTTATGTGTTTTGTCCCAATCTTAGTCCCTGGATTTGTTCCGCGCTCACTCTATCAGATCTCCAGTATGGGTTAGGCGACATACTCCATGAATTGGGCTTCCAGGCCCCTATCTTCTCCGAATATTGTGGGAACATCTCTTCGGGAGGGTCTGGATTAGCGTGCCGGTTTGCCGAGATACGCAATCTTTATGTGTAGTCGCGTCGAACGGACCAACAAGAGACTGCCATTTAACCCCAAACCCCAGCAAGAAGTAGTGGGGGTCGGGATTCTTTGCGAACTCATGCAATTGAGATCAATGTACATATACATGTACATGTAGAGCCCATCAGTCAATTGTGCCAGGAACTTGAACATTCAAGTTCTCCTTGAATGTTCTCGGAAAAGTAAACATCCCGATGAATATGAAACTGGGTCCACAGATGCCGATAACTGATTCCGAGAGAATAAAGCCGATGATTTGGACATTTTGACAAAAACGTGGAACGGAATGTATTCCGCGAAGATTCCGTTAAAGATTCCAATCCTTCAAATTGGAGAGGAATTTCGCAAGTCTCACCTCAAATTGAACTAGTGTCTCGGGAGGAGACGAGGCCCATCCGCCCGTTAAAAAGGTGGGCCAACCCGCAAGCGAAACCCGCAACTTTGGAAGCGAAACAGAAAATCTGAAACTTCGGGGAAATAAGGGAGTTCTCCTTAGACACCTCATCGATCAGGAGTCTATCCTCGTCATGGCTTTCCTGATTTGAGATCGTTTAAGTTGGACGCGAGGCTCTTGGACCAACCATGGGGCGCAGTGGCACTCGTTTAGAAATAACCGAGCCGTCTAAGCTCTAAGCGACGATGCAGTTGTATTGTTGGGGGAAAAAGGATCTGTAATGTGATATCTTTTAATAATGAGATTCGCTCTGAAAGAATAGAAAATAGAAAATCCCTTTTCCTCAATGAATTTTGATGTTCTCACTTTCTTTGATAAGTTAAGAGGTGGTTGATTTACCAAACGCCGCAAAGCCACTCGGAGAATTCTTTGCATAAACATTGAGATCCAGATGGTCTAAGCTCCACAGGTTATTTGTGATACCATTCCAAGGTTCGGTACTTATTTGAGAGGGGGGAAAACTACCACTTCTACCTATTTCAAGTTCTACTTCTCAGTTCTACTTCTGAGTTAACGGTCATGACTTACATAGTTGTCTCTGCCGCTCTGGGCTTGGCGGCCTTGTACTTGTATCATGTCAACTCTGCCATGAAGAGGATCCCAGAGGAAGCTCAAAAGTTGTCTCCTCGCCGATGGACCCCTGAACAAGTCAAGGCAGCTTATCAAAAAGTCGTTGAGAATCCAATCGATGTGAACAAGAGCATCCCACCAAAACAATCTCGTCGATATGTGGTAGTGGGTGGATCCGGTCAGTACTATTCAAATGAGGCAACAACATCCCTCAGAATGTCAACTAACATCATTCCTACAGGTCTCGTGGGAGGATGGATGGTTCAACATCTTTTGGCTCGCGGTGAAAGTCCCTCTGCAATTCGCATTCTAGATCTCCTCTGCCCAACAAAAGAAATCCTGGATCTAGGCGTGAACTACATCAAAATCAACATTACCGATGAGCTAGCAGTGGACACAGCATTTGACCAACCATGGCCAGAATCCGTCGCCCAGCTTCCATTGTCCGTCTTCCATACAGCAGCCATCATCCGGCCACAAGATCGCATGAAGATGCTCTTGTTCCTCCATACCAAGGTTAACGTGGACGGTACGCGAAACGTCATGAATGCGGCAAAGAGAAACGGTGCAAGCTGCTTTATCTCGACATCATCCGGTTCGACTCTTCTTCACTCTCTAAAATTCTGGATTCCGCCTTGGGTCAATGTTCCCGGACGTGCGGTACAGCTTCTCAGTGATAGCTCGCCTGCCCCAGAGAAACATGAGGATTTCTTTGGCAATTACTCAGTTAGCAAATTGGAAGCAGAACGTCTTGTTCGTTCCGCAGATGATCTTTCTTCGAACTTTCGGACCGGTTGTATTCGGCCTGCGAATGGAATTTATGGAATTGGATGCGATGCTGCTATGACTATTACGGGTATTTACCTGCGACGGGGTACAAGTCCATCGTGAGTATCGGATTTCATTCGTTTTGAAATATTGAGCTTGACTAATGACTACTAGATGGCTGCACCACATCATCCAAAGCTTCGTTAATGCAGAGAATGTCTCAATCGCCCACCTTCTCTACGAACAACGCTTAATAGAGCAGAGTCAACCTGGATCCACAATGCCCAACATTGGAGGCCAAGCATTCATCGTCACAGACCCTAATCCTGCAATCTCATTCGGCGACATGTACATGCTTCTCAGCACCCTCTCCAAGACACCGACCAGCTTCCCGCCTATTCAGCCTGGCCCCATGCTCATCATGTCTCATGTCCTGGAAGTCTACTCGTACATCCAGTTCAAGTTTCTTCCTTGGCTCTTACCCCCGATTTCGGGCGACTTGGCGCAGATTCAACCGTCCCTTTTCAATATTTCTGATGCATTTTTCATTGCGGATGATGCCCGAGCTAGAAAGTCGCCTGAGCAGGGTGGTTTGGGGTACAATGCTCCTATGACCACTATGGAGGGCATGTGTAAGCAGCTGGTGGATTGGAATAAGAAGGTTGATATGGATGGCGTCGTTGTTGAGGAGAAGGTGGGACCCCTGCGAGTCACTGAGGAAGGGGTTGATGTTAATGTGGTTGCGCCGGTGAAGAAAATTTGATGGTCGGAAAGAGTGGATTGATGCCTCTGATGGCATCTCTACATGATTGCACGTTTTTATATTAATAGCATAGCTTAGCGCAGGACTTAGCGTAGGGAATATCATGCTTTATTCTATTGATTGGTTGAGTTTATGGAAACGGCGGGGTATATGTCAGATGTGGGAATAACTTTGTATTGGCATTACATAGAAGGCTAATATTGAAGAGCCGGATATGAACGAGGCTCTCGTATAATGGAAGAAATTTTGCCTATCTTTTCTTCCAAGAGTGTGGGGATCAAAGCACCAGCTCGCCGGAGGTGAATGATAGTCATGTTGTGTCGTCCCGCGACACTTGCATGCCAGTCCTGGACAGATCACAGAGCGTCTGACATTTATGATGCAACTCAGATGACGCAATGCTGCTTGCAGAATGTACTGGGGTTGAGTTTCTTCGAGCTCAAGAAGATCACAGGGAATCCAGTCAACAAGGTCGCGATGGAGCTTTGAGACTCTGTAACAGTGCGAAGTTCGCATATGAAGCTAGAAAATTGGAGTTCTCAGCGCGATTGCTGCTGCGCGGTCTGTCGTCGGTGTTCCAAAATCTGCATGCGCAGACCCTCAGATGCCAACTCCACATCCAAAATGGCACCAACACCGCGCTTCCACGTATCCTCCAGACTTGACAACTCGCCATATCTGGCCTCTTGTGCAATTTTACGTTGCTTATTCACCTCCTCCGCAGCCTCCTTAGTTTCCGCCAGCTCCTTCTCAAGGCCATGTAGGATATACTCGAGCTGCGAGTTACCAATCAACCACGCGTTCTTGCCGTTTTCATCGAGCAGAGTAAGATTCTCATGGCGCTTGGAGAGATGAGAGCTGGACTTGTAGGCTTTTTGTAAAGCCTGACGCCATTCGTCTAGATTGGGGGTTTCGCCGGCTGCGGCACGAGTAGGAGGTTCGGGTGCTTCGTAACGAGTGAGATCGATTCCACCAGTGAGAGGCGCGCCATTCGCCTTGCGCTCCAATTCTTGTTGAATGAGAGAGGAGAAACTTGATTCTGGAGCTGGAGGAATGGAGGGATGAATAGTTGTCGCGTGTTCGGCGGACAATTCGGCGTTGATGAGCTGCTGGGCTCGCTGGCGCGCAACGGCTGAAGGTTCAGCGTCGACGTCTGAGAATTATTAGTGGTGTGGATACGGATTTTGAGTATGGCGCATAGCTTACAAGGTAGAGAGTCGTGAGATTCGTTAATAAGAGGCATTTTGACGGGGTTGAAGACAGAGATTCAATATTGAAACTCGAAACTTCATTAAGCAACGGAGAGCGGTGTGGGGACATCAGGTGATATACCCATTCAACTCAACCAATAGGATGCACGGGACTATGAACACTCTTACTCTTCTTACTATTGGTGATTTCCCTGCAGCTAATTCCCACTCATGTAGGGTCTACATGGGTTAAAGTTGGATCTAACAAATAGGACCAGATAATATGATGGCAGTGCCAATCATGGCCTGAACAAGAAATTTGCAGGGTCCTATGCACTGGGGCAGGTAAAAGCTCCGAGGTTACTATGTGTGACATCAGCGACATTAAACAGTATATACTACCAAGTAGCATTTGGGCAGCATTTGTCTTTCACAAGCTACTACTACCCGAGTCCTAGAAGTTATGGTGCTCCGTATGGAACTTGAAGGAACTTTGGAGAGAGATATGGAGAGCATTCGGACCACTCTCCGCACCATAAGCAGTCATCTATATCATTGAAAGAGACAAAGAAACTTGAAATATCACCTGGGCACACGACCAAGGGCCCGGGAATCTCCTTCAACTTACTAAAAGTGGTTCAAGTTGAAGTATATAGATCGGATGTATATTCATCTCCGTGCGGGGAAAACCTTGGAAGGTCCGCTCTTTCCTATTTGGGTTTCGGAACATTAGATTTTGATCACTTGAACCCTGCAGCTTTCTTGTTCGTCACAAGCCCCCATCTCACATCGCTAAGGAGGCGACGTGGTTACTCTGCCAAGCCAAGGGGAAGAGCTTCACTGAAAGGATTTCTCTTCTGGTAGTGGATTGATCCCAGGCCGTTAAATACCTCCCGCGGTTCCATGTGAGACCTCGTACTCTCTACCAGGGATTGCTCTGGTCATAACATTCAGTTCTGTTGATTTCTCGATCAACGCCATGGTGAACCTACGATTCGGCACAGCCCTTGCTGCAGTCGTCCTAACACTTCTTGTCTTCCTGCAACTACTGGCTATAGTTCAGCACAATGAACAAGTCCCGGAATTCAGCTTTACTCAGAACTTCAACCAGTGGAGAAGTCGGGCTAATACTGCCGCAACTAGCGATGGTCTATTTCTAGTGGGCGCTGGAAAGGCCGACGTTACAGGGTATAGTATATCTCTTTCCAGCTCTTCTCTATGTCAGTGGTCATGAATTAACTGATCACTCAGACCTGTAGTTGAGGTTGATTTTAATGGCTACGCTAGCCTCAATCAACTGGGCACGGGTCTGCAACAAAGAATTTACTCGCGCGCATTCATCTTTGCAGACCCAAATAACCAAAATGATACCTTCATTTACTTGGTTCTTGATACTCTCGCCGGTGATACCGCGGTGCGACACGGAGTCTTGCAGGGACTCGCCGCACTTGGCAATGACTACGCCCGATATGGCAAACACAACATCGCTTTAACAGGAACACACTCTCATTCTGGACCGGGTGCATGGATGAACTACCTTTTGCCTCAGATTCCGACCAAAGGATTCAATAAACAGAGCTATCAGGCAATTGTGGATGGTTCAGTCCTATCAATCCAACGTGCTCATGGGAATCTCGCTCTGGGACGTCTTTCATTTGGCTCTATCGAGCTAGAGGAGGCCAACATCAATCGTAGTCCATATTCATATGACAAGAACCCGGAAGAAGAAAAGGCACGTTATTCGACAAATGTGGACAAGACGATGACATTGCTTCGTTTCGACCGTCAGTCCGATAATAAGACTTCCGCTGTCCTGACTTGGTTTCCTGTCCATGGAACATCTATGTATAACAACAATACTTTGGTGACAGGAGACAACAAAGGAGTTGCCGCCTATCTCTTTGAGCGGAGCATTAGTGGGGACCCTAGGTTCGCGGATGATGTGGTCATCGGTTTCTCTCAGTCGAATGTCGGAGACACAAGCCCCAACATCTTGGGTGCCTGGTGCGAGGATGGTTCTGGACAAATGTGCTCATACAAGGATAGTACTTGTGGTGGCACAAATGAGAACTGTCACGGCAGGGGTCCTTTCTTTCGCGTCAAGGACAACGGAGCCAAAAGTTGTTTTGAAATCGGCCGGCGTCAATACTCGGCGGCTAAAACACTCTACAACCAGATGAGCTCTAACTCATCAATCATCGCAGGTGACTCAAGCGTGAAGTCTTTTCATGTGTTCAAGGATTTGAATGGTTACACTTTTCCATCTCCGTTCAACGGCAGTACATTGAAAACATGTCCTGCAGCACTGGGATATTCATTCGCGGCTGGAACTACAGACGGACCAGGTGCATTTGATTTTACACAGAATGCGACCGGTCCTGCCACTGGTAACCCTCTTTGGAAGGTTGCTCGGGCGTTTATTCATCAGCCCAGTGAAGAGCAGCAAGAGTGTCAAGGTGCCAAGGATATTTTATTGGACGTTGGGACCCTCACATTACCATATTCCTGGGCTCCAGATATCGTCGACATTCAGCTACTTCGAGTGGGTCAACTGCTTATCATTGTCTCAACCAGTGAAGCCACAACGATGTCAGGTCGTCGTTGGAAAGAAGCGATCGCGCAAGGTGTTCAAGACAAGTTGGGAATATCAGATCCTCAGGTAGTGCTAGGAGCCCCATCAAACAGCTATGCTCACTATGTTACGACCGAAGAAGAATACAATGTTCAGCGCTACGAGGGAGCATCGACATTGTATGGACCCAACGAGCTTGCGGCGTACATCAATCTGACTCTGACATATCTCCCATACCTTGGTAGCGCCCGGGATATTGGTAATCTCCCGTCTATCCCGACCGGCCCCAGTCCCCCGGTCAATACCAATAATTCGCTAAGCTTTATAACCGGGGTTGTCTATGATAATTCTCCTATTGGAACTTCTTTTGGCGACGTAATCTCCAACCCTGTCAATAAAACTTATGTGCCTGGAGATATAGTTAACACGACATTCATTGGTGCTAATCCCAGAAACGATCTCCACCAGGAATCCACCTATGCCGCCATCGAAAGACAGGTTCCAAGCTCCGGCGAATGGGAGGTCGTGCGCGATGATCGCGACTGGAATCTCCTTTTTCTATGGGATCGAACCAGTGAAGTCCTCGGGTATAGCCATGTTACTATCCAGTGGATGATCGAGGACGACTACTATAGTGTTGGCAATCCAAACCCCCTCCAAGCTGGAACTTATCGCATGCACTACTACGGAGACTCAAAGAATGCTTTGGGAAATATTTCACCCTTTGAGGGTATCGGGGGGAACTTCACGGTGGCGTTGTCATAATCATGGATTTTATTGAGTCAAGGACCCGGTAGCCCAAGTGGCGTCATATTTGAAACGAACCGCGAGAATTATTATAGTATACTACTTAGTATGATACTTGACACCTGTTAACCCCGACTTAAAAATGAGTTCAGAGTTTCTCGAAGGATTGAGAATATCACTTTATTTAGTTCCAATTCACCAATCATCGTGATCATCTCACTCGTACATCCAAATGTGGATCCCATAGATCGCGATCACCATCAATCACGGAACTTGAAACCCTCGATCCGGGCGTTTACTGCAACACCACGTCTTTGCCTTACGCGCCCTTGTCAAAGAGCTATTCCTAGTTCGATATATGGGATATGCGATAGGGACTAAGACATCAAAACACAACTCCGACAATGGCGGTCTGGATTCTTGTGTTGTCAATGCCATAGCTTTCAAAGTTTAGAACTCATGGGGGCCTGAGCCATCCCCCGGCCCTTAATGGCTTGGGTTAATATGGGTAACAGGCCCAATATCTTGACGATGTCTACTACAGGATCTATTTGGTCTTGTATCTGCACTCTGTGCCGCCTACTTTCTTTGTCTTCATTTTTAGTGCGGTCATTCTTTTTCTATATACATCCCAAGCAAGTTGCTCTTTCATTCTCTTATGCAGAGTCATGGGAATCTATTAATGAGAATTCTGAGAATATCTCTTCCTTGTTATGCCTTTCTTTGCTCCGAACTGTTTTGTTTTACTGGCATTTCCTTGAATATCTACTGTTAACAGTTTCAAGTTACGGTCTCTACCTCGTTCCACTCCCAATCTGTCTCTTGGGTATTACCTCTGGCAGCCCTTCGATCCAAGTATACAGTGCAGATCGGCAGCATGCAGCTCACTCACTTCCTGTTTCTGCTTATATTTGCATGGACTTGCTCTGCAGGTCCAATCTCTCGCTCTATCGCTGCCGCAGTCGACTCTACTTCCGAAACATTACCAACCTCGATTACCATCAGCAGCAAGCCTGCAGTCGATGATGCGCTAACTGTCACTCCCGAAACTCCAACTGTAAGCTCTACGTCCGAAGCTGAGACACCATGGACAACAATAACGTCGACTATCTGGTGGTGGCAGGACCAGACCACCGAGTCAACACCAACATCTATGGAGTCTTCGGCTCTACAGACTTCTTCCTCCATACGTGGAGAGACATTTACTCCAACTCCAAACATTGAAAAGAACGCATACATGCCTGGCTCCAGCTCCTTCTTGAGTGACACGTCTGTTACTTCATCTACGGCCGTGGAGAGCTCTATAGCCGTCAATGACAAAGTAGTGAACCCAGTTATTGTAATTCCAACCTCATCGGATGATGAGAGCTGGTATTCGGAGATTTTACTCATAACGACGACTACAAATAAGGCTGAGATTACACTCATTACTACAACGACAACCAAAAGGACATCGAGTACTTCAACCACGGACCCTCTGCTGGCCATGACGACCACTACAACTGAAGCCCATGCTGAGGCCGACAAATCCACCAGTTCTTCTGATAGTGAGGAGCCTATTTTGCTCATCACGACTAACACTACAAAGAAAGCTCCTGCTAAGGCCGATCCATCTCCCAGCCCATCTACAAACGAAGAGCCCTTTTTTGTTGTGACTACCACTACTACAAAGAAAGCTCCTGCTATGGCCGATGCGTCTCCGAGTTCATCTTCAAGCGAGGGATTCTTTTTTGTTGTAACCACCACTACTCGAAATAGAGCCTCCACCAGGGAAACCATGATTCCAAAGTCTACATCACTTTTTTCGTCTCATATTTCAGATCAAAGTACAGCGTCAAAACCGTCAGCCGGGTCATCATCAAATACAGAGAAAAATGGTTACACAATTACATCGCCAGAGAAGCTCTATGTTGTTACTACGACCACAAAATCTCGAGGATTCACATCTTTCCCAGTTGTGAAAAAGTCTTCTACTGCAGTGCCCAAGTCGGTGGACACGTCGGGAACATCCCTTATCAAAGATCTTTACATAACGGGCAATACAGAGCAATTGTATTCGGCTGGTGCAACAACTCCATATTCCACAAAGACACTTGCCAGCTTTTCAGGTGCTGCACAATCACCCACCGCAGCGGCCGAATCCGTGAATACATCAGAAGCATCGCTTATTGGAGTCGTTTACGAGACAGCGGATACAGAAAATTTATATTCTGCAGGTAAAACAACGCCGTATGCAACAAAGACCATTTCCAGCTCTTCGGGTACGGCAAAATCATCCACGACATCCAATATTCTCACCAAGTTGACAGAGACTTCTACCAAGCTGAGTAGGATATCCTCCACAACAAAGTCAACTATAAAAGCTAAACCATCATCCACAGCTGCAGCTAAGGATGAAGAGACGGAAACAGTGACAATACATGCAACAAAGACGGAACAAGAAACAGTGACCCAGCCCGCAGTCACTGTCAAAGTCACTCAGACTGAAGCTCCAGTTACAGTTACTGATAGTGAATCCGCAAGTACCGTCACGAAGCCGGTAACATTCATCGTCATTGACTCGGCTGTTCCGATTGCCACATCAATCTTAGGAGCGGATGATAGTACAAGTACCACCTCGACCACTTCTTCTACATCCTCTACTACAGAGAAACCATCCTCCAGCTCAACGACTACTCATACGTCCACACCCGCTAAGATCGACGTAACTACTACGACTATGTTCACCTCCACCTCTACGACTGTCCTCGTTCATACGTCTACAGCGGTGCACATCTCCACAGCTATCCGAACTTCGACAACTGTGGAGACCCACACTTCGATACATACGTCTACAGCTGTTGTTACTTCAACGGCTGTTGTGACTTCCACTGTTACTACTACTGAGTCTAAAAGTGCGGCTACTGCCTCTACTTCGGATATTGGTGGTGGATTGAGTGTTATTCCTGTTACGCCGTCGACGAGTGAGACTGTTACTAAGACGGAAACTGTTACTGTTACAAAGGCTTCTACCACAGTTACTGATACAGTGACTACTACTGTGACAAAATGAGTATATTGGGTTTCTTTTGTCAGGATTTGATTACTTGGTTGTCAAGTTGCCAAAATTGAGATACCTATGCCAGTGTTTTCGTTTTAGGCACTCTTTCAAGTGATTACTTTGGTCTCATATCTTGTTTTTTTTTCTATAATAGTAACCTCGAATGCTTGATGTTAAAATGTATCTTGAAATTTTAAATCTATTTAGGTAAAGGGGAAAGCGACCTTGGGATTTATCCTTCTGAAAAACTTCCTTTCAAAAAACTGTTATTAGAATACAGTGAAGATTCAAACGATATGGCAAGTGAGAAGGAAAATAGTACCCTCAAATCCTCGCTTATTTCCCTATCTATTACTCTTACTTTTGGTACAAAAGCGTAGTAGAATAGGTTATTGATAAATGGGAGTGGGATATATGGAAGAGATGAGACGATTCGCGAAATATTAGAATTGAAACTAGAATACGGGTTGCGTCCGTCGAAATAGCAGTAGGAGAAATTATCCGTAGACCTGCTGACATCCGTAGTAGCCCAAAGTCTGTTCTAATCCCTGTTCGGTTTATTGAAACTGAATGGTGGAAAAGTCTCGGCTGATTTTGATGTCATGAGGCGGCTCAAGGCAGTGCCGCTGCTGCATCAAAATACCTCAAGAACCTCGCAGCAGCCTAGACACCCCTGCAAAATCTTCTTTTCTGAATGGTAAAAACATCAAGGCTGATTCAATCATCACAAAATGGGCCCAAGGCATCCCGGTAGCTATAGCAGCCTGCGCGAATTGGACTAGAGTTCTGATAAATGAGTTACCTTGAGAGGCTCTTAGACACTATCAATCGAACGCCCTCTCATGCATCTTAGCATCTATATGGCACAATTGCTATCAGTGCACTGTACATGTGAGAGAGAATTTGAGTCACAAATTGTCCAGCTGTTCTACATAGCCACCGACATGGAGACATTGGGCACTAGGAATGTGTTGGCAATGGGCCACAATTTTGTGGGATGATTGCAAAAGCCTCTTCGAGAGAGGATCATGCTAACCTTGGAAGTACTCCAGGAAAGTCCATAAATATGGCCTAAATTCCCCGTGAAGATCATATCATTGTACCAAGATTGGACATATTTATTCTTACTCAACTATAGCTCCATTCCTTTGTATCTTGTCTCTTGTCTCCTGTTTTGTGCCTCCAAGACCAATCAGGAATTTGCCTGGTAAGCTCATCATTTCCATAAAAAGGCATCCTTGCTCACAAATGTCAGACCTATAGTGACCATGTGCGAGCTATTTCTTGCCCAGGTCGAACATCTTTGCGGACACTGTGTCTAAAACCCAGGAGTGCTCAAGGAGTACAATGGCTGCGGGAAATGCGGCATCGTCATGAAGGAGACCTGGATGGGAAAGACTAAGAAGAAGACGCCGTGTCCTGACTGTACCGCCGATGGCATTTGGGTGAAGAAAGACGGCAAGTGGAAGAGGGCTTCGTCGACCTAGCCGATCTATAGGAACTTGGATGTCAATAAGAGGTCGCTCCCAGATTGACATGCATCTTACCTTAGGCTTCTGCATGTTTTGGTGGGGAGGAGGATGGACGAGGGGGAAACACTGCGAGGGGGAATTCCAATCATTCACAGGAGAGGTGTCTATCTCAATCATTTTCTTATGTATATTTGCTATTATTTACATATTGGAATGAAATTTCATCCTTACAAGCCTGATCCGATTTGTAGCGTAATGAGAACATTAAAACTTACGATAAAGCTATTAGCACCTGGTTCTCTCAATTCTTATCCTGCTCCTTTTGTCTAAAAAAGAGAGCAATGAAATGCAAGGCTGCTTGTATCTCCAGAATCGGACTTGCATGCTACAAGCCAATTAGAAATCGGTGATCACGGCCCTTGCGTCCGCTGAGCCTCATTTCCCCCTCTTTACACCCTCTTTCCCCTGAATACTCCATTTTGCCCCCAGATATTTCTCTCTTACTTCATTCTTCTTATCATGGATATTCGAAGTCAATTCCCTCACGTGCGTTGGATTTGGGAGGGAGGTATCTCCTTTATTTACGAGGTCCACCCTCGCATTGTGGTCAAGATCCCTCAACAGGAAGAATCAGAACGAGAGCAGTTCCAAACAGAACTCGAGATATACAGGGTATTCTCACAGAGCCCACTATGCCCATATATCGTTCAATGTTATCTCTTGGCAGAGACTGGTATCTTCATGGAGTACATGAGAGGTGAATCCAAACTGCTGACACTTAGGTATTTTTGGGAGTACTAATAACATCAATAGACGCGAACCTCTCATGGAGAATTCAGCAAAACCATATTTGAGATCAAAAAATGAGTAGTCACAAAGGTTCAAAAGCTGGAACCTCTGCTCTTGCGACTGGAATGGATGAATGATCTTACGCAAGCTGTCGCTTTCCTGGAATCGCTAAATCTCGCTCATGGTGACCTACGACCCAAAAATGTCCTGCTTGATTGAAACAAATTGAAACTATCCAACTTCGACTGTACAGCTGAGATCGGAACAGAATGGGAAGTGTGTCAAGAGCCATATGGCAGATGCCTCAATAGCAGCGAGGCAGAGCTGGGCGAATGTGGAACTGCCAGATTCTTAGGTCCTTGAACAGAGCAGTTTGCCCTGGGCTCATTGTACTATTACATGAACTATGGCTTTGAGGTCTATGGAGATCAACTTCTCGCCGAGAGTTGGAGAGCACAGTCGCTTGCGCTCTATGAGTTACTTATGAATATGAAGTTCCTGACACTAGATGGAAATCCACTGATTGACAGCACTATCAAGAAATGCTGGCATAATGGATATGATACGATTTTGGAATTGGCTGTGGACACAAAGAAGCTTTTGGGTGAACTTGGAGAGACGGATATGAATGAGGGTAATGCAGGTGGAGATAAAGAGAACATGGTGAGTAATTCACAAGGAACTTCATCGCCTTCTGGCTCATGGACATTGGCCATATCTTGTGAACATTCAAACACAAAGGAGTTAACTTTTTGGGGATTATAGAGCTCTAAGAGTGAAGTGAAAGCGCCTGAGGAAACCAGTGGAGAAAGATACTCTGATCAAACGGATACTGATATTTTGACCGATGATAATTCCAAAACGCAATTCTGTCGGGACTTGGAGAAACATGGATTGCTTGACCTGCTTTTCTTAGCAGACCCTAATGATCTCGGTCGAGTGCAATTGTCAGTGCCAGCGGTCTAGGACTCTAGGTAGACAGCCTGCTACACTGAGTCATTCCAAGATTAAAGAAGTTTTTGAAGCCACACATTGGAAAAACTTATATAATTCATTTTCAAGATAGAAAAACTTATATTCTTATGGGGATAAAGTTCAATCTGTTCGATTTTTAAAATCGTGTCTACTCTGGATTCTGTACACTTGGACATGTTCAAAGCTCCCAGAGCCGGTTAAGTGATATTTTGTGACAGTACTGTATTTAATCGTATTTATTTTTTGCCGCATAAAACTTGGGCCCGCTTTTGAAAATCAGGCGTAATTCGTTTCCGAGCTTCTGACCTTAGCAACCCTTCGTAAACTTGATGACTTGAACCACCCCGAATCCACCATCATTATCTATGGACTACTGGTCCGCGTCCATACTCTGTAATCAACTACATGAACACAATGCAATCAGCTCCCTCTCGTTGAGCTTACAGGGCATGCGGTCGATGCCGTAAACGCAAAATCAAGGTACGATCGAGATATGAACCATATGATTGCCATATTGCCTTCTTACCTTCTTCAGTGTGACCTCAAATTTGCAGCTTGTACACCATGTCTGAGCAGTGGTGAGCCTTGCCGTGGCTCCGATGTTCAGTCCCAAAATGACACCCCACGAAAGTTAGACCATAATACCTCGAAGGATTCTACTTAGCCTACTAATGAGAAGAAAAAAATAGCCTGGTCAGGTCCCTTGAAGAAGAAATTGCCCAGCTTGAGCAACAATTAAAACACATTTCAAATCATCGGGGACGGGCAAATAACGACGTTCCCACGCGCATTGCAGAGGCTACATCCGCAGTTGGAATGCCAACTCCAGGTCCCTTTTTCAGTAGCAACAGGCTGTCCGCGTTATCTCTTACACCATCAGTTCCACCATTAGTCATATTCAGAACCACGCGCTTAGATATCCACTCCATGTCTGCGCGAAAGTCCCCATATGATCTCTTTAACGCCCTTGTCCCTCCCCATCGCCCGCCAATGGGTTTACGCAATATACCCGCAAAGGCCATGCATCGATTGATACAACACTATAAAAATGTTCTGATCCATCAGTATTCCATTGTTGACAGTGACTGGATGGACAATATTTTCCATCACGTCTCTCAAACGCAGTTGGAGTTGCGTTTGACGCATTTCGAACTTTATGTGTCGTATATGGTTTTGGCTATCTCATCTGCCGCTCTATCATGGAGAATCAATCCACAAGATAGAGCAACATCCCTTTACCTGTTCTCCTCCGCAATACAACATTTGCAACAAATTACGGAGATGCCGTAGTTAACTCGTTTACAAGCTGTATTGCTGCTGGCACACTATGCCCATGTGAACCCCGAGATCGCCGATACGTGGATGTGCATTTCGAATGCAGTCAGCATTGTCTCAAATCTGGCCCTGCATCGTGAGCCTGTCACAGTGATTGATGCATCCGAACGGGAAATGCGCTACAGGCTCTTCTGGGTTACATATCACATGGATCGATCACTATCATCTATGTTAAGGCTTCCAGTATCATTCCCGGAGCAGTGTATTTCACTCAAGGTTGGTATTCAATTATTTTCCTCGGAACATGAGCTAATTGCGCTGTGGTAGTTTGACAAACGAACTCCGATAGACCCTTCTTGTCAATTTATGACCCAGCAGGATGATAATATTATTTACTATCGGAGTATCGAGATTGAAGTTCATCGCGTCCTTCATTTGAAAGAGGATACCCCGAAACTGATGGAAAGAGGCCTTACAGCATGGATCTCAGATGTCAGCTCCTCCCTCGAGAAATGGTATATTACAACCCCGCCAAATGCTCCAATAAAGATTGTCTTGTTCAGACATCTCATGTACCATTATCTGAAGGCCAAGATATACCGTCCCAATCCTCGTATTCCAACAAGGACGGCGACAGACCGGCAAATGTGCTTCGACGTCTGCCAGAGGATCATCGAGAGCGGGCATGCCTTGTTTGAACACAAAGCCCTTACCTATTCCTGGCAGACAGTGCATATTCTTTTTGGAGCTTTTGTCATTCTACTTGAGGCGTGTTGGCAATATCGATCGCAATCTCTAATACGGCCCTCGGCAGCTCACGTCTTGTCTGTATTAATACCGCAATGCCTTGACTTCCTCGGCGAGATAGGGAAAGAATGGAGTGAAGCCACGCTGTGCAAGATGTGCCTTCACTCCATGCTTGAAGAGGTGGCCCAGTCTTACAATCGTGTGGTGGTTTCAGGAGACACGCTTACGGCCGATGATGCTACAGCAGAAAAGTTGAGAAATCTTCTATTTGCAGACAGACTACGCAGTGATAATACTCTGTCAGATGAGATTGCTCTAGAGTTGGAAGCACAAATTTTAAAACATCCCATGTACAGCTGGGATCTCGAGGATGTACAGTGGAGTAGCTGGTGCTAGCCTGCCAAAGAATTCCATGATGAACTTTCAGATGTTTTTCTACAAGAGATGTTGCAATACTTTGCGCTTAAAATCAACCTCGATGGAAATTACTAACAACTACGAATTGGCCATGCATTTTTGAAGATCTAGTAGTTGTCTAGGTACATGACACCTAGGCATGGATGCAAAATTCTAGATTTCACTTTCCAATTCTCATAACATATGACACGATATCGAAATGACATGCAAGACAAGTTTCATATTCGATGAAATTTTGCGAGAGTCCCCATAGTCGTCATGGTCTCCATTGATACAATTTCCGTGAATTTTAAAGCACCAACGACGGGATTGTCTGTGTCTGACGGAACCAGTGTTCAAAGGTTGCATTGACCACTTTAGGCTTCAACAAATAGTCACGCGCTTCACGGGCCAGCTCACCATCTACAGGCTTAAGGGGTCCAAAGACACTAGCTCGTACTTGAATCCTAGCTGCGCGCTCAAGGTTCACTGCAAGATAAGTAGCCTCTTGCACGGTACAGCCGGCGGTCAACATGCCGTGGTGAGCCAGTAAAATTGAGCGCTTATCACCAAGCGCAGCAGTGATAATGACAACCTCCTGATCGGCAATTGGCAGTCCAGGCCAATCAGCCAGGAATGCACAGTCATCGTAAAAGGGCGTCATGTCCATTTGCGCAACCACAAGTGGCTGTCGAGCGGCAACTAATGATTGTACCCAAGGCGAATGAGTATGGATAATGCTTTGCACATCAGGGCGCCCAGCGTATACCCAGAGGTGGAATCGGGTTGCGGGGTTTGCCATTCCACTACCAGTAATTGTGTTGAGGTCCCCATCAACTTCAATGAAGTCATTTGGCGTTGCCTCTTCCCAGCCAAGGCCGAAGCGCAACGTCCAGTACAATCCATCTCCACGTGCAGAGCGAGCGCTAATTTGGCCAGAGAGCCCTGCGTCTTCCTGTTTTGCTGCAATCAGTCTGCAGGCGCAGGCCATTGATTCTTGGAGGGAGCGTTCCGGAACATTGAGATGTTGTTCCATATCGCTTGCTGCACGTTGATCAAAATATTCTTTGCTTCGTAGAGGTTTGCCGTTCAGCTGGGGAGCTGGCGCTGGAGTTGTACTCATGGTAGAGATGTATGTTGATTCAGTCATTTTGGTAGCCTTGGGAATGAACATTTGAACTCTCGACTGCTGAGGGAGTTTGAATGATTTAAAGAATTCGACTTGCTTTCACATTGAATTGATAGTATCGCAAACCGATAATATTCCATGCAAGATCCCTAATGCCATTCTTGAAAGCTTTGTTTGCTCTAGTATCGGGTTTAATCACGGAAGTTCCCTAGGCTGACCGCGATTTCCCGTTAATTTATGCAACTCATCCTCGTCTGGTGGAGAATGGCGATCGCAAACAAAAGGGCACGAATCACGGCCCGGGAATAGTCATTCTAGTGGACACTCGAGGTTATCTATTGACCAAATTACTACCTAGGTAGTGACGTGATGATGCTCTGGCTGTTATAGCACGGTATGATGTCTACATGTATGTAGCCCTGCGGCCCCTGCCCAGGTGGAGCCAGCTATCTTAATCGTCCAATTCCCGTCAAGTCTGGAAATATTGGATGGTAAATACCTGCGTAAATCCAAGAGAAGCAAGAAAATGAGATTGTGCATATATTATTTGCCGTGGTATTGATCACTAGTATATTGTTGTGACTCTTGATTCTCATGAGATCGACGTATAGTACTAATTACAACATCAAGGCTTTTGTTCCGCCTGATAACTGGGGTTTCCTTTTCCTTTTCGCATCATGACAGCCAAGCCTTGACCATCACTTTTATCAGTTGGAGCCTGGAATTGATGTACTTCCACGCCCATGAGCTTTTGGTAAAAAGGGACGGAGCGCTTCCAGTCCTCTGTAAACAACAAAGAGCGCCTCAAGTAAGGCATGGACTCAACAATTTCTTGCACACATTCCACAAGCCATGTTCCGAGGCCATGGCCTTGATGTGATGGTAGAATAAAAACATCAGTTAAGTAAATAAATGTAGTGAAGTCTGTTATACATCGTGCAATGCCGATGAACTCCGAAGCCACTTGATTCCCCTCTGGAATTTGGGACACATTTTCATTTGGTTGGTGGTAGAGACCAAAGCAGAGAGAATTCTGGAGCGTTTCTCGGAGTATTTGATTTGGCATTGGCTTTGCCCAATAAACTTCTTCGGTCGCAAACCAATCATTTAATGTTTGGACTGGGATAATGGTTGAATCGGTCGAGATCCAGTATGGCGACTTTGTCCATTTTTTGTGCTGAAGCGCCGCAGTGGAAGTAGACATGATATTCTGCACATCCAAAATTAGAATAATCAACATAGAAGTTAAATATGGGAACCTCCATACATTTCAATATTTCTCTTGGTTTGTAGGTGAAGAAGCAAGGCAGATTTACCAAGGGAAGGTAGCGCGCACTGGCAGCAGTGATAGTCTACTATTTATAGTGGAACTTGAAGAGCTGCCCAGGTGCGCGTTGCGAGTGTTGAGTCAGAGGTTCACGGAACATTTTAATGTTATTTAAGGTTTTTTAAACCCTTGAACAATCTTGGTTCTTCACAACTGATTTGTAGAAGCCCAAGAGTGGGTCAACGATGATAGAGCGGAAAAGTCCGAGTTGCCTAGCAAAATTCCGTGTGGCGTTTTCTAGAAAAATATCAAGGCTTCCGTCAAATTTTCGTCCAATCCTATCTATTCGGGCTGAATCCTGATCCAGACACTGTTTTTGATCCGATACCAATTTTACAAGGTTATGTCCTGTATCTATAGGTGGATATGTGGATCTTATTCACCTCAAGCTGTGCTGATTATAGATTTTCCCTCGTCTGAGATCCTTACTATCATGATACTAGTAGTACTTCTTGGATGTTAGCATGAGTTCTTTGATAAGCTTTGATTATTTGACACTGTAAAAATCTCACAACTGTCATAGTGAAGCTTGTAGCTGGGCAAAATGTCCAAACAGGCGCATCTTCATTTGAGATGAAGAGTTCTAGAAAATCAATAAAGTTCTATGTACGAGAAATCTGGATGCTCTCACTAGCGAGATTCATATAAATGCTCCGCCAGAGACCACTATACTCTTTGCCTCCTTTCCACCGCAGACTACTTGTAGTCAGAACCTCAGTACATTTCATTAGTACACAAGGCCATCCCGGACAGGGCATCCACTCTTGCCTTATAGCAATAACAAGAGCACATCCAGCTTTGAATACTTGTGGGGATACGAACATCGGAACTTCAAATGACTCCTCCACAATTACTGCCTGATGGGTAGTGTTTATGATGTCCACAGCTGACTTTAAACCCCTATCTCGAAGGGTTTGAAGGCTACCTGGGCTGTCTGCTGGTCGTGACTCGCACGCAAAGCACGGCCCATGGTCCATACAGGCAGGAAGAAATAAAAGCCATGTTTCCTGTATGATTGGATTCATCGCTAAGAAGGTTTCAATCTCCTGGGCCAGGACGCATAAAGTCTCATTCAATACGCATGGATTGCTTGGTGACGCATGATGGTAGCAAAATAACTGAATGCACACCTTAATGTGAATGCTCAGAGCGTTTGTTTCTCGGATATCTGGTATCAGGGTCAAACCATCTAGCATACTAGGACAGTTGAAGAGCATTCGTAGTGACCTGTTGGTGTTAATAACTTGACAAATGGTACAACTATGGCAATAAAGGCAGATTTACCGATGAAGGGAGTCCAAGACGTAAAGGACCTGATATGGAGGCGAGGAGTCCACAGGTGAATATAAAGATGACAATTGAACTGTACTGGAAGGTCGGTCCTCTGAACTCTTGAAGCGGTGCCAACCTTGCTCCAGACAGAGGCGAATTGCCAGATCATGAAGCTCCCATAGCATGCCCCAGCTTGGCTCTGCAACCTCGTATAAGAGAAGCGCAATAGCAACAATCAGTGAATATTGACCAGGCTTTCCGTAGAAGTGGCAGAAGATTTCACCTGCCCAGTCGCGACATATATGTGCGATTTGAAGAGAATCTACTTGAGAGTGACTCTGATGAACCGCAGCAATAGCACAGCAGATGAGATATGTAAACCTTTCTTCAATCGGTCATTTTTCCAGGGAGAAGTTCACATCATTAATACAGTCAAAATAGAAGGGAAGAGGATACTTAGGGTGGATGATGTGTAATTTGATAAAAGGGAAACGCACAATCCTTGGGCTGACAGACAGCCGAGCTGAGGGTGGAGTTGGAACAGTGAGGTCTGAGACACCAAGTAGGGGATTTTTGGCAGGGAGTTCTGCGATTTTGAGGTAATCATTGATAGCAGACACAATGAGTGCAGGTGGCGATCTATGGCGATGAAACAGTTCTCTAGTATCAAGAACGATGTTTTGATCATGCACATTTGACGACCTTTTATTCACTATACGCGTAAGCCAAAGCAATGTCTCTGGTCAATGGTATAGCTACCCGAATGATGAGTTTCCCTGGGTTGCTAGCTTTGCTTTGAGGGAGTCACGTTTATCATAGAGTGCTTTTATATAGCTATAAGGGAGTAAAAGTATTAGTGATTTCAAAGATGCATGCAAAGCTTCAAAGATCTTTATCTGATATAAAGACTCAGACCTCAGGACACACCTTCTAGACACTGTTTCATTCGAGGCATCATCTATGAATGTGCAAGGAGCATCACTTCTGATACAGTTCGCGCAAGCGGGTAGCTGGTCGTCGCACTAAATTGCACTTGGATCAGACAAGCCTCGGGATTTTATTCAAATAATCTAACTTCAAGTTAGTCTCACCTTAATTCTCCGTTTCTGACAGCGTTGACAGGTGCGTAACATATTTTCAAGCACCCAGCAAACTATTTCCTACCACGCACGCGAGTTTGTCATGGATGAATTTCATGCGTCATTGAGGCCTACGGTCGGACTAACTTTGTTCCGAGTACTCACCACAAGAGACGCTCAGAGGCCAGAGCATTCCATACCGGTGGACCTGCACATGTATTTCTGAGCCGGGACATCTAGAAGCTTTCGTGGTGACTCAAATAGGCACCACGTACCTTTTCTCTTATCCTGGGGATCAGTATCGGAATTCCGCTAGAGACCTCGGAGTTTTCCGTCGTGTCCACAATATATGGTTATGCGGCTATGCCCAGATGGGCCAGACCCAGCAGAGTGGAGACTCGGATGCTCAATGCATGAGATTACGCCGTATTTCTCGACACAACCCGTTATCAAAGATGCCATTGATTTGATTCCAGAAATTTATGAGTGGTGGGATATACGCCACAAAGCATAAATTATCGCAAGTGAGACCTTCAATACGGAGCCGTTTTATTTCTATCGGATATTGTCGGATTCCAAGGTTGTTATACTTAACCGGTTCAACTCCTACTCAAGTACACAACATTTGAAGTGTCCGAGCTGCCTCTTTTGATCACTTTGTTCCAAGAAGGAGAGAAAGACTCGCTCAATTTCACAATGCATATTCCGTCATATAATGCAGAGCTACGACCAGTGATTCTTCACCAATTTATCCGAGACAACCCTCTGGGCCTTCTGACTACCTCAATTCGGGGGCCATCTCATCCCTTAATCCAGGCGAGTCACATTCCCTGGGTGGTCGATGGCGAATATGAAAGCGAGAATGAGTTTGGTGTGCTTCGTGGTCACATTGCTCGCCCAAATCCCCAGGCCAAAGCCATGATCGAAGCCTTATCGCAATCTCCAGGCTCTCAGCACCTTGAGGAAGATGTCCTCGTGGTTTTCAATGGGCCCGTACATCATTACATAACGCCAAAATTCTACAAAGAAACGAAGCCCAGCATAGGGAAAGTTGTTCCTACTTGGAACTATGAAGCCGTTCAAGTTTACGGTCGCGCCAAAATATATTTTGACACAAAATCACCCGAGTTCGGGTTATTTTTGAACAAACAACTGGCAGATCTATCTTCCAATGCCGAGAATGCGCATTTACAACAGAGCTCAAATACTGAGGCAGAGCCTTGGAAGGTTTCCGATGCTCCGGCATCGTACATTGAGCTTTTGAAGAAGAATCTTGTTGGCATTGAGATCGAAATCAAATCATTAGCGGGACGGTTTAAACTGAGCCAGGAGAAGCGTCTCGGGGATCGCAATGGAGTGATTGATGGGCTGAAAGAAACTGGTACTGCTGCAGGAATGGAGATGTCCACACTCATGGCTCGTAGGGCAGCGGAATATGATGCTCAAAAACAAGGAAACTTGGAGTAATGACGACCTTCAAGCTTCAAGTTGGAAGTTGAAGGAATCCGCACCTATTGGCATGTGCACTACGGAGTACATATGATGACCTTTATATCAATACTACCATCTTTTAACATGTCTCCAATTGAATATCCGCACCTGCAGACATATGTACATACTATAGCTGCAGGTGTAGTTGCGTCATGGCTCAGGTGACTTGCCTTGTAGGTGGATATGTAGTAGGTAGCTTCAAGTGTCAAATACCACTGGCGAGTGCCAAGCATCAAGTACGAAGGAACGAAAAAGTGAAAGCAAATATTACAAATAGTAATGTACCCAAGTCCAGAAGCATATCCCGCTGCAAAGACCGATATCTAGATATAAGTTCAAAGTGGGGTTTTGTATGAGAGGCAATCCTGCAGGTGGAGGTTTCCGAAAACGCTAGGTAAATTCCACCGATGATGAGGTTTTAAGATGGGTCCAGATCGGCAAACCAATTCTTCATAGTGGAACCGGACGCCTTCCAGATAACATTAATCTAAAAATTACATACATTGAATAGCCTTTTTTTTGCCTCTCTGTTGTATAGTTGATTTTGACCAGCATATATGCATTGATTTGGTGTCTTATTTTGACCGGCTTAGTCTTTTCCCATGCGCTTCGTGGGTCGTGTATAAGCGGATATCCGGAGTGCCATCACCTTTTCTATGATATGGCCATGTGTACTTCTACCCAGGCGTATTACATTGTAACATGTATGTATGATATCTGTGCGTCAAGAAAAAAATAATTGATGATGATACGGATGATATTTAAAACTGGTGCACGCGGCTTAACTTGAATGATCACTATACCTTACAACTACTTCAAATGTTGAGTTTGTTCTGAGCTTTAGTCAAACGATACTCAATACTTCCACATCACATGCAACAATGGAGGCATTAATTGCAAAGAGATCCGGGCTTTCAGTCCAAGGAAGCGAAAACGTTATTCGGAATGAGTACTGGAGAGACATCCGTAAGATCCTAGCGGTACCTTGAGACAAAATTGACAATCCGAATGGATTGTGGGTATTAACAGGCTCTATAGATTAAAGAAAGAAAGCTGAATAGCGTGGTCATGACAGAATCAATTTGGGCCTCGCTGAAAATTATCTTATGCATGCGGAAATATCCGATCGCCTGAAATCTGCGGTGAGTACTTTGATGAGTAGGGGTCAGGGATTGAAGGGGAAATATTGACAGCTACTTAGTTCAATGTTCATCATTCTGTTCACTTAACCTATGGGCAAGGACCGGTGGGCTCTCCGCGGCTGTTGAAAGCACTGGCTACCTTCTTCAACTCCAACTTTCATCCGATGACACCAGTCTCGCAACATGAATTACTTGTGACCTCTGGAGTTGCAGCTCTGATTGACACTTCAACATGGTGCATCTGTGATGACTCTGACGGAATTGTGATCCCTCAGCCTCTCTATGTTGGATTTGAGATTGATATCCAAATGCGAAGCCGTGGCCAGCTGCTCCCTGTGTCCTTCTTGGAATCGGACCGGAAATATTCCATTGACCATGCGTTCGAACCAGAGGCAAATCGCAGGGCCTTTGAGCGTGCCTATGCAGAAAACACAGCAAAGGGTATCAAGATGCGTGCAGTGATACTTTCAAAGTAAGTGAATGTTCTACGAAGCCGGCAAGACCATTCGAATGATTCTGACCTACGACCTAGTCCTCACAATCCGCTAGGAAAATGCTACGTATGTTTAAGCCAATCCCTTGTTTTTCTTCAAAATCTGCGTTGTATCAACTTGGCACTGATTATTATTCTCGAGCAGCACCCAGATACCATCAAGGAAGTGGCTCGATTCTGTGCAAAGTACGACTTGCGTCTCATCTGTGATGAAATATACGCAAATCTGTTTTCGTTAACCCGAATAAGCCATTGTCTCAGCAGTTCATATCTGCCTTAAGTATCGATCTCGAGGGAATCATTGATGTATCTCGTGTTCACATCATGTATGGAATGAGCAAAGACTTTTGCGCGAATGGCCTTCGTCTAGGAGTACTTCAAACTAGGAACGAGGATTTGCTAGAAGCGGTTGCGAGCATAAAGTAAGCCAATAGTCCATTGATTGTCTTCCGGAGACCTTTTGCTATTCGCTATCGTTTTGCTCAATAGCTTGTTTGCTTGGCCCTGCATACATCACTCAGGATCTCTGGGCTGAAATCACGAAGACAAATCAAGATCGAATTGCAGCCAGCTACGGAAAATTCACATCATTCCTGCAAAAACATCGAATTCATTATATGAGAGGCAGGTATGTTATCGCTATATCGAAAATTCTCTGGTGTCGCTTGATAATTATCATCTACTAAAGCCAGTACCTGCAGTAATGCCGCTTTTTACCTCTGGGTTCGCCTCATTCCATCCCGCCTGATCGATATTGATGATCCTTCAACTCCATCTCTCGACGTGAAAAGGATGAAAAAGCTTTTTGTTGACACATGCACTCGAAATGGAGTGTCCATCAAAGACGGCGCAAACTACTTTGCAGAAGAGCCGGAAGATGGCTGGTTCAGGGTAACGTTTACTGTCCCCAATGCCGTTTTGGAAGTGGCTATGGAGAGGATAGCGAAGAGTTTGGAAGACTTGGGGTGGCTGGGAATGTTCTAAACGTACTATTTCCAAGGCTACTGGCTGGATAACACAACCTTGGAGGTGTATTACTAGCAAGTTGAACTTGAATGCTACAATAGATACCTAAAACTACTTAAAATGACTCATTAAAATACTAGAGAGCAAGATGACAGAATGAAAAACTTCACTATCCGCAGCGGTACTAAACCTTGTCCAACATATAGGTACCCCTCGAAAGAGATGGTCAGAAACTTTTGAATTTGCGTCCCTGTATGCTATGCGTAATGCCGAAAATAATTTGCTACACGTGCTGTACATATTGGCGACAGAGAACAGACTGAGCTGTTCAAATGTTTTGACCAGCAGCTAGACCTCAGGATCACTTTGCCGACCATTCGGGATTTGCACGCGCTGACTCTCCTTAGCAAAAGCGATTTGCCGGTCATTGATTCAATTAGGTATAGTATCACCACATCATATCTAAACAAAAATTCGTCACAAGACCAAAGAAACGAGAAAAACGAATTACAGAGGTGGAGTAAATGGTACAGACCCACGTTTTGACAGGGCGCGCTTTTAACGGATCTGGATTCTGGGCATCCCTGCAAGCAAGCGGTTTATTCCGGTATGAAGAGCCTGTCAACAACCAGGTATGTTGCATACGAGCTGATATTTCAAGAGTTCATTTTATCTAGGCCGCACTTTGGCCAAATATTTGTTCTGTGGTGAGACATTTACCATGCCGAACTCTGTCAGTAAACTTGCTCATGAACTTTTAACAAAATCAATATTATGGACGTCTTCGGAGTATATCTGAGGGATTCGCAAGACGGAGTCCATTCTTACTTGACTGCCAGTGGGTGTAGTGGTTCTACATGGGTCCACTGTTCCCTAAGTACCTATACATCCATCGGCCAAGGGAATGTACAAATACCGGCTGAGGTCTACCGTCCATGAATATAATTGATTTGTTTTTCTTTCTCAATCCCTGACTATTTGAGACGTTCAACTCCTCATACTGCAAGATCCTCCAGATTTTCCCTCTTTCTCTCACTTGGATCTGGCCATTCTTCATCACTTGGACCTAGTATCTTGCAACTAAAGGATCATATCTGATATTCCGAGTCCCAACGACCACAACACCCGAGTTTCTGATGGAGAGGCTTCCTAATTTTGAGGCAATGACAGAGATACCATGCTCTAGACAGGGCAGCAGGCTACTGCCTTCTTTGCCTTGGAGATCGGAACCCAAAATTACTATCAGTCCGATCAACCAGACACACAACTCCACTAATGTTTACACCAACGGGGATAGGATTGTCGGTACAGCCATCATAACTGTAGATCGTGAGACTTCTATTGATGATATTGAAATCAGTCTTCAAGGTATCTCCGACTCAAGCTATGCATTGGTGTTCAAGCTCACGCGACACAGGAACATCATGTACGACGGTCGACTGGAGAGCGTGTCCCGGTACTACTGGGGCGGAACAAAGTTTCTCAACCTTCATCAGCCAGTTGAGTTCTTAGAAAATGGAGTTTTACAGGCCGGACGCTCATAAAAATTCCCATTCACATTCGTTGTCCCCGATCGCCTGCTACCGCATGTTTGTCGACACCAAACACAGAACTGCCATATCCTCAACTACCACTCAATACTTCCACCAAGTATGGGAACTCAACCTGATGAGAAAGTAAATGATAGTTTGCTGGATAATATGGCACCAAAAATGACCCAAATCTGGTATTTTATTCAAGTGCGAGTGCTTCAAATGTCGTCACCAAACAGTCCTGGTATCAAAGTATTGGCCAGATCCACCAAGACAATCCGCATTGTGCCAATAGTCGACGAAGATCCTCCGATCGATATTGAAAACTTGACATGCTTTTGTGCATCCAAGAAGAAAAGTGTGAACCGGGGAATTCTTCAAGCTAAAGCTGGTCGGTTGACTGTTTCCTGTGCGCAACCTAAGGCCATCTGCCTATAAATGGCCAATGACCAGCAAAAGGAGCCCCCTGTCTCTGTTGCAAAATTAAACCTGACATTCGACCCTATAGGGGGTGAACAGCCCCACATCTTGAGTCAGTGATATGCAAACTTCGAGTCAGCACATTTTACACTGTCTCTATGGGAGGACTTTGTATACCAATCCGATACGATTCGCGTTGCGCAGGGACGAGGGTACATAACCGAAGATCTTCATCTTTGCAAAATGCGCCTGGGATCGGTGGGATGGGAGAAGCACTTAGCTGGAACAAAAAACCATCAGCAAGATTCCTCTGAGTGCAAAATGAACCCAGCTACCCCCACCGCCGCAGGGATATCCTATACTGCCTCGCTCATCGTACCTTTCAGTTTGCCCGATTCGAAAGCATTGGTCCCTACCTTCCACTCTTGTCTGATAGCTCGTACCTACACGTTGAATATTTCTTTGTTGTACCAGTCTATGATGAGGAGTCCATGGAGATCATCTATCTCCCTTGACGTTCCAGTTCAAATCATGACGAAACATTAATATTGAAGTGGAGGCACCCGAGAAAATTGGGTGGAGAAAGAGATTTTGATGGGGTGTACGATATTTTGACCCATGATAATTCCAAAACGCAATTCTAGCAGGACTTGGAGAAACATTGAACGTGGACTTCTTGACTTCCTTTTCTTAGCAAGCCCTAACGATCTCGGTTGAGTGTAAATGCCAGTGCCAGTGGTTTAGGCTGTCTCCTACACTGAGCGATAGAACTTTCAAGGTTTAAACATCTTTCACATGCAGAAATTCGGAAGTTTCTGAAGTCACATACTGGAAATACTCATATGACTCGTTTTCAAGAGAAGAAACTGCATGTTTCCGGCAATAAAGTTCAATGATTTTCATACATACTTGTTTACAACTCTGATAGAACACCGCCCGCTTCAGCAAATTTCTGCTGATACTCCTTCAAACTGGCCCACTGACTCAGTTCTTCCTGATCTCTCTCATAATCACTCAAATAACTCATCGCGCGGCCATTAGTCTGCGGACTAACTCCCTCCGTCGAGCTTCCAGAATCTGTTGTTGCATAAGTGTGGCCTTCAAGGCGAATGAGCGTATCAATAAAAGCGTGCAGGTAAGACTCTGCTTCGGCGGCGGTGAGGATGTTGAGACTGGATGAGGCGGGTTTCAGTGTGGAATCAACTGGTAATTGATGTGTGGACTGGTCTATGAATGGGATGGAGCTTGTTGAGGTCGTATTTGAGTCATGTGACATGTTGAGCAGGGTAGATGCTACTTGGCGAATTTTGCCAGTCTGTTCGGAAGTTAGTATGTCATTTTGATGCTAGTAAAGTAAGATTAACATACAATGCTAGTACCGTTGGGCTCCATATTGACTTCATTGACAGTACGTAGGAGAACGAAGAGATCCTTGATAACTAGCTTCCGCTCTTGAGCCATCATGCGGCCAATAAAGTCTGTTTTTGCGTGTGCGATGACACGAGAGGATATATCAGAGGGTCCTCTAGATAGAGATTCAAGTTGAGGATTTGAGAAGCTGTCGGTCTTTATATTTGGGGTTGTAGTGACAATAGCAGAGTTAGCCGGGTCACCGTATTTGGCATAAGTCTCGAATAAATTCCAATATTTTTCAACAAGCCAAGACCGAGTACACAATTGACTGGCATAGATGTTGGCTTTCTGGATTTCATATTGGATTGCCCGTTTTTCTTGATCAATATGATCATTCGGGTAATCAAAGACCGAGCCATCCTCGCCCACATTTGAAAATCTGGGAGGCGCTTGCTTTGGGTGAAAGAGTGAAAGCTCGATAGGAACGTCCAAAAGTGCAGTCTTTACTTTCTGAAGACAACTCCAAAGACTTGAGCGTTGATGCTCCCAGTTAAAGATCTGACCACTTCCAAAAGCAGTCTCCCAAGCTAGTAAAGCGTTGTATGAACTGTATACCCGCACGTTTGCATTGAAACCAACAAGGCTAGAGACCCGACCCGCAGGTTGCTGATTGACATGCGTAGGGAATAGGAATTCATCATCAACCTCAAGCGGAAACGGCGGATAGCGGTCTGTTGGGGTTTCCGGAGGTACGTGTATCTTGATGTCGGATGACCCAAGCTGGAGTAATGACTGGTATCCAACTAAGGAGACATAAAAGAGACGACGACCAAGTTCTTGCGAAATTAAGTCCACGGTTTTGTCATCTGTCAAAGTTTGCGAGGATTTTTCTGGAGAAAATACGGAGGCGCTTGACGAAGGACTAGTGGCATTCAAAGTCCCGATAGTGGACAGTTTTCTGGGGGAACGGCAAAGGTCGTAGACTGATATCATGGTCCGACATTCTGCCAGATAGAGGCGACATCGGCGCATGCTATACACATAACCAGCACAACAACCCAGAAAGTAACTGATGGATGCATCGTATACAGTAGCATTTCGATCAAGATAACCTGTACCTCGTGCCTGTATAGCAACGTCGTGGCATCTTTTGACCAACGCGATGGAATTTGGAAACGCGAAACGCTCGGCTTCGGTATTCAATCTCAGTTTGGGGCGCCGGGGGAAGGAAGCGACCAAAAACCCAATCATGGAAGCAAGTAGAGCTAAAAATGTTCCACTTATGGTATCCTCTCGACGCTCAAAAGCAGCTCGAAAAGTAGGTTCATGTGGAATTGGAACTAAAGGGTGGATATACGTAAAGAAATCATCAAGCAGTAGTTGCACTGTGTGCAGAGAGCAAATCGCTTCTGCTGAAGTGGGTGAAAAGGACGGTGTTAGTGGGGGAGCCGTATTAGTTGAAGCTTGAGGAGTAGTTGCCGACGGAACATCGCTCAGAGAGCCCGGTGATGCATCGGGTGGTGCCTCGAGTTTCTGCTTCTTAAACGCCTCTGCATGGCGGTTTGGAGGCCCGCGACGTCTGCTGGGCCGTTCATAAGTGCAAGGTATATCCAAACTAGCACACGACCGACAGGGCGGACCACTCGCATCACACTTATATGGAGGATCAGTTCACTGCTACTGGATAGATCCGAAGGGGGAGGAAAACCAACTTTCACCTTGCGAATGCTACAGGCATCGCAGGCCTTGCGCAACCTTGTTTTGGGGTCCATTCGTGAGCAAATGGCTTCGCCCAACCGCCAGGTGCCGAGGAGTCAGATCATGATCATTTACGTAGACGTATAGACTCAATTGATGCAAAAATCCCGGTACATGCAGACACTGCGGGGGGGCCCTTGAATGACCCACTGGACTAAGCCGCGTGGGATGTATTGTGCGAGCTCGTGGCTGTGGGCCTCCACAAAATTATTCCGAACCGTTCCACAAGTTGCTAAATTTGAGCAGGACCCTTTTCCGGGTGATGCTGATTCCAGATGATGAAGCCAATTGGGTCACACGCCTCCCGGGTATAGGCACGGAGATGTGCACTCTATCTGATAAAGGCAATTGTAGCTGCAGAAGAAAGGTACTACCTAGGGACGGAAAGTTCTTTGAAAAGTTCTCTCTCCATAAAACGAAGTCAAGAGCCTCGTCTGGCACAAACCCGTTTGGGAGTAAATGGCGGAAGCGATGCCGGGTGCCGTGTGCACCTGGCCTTGGTGTGAGGGTAATCACGTGAAGTGCGTAATCCGGGGGAAGCTTAATGCCAAGCGGCTGATATTGGACGAAACATATATCACGACCAGGTTAAATAAGGGTCCATGGCAATAATTATGTTATGATTGGATCTTGAATACTCGGAGTGGGGTTGCCATCTCGTATAATGAAGAGGGAAGAAATGAGCTGGGGTAAAGAAGAACAGCAAAATATAGATAACAAGCTAGCTTTACGAGACCAGTTCTACGAGGCCCTGTACTCCGTAGTGGCCTATATTTCATGCAGATATATTAAACCGTGAAATCATCATCATCGTGATATGCGTCACCAAGTCGAGTGGGTCGTCGACTTGCGAGTTGTCGTTTTTGTTCCAGTTCTGCCGCCCAAAGAGCAGCACCGGCCGCTGTAGTCATCAAAAAGAGCATGGAAAAGGGAGGTATCAATTGCAGAACCAAAGCAACAGTACCGAATCTAGTGACGATGTTAGATAAATGATTCTTTATGGAAGTGGAGGATCGAGAAATAGACATACGTGGTGTACTGCAACTGTCGTCGACTGACACTGGCCTTCCTCTCCTGTTTTGTGAAATCCAGGAGTTGAAAGTACCGCCAGTGGTGGAATGGACCACCTCGATATCCAGTAAGCACCAGGAACATGGGTGTTCCGGCCACCGGGATGAAGTTCAGCGGAAGCAGGAGAATAAACTCCAAGATCTGTCGTAAGGAAAAGGGGGAATAAACTGCGCTGGTTGTTGGGGTGCCGAGGCGGCTTGTCGGGTCACCGGCTTCTGGGTAGATAACTCGCGAGGCCAATACGAGCTGTTCTTGTCCCTCATTGACAAGAACAGAGTCAAATATATCCACCAAAGTCTCATCGACAAAGAACGCCTCGAATAATGCGGCTACAATAGCCGCTCCTTCACCCAGTACCAAGAAAGCTCCACTCACCCATGCTCCAACTCCTTGGAAGATAGCTAGAAATGCTACCTGTGGGAGGTATGTGAAAAAGAAGAGCAGGAAATATACGAAGGATGAGAGGAGTACAATTGGTACTAGGCGGGCTTTGAATAAGGGCCAGAGGAAGCGGTGAGTCGCAAAATAGTGGATGCCCTGAATCAAACAAGGTCAGTAATTCTGGGGGAGACTATACAGAGATTTTCTCTTCATACCCGAAGGGGATATAGCCACGCTGCTCTGGTTGGATCCCACCGCCGTGAGACATTCTGAGATCGTCCACGTTCACGATCCATCTTAAACCGAGAGAGAATTTCAGTAATCGATGGAGTGGACCAAATCAAGGCAACAAAAATGGTTTCTTGGAGTTCCTTGGAGCTTGTTGGGGGGCCGCTTATCGATAAGATCACGTGGTAAATGCTGAGTCAGCAGTGCTATATTATTCGATTTTTTTTTTCTCCTGGCGCTTTTCTCTTTCTTCTTCATACATAAACTGAATTCCTCCCTATTCACTCTGGAATCCACCTTGCAATGGGTTCTTCGAGGGGAAATGGGAGGATAGACTGACTCTGCTGGCTTACCCCGAATTCTTCTTTCTACGTGGAGCATTCGGAAATATTTCTCTAGCGGTACATCCCTTGCCATTGCCTCTGATGAGGTGAAAAAATCCAATATAATCAATTTGATTTCACTCCATGAAAAATCTCTTCACAATCAGTAGTCACGCTTCTCGAATAATCGAATCCTCAGTGCTTCGAGCTGCCCATGATATAATCCTAAAAGTCATCATATTATCCAGGCCTGGAAACCACAGCTTTACGCCTGCCGGGTTGTGATCTCCGTCACAATCTGCTCCAAGCTGTGGACAATAGCCGTAGGCTTAAGGTCAGCGCTGACAGTATCCTGCCACCCTTTAGCCGCGCGATCAACCCAAATCGCATTTAACCCAGCATTGCGTGCCCCGGCAATATCGAACGGATTGGCACTGATTAGCCATATCTCGCCCAATTGCGTCGGTGTTTTGCCTACAACTTGTGCAAGATGCTCGTAGGTGGAAGGAGATGGCTTGTACTTTCGAACAGCGTCCACAGAAACGAAGTCAGAAAATGAACTCGCGTGTTGTGATAAATGTCGAGAATGGACTGATTTGGCGATCATTTCTGTAGTACCATTGGAGAATATCACAGATTGGATGTTTGGCTCATTGGTAATTCTGTTAAGTGCGGGTCCTACATCTGGGAATGTATGCAGGTCATTGTACGCTTTCATCAAGTCCTCGATTGTGTTGTTTGGTAGCTGTTGCCCATGCTCGCTCACGGCATGGCGCAGCGCGTTTCGTGTCACGGTTTCAAAATCCTCGAATTTCTCTGGGAGATGAAAGTTCTTAGCTTCAAGTTCAACTTTACTCTTTCCACTATGTACCAATGGTACTGGCACCCCACTGGCAGTTAATGGAGGGAAAAATCAACTTGATTTTGCTCACTCATGCTATTGAGTCTCCAGGTATATTCTAGCTGGTACCGACGCCAGAGTGATGAAACAGACTGAGCACAAGATCCCAAACATTTCCCTAGATGTTCAGCGACAGAATCAGTAGACAACAGCGTGCCATATAGATCAAAAGCCACAACAATATTTGCTGCCATTTTGACTTTTGATTGAGTCTGAAAAGCTGTTGCAAGTTGAGAGTTTGATACTGGGAGGGGATGATGTCAATCTTCCGTTGCCGCGGGGCACATTCTTCATGCAACAAATTGTCGAACTCTCCGAGTTTGAACAATGCGCCTCATTGACAAATGACCTCTCATGAGAATTACACAGTCTTTCGAGAATGTCTCTCGAGCGCAATAGTCGCGCGATCTGAAAAACCAAAGACAAAGCGACGGACGAAGGTCAAGCGCAATGGGCGCAAAGAGGTCACTGTGGCTAGCTCGGAGGTGGTAACGACCGAACGAGCTAATCCAGAGGAACTGGCCGAATTTATTGATGTATGTACCGTAATGTAGTGAAATTTAGTGTTGAACCCTGATTGAAATAGAGAGAACCAAAGAAACTAAGGAAAGCCTGACATTATTGCAGTTCATCGCATCTGAAACTTTTACCTCTTTCCCCGAAGATCTACAAACAATTTCCTATGCTGCGGTCCAGCATGATTTAGCCCTCGCAAAAAGCTATGTCCCCTCTGATAAAGACACACCTCTCGAGTCCGCCGTCCTCGAATCCATCTGCTCAGTAACACCCGTTGACGTGATAGACTCGTTATCTGTGTATGGGCTCATGGCTGACCCTGCCGATTTTCCTGAATTCATATCGCCCGTTTTATCCGAGTTTATAAGCAGCGTGACGAGCGCACCGCCAGTGTGGGCCACGACAAGGACAGATGCATGCGAGATCTGTGAGCGGGATTGGATCCCGTTATCATATCACCACTTGATTCCGCGAGGAGTACACGCCAAGGTACTGAAGAAGGGATGGCATGATGAGTGGATGCTGAATAGTGTTGCATGGCTATGTCGTGCGTGCCATAGCTTTGTCCATCGCATGGCGACTAATGAAGAGCTGGCCAGGGAGTGGTTTACTGTAGATCGGATCATGGAGAGGGATGATGTGAGAGATTGGGCTAAGTGGGTTAGCAGGGTGAGGTGGAAGGCGACATGATCCGATACTGGATTGATGTAGAGTTGTTCAATTTGAAAAACCAATGCTTGGTGCTACGCTGTAAGTAGCAAGCAATGCCAAGGTGAAGTGGGATTGGTTGAGCTTTTGGGATATGATACATGCACTGACATTGCGTCTTATTGCCAGGCTATGTGCAGTGATATCTGCCAAATAACGCCTGATCAAGATGCAGAGAAGATGTAGATATGGTACATGAAAATGGGAAGACCAAAAGGTCCCCAACAAAATAAATCAAAAGTCTAGAAATACAGTTGGTTGCCGGAAATTTTTGGTAGAGATCTCACAGGTATCGCTTCTCATGTGTCTCTTCATAGCACTGGACATGATCGCCAATGGCAAATTCAGCCCAGCCCTCGAATCCAATACCACATTCGGTGTCCTTGCGCATCTCCGTGACGTCCTTCTTGACGTTCTTGAGGGAGGTCATTGTGCCTGATCCAAGTTAGCAACATGTCAATAATATAAGTAGGAGTATTGCGTTCTTACCATCGTAAATAGTCTCGTTTCCTCGGAGAACCCGGACCTTGCGAGCTTTGTTCACTGTACCGTTACGTACACGACAACCAGCAATGGACATCTTCTCCCGCCCCTTAACGGTGATTTCAAAGATCTGACCAATCTCAGCTTCACCAGTTACACGCTGAGTGATAGTGGGAGAGAGGTATTGACTGAGATCCTCCTTCACATGATCAATGAGTTTATAGATGATGTTGTGGTCCATAATTTGCACACCCTCTAACTCTGCCATGCGGCTCATGGCAGGCTCGATGGGCTGGTTAAACGAGATGATTCGTCCATTGGCAGCAGCAGCATGTTCGACGTCAAACTCGGTAATAGGGCCGACCGCCGAGCGAAGAACATTAGCGTAAACTTCATTGTTTCCAACGGCAGCGATTGAGTTCATGACTGCCTCCGCAGAACCATCAACATCAGCCTTAAGGATATAGTTGACTGCCTTCGGACCAGACTGTTCGGCGACCGCAGGGGTTTGTCCATCAGTCTCCGATGCCTCAAGTCTACGCCTCTCATTGAGCTCACGGCGTGCCTCGTTGATGGCAACCATGTCTTGGCCAAGCTTCTCGGTATCAGAACGTTCCTGACGATAATCAACAACATCCTTAGCCTTCTGCTCGTCGGGAGCCTGCAGAATCTCCGTACCCGCAGCAGCTTGTTCTCTCCAACCATCAATCTCAATCGGCATACCGGGCGTAGCTTCACTGACGGCTAAACCAGCTTCGTTGCGCAGGGTACGCACTCGAGCCCAGGTAGTGCCAGCGACAATTACATCGCCCGGTCGCAGTGTACCGCGGCGGATAAGAGCAGAGGCCACTCGGCCATAGCTCTTCGTCGAAGCCTCAAGGACCCATCCTTCCACACTGCCAGTGGTATCAGCCCGGTGATCAAGCATCTCTGAGAGAGCTCCAATAGCTTCCTCGAGTTCAAGCATGCCTTGACCAGTCTTGCCGCTCACCCCAATGGCTTGAACATCACCACCGTAATCCTCGACATGAACACCATGCACTGACAGATCCTGCTTCACCCGGTCCGGGTTTCCGCCCTCCTTGTCGATCTTGCTGATAGCGACGATGATAGGGACGTTGGCCTGTGTTGCGTGCTTGATGGCTTCAATGGTCTGAGGCTTCACACTGTCGTCTGCAGCAACTACCAGGACGACAATATCAGTGACATCGGCACCACGACGGCGCATTTCCAAGAATGCCGAATGTCCAGGAGTGTCCAAGAAGGTAATCGTCTTGCCAGAGGGCATCGCAACAGAGAAAGCACCAATGTGCTGTGTAATTCCACCGTGCTCCGTCGCAGCCACCGATGATTTCCGCAGCCAATCCAAAATGGTAGTCTTACCATGATCAACATGGCCCATAATAGTGACAACAGGTGGTCGAGGTGGCAGATGCGAAACATCTTCCGGTACTTGCGCAGCTTGCAGGTCCTCGTCTCCGGTATCAAAGATAGCCTCATAATTGTACTCGGCAGCCACCAAACCAGCGGTCTCAGCATCTAAAACGTGGTTATACTCAACATTCTCGAAGCCCATTTCTTCCATGCGCTGGATGAATTGACCTGGCCTTACACCAATAACATCGGCCAAATTGGTAACGCTGATAAATTCTGGCAGGTAAAGGGGCTGAGGAGCAGCCACAGCTTCCTTCTTGCTTCCCTTGCCCTTCTTCGAACGTTTGCGTGAATCCCGCCGCCTGTCGCGCTCTTCCCGGTCGAATTCATTAGACTCGGATTCCTTGAGTTTGCCTCCTCCCGGACGTTTCGTCTTTTTCTGTATCTGTGATAAATCGCCTTCATCGTCTGGAATCGCCAACTTATCTAGAGCAGACATATCCCAGGCCCACTGATCGACCTTTGGCTTTTCGGCTTTTTCGGCCTGTGCGGACTCTTTGGCTGCAACTTCTCCCTTGGTACCCTCTTCAGAATCTGCGAGAATTGAGCGGCCCAATGCCCGTAATTTCTTCAACTCTGGATCGGATTTTGAAGGCTGACCTTGCTCTGATGGCAAATCCGGTCGGGGGGTGTTACAGAAGGGACAAGTAGTGTATCTGGGAAACACCATGCGCTTGCAACTTTTGCAATTCCAGTTTGATGGTAGCTTCACGGCTGGGGCTGTTTTATTCGAGTCGTTCCTCCCGTCCATTCGGGAGTCGGTAGGCCTTTGGGTATCCGGTTGCTGTTGACGGAATCGTTCATTCTGGCGAGGTCGTTGCATCCCCCGTAGGTTTTCTTCTCTCGAAGATGAGCCCAGATAAGATCGCTTAGCCCATCTCTGGTTCCCGATACCCTGACTTGAAGTGTCCAATTTCACAGGCTCCGGCGGTGGCGGTTTGCTTTTAGCAATCAGCGCGTCGCGCATCGCCTGCTCGGATGCACTCAGCCCCGTCGATCGTGGTGCACTCCCTCCCCATCTGTTTCCAAACTTGGGTTTAAAGCCCGCTGGCTTTGAAGTACCTTCGTCACTGTTGTTTTTACCGGCATCTGAGTTGTGACGGGCTGCGGAGGTCCGAAATGTTCGTTCAGAGGAGTAGGTCGGGGTTAAGGCTGTACCGTTGGCCGAGAGCTCGACTCGGCTCGGGAGCTGGTTTGTTCGTTAGATACCAAGCATGAAGATGGGTATTTGATAGCTCGCTTACCCTTAAGACCGCTCGCCTATGCATTGCTGGTCATTTATGCTTTAACTGTTTACTAGCTGCTGTCAAATGAAGAACTGAGGCGGATGACATAATCAAATAAATATATTCATTGTGATTGGTGGCCAGTTCCAGCTGGCCCCGCTCTGTTAAACGGACACCCCAATTACTAAAAATGGATACTCTGCTCAATGCCACTGAGTTGTATGTCCCCATGTAGTGCCTATAGGTATCTGGATATCATAATACTATTGTTGCTAGTAGGAGTTGACTGGACCGGCAAAGTTATGCAGCCTTTCACTTCATCCTCATACTACCATCAACACGTTCCTCTATCCCTCAGATATCATCCCATGAAAATGGTGAGAGCTAAATCCGTTGAATCCTCATGATCTAGGTACAGCGATGATTTTCAGAGAGCAGCGTCTGAGCTCAACAAGCCATCAAATCGTTCGAAGAGATTAGAAGATCACTGTCTAACCAGAGACGAATATCGTTGTGTTGTCACTGACATTTCGATGAACAGTCCATGAAAGATGATCCACGATATGGATCTGTTGATAGAGATTGGACTGAGTGCGCTCACATTATGCCATTCTCATTTGGATCGTGGAAACCCCAGTCGGACCTTCAAGCACAAGAGAACACGTGGGCGACGTTTCATGATTGTTTCCCCACCCCTCAGAAATACATTTGATTTCTTCCCGTCTTCGGTGAATGAGTTTCTGAATACTTTGACAATGACAAGAAGAATGCATCCGTCAGAGATTTGGTTCTTTTATCATTGTGTTTGAAGCAACAGCCGTATCAAATAAATACAACATCCGAAACTACAATCCTCGACTTGCCAAAGCAGCTCCTGACCAAGCAACAGCATGCAGAAATTCTTTAGCCGCGAACTCGAGGAGGTTTTGTATGAAATAACATTTGAAATGAGCCTCAACAGCCGAAGAAGGAAACCATACGCTGATATCCTTTGTTGGGAATTTTTATTTCCTTTCGAATATTATTTTTTTATACCCTTTATTCGTGCAGAACCACTACTATTCCTATTTCGTTTAGATTGCATGTTGACTAGATACAAGCACTACTACCTAGTATATTGAAGTCCACCGCATTGATCCTATTCCTCGACCAATAGCTTTTGAAGAAATGGATTGAGAGTCTGACAGGAACCAATAAGGATGAATTTGTCATGTTATTGAAGAGCATGAGGAAGATCGACCCTGATGAACGTCCAATTGCGCAAGACTTACTGGGCGAAGCCTAGTTCCCAAATACTGGAATATAGAAGTTTGAACTATTCAAAATGCATATCATTTTCTAAATATACCAACTTTTTATCGATCCTGGAACATCCATGGATGTTTTATAGTATATCGGCTCAAAGCGGCCCAAGTTTATTCCCTAAAGGGGAACACTACCCCCACGGCAGAAAGTTCCCCGGGCGGTCGGGGAAATTGGTAAGTGCAAGCGGTGAACCCTGTTGCGTTTTCCGTCGGCGTTCTAATCGAATCAGAGCCCGGATTGCGCCATCGCGATAAGAGCCCTCGTTCCTGAGATGACTTTGGGGCTATCGCATGTGCACTTTCTTTCATTCTTACATACAAACCTACCTTTAATTGCTCAACATGGAATCCGAGGCTTTTGAGGATATGCAGAAGGGTGGTGGTGCCCTTCGCACCATCAAGGATTTGGCCTCTGGTGCCGCAGGTGGCATGGCGCAAGTCCTCTTGGGTATGTGTTCACCTCCGCACACGAGCTCCGCAGCAACCCCGGAAAACTCACCGGAGCATGCTCATTGAGCCAATGCCTCCAAATATCATGTCTACAGATCTTGGGAATAAGAACTAATGCTGAAGTATTAATTTAGGTCAACCATTTGGTTTGTGGAGCCCACGCACCCCGCATTGAAGCTTTCTAACCCACATCCAGATATCGTCAAGGTCCGCCTGCAGACCACCACTCAGTACTCCAGTGCGTTGGACTGTGCCACCCAGATTTTCAAGAATGAAGGTCCCGCAGCCTTTTACAAGGGAACCTTGACTCCCTTGATCGGAATTGGTGCCTGCGTATGTCCCTCTTTCACCGCCATGGCAATCACCTTACACCTATCAAGGCTCAAGAGTCAAGATTATATCTAACCTTAATCCCCAAATAACAGGTCAGCGTTCAATTTGGAGCTTTCCACCAGGCTCGCCGAAAGCTCGAGGAGCTGAACAAGAAGAAATACGCTAACGGCGCCCTCTCATACGGACAATACTACATGGCCGGTTCCTTCGCCGGTGTCACCAACTCCGTCCTCTCCGGTCCGATCGAGCACGTCCGTATTCGTCTGCAGGCCCAGCCCCACGGCGCCGGACGCCTGTACTCTGGTCCCATTGATTGTGTTCAGAAGCTCTCTGCCCACCAGGGTGCTGTCCGTGGTTTGTTCCGCGGTCAGGCAGTGACTGTTCTGCGTGAAGCCCAGGCTTACGGTACCTGGTTCATGGCCTTCGAGTACATGATGAACCAGGATGCCATGCGCAACAGTGTCAAGCGTGAGGATATCTCTGCTCTCAAGGTTGCTACCTATGGTGGTCTTGCCGGTGAGGCGCTCTGGCTTTCTAGCTACCCCTTTGATGTCGTCAAGAGTAAGATGCAGACCGATGGATTTGGCGCGGATCAGAAATTCGCTACTATGCGCGACTGCTTTAAGAAGACGTACGCCCTTGAGGGTCTTGGTGGATTCTGGAAGGGTATTGGCCCGACCTTGCTGAGAGCTATGCCTGTCTCCGCAGGTACTTTTGTTGTGTATGTTGCCCTTCCCTCTTCAACATTCAGGTAAGACATATTGCTAACTCTATTTTAGTGTTGAGCTTACCATGAAGGCTCTTGGTTAATTGATTTATCACGGTACATTTAAGCGCTTTTTTATTTGGGACTAGGTAAATGATGATATCCAACACAAAAGTTCAACGCAATCTAGAAGCTACTGTGATCTATATTTTACATAGAGTACCGGAGCATAGGATAGAAATCATCTGAATTTCAACAATGACTCTTTTATCCAAACATTGAACGTTCCGTTTTCTCGTTCGCATGGCAGATACACAAAATCATTCAATCCTCATACTATTCAGACCCAGAGCTATACTACACGGGAATCCGTGGGAAATCAAACCTAGCCAGTTTTTAACTTGAAGGTTCGAGGTCCAAATTCAAGGGTCCGGTTGACTACTGACCCGGAGCAGCTGGGGCGTTCTATAAGCCCACAATAATCAGCCTGCTACTAGTAGATATCAATGATGTGGAATTTCCAAAAAGTGTGAGTGATTATTGCCATGACTTGACACCTAATACAAATACAACATCATATCACATTGCCAGCGAAAAATCGCCAAAGAAATCTTGCCAAGCAGTAGGGAAATAAAACAAATTCAACCCCGGAAAATCCCACTCGGAAACGAATTGCTCCGGCACAAACCACTGCAAATCCGCTTGGGCATCAAAAAGTTCCCAAAATGGAGAGGTCGCCGTTGATCCTCCAGTACTAGGCTGCTGCGATTCCCGCAAGGCCAGAGCATATTTCTCAATACTGACCTTAAGAATCTGAAGATAGATATTACCCGCACCGGATTGATTCGAATTCGAGCCAGCCTTGCTGAGTTCATGGACAAGCTGGTTCCCATGATCAAGAAGTTCTTGGTGCTCTTCATCTCGTTCTGGAAGGAGTCGAGAGAGTTTTAGAAGTAAGAGAAATGAAAAGGCGCATTTGGCCCAGACAAAGTCCATGGCATATTTTAGCTGGGCGAGGTAGAATTCTGGTTCAACGGTTATTAGACGTAGATGTCGTCGTGCACTCGCCTTGGCTGTTAGTAAAATATTGCGCTCTGATGCAGACATGGCGCTGAGGATTTTGTGGTTAGTTGAGTTTTAACTCGAATGAAATATTGAGCTGGTACATACGCAACGTTCTCCACTCCCATAGCTCGGAGTGCCTTGCAATTCAACATCATTTCGGCCCAGCATTTTTGAACTCTAAGAGCTGCTAACAGGTAGGGCTTTTCTTCTTGTGCAGCTACAGAAGCTCCTGAGATCCGTTAGGGACTATTTTGGTTCAGTTCAGCTTGAGTCATACCGATAATTCGTAGCCAGTCACTTTAAAAATTAGCTCGATTCACTCATGGGTGTTGGCAATCGACTCACTCAAACCAAATATCCAAATCCACTTTCATTTCATGAACGAAATCTGATATTGCTGGGCTGTCAAGGGCAGTGTTGGCTCCAAGAGTATCGTAGATAGTGGCTATAGAGTATTCTGTCAGAGGTTAACTTCCGAAAATATGCTGGCTATCTTACCACGTAGAATATTCAGCTACAAATTTGTTAGTGACGTGAGCTCTCGATTTGAGTGATCCTGTTCAAATACCTCAACTTGAGAAAATAACCGTAGATCAAGAACCGTTGTTGAGGGATGGCTCAAGAGAATACGGCTTCGTCTAGAGTTCCCAGTTAATCGAATACCTGGCGGCTTCCCTCCGTCAACACGAAATCTGTCTTGAGTGATCAGCAAATCCGATTTATGATCAGTGTTGAGAGAAACGCACATATGTTCGAGTACCAAAAGTCCAAACCATGTTCTCGACTTCTGCATCAAATTTCTTTCCTTCTCGAGGTCATGACCCGGCATTCCTGGCCTATTTTCATCATTCTTAATTGCTAATACTTCAGTCAATTCCTCGAACGCTTCATGAAGACCCAGATCTAGAGCCATTCGCGTAGCGAACGACAAAATGAGTAATCTTTCCGATGAGTAGCATGCTACAATCAGCATTGCTTGCACTGACTCGAGACAGTTTAAGCTCTTGTTTTGTATTATCACATTGATCCACTTTTTGAGTTCGGCGTGAAGCATATCCGACATTTGGCTCCCGGATCCTGTTCAGATTCGATGTGTCAGTATGAATGATGCATGTTCTAGAGATATTCTCTATGGATTTGAGGTACTCACTTGTTTCAACCATGCAGCCAATTGTACAAATTGCATTTAGCAAGATGCTACTTCGAGCACGAACTGAGTCGAAATTGTCATACTCTGGGTCAAATATTGGAATGTATCTGTCCTGTTCTCGCCAATGTCTTAGAATCTGTTGCGAGCAAGCATTGTCCAGAATTGGGCACTTACACATCCTTCAAAGAACCTAGAGGCAAAATACCGAGTGTCAGCAACATACTGGAAAGTATTGTGCTTTATTAAATTGAGAATTCGGAAACTCACGTATTGAAGCAGGAAACTGCACACTCCGTTGAAATAAGCCCTTTATCAATAAAGTCGGTTATAGAGTCATCTCGAATCTCAAAGCAAGATCGTTTCCTCTTGGTAGGTCGAGGGTTGTCTGCATGCGAAGGCTCATACATAGAATGAACTGCTGAGACCCCATTTGGGGAACCGTTTGGTATAGATCTGGTAAATGTTTGTGGGTCATTGCTGTACTCGCCAGATCCGGGGTGTATTGTTAAGGCCCCATATTCTTCCTGGTGAGCCGCAGCGTACTGAGAGCATGATGAGTTGCAGGCACTTCCACGACGAATATGCTCGGGCCTCTCACGAATTTGTTGCGGAGAACGTGAGTACTGGGGACTTGAGCTTTGATTTGCACGATTTTGAATTAACAATGCCTGCATTTCATGCAATTGCTGTCGTAGATATTGGACTTCAGACTCGACACCCTCGAGTCGTCTGATAAGACGTCAGCCACTTCTGTCTGATCAAAGATGGATGACCTAGTTCCATGCTTGCATACTCTGACACTGGATCTTTTGGTATCTCAAAAAATACACATTGCTTATCTAGTTTTTGACATCTATAACCATGATTAGCATCCACTGTCGCAATCACCAACTGGCTTAGATGCATACCTCCCACATGGCCGATCTCCATCACATCTAACCTGAAAGAGGGTTAGACAACTCTCTTGATCCCATTAGGCTAGATTGATCTTACCTTAGACTGTCGGCAAGAACTGCAAGCCTTCTGCAAAATAGAATGACACCATGTTAGACTTCCTCCGGAGAATAGGACCGAACACCGATGCCGTGTGCCGAAAAACCGGCGAACGGCACAGGGACACGTACCGGGATACGCTTTTTGCCGATAGGCGCAGGTAGTACGTGTAATGAGTCGTCAGATTGCATGGTTTATGGGGAAAAAAAAAGCCACCAATTCAGATCGCATATCGGTGAGGCAATATCGGAGTTTCTGCTTGAAGCTGGAGAAACTGTGGAAAGCGCGGGGTTCGGGGACTGAGCCGACATTAGCCGGCGATTGGCCCATTGCTCACCCCGGATCCTAAAAACCCGGGGATCAATTGCCGATATTTTCTATTGTGGAGACTTTTACTCGTCCTCTTGACTCGGAATTTTGAGCTAGGGAGAACACTTTACCGGGGACTAACTGAATGTGTTCAAGTTGAGAATAGTGTGCAGCATGCAGCCAGCCACGAGGCCCCCGACATTAAGTAAAAAATTTGAATTATAATCACGATTTGACATACGGAGTACAGAAAATTAGTCATAATAATAAAACACAATTTAATTCAAATGTTGCTCAATTCATATAATAGTAGAATTTATAAACTGCCAGAGTCCTGCTGCATCGCACTTAGTATACGTAAACAAAATCCTCGTTCTGCCGGTCAGTTAAGTCCTTGAAGGCATTATCATCAGCAATTTCCTCGACCGGGGCCCCTTCTTTGTCAGTTGGCACGGCACCAACAGCAAACATGGAGTGATCAACGACCTTGGCACTCTTGCCTGCTGCGACACGTCTCTTCTCCTGTTTCTTATTGAGGAATGACAGGTATGCCATGTTCAACATAATGAGTAGCCACAAAACACAAAACATGGCAAGGCTGGAGTTGAGTCCTCGGCGATAAAGTGGGGCCTCCTCTGTGGTGTAAAGATTGGGTCCAATGATGTTTCCAACACACTGCCCTACATATAGGATAGATGTAGTGACCTTCTTTTTGGTTTCACCCGCAGTGTTACCTGCAGACCAAGAATAGATCAATGGTGTGATTCCGGGATATACTGAGATAATGTAGTATCCAATCAGGAGAGGAACCTTGTGATGAACGTCGTGGCTGATCTTCAGTAGCATCACAGAGCCAGCGATGGGTGGAAGACACAAAAGAGCGAGGACAGGGCCCTTTTTCTGCCAAGAGGTAGCCAGCCAAGCACCACCCATTGTGGCGATCAGTTGGATCGCACCAAATGGAATGTTCAGCAGGATTGTGTTTAGATCATTGAATCCGAAGTCTTCGATAATGAGGGGGCCAAAGGTAGTAATACCTCCACTCGGAATTCTAGAAAGGATTCAGTTAGTAGCACGAACAGAAAATGGTATAAGTCTTAACGTACGAGATAGAGACCATCAAAGCAAACCAGAACCAGGACTTTGGGTCTAGAAAAGCTTCCTTTACATGATCCCATTTCCATTCATGAGTTTCCATGCCCTGCTGGTTCATCCGCAATCTACCCAAAAGTTAGCTTTGAGAAAGGGGCTGATAATATGTATGATCACATACCTCTCAATAGCCACTAGTTTATCTTCTTCTGACATGAAATTGGACTTGATCGGCGAATCGGGCATGAAAATCCTATGAAGGCATGGAGTTAGCCGTGAACACTAAGGAAATAGAAGAATTCAACCTACAAGACAACACTCGAAAATGCCACTGTCAGAAGGCCAAAGAAGAGGAAAATAATCTAAACCAGTTAGAACCTTTCATTACTCCGTGGAAGAGGTAATGTGGAATTACCTGATAAGAAGCAAAGACGGGCGAGCTGATGTGTCCCAGACCATAGGTGATCAAGCTTCCAAACTGCACGAAGACAATTAGCCCTAGTCATCAACCAGCAATCCATGTATTCTCACCATGTTCACAACACCGTTCATGGCATACCATGAACCCAATCTGATCGGCTGTTCGCGACGTCGGTACCACATTTGGGTCACCGCAATGAAGGCAGGGGCTGAATGCTAGTCAGAATCTGCAGTCTTGATGGGGTCAACTTTAAAGAACTTACCCAGACCAGCCTCAAAGATACCAAGAAACAGTCGGCACACCATGAGGGTGGTAAAACTCTCAGCGGCAGTCATGCATGACAATGCAATACCCCAGAATAAAACCGAGACGGCCAGGAACTTCCCCATCGGGACCTTGACCAAGAGGTAAGAGACCAGAGGCTGAAATACCAGCTGGGCCACATACACGACGGCACCAAGCCATGAGTATTGATTGCCATGAAGATGAGTCTTCTCCACAAGACCAAAGACTGATGCATATGATAGCGTGGACTTGTCCAACTGTTGGAGGAAATAGATCACCAGGAGGATAGGGAGTAGGCGAAGATCGATTTTTCTAAGGACGCGCTTGTTGTTTTCGGGTGTTAGGATAGTTGAGTGTCCTAAATCCTCAATCAACTGCAAAGCCTTGTCTTGTCTGTTTCCCTGACTGGACGCAGGCTGATCTTCATGCTGCAGGTTGCTTGGTTGTTCCTCATGATGCTCGATAGACTCGACACAATCCTCCTGGTGATTCTTCGACGGTGAAGTACCTACTTCCTGTGACATCGCTTATCAAAATGATATGAAGTAGGAAGTGCTTGTAGTATGAGACAGATCAGATAGAAAAAAAATCTGAAAGAGCAGAAAGGAGGTAAAATAAGATATCACAAAGACAAACAACTCAAGCACCTAGGGCACGATGAGGGAAAGGATATGCACCACCCCGTGGGGAAACGAAGTTTATGATCTCCCCCGGTCGAGCGCAAGCCAAGTCCGATTCTGAACTAGTGATTCTACAAGGTTTGATTCAAGTGCCTCCGCATCATTCTCGTCAACCTACTCATGCCACTTTGTACCTTCCAAGGTCACCCGATATGGGCTAAACGGCTCAATCTTGGAATTCACGGACAAGTTCCGTCCAGTGGGCCAATCACTTCTTGCACCTCCTAAACATGCCGAGTGGTGTGGAAGAGTTACGAAACGGAATTGCTAGATGAGGAAAAGTGGTCGGGCATCGGGCGAAAAGACCGACGAAGAATGGGACTTTTTGGGTTTGACAGACGTGTGTGGTCTGGGGCCCCAGACTAACCCATAAGTGGAGACCCCACATTAGCCCTGAATTCCACCCGTAGACGTCTCCTTCTCAACAAGTCTCGACTTTGGCTTCATCTTCGGCAATGGCCCCCGATCTCCGATACATTGCCCCACGTTATCCACTTCTCCAAAAAATATGACGCGGGGTGAACAGATCGCGCAGCATGGTACAAATACAGCAGCTCCTCAAGGGAGCTTCTTTTTTCTCTCAATTGCGATTGTTCCTTGTGAAGAGTCAAAACTTCAATCATAATGCCTCAAAAAGAATCCTCCCCTCGCGGATACCAGCTCGTGTCTTCAAGCACTGAGCAAGATGCCTCTGTGCATCTCCGCAGCACCTCCAAAAGCAAGACTCCCTTCGACTTCTCGTTCGAGGCTATCCGTCAAAACCTTTTCCGGGTGACCTTCACTTCCAAAGATCATGTTGTTCCTCCGTACCCCAGTGTCACCAAGCCCGAGACAAACCTTAAGAACATGAACATTGTTGCGAAGTCGTCAGAATCCTCAAAGACCATTGATATTGGCGGCGTCACTGCTAAGGTTGAATGGACTGAAACTCCCGTCGTTTCTCTCTCATGGACCGGCTCCGATAACCTCCTCCACCGCGATCTGCCCCTGCGCTCATACGTCGCCGATGGAGAGGGTGTTGCACACTATTCGGTCCATGACCGAGATGCTCTACACGTTGGTCTGGGCGAGAAGGCCGCTCCAATGGATCTCACTGGCCGCAACTTCCAACTCTCCGCCACCGATTGCTTCGGATACGATGCCTACAACTCTGATCCTCTATACAAACACATTCCGCTGTTGATTAAGGCAACTGCAGAGGGCTGTGTAGCTCTCTTCTCAACTACCCATGGACGTGGCGCATGGTCTGTTGGCTCAGAGATTGATGGTCTCTGGGGTCATTTCAAGATTTACCGCCAAGAGTATGGAGGTCTGGAACAATACATGATCGTTGGCAAGAATCTCCAAGAGGTTGTTCGCTCATATGCCGAGCTGGTTGGAATGCCCTTGTTGGTCCCTCGTTGGGCCTATGGTTATGTCTCTGGTGGATACAAGTACAGCGCGCTGGATGAGCCCCGTGCTTCAGACGCTCTAATCGATTTCGCCGAGACACTGCAGAAGCACGGTATTCCTTGCTCCGGACACCAAATGAGCTCCGGATACTCAATCTCCGAGCATGAGCCCAAGGTTCGCACAGTTTTCACTTGGAACTACCACCGCTTCCCCAACCCCGAAGAGTGGGTCAAGAAGATGCACGAGCATGGTATTCGTCTGATCACCAACATCAAGCCATTCCTGCTGGACTCTCACCCCGATTTCAAGCATCTCATCGATTCCCGTGGTTTCTTCCAAGATGATGACAAGGAGCCTGGCTACATGCAGTTGTGGAGTGCCGGCGGTGCTACCGGTGGTGAGGGATGTCACATCGATTTCACCTCCGAAGCTGCCTTCAAGTGGTGGTTCAATGGTGTCCAGAAGCTCAAGAAGGCTGGCATTGACGGCATGTGGAATGACAACAACGAGTACACTCTTCCCAATGACGACTGGACATTGGCTGTTGACGACTCAATGGTCAACGCGGAAGCGAAGAAGGGCGTTGCCAACACTGTCGGCCAATGGGGACGGGCTATGCACACCGAATTGATGGGCAAGTCATCCCACGATGCCTTGCTTGACATGGAACCCAACTGCCGACCTTTCGTCCTCACCCGCAGTGCCACTCCCGGTACCATGCGCTACTCTTGTAGTACCTGGTCCGGAGACAACGTCACCAGCTGGGAGAGCATGAAGGGTTCCAACGCTCTGTCTCTGAACGCTGGTATGTCCCTTATGCAATACGAAGGTCACGATATCGGTGGATTCGAGGGACCTCAGCCCTCACCCGAGCTCCTCCTCCGCTGGATCCAACTTGGATGCAACTCCATCCGCTTCACTATCAACTGCTTCAAGACTTCCCCTGACAACAACTCCGTTGGCGAGGTCATCGAGCCTTACATGTACCCTGAGATCACACCTTTGGTCCGTGATACTATCAAGCGTCGTTACGAGATCCTGCCTTACATCTACTCTCTTGGTCTCTCAAGTCATCTCACTGCTAACCCACCCCAGCGCTGGGTTGGCTGGGGCTACGAGTCTGATCCCGAGGTATGGACCAAGGCGCTCAAGTCCGGTGATCAGCAATTCTGGTTCGGTGACTCTGTTCTTGTTGGCGGTGTCTACGAGCCTGGCGTCAATGTTGCAAAGATGTATCTCCCCCGCAAGACCGGTGATGCATTTGATTACGGCTACGTGAATATGAACGCTCCTTACACATACTACGCCGCTGGCCAGTGGGTTGAGGTTCCTTCCGAGTGGCGCGAGAGTATTCCGCTCATTGCAAAGGTCGGTGGTGCTATCCCCGTTGGCAAGGACGTCCACACTCGTGTACCAGGCGATGAAACTGCCGCTTCGCTGGGTGTCAAGGAGCTGGATGACTACCGTGGTGTCGAGGTTTTCCCTCCCAAGGGATCCTCTCACGAAACCGTCTTCGAGAACTCTTGGTTCGAGGATGATGGTATTTCTCAACAGGCTAAGATCTCCAAGTACACACTCAGCTACAGCTCGACTGTGGAGAAGGTGCTTGTGCACTTCCTGCGTGATGAGAGCAGTGGCTTTGTGCCAGCTTGGAAGGAACTGGATATTGTTCTTCACCACGGTGATCAGCGTCGTGTGGTTTCTAGCTCCGGCCAGGAGATTGTGGCTAAGGGCTCTGACAAGCGTGGTCGTCTGGTGTACACTATCAAGGCTTAGAGTGTTCAATGTTGTTTTGACTTTTTTTGATCATGGGATATGATTTGGGCACTGGATAATGACTGCATATAGATGTTGGTTCGGAATATGGTACATAGGACCTCGGAATAGATTGTGATGACTCTCTTTTAATTTGAATCTCTATCGATCTCAACTTGAAGCTCCAAGGGCTTGAAATAGTACATGTATACCTGGTCGTAATACTATTTGTAATCAGATAGAAAGGAAATCGTAAATTTGAGTTGAGGTTAGTAGACATCATCTGCACTTTACAAGAAAAACAGGCTAGTTTTCTCAATTAAATCCAAAATGCATTTATGAAGCGACTTGTTAATACACAACGATGTGAAACACCAAAAAGACAATAGTCATCTATACAATACAAGAGTCCGACGCTCGAATGCATATCGCGCGGATATAGAACGAAAGCCTATCAAGACATGCAGTGAAGTACAACAGCCAAGAACCAGAAGGGTAGGCAATGGAGAAAGCAAATCAGACAGAAATCCGCTATCTCACTTAATTCTTCTTCTGACCCTCAGTACCAGGCAAAACACCGGTAAACGGATCAACCTTCAACTCATGTGCAGTAATAGGCTGATAAGTCAACTTGCCCTCCTCAGCCATCTTCAACCTCCTAGCCTGACCCGCCTGACCAGCACGACCCAGAACACCGGCAATAAGGCTCGTAGAGCGCAAACTATCATCATTGGCAGGAATGGGGTATGTGAGTCGGGTGGGATCGGCATCAGTATCACAGATACCAATAGTCGGCACATTATTCAGACCACACTCATGCAGCAGGACGACATTCTCAATAGGATTCAAACAGATAACCAAATCAGGCTTGACGGAGGGCCTATCCGCAAGATCTTGCTTGAAATCCAACAACTCCTTATCGAACGCATTAACCACCTTCGTCTCACAGTGACCCAGAATCTGTTGTCCGTTCGTCAAGGAGCCTGGAATCCATCGCTCGAAAATGTGGTATGCACCCGCTAGCTCGGCAGCACGCACAACAGCCCGCTTTTGGCCCTTGCGTGTACCCGCGAACAGAATGATTCCACCACGCGCAGCGACTTCTTCGACGACCTTGGCGGCGCGACGGAGGTAAGCGGCTGTTACGTCGAGGGAGATGATGTGCACTCCTTCACGGACACCGAAGATGTAGCGTGAGTTTTGGGGGTTCCAGCGGGAAGTCGAGTGGCCGAGGTGGGTTCCTGATGCGAGGAGGAGCTCGAGGGTGATGTCGGATGGGGAGGGAGGGTTGCGGATGACATCTTCTGGGTCGTGAGCATCTTTGACTAGAGAGCCGAGGGAGTTGAATTTAGATTCTGTGATGTGTTAGGTTAGATAGGGTCTCGATAATTCATTTGGTTCGATTTGATGCTTACTTGATTTTTCCCATTGAGTCCATTTTCCTGCGGGTGCTTGTGAGGCTTGCACGACTTCATGCAGGGGGTTCTGGGCCTTGGGGATAGGGGTAGCAGTCGGCAATGGCTCAATTGACTCCAGTGTAGGGGTCTGGATGGCTGTGTCAACTGGAATTTCGGAGGAGAAAAAGCGGCTGGAAGCCGGAGCGCGGCGACTCAGGGCCAGTAATTGGCGGCCTATAAGCAATTTAGTTCGAGGCTCATATAGGAATACCTGAGTTTGCGATGACACTCACTCTGCCGCACACCTAGTTGCCGAACAATCATGTTGATTACTTGTTATGGATGATAACCTGTTGAGTCGTGTTGGAAGACTTGCGTTCTCCGCGAACTTTTGTCGGACTTGGCGGTAGCCTCAGGCAGACAGAGATATTCACACCTGGTATATCAGGCATTCAAATATTGAGCCTGAGGCATTAATAGAATTACGCTGTTCCTAATATGGCAGTCACCTCAGGTGATCCAGCTGAGTCAGCAACGAATCATCAACCCCGCGGCGCAGTGGCAAATTGATCCTTACATGAACTAATTTAATTCGTCGATCAGATACGGAAGCATAGCAGATCAAACTGGGGAAAGTATATAAATCTGATCCTCTTGGGAATGCTTATTATCGATGCGAGAATGATACAAATGAAGGCTATTGAATTAAGCCAGTGATAAAGGGCCAAAGAAGCAATTCGAGGATCAAAACATAAGCCAACCCGTGCCCCGCAATAATAGCAAATTCAGAAAAAGAAATAGGAAATTCATGAGCGTCTCAAGGTCATCACGATGTAGATGCTAGCAATGTAAAAAAGATAAAACAATAAGAAGCAAGACCATCTGCGGGCCAGGTATCAAAATTCAGGCAATTTAGCGCTTGAAGAAGCCGCCGAGCTGGTCCATCATGTTGTTGCCGCCCTGAGGGGCAGGGCCGGGGCCGCCGTAGGGACCACCTGGACCACCCTGGGGAGGAGCCTGATCCCGGTTGTGCTTCTTGATGGCATCCTCCGCAATGCTACCCATAATGGCTCCACCGATCGTTCCGAGGAAGCCGTGGTTGGCCTTGTGACCGGCCCAACCACCAGCGGCACCACCGGCAAGAGCGCCGGCAAGACCACGCTCACCCTCCTGAGCCTCACCGGGAGCACCCTGCTGCTGCTGGTGCTGCTGCTGTTCGCCGTAGTATCTGGGAAGATGTCAGTGTTTGTTTATAGTGTGATTCAGAAAATGTGGGGGCGAGACATACCCCTCTCGGGAACCTTCCTGGCCGTAGTGCTGCTGCTCGCCACCATACTGCTGCTGGTGCTGAGGCTGCTGCTGGTTGTAGTAGTCGTTGGAACCACCCTGCTGCTGCTGGTAGCCTTGCTGGGGCTGCTGGTTGTAGTACTCGTTGGAGCCGCCCTGCTGGGGGTAACCGCCTTGCTGACCGTAGCCTTGCTGCTGAGGGTAACCACCCTGCTGCTGCTGGTGGTTGTAACCCTGGTTGTACTGGTTGTTGTCGTAGTAGCCAGACATGATGAAGGATGTGAAGTGTGGTAAAGTGTGGTAGAGTAGATTGAAAGTGAAAGTTGGATTGGAAGTTTGGAGGACGGAAGTTGATGGGAAAAGGAATGAGGGCAAAGAGAGAAATGACCTTTTTATAAGAGATGACCACAGGGCTGACTGGGGCGGACACCCCACATGGCCACGCAAATTGACGGAACGCCGAGAACTTTCAAGAGGCGCAGTTTCGCACTTTCACACAGCCAACTTGACTCAGCCTTGACACTAAGCACCGCCACAGATCCCCTATTTATTTATTTTTTACTTACATTTGTTGTATAATTACGGTCCCTTTCATTATGCGCTGCATGTGGCTATGCCGACGGCAATGCGGAACTAAAAATACTACATACGCGTCCTTCCAGTAGGAATCTCGGTTCGGATCTTCGAAATTGTTCCATGAATGTTCTATTGTTGCGCGCCAAGTCGGCCTTCGTCATACTCATTTCCTTTGATTCTAGTTGCCTAGCGCGCTAAGCCACCGCTATTATACGGAGTCAGATTGTTCTGTTGCCCTGTCCTACGAGTGCCGTATTCCGTGCTCCACCCGCCGAACAGAATACCCTTCTAAGCGCTGTCAGAAGTATCACTGGGCAGTGTTTACCCGCTATGTCATCGAAGCCTTGATTCAGCTGAAGACGAATACGAGAGCGAAATACCTACTACATATAGTCGAATCGACTTGACGCTTTCCAAGGTTGGGTCTATGCATAAAGTCAACCTATAGATCATTCCGGCAGGTCCGGTGACAGAAGAAATGACCATCCCGCATCCGCGGTACAACGTGAACTTATTTTGAACTTATTCCAACGCCTCTCTCGTCTCATTGGTTTGAATTATCAACTCTTTGGTAGAAGGTTCTGTTTCAACAACTATTGCAATTCTCTTTTCCTTCAACCCCGATTTATGCCCGGGACCATCCGTGCCGCAACGGAGTAAGGAATACCCAACACCGAATGCCAAGTACCAAGCAGAAAAATCCCAACATCTAGCCGTGATCAAGTGGACTCGTTTAACATTCCTTATCCAATCATTCAAACCGTAGGGCTGAAGTCTCTCGAACCACTTCCCCCTTACCGGCCCGATATCCCATGCACTCCTCGTCATTGCTCAATACAGTCCTTGCGATCCACTTCTACCCATTTTTTCACCTTCACGATCGTGGTCCGACACACCATAGAGATCAAGATGGTGAGTTTCCTAAGGTATACTAGTACTACTTAGTAGTAGTGTAAATGTTAAACTCAATATGAAAAAAAAATTTCTCAAGCTTCACCAGAGAAAATATATCCTGGTTCAAAAATCTCCAGCTGCGCATTCGAATTGAAGTTTGAGTATTTCAAACCGTGATTTGATCACGATAGCACATCCATCTAATACTTGGATACTTTGAACCATACTAGCAATATTCGAGTCATTGGGATCTGAGTCGAAGATCAAAATGCTCCTCTCCTCAATCTGGTCACTATCTCTCTGCCTCTTCTCAGCAGCAGGCGCCCTTGCAGCAAAGAATGACCAAGTCCACCATCCGACAGTCTATCTGATTCGCCATGGCGAGAAGCCCGCAGACCCAGGCAACCACGAGTTAACCCTGGAAGGGCTCAAGCGCGCACAATGTCTGCGCCAAGTCTTCGGTGCCAAGTCAGAATATAATATTGGGTATATCATGGCGCCAAAAATGAAATCTAGTAGTAAGTCAAGGTGACACCTGATTTCCAAGGTAGTGAATGTTAACTAACGTGAATGATTTCTTTTTGTATAGATGGTGGGCATGGTCGAGCATTCAAAACCGTGCAACCTCTCGCAGCAGATCTAGGACTGGATGTAGATATGCATTGCGGGCGCAAGAACACCGATTGCGTCGCTGATGCGATCAGGTCGTATGATGGCGCTGGAGATATTCTGGTCTCATGGCGACATACGAATATGGGCCAGATTCAGGCAGCGCTGGGGTCTGATGAGCCGGTGGAGTACCCGGATGATCGGTGAGTGACTTTCAAGTTCATATTCGATTTTTTATTTTGCTTGGCAGTGGTATTAACGAGTCGTGTAGATATGATTTGGTTTGGACGATTCCGTATCCATATCATAGAATTACGGTCACGCAAAGTGAGAAATGTCCTGGATTGGATGCTAGGGACCATCCTGATCTCGTGGTTCAGTATTGATGTCGAAATAATCTTGTGAAGTATCATAATGGATCGTCTTGCGTGGAGAAGACGGACTGCAGGCCGTGAAAAGAGCCAGATCGGGATTTGAGATTATACGAAAAGGGCGAACCTAGACAAATCAGTCACTGTATATAATTAGCAACATAAAAATTTGAAGATCAACCGATTGAGGAAATCCCGTGGATATTCGGATTTAGTTGAGCGCTAGAGTTGTAAGCAGATTTCGGTTCACGTATTACAGCCCTGTGGCTGTGCCCAGGTGGTGAACTGCAGTAGGCTCGGACATATGTCATAAACCGAGCTGAGCAGCTTTGACCTCCGGTGGCGAAGCAAAGTCGCGGATTTAACCACTTTGGTGCACTTAAAACATGCTAGACTGTCGATCTGCCGTATTGATATTGGGGGGCAGGATTTGTCCCCGGTCTAGGCTTCAGGTTGATTGCTTTCCGTTTCTGAGGTCCCGAAGTCTCCAGATTGGCTTCAGTAACTAATTCCTTAAACAACCTAGTTTCAATATTCGATAGTTGATGCCAGAGTAATGCTATTATGAACCTGGGAATAAAAATCAAGGCTTAAGAAATCTCCAAAGAACATTCCGTTGTTATACTTACTTGATGATAGATTTAAGGCCTGTTCAGGTGTCAGTGGGCAACACTCTCCAACTTGAGCTCGAACTTGAAGGTTCATAAGAGCATCGTGATATGATTCTTTTGATAAAGTCACGATCGGTAACCAGCTCATGCTTTCCTATTTCAGGTGGACGACCATGGAATGATTAGCAGACATCATGACCAGAATACAATTTAGCATCGTCATGAAATCTTTGAGCTAGCTCTCCCGTCTTATTTGAGCCAAGTACTATATTCGTTGAACGTATGCCATTGGCAAAGCTAGACTCTGTAATTTATCAGCTTCTCTGGCACAATTTTCAATATGATTTCATCTGTCAATGCATGAAATGATTGTATCAAACGGGTGAGGTGCTCCTTTCAAGGTTCCCATCAAACAGTGTCAACCGGTGATATCCCTTAATGCTTGCTTGTCCGTTTGCCCAACTCTTTGACAAATTCCTACCTTTGTCACTTCATCTACCTCAACCCATCTCTTAAATACCAACGCATCTGCTGAGAATCCAAGAGATCATTCTTTTCTTCTTGACTTCTGACATTATTTCTCAACTTGAAGCTTCGTTCCCACAGTTTGTTAAGTCTCGCAGCTTCAATATCTCCAGTTATCAACACCAGACCTACCACTGGCATTTTTGCCACCTTGTTTCAACATGGATATCCATGACATGTCTGATATTCCGGAGTCTTTCGCTTTGCTGCAAAAGCATAAGGGAATCATCGACAAGAACCAAGAATTGAAGGGCCAAAGGGCAACGCCCAAGAGCTCAAGATCTGAAACTGTCACCCAGTTTATGGCGACCCGAAATTCGCACCTCGTGAACGATGTCAGAGGGGTTTCAGACTCTGTGAGCGTTCAATCTTCTTACCTTCCTCTTGCCTACCCTCCGTCCACTGCCCCTTTCAATGAACTCAACAAGATGATGTTGGAAGATCTTTCTCTTGAAACTCATCACCGGGGACGATATCTTCTTTTGAGGACAGTTACCCCAGCAGACATCATAACTGGTGTGTCAGTGATTGCTGAGGATGAGGATACAAGAGTTGCTTTGCTCGTACTCTATAACCAGGGCGAAGAACTGTCGAAATTAATTGAGCTCGGTACTGTGTTGGTGGTGAAGGAGCCTTATCTGAAGGTTTTGGCAGACGAAGATTATTGCATTCACGTTGACCACATTTCGGATCTTATCATCGTTCCTGACTTCGATGAATGTGTGCCATTGTGTTGGAGACCTCAAATCACTTCCGCTGATGATTCGTCTGCTCTCTGGAAGGACAAAGGGAATGAGTTCTTCGATGCAAGCTCATACTGGCTTGCCATTCAGTGGTAAGTTCAATGCAATAAATTTTATGACATTCCCAGGGCTGATTATGACTAAAGTTATACCAAGGCACTAGAACGAAATCCACCTCAAGATCTCATGGCCAAGATTCTGTTGAACCGTGCTCTTTGTTGTCTCAAAACTCACCAATTCGACGCAGCCATCCTGGATGCTGATTCTGTGTTACAGAGTTCTGAACTCTCCGAAAAGGCACTTCTTCGAAAAGCTCAAGCTCTGTACTATCTTCGGAGATATTCAGAATCTTGTGAGACTCACAAGTTACTTGCTGAGAACTATCCGGAGAACTCTTTGGCTCAACACGAATTCCAACGTGCATCTGCCCGCCTTGCTGAACAAGAGACTGGAAAATACGAATTCAAGAAAATGATTCTGGAAGCTCAGAAGCGTCACCCTCCACATCTCGAGCGCGGCACTTACGTTGGTCCGGTAACAATCAAGGCTACTGAGTCTCATGGAAAGGGTTTATTCACTACCGAAGCCGTGAAAGCTGGTGATCTTTTGCTCTGCGAAAAGGCATTTGGTCATGCATATCATGATGAAAAGGATCAAGGTGGACTGACATTACTGATGAATTACGACAGTAACAGGATGGCGCTTGGTTCTCAAGTAAACCTTATTGAGACGATCGTGAGAAAGCTTCACAAAAGCCCATCGCTGGTATCTGAGTACATTGACCTTCACCATGGGACATACGACGCTTCCAATATCCGAGTCGATGGAAACGCCGTTGTGGACACGTATGTATACTCCACTAACAACATTCACTAGCCTGCGAATACTGAAATCTCACAGGTTCCTCGTTCAAAAGATAATCGACTTGAACTGTTTCGGCTGTCCCCTTCTGTCGCGTGACAGCCATATCAAAGTACTGTGCGACCCTCGAATATACGCCACAGAAAACAAGAAATTCTACTCAACTGGAATCTGGTGCATGGCATCATACATAAACCACTCTTGTTTGTGTAACATTCGACGTTCATTCATTGGGGACATGATGATCATTCGCGCCAGCAAAGATATCCCGCCAGATACTGAAATCACCTTCTGGTACGGATCGCCCCTTGCAAACACAAGGGGAATACCTGCAAACTTGGAAAAATGGGGCTTCGAGTGCGACTGCGCATCCTGTCAAGATATCCGAGGTCTGAGTGAGAATGTTGCATCTACTCGACAGAGACTTTATGCGGACATAGAACATTTGCTCAAGGCGGATGAAATCAAGTTGCTAACAATTCAGAAAACAAATAGCAAAATTGCAAAAACCTACTCTCGGCCTCAGTCTGAAGTTCCCCGTCTTTTAGTTTGGCCAGCCTACCTGGCTCTCACTGCCATCTGGCTCAAATATGACAAATTTGAAAAGGCGATCAAATTTGGACTTAAGGCCCTGGCAGCGCTTGGCTTTGTGATAGATGGCGGTCTAATTTCTGATACCCAACTGGAGGTAAAGACTTGGGGATTGATGACTGATGGTGTGGTTGGGTGCTGGATGCTTCTCAGTCACGCATACAGTCATGTGTCGCCTCGGCTTGCGACCCAGGCCAAGGAATATACTAAAACCAGTTACAAGATTTGTGTTGGAGAAGACGAGACGTTCGATGAGACATATGGCAAGCACTCGCCGCGATCTGATGGGTTACTCTTCAAATCCGTTCCTCGTAAGTCGACGGCAAGGTAGTGGACATTGGTGCCAGTTTGAACCAGGGATAAAATTTTGGAAAAGAAAAAAAGAGATAGATAGACCATTGAAACTTGAATGGAAACGTTTGAATATTGAAAAAAAAAGATTGGACCTTGGAATCAGATTGAACCACTAAAAGAAAATCGTCCTGACTTTCACGTTATTAGCATAATATGCATCCAGACTCTGGAGTACCTAAGATATGAAGCCTTTCCCCCCCAACCCATCAATTGATCGCTACTAGTAAGCCATGTGTAATTAATCAATTTCGATGCAAGCTCTCCACTGTACATTATAAAAGCTTCTAGGTAGAAAAGTTTGTTCTAAATAATTATCTCAAGAATTGATATTGTAATACGGGAGAAAGTCCAAGGCGTCACGATTTTTCAGTCAAGAAGAGAGATTTTGAAATAACTCACCTATAATAAAATACAATACGATATTATTTGTCTCGATCATTACATGCTAGGCCTAATCAGGGCATCGGGGCCGAGTTTCAACTTTTCTATTGAGCCCCGTAGTGGAACGACTTTGGAATCCTTCAGATTAATTAATTACTTGATAATTTAATGAAATGAGAAATGGACTCTGTGCCATCTACATTAACATAATAAATTGATCACTATCTTCAAAAACTCATCTCTTCACTACTTTACACATACTAGTTATACAATAACCAACATAATCTCACTTAAATAACCTAACCATCCAAAGGACTGTGGCAGGTGAACGCGGTAGTAACGCTCGACGCGTACGAAGCCTTCAATGAGATGATAGCGGAGTAAGCACCAAGACCAGCCAAAGACAGCGCACCCAAGAAGTAGAACACATTGAAGGTGCTAAGAACCATGCGCTTGGTGCCCATGCTGCGGAATCCACGAGCGAAACGCTTGAAGCCTCGGTCTTGGAGCACGGTCGCACCAGTGGTAGGATCAAAGCCTTCACCATCTGCCAAGGCGTATTTCTGGACCCAGAAAAGTGTTGCCAGCATCGGAGGGAAGGTGTAAGTGAACTGCAGAATACAGAATGCAGCAACAACAGTCGTAAGACCAGAGAAACTGGGAATACCGGCAGCCAGGACGAACGCGATGGCCCAGTAGACTGGGATCAGGGCGACCCACATGAACTTGCCAGTTCTGGTTGTGAGAGGAGGGAAGCGGAAGAACTCGACGAAGATATTGCTGTAGATAACCTTGACACCGATGTTACCGTACAGACCGGCAGCGATAACACCAGACAACATAGCAAAGACGTTACCAGTGGTCTGGATGCTGTACTTGCTGATACCGAGGTAGGTAGGGTTGATGGAGTACTGTCCCTGGTAGCCGTACATGAACAGACCGTAGAACATGTAGCAAACGTAGATGAATGTCTGCGCAGCCCACATTCCGGACAAGAAATCCTTGGGACGCTTCATTTCGGCCATGAACTCGGGGAAAACCATCGCACCACCGTAGGCGAAGACAGCCTGCATCGCACCGCTAATGGTTGCAGTGAAATCACTAGGATCCGGAAGACCGGCGGTGGTTTTAACGGGAGGCCAGGAGATGGATCCATCGGCGTTCGTGATAGGCATGACTGATGATCCATTGCCGATGGTGATGCCCGCAGTCTCGGTGTAAGCAGTGTAGTTGGGAGGAGTGTGAGCACCACCACCCATAGTGACAAACATGCAAAGCAGATTCAGCCAAACAGCAGCGTTGGCGAGCCATCCAAACTTTTGTAGGGTACGGACCTGACCAAGGAAGAATCCAACAAGTGCCCAGATCAAACAGCAGATGATGTAGCAGAGCTTGAACTTGGCTGCTTGAGACAAGGCCTCTCCGTTAGAAATCACAATCAGACCAACGTTTAACAATAGCTGAACACTTTGGAGGAAGTTGAACAAGTGGCGCATCCATGGGCCGTAGAGACGAAAGCCCATATCACCAAAGCTGCGAAGGGGGAATTGGTACGAGTCCAAGCCGAGGAAGGTATCCCAAAGAAGGTATCCAGAGTATCCAGCAAGGCCAGCGAAAACAGTGTATAAAGCGATACCGGGACTATGAACTATTAGTCAGGAAGGAATATTGATTGCAAAGAAGTGACACAACTTACCCCCAACCCATAGTCGCAAATGCGTAAGGGAGACCGAATGGACCCAGAATATCAGTAGTGATCAGATAAAAGATCGCACCACGAGTAGCAGTTCTTAGGGCACGCGACGCATTACTCCACTCGTCATCGGTAATCGTCATGCGGGTTGCTGGATCACTGGTATTCAATGCAGTAGCATCCTTGCCTCCCTCAATTTTTTGAACACCGCCATCACTCTTAGGTGGGAAAAGAATGGTGAGAAATCCAGTCTCCGGGGTAGTGGAATTGTCCTCCTCGACACGAGTCAGGTTCGCATAGTGATGATATTCCTCAAAGGTAACAGAGGTATCGTGCAGCCTGCGATGTTGGGGGCGAACGGTACCAGGACCGGGGGAGTCAACAGGGAAGCTATCAATGGCCTCACGCTCTTTCTCGTGAAGGCGAACATCGCCGTCTGCGGCCAAGCTTCCAAGCTGAGACATTGCTGTCAAAGAACGACCAGCGGATTAGAGAAGGGAACTATGGAAAGTCTGGGTGAAGAAAAGAAAGACGTGCCGAGAGAAGAAAAGAAGCATGCGAGCGGGCCAGACGGAGATTTTTATTTCACAAAGACCGAGTGGGGTGACAACTCGTGCAGAGCCGGGGTTATCGGAGGCGATATTAACCCAATAAAAAGGCATGCAAGTATCGAAGGAAGCCTGGCCGGCTGTACACCCAATAAGGAAAGGCGGCAACCTGCACCAGCCTTTTAATTTGGCCTGGAGGTCGCCTATTCGTGGTAGATACGGGGGTGGAAATGACCAGTTAACCAAGAAAAGCCAAGTGCGCTTAAGCATCGATGGCTTCTCCTGGGCAGCGATGAAATCCATTGGTGGTGATTCTGGTTACTGGGCGTGGAGACTGTGGGGGGGGGGGTTACATCTGCCATATCTCTCATTTGAACCAGTTAAAATGATTCGGATTCGCCGCCAAAACCATTTTAACTCCAGGGTTCGTTATGGGGGCGAATTTTGTCGAGAACACGCCAGAATGCGCCCCACAAGAAGAAAAATTCAAAAGCTATCGTGGAGCTTCCAAGAAAAATTGGCACTTGGCAAAGAGGAGACCTATTGTGGATTAGAATTTCAAGGCGATCATAATAATAAACCAAAAAAATATGAATTCGAAGACTCACTTCAGGTCTGACATGATAAAAAAGAGAAGAGTGAAGGAGTTGAAAAAAGTACAAAGTAGAAATGCACAGACCAACTATCTCGCTCGCCACCTTCCTAATCTGTATTTCTCTTACACTTTATATTCTTTCGACCCGAGGCTTAACTTAAGCCATGGTCCACATTAACCACATTTGACATAGTTTCGCCCTATCGATGCTTCTGGACATTTGATCTTTTTACGTTTAGAATTGACATTTCTCTTCCAAGGTATCCATGATTCCACATGGCCTGGTTGCACGAACCTTGAATCTCCAGATTTTCCCCGCAATTGTCGATCGATACTATGAGATACAAAGAAGAATCAGATCGGGGCTCGAGAACTGATGACATAAAAGACTTTCTTTAATGAAAAACCTTAGAATAGCCTTTAATAGGCGGTTAGAGACGGTTCGGCAGGCGACGGCATTGATAGTCTTGAGTTCAAGTTCTAACTCCGAGTCAACTTGGAAACAATCTATTCTTTCTGCTACTAGTACTAAATCACAAGTGTTATGCAGGGGGAAATTGAGTAAATCCGAGTACAACCTCGGAAATTGGCTCGTGGATGATCATAATATTTCAACAAGTCTGAATAAAACAAACCCCCTTAAACTCCCCCATGATGATACGTTATATGCATGCGAAATAGATTCCACAATACCCTCTGGGAAACAGTAACCTTGGAACCTGAACGCCAAAGACTCCAAACTGCAATGCTATGTAGAAATATAGAAAGGGGCAAAAAAAGGAAACTGAATCAAATATGCCCACCTGGAGATCCTGAAATGCGCCGAGGTCCATCTGTATGCCGCGTACCACTCTCAAATGTACCCATAGGACTTGAAATGGGTGGACGGCTATCTAATCGCAACGAATCGCCGGATTTTATCAATGGCGATCTCGACATAGACTTGCTATTCCGCCATGTATCAGGCTTCAGCTGCGGCGAACTGAAGTCTGACTGTGCTCGCAAATTCGTGAATTCAACGGACATGGCAGTCGGTGAGCGTGAGGCATTTGAATCTCGAGGAATTTCACCAGGATACGGTTTTCGAGCCCATATTCGTCGTCTGTGATAATAATAAGTATAATCCAAGTATACTGCATTATAGTACTTACGCCTTATGATAGCAGTGATATTTGCCCTGCCGAATCTCATTGCGCACCTCGGCACAAAACACGTACACTTCTTCCTTTGTCCATGGTTTAGGGGTGCCGTAGTTCGTAAGTAACCACATACACCAACCTTCCATACCGGACATCCAATGCCGGACATTGATAAATCCCGCTTCTTTAATTCGCTCATCCTTTGGCCATGGGCCGATGGGCCACTTGTAGACTCTTTCATGTACGTCCACAAAGCCCATTTGTCGTATACTCGACGACATCGTCGATATTATTTCGCAGGAGCGACCGGCTCGCTCACCGCATTCTTTTATTAGACGTCCCCATGATGCAAGGGCACTATCTGGAGGTAATGATCCGTCATCACTCTCGACAAACGGTCCGATTTCAAATTGCTCTAGCCATCCGCCCGGTTTGAGTTTGCTGTATATTAGCGTTAGACGTGTCAGACGTGAAAAATCGTGGTAGGGATGTGTCAGACATACTTGTAACACTGTTGATACAGGTTTGTCCATTCGGAGGAATCGAATGATCCAATCATGTTTGCCATGTGAATTAGGTCGAATTCTTCGCGCCATGTCCATTCTTCTAGAATGTCGTCCACTTCGAAGACGCAGTTGGGTGGTGTCCAGACGACCGGTGGTGGGTAAAGATCAACTCCACGCACAGTGCCTAGAATTGTTAAACAAACATTCTGGTCACACAAATTGAAGAAAGCTCACTATTAGGATATCTGTCCGCCACATCCCTAGTTTCATTTATTAGCTCTTCTTTCCCTCGTACTTCTGAAAGTAGCTTGGATACTTACATCGCCCATGTACCTTTCCCGGTTCCAATATCCAAGATGTGCATAGAATCATCTGGATTTTTGCCAATAGGGGATGAGAAAAGCGGATTTGCTTTATGGTAGTTCAATATCATATCCACGAGGTGTCTAAAACAATTAGTGACCGATGACTTTATCTCGAGTGATACAAAAATACCCTGCTTCGTATGTTTCGAATTGTAGTTCATCGGATGGGATAATGTATTCCTTGTTCCGAAGAGATTGATACCTGATCCACATCCCATTAGACTAGCACACATCGATCCTCTTCTTTGGCTAAACTCACCTCCGACCATTAGAGATGAGACCTTCATAGATCGATGACCCAATGGATTTCGTATCGGTGCTGTACATCGATGTGAGATCACGTGAGGGCATCGACAATGTTGAAACCTTACCTTTGCCAATCAAAATCATCCGGACTGTATGCGTTATCACTTTCATAATGATAGTCCCCGTCCTACATGGGTCATGTCAGTGCGGAAGTTATGATATGCCTATATTAAGGGTGACATATACCACTGCAATCGGCTCATCGGCCATGCTGGAGAAGAGACGACGATTTGAAGCTTGAAGCTATTGTTGAAACTTGCAGGGCCCAGGATTGAGGAAGAAAAGAATAAGTTGAATCCCAGTTGAGTATGCAGCACAATGGGAAAAGTGCAATAACTAATAAGAATTCATTGTTGTACTGCCCATTCAACAGTGGAGTACCAGGCCAGGGGTGATTGATTTTGTTTTAACGGAGCGCCCCGCACCCTCCCTGTCTCCCTCGCCCACCTTGAGATGCGGATATCTCGGGGTCTTGCACCCTCTACCCCGGAATCACGATGACACCTCGAAACCCTCTGAAAACCTCGAATACTATATCCAAACTAGAGCTGGTAGCTCTGCAAACTGGCGAGTGTATATTTCCGTACGTGCTGGGGAGTTGGGGATGAGGAACTTCAACCAGTTTCCGCACACACGAGGAGTCGTCAATCTACGCGAATAGTGCATGTCCGAAGGGCCGAAAATCGTGCCCAATAGATGGCAGGTGGTGGAGCATTGGAGTAGGAAGCACTTGGCCACGACCCGACAGTCTGGGTCGGCCCCAAGCACACTAAAAATGCTCTGATCCAGACAGGGCCCACGGGGGGTTTTCACACGGTGTGAGAGACTAAATTTTCTGGTACATCGTTTACTAAACCCACAATTTGGCGATCAAGATGGGGCAAAATCTTGTTTCTCAATAGTTTTAGATCCAAGGCCATGGAGTAGGGTCATTGGGATTGAAGCTAGTGACATTTTTTGGAGCAATTCGAAAAAGGTGAAATTCTTGTCCAAGGCGCTGTAGGACACCGCTCGTGGCACCCAAAGTACCTAAATCCCTGTCCAGGTGGCGGATCTATCATTCGAGCTCGGAGTATACATACCTCTACCTTGCAGAAAAGACACGCAACCTTTTTCAGGATTCAAACATGGTCCCGTGCACTCTGGGGTTGATTTATCTGATCCATGACCCATTCTTATTCCAGCCTCTTGACCTGTTTCATCTTGTATCACGAGACCAGTGACATTTGACATTGTAAGCGATCAATTTGACGAATCATATAGAGTCGAACTTGGTCCCAGATACTCGGTACACCTACACCGCACAATCCAGAGAGAATAAATTCAATGTTCGTATTAGTTTATTCATCATGGGGCGCCTAAAGTTAAAATCCTAGTTTCGGAGCTGTGATTATAGAGCCGCACAGGAATGCAGGGGCCAAGTGCTTCCAATGTGACTTCAGAAATGCCTTGCTCTAATATCATAATTTGTACGGAGTACGGAGTATTCCGTGGCAGTCACCGTTTTCTACTATTTTAATCTGCGGTAGCCCGATATCCAATCACAAGGTTTGAAGGCAAGTTCAAGTTAGTAATCCAAATCGAGGTCTCTCGGGGTCTGGAAATAACGAGTTTCTTCTCACGTATATCATAACATCAAAGATAGTACTTTCAAGTGTCTCGTACACAAAACTTGATGATTAATGATTGAGCATTACTTAGTAGACCAGTTGACACACTGAATTAGATCTTTGGCATTCTATTGCCTATGGCGAATTAGAGATCTCGACGTCAGCAATAAATCAGCAAAGATGTGGATCCCACTAAACCCAATTTGGTCATTTCAACCACTTACTGATGATCGATAATGATTCCATAATCTACGACGACCAATTTCTACTCCATATTCCAATGCCTATATAAGTCTGATTCTCGGTCCTCAAAAATCAATTCAGATCAAAAAAAAAATAAAAATTCCAGAACAATATTCCTCACGAAATCTTCATGACCGATACCCCCCTCAAAATGTCTAACCCACTCTCCCACGCAAAGATTGTCCTCCGCCGCTCCAGCGAGCGCGGATACGCCGAACACGGCGGTTGGCTCAAATCCTTCCACACATTCAGCTTCGCCGGCTACTATGATCACCGATTCATGAACTTTGGCTCTTTACGCGTTCTTAACGAGGATCGCGTTGCTGCTCGAAATGGCTTTCCGACTCATCCCCACCGCGATGCAGAGATCTTCAGTTACATTCTCAATGGAGAGCTCACGCACCGGGACAGTATGATTAAGAAGGGTGCTGAGGGCGAGCAGGGAAAATCATTTTATAGAATGCATCGCGGAGATGTGCAATTTACCACTGGTGGAACTGGTAAGTACTTGCTTTGCAAATGTACCTTATTGAGGACCTTTACTGACAATTTCTTAGGAATCGCGCACTCAGAACAAAATGAGTCTAATAAACCTGTTCACTTCCTTCAGATCTGGGCTCTTCCCTGGAAGAATGGTCTGAAGCCTCAATACCATACTATGTCCTTCAGTGAAGAGGCAAAGAAAAAGGCCTTCGTGCCTATCTTGTCACCCCTCGCAGCAGGCCCTGAGGCTACACCTGCTGAGGAAGATGCTGCTGTTCCCAAGATCCCGGATACCATTCCTATCCATGCCGACTTTGTTATGGGAGCGGGTATTATTGCGCCTTCAACGACATTCAAGTGGAATGTTGGCGCTGGCGAGATCGTGCAATCTAAGAGGAAGCGCAATGTCTACATCCATGTGCCCATGACGAAACAGGGCAAGGCGAAGGTTAAGCTGGATGGTCGCGATGATGCTATACTGGAGGAGGGAGACGGTGCTTATGTATCGCTCGTCAATGCTGGTGATTGGATCCAAGTCGAGAGTATTGGAGAGGCGGATGCGGAGGTGATTGTACTTGATAGTAACTAGATTTGTTTTGTATATTAGATTAATCGTGATCATTTGAGTTCATTCACTTTGCAGAGATGTCAAAACAATAATAAAGTTGCCCATACCTTGGGCAGATTCGCTCGCCTTACAGCTTCTCATTGGACCACATCATGTCCGAGTCTGTATTTCCTTTCTCGATTAGTCGAGCCAACGGACTTGACAGATCTGAACCTTGTGTACAGCGGATCAGAATCTTCTACAAGCATGCATCGGCTATTACAAAAGCTACACAAGTACGGAAACACAAATGGAGTTCAGACACAGTGATAAGTAATTTTCTCATAGAAACTAGCCTTCATCGCTTGATTTTGTTTTGGTAACTGTAGCTGAAGGACCGTCCTGTTCAACCTCCGCTAGGTTTTCTAGCGAGCAATATCTCAATCTGATGTCTCGTTTGAATCTTCGTTGACTCTCAAGGACCTCATCCGACTGATCATTTCTGCAGTTTCTGCCATTTCTGCATCATGTTCCGCCATTCGGAGTCTGAGCGATTCTACCGCTTCTGCAAGTTGTCTCGCCCTTTCGAGTCTTAGCAAGTCTGCCAAGTCCGTCGATTCTGCCAAGTCTGTCGATTCTGCAAATTCTGCAGCATATTTCGCCTGTTGGAGTGAAAATGCGTGTTTCCTTTTTTGTATTTTGTATTCTAACGTTCTGTCAGAGCCACACGGGTGTTCCACCCAACAGCAGTTTGCACAGGCTGATTTCTCATGCTCCGTATCGTATACGACACAAGATGCAAAGTTTCCAAACCCATTTTTGCAACCGAAGCAAGCCAATTCCCCACGAACTACCTGTCCCTTTGCTTGTAAATGGATAGCTTCCACTCTTGCTTTGCGCCTACTCAGTTCCAAGTTGAACTTGGGACCGTCCCAACTATTCAAAATTTTGAGCCAGGATTGAATCCGTGGCGTTTTCGGGGTTTCTTTGGCACATCGTAAGACTGGCTCGCGAATGGGTTTCAAAGCAAGCATTTTGTTAAGGAAAGTGCCTTCTTTCTCGTAGTCTCCTTTGCCGATTGACCATTCGTTCTTGGCTACCATCGCAGCCCAAAATCCAGGTTCGTGATCTTCATCGTTGGTGCTGATTATTGGTTTTTCAAGGCGGACTTCATCAACACTAGTGCGCGTGGGGGTGGAGAAAACTGAACTCGCAACTGAGTCCTCGTCGATTGGCGCATCGTTGAGTCGATGCTCACGTTTGAGAGAACATTCCTGCTCTATTTGCTCATTGGGTCAGTCTGGTTCGTATTCATGTAGTGTCTCAAATTGTCAGGATCCATACCCATTTTGAATGATGAGAAGCTGATAGCTGGTAAGAAATTGGATATTGATTCTGACTTGGTGGGGTGAGGTAAACAAGGAAGGGTGGTGGTTGACGTGTTGAAGTGAGTTTGTTTGTGGAGGAAGATGGATATCTCCATGATAATGAAACAACGTCTTTCACTTGCTACCGCTGTCTTGTACACTTCAGATCACAGCCTTAAGCCTACTCCTACGTACAGGGCTCTCATCCCTCTCATATTAATTTATGGGAATTTAACTCACGTGCTGATCGATGTGAAAATATTACAGATATTGATCCTAATCTCACTACTACACTGATGGCTCCCTCGAGCGCTTTTGCTGCCTTGAAAGCTATCCTGACTGACAATGAAGCCACTGAAGAAAGAACTACAGCATGATGGTGCCCCTTCATGGTCATTCTATAGAAATTCTTCCATCGCCGAAGAGGGATTCAAGTCATTCTCGAGGCCCAGAAGCCTCAAGCCATGGTCATATTATTCCAGCGAGTGGAATTACTGATCATTTAACCATCGTCACGAATATTGCTCCAACATCCTTGAAGATCGCAGGGAATCAGGATTCATCATTCCACCCGAAAAACAAAGGCAGAAACGTTACCGGAGGGAAGCCAATGGTGCCCATTTTGTGGAAGTTACAGATCATCAATAGGTATGAATCAATTGTTTTGCGATCCACGAGATCCACGACGCCTGGACATATCTATGATGATACTAACAATATGCAGCAAACTATCAAGAGCTGGTTATCGATTACTAGGAGGAGATTACTTTGCACGAAAACCTAGGGCGGGGAACACTTCAACTCTAACATTGACAGTGCGATTGAGAAACATGTCTTTGCCATTCAGATAACTTTACCCAGGTAAAAACGACTCCTACTGTTGATATGTGGTCCGAGTGTTCGCAAAATACGCTATTATCACCTGGGCAGGAATTCAGCGCCACGTGCTGTCGTGAATTGGCTTCCAAGTTCTCACATCAACTTCTGCAGGCGTCTACTGTGCCTCTCAGGCAACGCGTCACCATCTCGGACGACTCGGAAATCAGGAATTTGAAAGCCGATGACTATGTCAGATACCACATGATCAAAGTACAATTTAAATAAAAACTCAAGCCTTGCCCCTCCCCCCTTCTCAGCATTATCATCGCCACAAATCACAACCATGGCTACCTACGATTTTATCTCTCTGGCTACAAAGCCTTCAGCAAAGATATGCTACAAATTTTATCCCTCAGTCAAGACAACGAAGCCCGTGCTTCTTGTCTTCGTGAACCCAATGGGTCTCACACAAACCTCATGGGAGAACGTCATCACCCGACTGCATAAAAACGCCCCCAACGGGGGCGTTCCCGCCATGCTGACCTACGATCGCTACGGGCAGGGCCAAACAACTGACCGAGACCCATCCGATGCCAACGCAGTCGACAAGAGACATGGACACGACTGTCTTGATGTTGTTCATGATCTCCATCAATTAATCACTCAGATCGCAGATCAAGATATGGGCATATCTGACATCGGTCAGCTTCAACTCGTATTTGTCGCGAATTCCATCGGTGGCGCCTTGACCCGACTATATGCCCAGGAATACCCCGGTAGCGTTGCCGGACTCCTTTTACTAGACAGTGTCTTAGCGAATACCGATTTTGTCTCCATATTCCCAGATCCGGATGCTTGTGACTTCGACAAAAGTACTCTCCCAGTTGTTGTCGAGGTAGAAGATATTCGAGCATCGCGGGCTTTCGCACAGCGAGTCTTCCATCCAAGTAATGGAAGTGATGAAGGTCTGAGTCGAAAGAACCTGAGTGCTCTTTTGCCGTATAGTGATGGTCCCCAGCTTCAAGGTCCCGATGGACGCGGTCCTTGGGTTACTGTTGTTGGTCATGAGTGGGAGGCTTCTGAGCGTGAGCAGGAAGCCATGGGAGCTCCAGGATTAGTTACCCGGATGTACTCGAATCCTTTCTGGAGCGCGTATAATGAAGGACTGGCGAAGATTACTGAGCCCGAGAGGAGTAAAGGTCCGTTCCAGGCTCTGGGTGCGGGTCATTTCATTCAAAGGGACAATCCCGAGCTTGTCGAGGGGGAGATTCGTGACATTTTGGACAAGGTGCTGTGAGGTTTGAAACACGTGGATCGAGAAAGATCTCACGCCCACATGAATTACGATGACGTACATATGCCGCTCTTTGAAGAAAGCTCTCCTCTTTAGAATATGATTCAAATATTTGGTTGGTAGTACATTTATGTAATAAGAACCATGTACATGCACATGAGACAAAAAGCATCGGGTCATAGACTTCACCTCAGCCATAGATCTCACTTATAAATGCTTGAAGAGACGAGCTAATAAGCACATCCCACTTGTTGCAACAGTAAGTCCAGTACAGACTATCATGAGTCCAAAGCCAGTGCCATATGCCTCCCCCGCAACTCCTTTCCAAGGATCTGCTCGAAACAGAAATTCACTGAACGGGCCACTCACGACATTCCCAATTCCTCGACCAAATGCAATTACCGAGAATATGATAGTCGCGTCCGCATCGGAGTCTACCTTTTGAACAGCGCGTATGGTTCCTGACCATGTTGCCGAGTAACTTCCTGCAAAGAGACCATAGGCGACGGCAAACAGCATCAAAACGGCGACATTTGTGGCTAGTCCCCATAGTAGAAAAACGGACACAGCGGTACCAATTGACGAAATTGTGATGCAAATCCAGACATGGCAACGATCTGATAAATGGCCCATTGATATACTGCCAAACACCGAGGCGAGATTCAGGGCAGTCACTGTAAGTGATGCGACCAGCTCAGAAGCGCCTATATACCGGGCAAAAGTTGGGAGGTAAATAGCAGGGATGAAAAAGCCGAGTGCTTCAAGAATGTTTGAAGACTGGTAGACAATAAACACCGGGTTAAGCAAGAACTTGGCGTTGAGTCGATGGTGAGCTATGTCTTTGGAAATCGGTATTCTTGGTCTGTGGAAGTACAAGAACGGAGCTGCAAGTACAAAGAGCAGCACTGAGCATATTCTCAAAGTTGTCTGATACCCAAGGCGATCTAGGAATTTCCCCTAGAATCAAAGGGAAGAGAACTCCTGATATACCGGATCCAGCCCACACCATTCCAAAAGCCAGTCCCCTGCGTTTGTCAAACCACTCTGACATGAACATGATTGATGGGCTATATGCTATGCAGCCACCGATGCCGAACCCGATGCCTTGAGATAGAACGAGAGTTGTGACGCTTGTGGCGAACGATGCCATTGCTAGTGATAGACACATAAGACTTAGGCCTACTGTTGAGACCCATCTAGCATATCGAGGCAGTAGAATCATGGTAACTATGACCACTGGACAGCTCAAATATGCGACGCCCTGTAAAGTGATGTCAGAACCAGTTTCCAGCTGTCTGGGTTTGCCAATCAACTTACTGTAGCACATGTTCCAATGACAGCTACCATGCTCGACCCTTTAATCTGATCATTATTTCGATAATAGTTTTCAAAGACTCCGAATGAAAAGGCAAATCCCCACACAAGAGCCTCGATCATTGTAGACGCTGCCAAAAACATCCAAGCCTGATAGCCACCATCTATTGGAGGTAGCGAGACCTCTTCACAGGGCTTTTTCTCGTCCGAGTTAAGAGATGACGGTGATTCGAGCGATTCATGCTGGCGACAAAGACTTGAATCTGTTGATGAGGACTTGTCAGAATTCATGGGTACGGTTTATACAGATCATATATGAGCAGGGTATTGGAACAGAGACATTGCAAATATCCATTTGAATACCTACTTTATAACGTAAATTATTGAACACGCTCAAGGTCACATTGCGTAATGCCCCTCGCGGAAAGTGAAAACCAACCAGGGATGAAAAATCCAAACGTTTATCAAGTGATGGAAGGGATTTCCTGCTAGAGCTTGATTGGCCTGCTAGACAAGGCTGGCAAGGACGATCTGTTTAGAAAGATGAGACTCCATATACCGAGTACCCAGGTCTATCACTCATATTGTGTGCTTGGCCCGGGAATTTGCTGATTACACCCGTTCTCGATGCTACTTCACCAGTAGACCGTGAAATATGCTGTGTGAGCCTTACAGTTGACTCCAGAGAGGGAATCTGAAAGACTCGCAGTATTGGCGTGCTTTCAATGGGGCATAGAATCATCCAAGGGCGAGCTTCCAGTTAAATCCGCGTAATGACGGTTAGGAACGGAGTGGACAGGGACTGGAATGTAGGGACATCAAAACTATCGCCATGAAGAATGAACGAATATTCCGGTACGGAGTAATATGAGAGATAAGCTTGACTGATATCATGGAAGGTTTTTTATAGGCGCATAGCTGTGCTATGTGATAGAATTGTGGGTCTATATGATCCCTTGCTTGGAGGTGGGCCTTGTGGGGTTGATGATCGGGAGCTCAGAGTGCGCTCAAATCCTGAAAACTTGAACTATTTTAATCTTCAGCACAAGCCAACTTGAACAGATGAGCGTCCAAAATAAATGCCTACTAGTCATGTAGTGAACTAGAGATACCCAGCAGCTGAATCAGTGTCCTCAAGGTAGTATTATAGATTTTGATACACTAGAATACCATACATCTCACAACTTTCCAAGGTTGGATAGTATGTATTGGGTCATGGTGTTTAGTACCACCTCTACTACCTAGGTAACTATGGTGAAATTAGTATTAAGTATGATCGAGAAATGTCATCTCAGCCCCGGGGCCTGAATAACGCTTGATGTTCATAACTGTAGTGAACATTTGAATGTTCAAATATTTATGGAGTAGAAATGAACCACCTACCTGAATGGTCGCCTCTTTATGGGCAACATGGAGGTTGGGAAATACAATAGTAATTAATGATTCATTTCAAGGTTATCTATGTATGGTAAATGAGCAGAGAATGAACAGCCTGAAATGTTTCAGCATGGTTCTCTAACTTCAACAAGACTTTTTTTTCTCATTTGTACCCTCACCGGTCAAAACACCGTTGTTTTTGTGCAAGATTAGGGAATTTCTTCGAGGAAAATCCGAATCTCCAATGACCAATAAAAATCAAGCTACTAGATATGTCTAAAGGGACTTTGACTGGGAAAGCGCTCCGTGTCATGTTCCGACGGTGATTAATTTCCCAGATTATCTCTACAAATATCGCAGACTAAGCACTTAGGCCGACCTTCCAAGGCTGGCAGGGACCTTTGCATACTGCAAATTTCCCATTCAAGTTTTAGCCATATCAGAACTCGCTAGGCATTATTTAGCGTTGCTAGTAATATGTAGCCCGGGAGTGCTACCTAAGCCCCGTAGTAGACTTCTCCAAAACCCAATTTGGGTCCAAGGGTTGGACCCAAGACCCAACCCACCTGGGTCTTGGGTCCAGCACCTAAAAACCCAACCCAACCCAAGACCCAAGCTGGGTACCCATTGGGTACCCAGGAAAACCCAATTTTGCATAAAAAAAGAGGTCTTGGCATGTATAACTCTGCTCAGTCATCAATTTAAAATACTGTTTTTTACATGTGTTTTGCATTCGTTTTAGTTTATATGTTAGAGTCTCTATGAGTCTATACCCTTGCATGTAGCTACTATACCTTTACATGTAGCAGCATTACATCTTAGAAATAGATGTTAGAGAGTAAGTTGATTACTAGTAATAATAATAGATTTCTTATTTGAAAATAATATTAACATTCAGAAGGAAAAATTATTATAAAATATTATATTATATGGATGGAGGATGTAGGGTGTAGAAATTGATATTTAGTAAATGTTGTAGGAAATATATATTTACATGCTGCAGAGGTAGTGCATCTTTTACATGTATGCCCTACAAAAGTGTTACTTTTTATTTTTAAGCTAATTTAGTATTTCTTAATATTAAATTGAATCTTTAGTTCTATAGTATTTTAACTTAATATTTACTAAATTGAAGAAGATAGTATTCATAAAATAAACGGGTAAAGTAGGGATTCTAAGGAAGCAGCTGGAAGCCTGGGTAAAATTTTTTAGAAGACTTTTAGTAGACTTGGGTTGGGATTGGGTACTTCTTGGGTTTTCATGGGTAATTCTTGGGTTTTCATGGGTTTTCGTGGGTCTTTCGTGGGTTTTCGTGGGTTTTCATGGGTTTTCATGGGTTTTCATGGGTTTTTTATGGGTTTTCTTGGGCTCTTCTTGGGCTCTTCTTGGGCTCTTCTTGGGCTCTTCTTGGGTTTTTGTGGGTTTTTATGGGTTTAAAATTAAAGATATGTGTTATTAGGTATTTATTTATTTCTAATCTTTAATCTTCTATATTTCCTACCTTCTCCTTTATACCCTCATCCTTACACTTATCATTCTTTTATGATTTACCTACCCTTGATACTTACTTACTATTCTTCTTCTACATTTCCCACCCTACCCTTACACTTATTATTCTTTCATGATTTTCATTTAACCTCATGTCCCAAAGCCAAAATTCCAGTTTCCAATCACCTCTCTACCTATCATCATCATTAGGTTATGATGAAGAAGAGTTAGAGACTACTATTCTCCCTTTTTTTTAGACTATCTCAAGCCCACCTAACTCTCTTACTATTTAACTACCTAGTACCCAGACCATACTCCCAAGCTTTGATAGGCATACATTCCTCCGGCCAGATACACCTCCTCCTCCTCCTCTACCGTTTATCCGCGTTGGACCCGACCGAAGAAAATCCTATTTCCTCTACAATATGGTAGAGCATACTGAGTGGGTTGACTGGTGGCTACAAACTGACTATGGGAGGAAAAGTAAGATCCACTGGGAAGCAGCCCGCCAGGCCCCAATTTGGAATAACTTCCATCAGGTTGCCCAAATCACAGATGGTGCACCAAAGGTTATGTGTAAGCGGTGTAGCAAGGTTCTTGAACATGCTCACTCTGCCTGTCAAAATGGCTACCAAGGCACATCAACCATGGCTAAACACCTAAAAACTGCAAAATGCCAAAACTCTATGAGGCGGAAGGAGAATATTACTGGTTTCCTTATAAGCAAGGTACGTTTTAATGGTGGTGAGATACACAGAGTTGGTGTTTTGGGCGCAAAAAAAAACTCTAGCTGAGATAGCATTTTGTGCACAAAAGAGAAGCTTAATCAGTAGGAAACTAGCTTAACTACTAAGACAGTAACTAACTATTTAATTAATTTTATTTCACTAGGAAGATGAGCCATCTACTACTCCTGCTCTTGCTCCTTTCTCACAGCTAGGCTGGGAGGAAGAAATCTTACAATTTCTTACTATCAACCGGCTTCCATTCCACCTTATTGAGCATCCAACCTTTCATAGTCTGATTCATAAGGCTCGCTCTTCACCATTACCTCCAACCATCCCGTCTGCAAATACAATTCGTCGGCGACTACAAGATCTAGTTGCAGACCGCCAGAGATCCATTCTTAACCTCCTACCGCCCAGCTCAAAAGTTTCAATTGCGCTGGACTGCTGGACTTCTCCGTTTTCGCAAGCATTTATGGCCGTTACTGGCTATTTTATTGATGCAGATTGGACCTATCGGGAGGTGCTTCTTGGTTTTAAACCACTCTCTGGGTCACACTCTGGTATAAGTCTTAGTAGTGTTCTTCTCAACATACTCCAAGAGCATCAGATTACAGACAGAGTTCTTGGAGTTACAACTGATAATGCATCAAATAATAAGGTACCCTCCATCTCCATCTCCATCTCCATCTCCATCTCCATCTCCATCTCCATCTCTATCTCCATCTCTATCTCCATCTCTATCCTTAAGGCTACTACTAATAATATACTATATAATTAGACCATGATTGATGCAATTCAACAAGCCCTACCTGAGAATCTTAGCATTACCCGGATACCTTGCCTTGCCCATGTTATTCAGCTTAGCCTTAACCAGCTTCTGGATCGCCTAAAGGCAGCCCCTTTAAATGAGACTACCCAAACTAAATGGACTGAGAAACAATCAACCCTTGCTAAGGATAATTTAAAGCGCCAGAAGTGTGAGATCTCTGTTACCTTGAATAAGGTACGCTACCTTGCAATCTACATTCATGCAAGCCCCCAACGCCGTGAAACATTCATCAATCTTCAAACAGAGGAACCAAAGGTTATTCCAATACAAGATGTACGGACTCGGTGGAATTCAACCTTCCTAATGCTTCGCCGAGCTAAGAGGCTTCGTGATTTTTTCCTCCCATTTTGCCTGGAATATGACTGTAAAGAAATGCTTTTAACTCCAGAGGAGTGGCGCCAAATCGATTACCTGCTCTATCTCACTGAGCCCTTCTTTGAATATACGACTGAGCTATCGAAGACACGAGATGTAACCATACATCTTATATTCAAGCTTTATAATGCATTATTTTTGCATCTTGAAAAGTCCATGGCGCAGCTTAGGCAGAAGCGGGTTCCATGGAAAAGGCACATACTTCAGTGCCTTGAAGCTAGCCGATTAAAGCTTGATGAGTACTACACACAGACAGATAGTATTCCAGGGCACATATATGCAGTTGGTACAATGCTAGCTCCTGACAGCCGGTTCCAGTTTTTCCAATCAGATGACTGGGATGGGTCCTGGCGACTTAAGTACCGGAGTGCATTCCAGACAGCTCTTACTCCCTACCAAGAGCACCAAGAGCATCTTTCTCATACGTCAGACACAGGAAGCTCCCTACCTACACCAAAGCTAAGCTTAAAGCTTAATAAGATATTAAACAAAAG